GACCCATTCGTGGGCCAGCCCAAATGGGCCGACCCACGAGGTTTTTGTCCATGGGCCGGCCCATGCCCAGGTCTACCCTTGACTACGGCAGCCGACAGTGAGGTAGGGGTCAAAAGTCGAGGACCAATCATTCGGCTCACCGCCCTAGACCCCGCCGGCCTGACCGCTCAAGCCAGCATCCACCAACCAGGTTTCGGAAGAGAGATACCGCTGGTTTGTGGGTCATATGGTAGGGGGTTTTTAGTCATACTAAGTCTATTCGGCTTGGATCCAAACCTGGATTTCAAAATACATCAAAATAAATCTCCATGGGACTGAATTCTGGTTTCTTTACTAATTTTTGACCAATTTTGCTCCATTTTGTATGCCCCAAATGACCTGAATACTCTTTTTTTTGACTACGCTGACCACCTATAGAGACCTGATATGCCATTTGGTCGCCCACGGCTCGACGTGGAGCCATACAAAGACCAAATTACCATGCTTCTGGCACAGAAGATACCTATAAGCAATATTTTAGACATTTTACACGAATACTACGGTCTCAAAATGTCACCGAGGACATTCAAACGTCGCACGCGGGCCTGGGGCATCCAACAGCGAGCACCAAATGGTATCACCAATAACAGAGCCTTACAAATGCGTGTTGAGACCCTTATCTGTGAGGGTAATCTCTCTTCGAAAGAGATTCTTCAGGTACTTTCGCTCGATGAAACACCTATCTCTACCGACACACTCAGGCGAATTCGTAGCCTACTTGGTATACGTCTTCGCATTGACGACCAGGATGATCAGGAGCAGCAGGAGGACGAGATACTCGAGATATTAGTGGACCAACAGGCCATTGGCCTTGTTGAAGGATATGGAAAAGGTCACCTCTGGGCCCATCTACGCCGTCATGGTCATGTCTTCGCCCGAGACCGAATCTTCGATGTATGGTGCTCTCTACGGCCTGACGCCCTCCTACGTCGCTCGACCGGTCTACAGCGGTCTCGCGGTGCATACCGATGCCCTGGGCCGAATTTTGTATGGCATATTGATGGCTATATGAAGTTAGAGCTCTTCGGGATCGAGATATATGCTGCGGTTGATGGGTATTCGCGCTATGTTACCTGGTTTTACGTGGGCATCAGCACGCGGACCGGATTCAGTGTCCTCCACCAGTATCTGAATACAATATCGACCACTGGTTTCCAACCGCGCGCGATCCGCTCTGACTATGGTACAGAGACCATGCTGATCGCAGACGCCCACTATGCATTAAGAAAAGCTGGCGCTGAAGCTGTTGATGGCCACCCAGAACTACAGTTTACCGACTGCTTTTGGTACGGTCGCAGCACCCAAAACCAGCGCATCGAGTCCTGGTGGGGACAGCTTACAAGCTCTACGAACTTCGTATGGCGTGAGCTTTTTAGTTGGCTTCAAGAGCGAGGCTACTACGAGGCGTCTAAGATCGACAAAGTTGCACTTCTTGCTGTTTACATGCCTTCAATTAAGGATACATGTGCGGAGTTCGTGCTCACATGGAACTCCCATCGGATCAGGAAGCAGAAGGGTCGCCCCTATAGCGTTCCAGGCAAGCCATGGTTGAACTACTATTACCCAGGGCGTGACGAGGAGGATATTAAGGATTATAGGCATCATATTGACCCTACAAAGCTTGATGCTATCAAGACTGACGTGGGGAGTTGGGATACTGACGTATATCTACCTACAGAGACTATACACTGGTGCCGTACTCAGCTACTGGGCATGGGCTTTGACCCTGAAAAACCACCAGCGAGAGACCATGGCACCCACCCATATGTCAATACCTACCTTCGGTTACGGGAGCTCGCTGTCGATCATACCGAAGGGGGCCTCTTTCCCGTCCTCTCACTATGCGAGAAGCCAACTATGCCCCCTAACTGGGCGCAGGATTAAGGGTGCGGGCTGCGGGCCCGCACCGTGGTGGAGATTAATGGGGATCAATGGAGATCAATACCTATATTTGGTAGGACCTTAATGACTATCAATCATTAGTTTTTTCAACTTTAGTGGGAGACAGGGTGTAGAGGGCGTCCTAGGCTTTCTGCACCTACTCTGCGCCCTCTGCATCTCCTAGGCTACTACATCTACAAAGCATGGCCTCTCACTATTACCCAAGCGACACACCCGATCTCGTTGATTTAACAGACACATACGATGACTCACCATCCTCCTCGTCTTCCGTCTACTCAGGAGCACCACCGAGACGACCTGGTCAGCTCATACCAAACGAACACCTCCTTCCTGAGCCATACAGCCTAGTCAGCCAGCGAATAACGGGTAGGGTAGCAGGGAGGCATCGCAAGCTCCATATGCAGAAGAGCAGACCAGCGCAGATGCTAGCACCACAGCAGCAGAGAATTCCGACAATTATCCACTTCTGTCTCTGGCGAAAGCCATCATCAGATCGAAAAACTTGGACGATGGACGAACTCAGTAAGTATGACTCTATTACTTGATTCTTTCAAGGCGCGCTTGCTAATAGACGCTACACTGTAGCTGACGTCTCCCAGTGGATCTCTCCCCACCGTGTCTTTAACTTCCAAGACTTTATTACAAGAGACCTTCTTCCTGCGCTTAGTCCGGAGCTTGGAGCCTATAATCCGATACCACACATCGACCGATACCAGCTCGCGACTGGGCTAAAGGGCCAAAAACCAAAGAAGGAACCACAGTGGTTATCCGCTACTGAAAACCATGCACGGTGCGCGGCAGAGCTCGCTTCGCAGTTTACTTTCGGTAGCCAAGCACGCCAGATCTACCTTATCATCATACGTGAAGAAGAGATAGATAAGGACGTGGTCATCAAGCCTGAGTCCGAGTCAGAGCCTCTCCGTGAGGCAAGCTTGGTCAGTAACTGGAGCAATCCAGAGACCCCAGGGCTAAGCTTCCAGTCGCGTACCGCGTCACAGGAGGAGATCCTCGCTGAGAGACTTAGAATTGCTAGTGAGAAAATTGTTCAGCTAGAGAAAGCACACCAGCAGGAGACATCGAAGGAGATACCGCAGGAGGACATAACGCAGCGAAGAGAGGCTTCAGGTGCCCGGCAACGTGGGCGCCCGCGGCGACGTGGTGGTGTCAGGAAAGATAGAGCTAGGTGTACTCCAGTGGCAGCACTCTCGGCACTATCAGGGGCCACCTCACCGCGGCGTACGCGCAGTATGGCCCCTCGTGGTGGAACAACAGAGTCTGGTTAGTTAAAGTAGCTTTCAAATGCATATCTAGGCCATTTTGAGCACCTAAAATCATCGAAATTGGTCAAATTCTGGCACGTAAACAGATTATGGGCACTTGGAGAGCTTTTTTTATATGGTCATATGATCCATAAAACCAACGTCACCTTCTCTACGAAACCTAATTGGCAATGTCAAAATTCCCTATCCATAGATTCTGGCAGAAAATTACGTACCTTAGGTGTCGAGATTACTATATTAATCCTACCGCCCGTTTTCTGCCTGCCAAATTCGACTTTTGGCCCCTACCTCACTATCGGCTGCCGTACCCTTGACACCCCCAACGTTCCGAGTGTGATAAGTGGGGCAATCGTCAGCGAACCGCCGCTTTCTTGGCATTTTCAGGAATATAATAACCGCCCTGTCTACCCTCTTCTAATACGTGCATCACTATTCTACCATGAAAAACCAAAAATCTTCTGATTACACCGAGATTACTCGGTTGGACCATATCATTCTTCAAAATGGCGGGAAGACCGTGAACTCTGAGCGCCTTCCAATTTTCCTTCAAATTTCAAAAAATGAAAGACCACCCTCCCTTGAAGAGCTCCAATACGAGATAGGGCGCCTACGCCAGGAAGTAGCCCTGCACCAAGAAGCACAAAAAGTCCTTATGGGGCTTTTTGTCGACTCTAAAGATGTCTACGGGCTGTTGAGAGAAGCACTCTCGAAGGCTTCTTATAGATGCACCAGAGAGCCAAGTTTCTTGGAATTAGCATATAACGTCCAAGATGCTGGCTTCATGATACAAGAAAGCCTGCAGCGGGTATCAGAAAATCTAACTGCGTCTGAAAGCAGACTTCTTGAAGCTTTAGGAATTTGTTTAGATGATACGAAGAAAGGGGATTTCTCAGTATTTTAATCATAATGCTCGAATATTTACAGTACCTATGCTAGCTCTCATTTTGAAAAATTATTTCCAAGGACTCTAGTAATCATATCCCATTTACGTGCATACTGACTATTCGCGCTGCGTAATCGGTGGTTTTGAAGACGTAGACTTGCTTGCAGCTGTTTTGACTCCTGTAGTTCTTTCTGTAGAGTATGATTGACTGCCATAAGCCCTCGAAGCTCGTCTTGGAGATGTTCGACCGTTGTCTGGCGCCCGGAATTGGAAGATTTTTCTTTGTAGATCGCGCGGATATTGCCATTTTCTAGCCTCTCAGCCAGCTCAATGTACGTATTAGTTGACAAGTCACTGAGGGGCTTGTCAAAAATATGGTTGCTGGAGCTGTCGCATACCCATTGATATCCATCTCTGTCAATTGGTTGAAGGCGAACATTTGAAGGGAGAATCCGTAGTCCTAGCTTGTCCTCTGGATCTCTGTTTGTTAGCTCAGTCCCGAAAGGGTCATAATTGTGCCCATGTCTTACCAATGTGAGAAGCAAGCTTTTGGCGACAGTTCTGTCGCTCAGCAGCTCGTCTCCTGTTTGCAGGCCTGGACATGATTTTCAAGAGCTTGAGAGATATGGTGACCACTGCGTAAGGCTGCGTATATAATGAGAGACAGCTGTGACCACAGTGCGTGACGCACTCACGAAATCATTGGGCGGACTATCTCATTAGCCAATCATTATTTGCACTATTCTTGGAAAGGTCCCCAGGATAACCCACTATCATCAGTCGATCATTACTATTTTGGGTCTGGGATACGCCCACATGTGATAGGCACTTGCACTAGCCGATCATCTCGTCGGCGTCTCGCCCACGCATAGAGCCCGAATAGAAAATGTATATCAATGTCGACGATTGTCTGCATGTCCATGCTTCTGCCGGAAATAACCAAAATGGAGACTGTGAACCTGCTGCTCCCGGGCTTCCAAGGTCACCAGCTGCAAGCCAGTGTTGTAGGCCAAGTGAGTCTACCTTGCCTTAGTTATGTATTGACTTCGCTGACACACGCCCCCAAAAAAGGAAAATAGTGCTACAACCTATGCAGTAACCTGTCCTACCACAATCCCTGCCAATGAATGTGGTATTCTTGGAACAGGAATTATAGCCATCAGCGCACCGACTTCAGTTGAAGTTATCAACATCGATAGGAATGACAAGTGAGCTTACTGAATCGGCCTAAAAAGGCAATATTTTGATGATCTATAGTACCGCCTCGATATCCTGTGATGTTTCAGGAACAACATCTGCATTTTGTCATGCGAAAGAGACAATCTTCGTCAAGGGAACCCTTGCACCGAAGGATCTGAACTGGATGGACGTTCCAATGGCCACGATGAGACCGAATCCTGACAACACCAATGCCATAGGCACATTTGAGGGAAGTGCATGGTGGTACATTTTCGCAAATCCGTCTATTACAATTTGCAGCTTCTTTATTCTTTTATACTTTGTCTACTTTGCGCTTTTGCGCTTTTGCTATGTATCTAGTCTGTCTATATAAGTGAGAGATACGTTTCGTCTATCTCCAGGACATCAGCAACATGAAGCTACCTCTCACCTTTCTGGTTTGGTCGGTTCTTTTTACTCATGGCCTATCTGATATTAAAGTTACGCCGGTTTCCTCTCTAGATCTGTCGTTGAGCACCACGCCTTTTGTATCGCATACAACGTTACCCATTCAATCTCCAATTTCCATATCCATTTTTTGTTCTCATTGCCTTCCTTACCCTACTCAATCGTCCTCGGCTATATCAGGGCGCAGCAGCCACCGACAATTTGGAAGTACATCTCAAGCGAGTATAGCCCCAGTTAGCACATCGCGAGCAAGCACATCGCGAGCAAGCACATCGCGAGTAAATACTTCGCGAGCAAGCACTTCGCCAGCAGACAGAACGCCCGCGAGAAGCGTGTCAGTAAATACTGCTCGACCTCAACAAACAAATCAGAATGTTCCCGAAACTAGTACAACTGCTTTGTATTCCAACCCAATGCCAGAGCCTTCTAGCACAACGAGCTCATATGGCAGCATTAGTGCGGGAAGCAAGATCTCAGGAAAGCGAGGAATGCTCATCATAATGCCTGTCACCTTTGCGATCTTAGCGTTGCATTTCTGAGGTATTTTTAGAAGCGCATAAGCGCTGAGTAGATAGCCAATCGGTAGCAAATGGATTTTCAAGTTGTTACAATCTAAAAAAATGTTCAACATAACTAAAATTAGCCAATGGCAACATGCTTACGCGCTATGCCGCTAAAATTAGAAACTCATATATAAATATTGTTGTGAGCCTCTCTATGATTATCTGAATTCAACAATGGCAAACTCTCGGAGATGTACGATCTTTCCTCGGGCTATCGATCTAGATGAACAAGGAGTGAACGATGTATCGAGAACCAATCACACCGAAATCTCGACAGAGGAGACTGTTATCAATAAGGTCTCTCGACTTCAAAAACGCCCCAAGCAGTGGCTCGGCTTGCCTATCAAGGAGCATATCACTCCTAAGAAAGCGCAGGCACCATTTTGCAAAAACTCTTCTCCCTGGTTGACCTTTCAAAAGTTCATGGCTGAAAGCATACCTGGAAAAACTTGCCTTGCACACAGGATTGACAGTCCTAGCGATATCGTCGCGATTAAGCAATACAAATCTAGCGGCATCGATAAAACCCGCCATCTTCTTTCTACGAGCCATATAAATATTGTCAATCTATTGGAGACATTCTGCGAATCTAAAATGGTCTACCTCGTTTATGAAAGGATGGAAATTTCACTTGAGCAACTACACTCCGGAGTTGCATTGAAAGAAGCTGATGTTGCTTTTATTTGCAAAGAGGTAAGAGAAAGTATGAGGAATGTTTTGGAGTGTTTACTAATTGACAAGTCTCTTCACGGTCTTTGGTATATCCATCGTGACCTTTCGATATGTCACACGAGGATTGACTGCAGTAATATCTTCATTTCTATGGAGGGAAGAGTCAAGATTGGTTGGCATATTTTCTCTTTTAGGCCGATGATGAGTCTAATTTAAAAAGCTGATATAGGTTCCTCTCTGCTCGAACACCATCGGGGATCCGAGCAACATGATATTAAATGCATTGGCCATGTTGCTATTGAGATCCTACGTCCAGGGAACACCTATGCAGATTCTAGTAGGACGAGTATCCAGACATTACCTGATTCGCGTGTCTATGTTCGCCAATTTCTTGAGGAGACTCGGAGGAATGGAGTTACAATCCAAGCTCTATTACAGGTATGTGAAGGTCGAAAGTAATTTACATGGCTAATTCGAACTAGCATGTTTTCCTCTCTCACGCTTCTGAAGTTGGCGCTCTAGTCGTCCCTGTGATGAAAGTCAAGCCATTTGTCTGCCATGACTATGAGTAGGCTCAATGAGAGCACGATCATATGCTCGATCGATAAAACGATAGAGACCATTGCGTAGATGGACCATAAGGGGGGGCTCGGCTCCAGTTCGGGAAATTTTTGGTCCAACAAGAATGAGTTTGTCTTGTCTGGCGGTTGTATATAGATTTTTGATTGGTATCACCCGCCATATGTCAGATACGCAACACATGAACATCTGGTTTCGATCTGCCAGCCAATTTGCAGTTGCCCGAAAATCTGGCGTTTCATTGTCACCAGCTGAGAATCTCACAAACTTTCTTTCGTTCCACAAATAGAATACTAGATATCGTTTATCTTCCAGCAACTCGTGGACAACGCTTGACGGCCTGATGCCGGGTTCAATAGTTTCGAATGGAATTTCGCTTTCTTCCTCAAATGCGTAATCAGGGTCCAGAAAGTTTGAGCCAGAATCCTCGTCGGAATTCGCAGTAATAGATGCAGAAACCCAAGATTGTTCCACAGAGTCATTAAATTCCTCACCAGTGTGTTCTTCATTCTGGAGAGGGGTCTGATTGTCGGAAGAGGTACTATAATATGACGATGGACTATAATGTGACAATGGATTATAGTGTAGCGAGGGACTGTGGTGTGGTGATTGACTATGGTGTGGTGATAGACTGTGGTGTGGTGATTGACTATGGTGTGGTGATAGACTGTGGTGTGGTGATTGACTGTGGTGTGGTGTTTGACCGTGGTGTGGTGATAGACGGTGGTGTGGCGAGGGACGGTGGTGTGGCGAGGGACTGTGGTGTGGAGGACTGTCACTCGAAACCTCTTGGCTATCGCTAAGGTCTCCAAAAAATGACACAAAGATATCTCTTTGAATGGCAAGAGAATTTGGATATGCCCGCCGCACCGAACCCCGGTGCATTAGTATCCCGAGAAAAAGAAACTCTCTGTATTTATTATAGTCCTCAATTGATGGACGACTGCAACGCGACTTCTTAGGGAGTTCACTAAGATTTGTGGTGAATCTTGCACTCTCGTGTGAGGCTCTAGTGACCCCAATTGTTGGTAAGGTATTCCCAACGTAATGCGCCATTTCTGTTCTTCTCTGAGTATCCACCACATATCGATCAGTTGGTTGAAGCTGGACCAGAAACTCAGAAGCAACATCCTGATATGGAATTTCTCCCCCAACCGATTGTATCTGTGAAATTTTGCTGTTAGAAAATCCTAGGCGAGTTGCTATCTCCGCCAGTTTATACATCCTCTCCGATGCGAACCCTTGCCGTTCGGCCGTACGTTTTCTGCCATTTCGATATGGTGCAAGCGATGTTAATGTGGGGAAATCACGCATGACTGCGAGAAATAACTGCTGGTAGCCAAGCTTTGGGTTCAAGTTTGAGCTTCCCGGAGAGTACACGAAATCGCAGTCCCCGACTTGCAATCGGCACATTCCCGGTCGCTGATTAAGCCCTGAGTAGCTGCGCATAAACTCATCTGCCATTGAACGTTTTGGTGGCATAGGAAGTAGTTGCTTGAGAGCCATAGCACATGCCTCAAAATAGAAGAAATCTCTCGTGAATGTATATAAGGAAAGAATTTTCCCTTGGGTTTGAAGGATATTCTCTAAGACTACTATTCGAGATTCTTCTGAAGGAAGACGAGGAAAGATTTTCTTTTGCTCCATCATCTCTTCAATCCTCTCACGATCGTGGTCCGAAATCGATGGCATACATGTCTCGAGTAGGGAGACAGTGTCCGGGTCAAGAAATGAACCAGAATAACCACTCAATATGGTGTTCCACTTTGAATACATGAGATTTAGGTACTCAATAATTTCCTGGATACCGTTAGCCCGAGTTAAGAGCCTGGAGAGTAGAGATTCGTACCTCCTGACATCGAATTGATAACCACCTTCCCAGGTACGAAATTTTGAGAAACTTCCATAAGCCTCTAAAAACTAGAAGCTTATCGAGTGCCCTTCGTACGTGCCTAGAGTCCTTTTCTAGGCGATTCATTTCACGTTGGGCAGACTTGCTAAGTCTTCCGCGCCACTTGAGCTCCGCATCCACATCTCCAAGTTCCTGGTACATGCGGATATTCTGGTAGATGTCACCATCACAGAACGGCTGAGCGTTTGGGTGCTCTTCACGAATAATAACCTGGAACTCCTGAGGAAGACCTACTTCATGAGAGAAGAATAGCGAAAAGATGAATGCAATACCTACTTTCGGAATAGAGATCTGCTATCCACCATTTATCCCAGAGAAATCTGTCGGCGGCGAGTACACGGTGTTTTCCATGAAGAACGGTAAGCTTAATATCATCTGGAAGGTCGAGAGTTTGAATCTCGCTATCATCCCGGTTAGGGAGAATGTTGTCGCAAACTAGAACTTTGATAAAGTTATCCGGATTGAGGCCAATGCAGCCTTCGGACTGAAATTTCTCCACGAGAACCTGGATGTGTTCCTCTCTGGTCGTGCGGGCGCTGACGCCAGTAACATCTAGATTGTTTAACCTAACCTTGGCCCTCCCTCTGTAGAACCTCCGGGAGGCTGTCCAGTTGTCCGAGCTAGGCATGAAGTTGGGCAGTGCGAATTTTTGCAGTCAGTAATATTCATAAGTAATAATGTTACTTGGGAATAATATTGTCCTGGGTATAATATTAAGAACTTGAATATTGGAACACAGAAATATTTTGCCTCGCTGAAGATTAAAGGAGAGGAATGTTGTCGAGTGAGAAGATTTCTCGCATTAAATGTTTTGAATGTGTATTTTTGAACCAGAGTGAACTTTATTGGCACTAAAAATTATCCCAGGTCAATATTCTTGATTCCACAAAATTAAGTCCATAAAAAATTATAGCACTAAAACTTTTTACCTACCAGAATGTTTAGCCGAAAGAAAAATATGGGTCTCCAAATATTTTGCCCAACCAATATTCTATGGCTCAAATGTTCCCTATTCCCCTTTGCTCCCAAACGCACGCAGTAGCGTCGAGTGGGGCGAGCGTGGGCGTCTCGCCCTCTCCCAAAAGACGTGAACGGATTGCGCATTTTGCATAACAGGCCCTTTAAAATCTAGAGAATATGTAACCTGGGGTCTCGGATTTTTAAACATGCCACGAAAAGTACGTTCTAAGATCGCCAGAAAGGCCGGTCTGTTCGGCGTGCATATTACGATCGTTCGTCATTCCGGGCGCACGGCCCGCTTCATCCACTCCATCTGGCCGTCTCACAATTGACCGGTAAGCTTGATCGTAATATTACTGCAGTTCTAGAGTATTAATTCATTCAGTACGAAATAATCCCTATCCAAGAAAAGTTTGAGGAGGAATGTAAGATTCGCGAGGCTAAAATTGAGTCGCGATGGCCCAGAAACAATAGTCTCTATAGGGAATCTGTTTTAGAATTTTACTGTACATAGCTTGTGGTCCTGCGTAGCGCTTGACATATACGTAGCGTAGAATTCTGCGATTGCTCGTCGAAGCACGCTTATTTCAGCCTGCGGCTATCTCCGCCCAGCAACCTAACAGGTTCATCTTGTAGTATACATAGCATCTACGCATGTTCCAGTTGCTTCACGAGTAAGATATTCTTCGTTCACCAGCATGCTATAGTCACGCCCTAAGTGCCCTTCCTGGCCTATCTGCCAGCACGCCTACCAGCATTTGCTCCAGTCACTCCGTCTGTTTACAGTACCAGTCTGCCTGACTGCAATCGTTCCTTTCCATTTTCAATGTGGAATTCCACCAAGCGGTTATCAGGTACAAGTAGGAAAACATTAGGGGTGCTGTTAAGCGCTTCGTAGGAGACCTCAGAAGGCCGACAAATAACCAATACATAATGCGAAAAAAGAAGTCGAAAAATGAAAGGTGCTATATATAGACACATCTCCTTATAAGTAGTAAAAATTCCGGCAATGGAACCTGTCTTCTTACTGATACAGCCATAATGAATTCTCATTATATTGAAGAATACGAAGCCGCAACCCCTTTGATTGCCTCTATTCTATGGGGCGACAAGACTGAGAGAAATGAAGTTATCAAGCAAGTCGAGGCTTTGAACAACCAGATCTCCGCGAAAAATACTCTTCTAAATCTTTCAATCGATGAGGGGCTAATCATTACTCCAGCCTTCTCGATAGCCGCAGATATCATAGAGGAAGCCTCGCTGCAATATCTGGAATCTCGAGACACTGTTCAATTTTATGAAGTCGAAAAATATCTCAACAGCACAATAGATGCATATCAGTTTCCTTCTACATGGAAGATTGATTGGAATCAGTTCCTTGACTACCACTTTGCCTATACTGGGGATCGAGGAGAGGAAATGATAGGGGCTTCCACAGATGAAAAGGACCCTGGGAAAATTCTACTACCCCCACCCTCACAGAATAGGGTAAACACCAAGGATAAGGGTTTTGCTGGAGGGACCTTCTCCGAAAAGTCCTCTGATGTGAAGCCCTTCGACGGGAAGCTATCAAGCAAGAAGCCCGCTGAAGACGAGTCCTTAGGAGAGTCGTCTGAGAAAAAGTCGTCTAGGGAAGAGCTATCTGAGCCCGAGAAAGAAGCGTCCGAGAAAGAAGCGTCTGAGGAAGAGTCATCCGAGGAAGAGTCATCTGATGAAGAGTCCGAGGAAGAAGAGACCGAGGAAGAGTCATCCGAGGAAGAGTCATCTGATGAAGAGTCCGAGGAAGAAGAGACCGAGGAAGAGTCATCCGAGGAAGAGTCATCTGATGAAGAGTCCGAGGAAGAGTCATCTGAGGAAGAGTCCGAGGAAGAAGAGACCGAGGAGAAGTATTCTGAGGAGGAAGAGTCCGAGTATGAAGCGTCCGAGGAGAAGTATTCTGAGGAGGAAGAGTCCGAGTATGAAGCGTCCGAGGAGTCGTCTGAGGAGGAGGAATCTGAGTATGAAGCGTCCGAGGAGTCGTCTGAGGAGGAGGAATCTGAGAAAGAGTTCGACGAAGAGTCTGATGAGGAGCCCTACTTTGACGAAGGTGTTAAAATTAACAAGGAATCGATATCCGGCCAAGATTCTTTACCAGACAAAGATTCACTCGTTTCCGATAGAGCCGGAGTGTCTTTCACTAAAAGCGTTGATCCCGCTACAAGTCTCAGTTCTTGGAAGAAAAGTGTCTCTCTAAGCTCTATTCGTCAGAATGCCCAGCAGGAATTTGGCTTTTTCCTGGCCGAAGGGTTTGTCCTGGGAAGGCTTGCCTCACCGTTTGATAACATGGTCATCGTTGGTTTTACATGCCAAAACTCCCAAACTGCTCGTTTACGACCAAGGGAGAAATATGACGATCAACTTAAAGCATCCTCCGGGGAAGAGGTATCTTATCGCGGGAAATCTAAGATAAAAGGTATTGGACTAGTGGCTTGGGAAGCTGAGAACTGGGGTGACTCTGTCGCGGTTATTTTTCCAGTAGAAGGTGCAGATTATCCGCTCACCTTCCTATGGGTACACTGGGAGAATGGGGAATGGACATGGGAGTCACGGGACTTTTTTAGGACTTTCTTGAAGGATTTGTCTTCATTTGAAGTCGATGTTCTCATCTATCACATTGCTACTTCACAGGAGGCTTCTTATCAGGAGAAGATGAAAGGAAGGCGACCCAATTTTCCTGTTCCTCAATAGTATATAAAGTCAATTAAGGCTAGTCTCAAGGGGGTTTCCGGTGCACTAAATTGTTATGCGCAGTAGTACTGGCTAGGCGCGGTGAAACTGGGTTCCCTGGGTGATACTTGCCTCAAGTATGCGTGCCTTCAAGCTGGTCCGCAATCGTACCGTTGCGTACGACGCCTTATACGGGCTCGGGTCTTATAGGGTGCTTGCAAAGGTGCGCCAGTCGAAGTGCGCCAAGTAGGTCAGTCCGGAAAGCTCCCCTACTTATAGGATGTTTGGCTTGGTCGACATGTGAAGATAAGAGTCAAAGGTGTATCTAAGTAATAATGTTTGATTGATCGCGAAGAACTAAATACGAGTGTATGATTTGTCGTCATTGTCTCTTAGAGGCAGAGCCTTTCCGTCATCTGGTGGTCTATTTTCGGCCTGTTCCATTTTCGGCCCGTTCCATTTTTGACTTCGTTATCTTTGGAGTAGGACTAAGATACAAATAGCCCTGTTCGTCTAGCGAACAGCAACGCGATCACATTCATCGGCCAATATGGGAAAAGGCAGCAAGAGGGGCAAGAAGCCCAACAGTCGCAGAAACCAGCCTCCAAGCGCGCGAGATATTCAAGCTCCTGTCACAGACAGAGAGAATACAACTGAGCAGGAGGGAAACCTGACTCGTGAAGAATCAGCCGGGGAAGAATTTGCCTCAAATGCCGGAGATTCTCAGGGGTCGGACTCAGAGACTGGCAGCGAGGGGGGACAAAGAAGGCCCACCAGCTGAGGACAAAACAAACTCCGTCAAAAAGTGGGTGAAAGAGGTAATTCGTGACGAAACAATTGGCTATAAAGCTAGGTCAATTGAAGAATTCTTCAATTCCGAAGAAGTTGACGCCAGTGCTTGCAAGCCATTTTTCGAGAGACTCAACCAAAGAATCCGAGCTGCAAATCACGAACACTAAGTAGCCGACCTTGATGAAGGAACTATTCCATCTGAAGCATATGACCCAATTGCAGATTCCTGTAGAAGGGCGTCCTGGTAAATAAAAACAACCCAGAAGAGGCATGGGATGCTTTTCATCGGACTCGCGACCTACTCAAGCAGGTCAATCGACGACACCACCTACCCAGGCAATGGAACTTTCACCACTCTTGGTGCGAAAGGCTATGTGGACCTGATCCGATAATCCGTGAACCTTCAGAGGAGGAAAGGGAAATATCGGAGGACGAAACCCAAGCTGTGTATAATGCGAGATGAGAGCAGAAATCTACCGATGAGTTTTCGAGGTCGGATGATCCTGAGATCCCAATCGAAAACCGACCAACAGGTCTAGATTCATTAGAATCCAGGGAAATAAAGGAGCAACGTCGGCACAATGGGGGGAAGGTTCTCTACTGGTGGCCTAAAGGTACTGGCTCGCAAACATTTGTCCGCTACGGAGATCGCTCTGCCCCGATTTACCGAATTAGAGCTGGATCCCACGAAATATATGACCAAAAGCGTTGAAAAGGTTCTTACGACAAAGACTCGTGGTAATCAAAAGGTCGAAATCATGAAGAATGGAATCCTATGCGAGGAGTGGCGGTTTAGTCGACAGCATGTGGAAGATATTCGCGGCATTGGTTGGAAGGTTGAAGACGATGACGAAGTAGGCATCGACCCCTTGTCATTTATTCAACCGGTGCCTCATTCCGTGTATTCACAAACACAAGCCTTGGTTAAATGGAAAATGGCATCGTCACCTTGGAGGGCAGGCAATTCATCAGACGTATCACGAACGGTTCCTCTCTTCAAGGAGACCAGGTAATCTACCAAAAAGCAAAGGACCTCGAAACTGCCTATCGCCTCAGGCATGGCTGGGACTAGTCTGATAGTGAGGTCGACCCTGACGATGAGAGATCGCCTAAGTATTATAGAAATGCGAAGCGTCGGACTGGAATTGAAACCGATACTGAGACTGATAGCGATGGCTCCTCACTGCACTATCCTAATCGGCGACAAAAGCGAGTGCCTACTTTAGCTCGTCATCGTGGAAGAACTCGAGCTCATTTTGAGGACGACGTGGATACGCAGAGCGATGAATCGGGATCGGGCCACGTGAAGAGGATCAGTGTTAGGTCAAGAAGATTAATCCCCGCGAGGTCCAAGAAAAGGCAATTCGAAAGACGAAACGATCCGCACTCTTGGAAGAAAAATTGCAACAGCTTAAGATGGACAAACGTAGGGGGCGTTAGCGCACTTGAGGTAGAGGGGTTCATGTTGTCTTGCTATTGACGTGTCGAGTACTTAGACGAGCAGGTCTCGCTCTCAGAATGTGTTTGCACTTTTTGCTTTTTCATACTTGACATCTCCATTTCAAACATTTTTAGATACACTGTAAATTACGCATGATCTCACAAAGGATCCCCAGAAGACAACAGGCTCGTTTATGTCACGGTCCAAGCGGGCGAACTAGTGTCGGGGAAGTCCTTCCGAGCGGCAGCGTTCCGGAATTTAGCCTTACCCGAAAACTTTACATACCAACGGCGGCTACAAACCCGGCGTTATTGGTCAGCAAACAGCTACTCCCACCAATTTAACTCAGAATGTAATGTGTTGCTTTATCGATGTTACGTTGAAAAGTTCCCGCATCTGCGAGGTCTACCTTTACGGTAATCACATTATCCTCTTTTCCTTCTACTGGCCGATCGATTTCCCAGCGACCTCTATATGTTGATCGTGCCAGGATCAGCTCAGAGGTCGCATTCACCAGTGTTTCCAACGCCCTTACCCCTCAGTGACAGCCAGCAGCTGACCGATCCTGCGCTTGTAAGAGGAGCAGACAAGGGCCAATCGATCGGAGGCCCGGGGCTAAGTGGGGCTGGAACACTACTGGGCTAGAACACCCCATATCAAAAACCACTAAGGCAACCCTGGCACCAGCTCTCCTACATTTCATACCTTCAGTTATCTTAGAAACAGAGACCTTGAAAGTTCCCGTCTCCCTCGCCATAGCTTTATGTGACTGAAGGTGGTAGGTAGAAATGTTGACACTTTTGCATCTCTTTCATCAAGAAATTGTCTGTACGAAGTTTCCCACAGGTCGGTATGAAGAAATGGGGGAATTGCCGCTTGCTCTTTCCTTACGTTTTCTCAGCGATGTTTCAAAGGCCAGACTCAGAAGATTATCTTCTAAGATGGGCCACACTACTTTACCGGGGTGCATGGTATTACGTTCAAAAGGAATATCGTAGATGGGACATGGCATCGAGATCAAAAAAGAGTGAACTTACTAGATGCCGAGAAAGTAGAAGTCTTTGCGAGTACTGCGATGTTAGCAGATGCAAACTCACTAGGCGGCCGCGAGGAAGAGGCGGAGCAACTTTAGGAGCAGGTCCATGGAGACGAGAAAGACGAAGTTCAGCGCGGACTATTCCTTCAAGCTGACTAGTATGGCCAACCTAGTATCCGCGCTCTGAAGCCAGATACTTCCACTTCTTGATCTGAGCACATTTTTCAACCTGCAACTTTTATTAGCTAGTAAGGCAAATACCTAGTGATCTGTCCAGCCAAATGCTCGCGCTAGGGGAAGCTAGATCTCCGCGGACGAGCTTATTGTTGACCACAGAGCCCTTATATATTAGACAAGAGCACAAGCGCATAGTTAAAATCGCGAAACAATTTGATGTGGTACTCTTTCTGGATGAAGTGGGTGCATCCATTTGCGGGATCTTGAATATTATGAAGGCAATACGATCTTCACCTCCTGTCTGCAGCCCAACGCAGCCCGATATTCCCTATGACCGGACGTCGACACAAGGTTAATATCATCTCAAGCAGGTAGGGTGTTCATTATACCAACAAACCAGTTCAGTATACGGAGTGCGAGTTGCAGGAACGCATAAATATTATGCATAATGTGATAACTTAGCCAAGACTGTAAACATACTTCTTCTCATCCCGTGATCCGATGGAACGGACATCAACGAAGTCGACTAACATGGTGGTGTGTAGGGCAAACTTTCGCTTATGTGCAGGTAACTGTTAAGCTAGACAAGAGTATTTGCCTGCCCTCCTAGCACCGACGCATTGCGCACACCGGATATTGGCTTTAGGAACTGGCGGCCTTTCAACCATTTCACGTCCTCTAAATCAATGACCACTAACTGGCCGCTGAGGTCATCCCACAACATATTGCGCCACTCACTATCATTGTGGACGACTCCGTGCGATCGGAGCACAGCCAGAGCTTTGTCGCGCTCTTCGCGAAGAAAGATGGAATTCAGATCATTAACAGTATGCTGAAGCCGCATTCCAGACCAGCTCAGGATCATCATCCGGGCCATTAACTTCCCGTGGTACCAATATGCAATGCGAGGCTTAAACTCTCCAAGATAGACGGGGATTTGCCGACCCTGTAAGCTCCTGAGGCGCTGGTAATTTTTCACTTCAACTTGAAGGCGACGCTGCTTTTCCACTGTTGTTGCTTTAATAATCACAGTATATCCGTGTGATAGGAGAGTGGCTTTTATGAGGTATCCTGTCCGACCACGGATATGCAGCTGCTCGAACCCAAGATTTCGATCTTGGGCAAGTTGATCATGAAGCTGGCGTGTGAACTCCCGTGGCCCTATAGAGTGACCTTGGGGACCGTGAAATTTCCAGTTAGGGCATTTCTTATCCAGAGGATCTCCGTTGACTATCCCGCGGATACAGGCAATAGTGCAGTATGGTCGTGTAGATTGCCTGTCTCTTCGAGAATTCTGTTTGTTGTCCCGGCCGGCTTTTGTCCTTTTGCTTGCCCTAGTTGATTGATGTATATTGCTCTGGCTGCGGCTCGATCGGCTGCGTGATACTGCTGCGATAGATGGTGAGGGCGATTCCTCCTCACTACTGCTGCCTTCCGTCAACGAGGGCTTCCGTGTAGAGGTGCTAGGTTGACAACGGGCACGAGAGCGTGTGTTGTGTATTTTCAAATCTTGTTTCCAGTGCGAGGGCCGATAGTTTGAGGCCGGTGGGTCTTTACGGAGAGTTTCAGGAATTTCTCTCAACACATCCAGATATTCGACCTCCCAGGTCGACAGATTATTGTGTGCCATGTCGTGCCACTCTTGAGACGGACCTTCAGCAACTAGTGCTTGAAGGGTGAATGCAAGCACCTGTCCAATAGCAGTCCTGTGGAGACGCCATTTATCGTCTGCCTGCACGTCCTGATTCGGGATAGACAAGAAATATTGAACAATTGTGGGATCATCCTTTGGGATATGGAGGAAAACAAAAGCCTCCCCTGTGCAGATGTAGCCGTATCGAATTCCACTGTCGATCATATATGAGAATATCTGAGTGACCACGGCAGCAACGAGTCGGGTGGTATAAAATTCAAATGTGTCACCATCCTTATTAATGACGTCGCGAGCTAGGTCCATCTGGTGTAGACCCGCTACCAATTCAGGGATTGTCAACTTGTGCGGTGCTTTGAACTCCACTGCATACACTGGTATATATTGGTCATTAGTTATAAGGTGCACACAGAACTGGTCGGCGCGGCGATTGCGTCTTCGTGCAGTGCTAGTGCCCTTCTGTCTCCTTCTTCCTCTGCCACTTCCATACCTAGTGTTCACTGGTTGTTGGGGTGTCCGCACGTCCTGGAGATTCATTTGCTCTATGCTGTTCTCCTGTGAAGTTGTCGACGGGTTCACACGGTCATAGAAAGCGACTTGGCCCCGGATTCCGAACTCGTGACGAAGATGTCCATTATCTCGCAACGCCTCAATAACCGTTTCGACAAAATAATCCACTGTGTCTCGCTCAAAATTTCGAAGGGACGCTTCCGAATAAATCGGCCTGTTCTGGATTCTCTGAACGAAAACATCTATTTGAGTATCAGATAGGAAAAGGGGGCGCGAGGTAAAGGCGGCTATGCGATCGAACTTTTGCCAGATTTGCTCTTGGAATTGTGGGAAGTCAAGCCAGGGGACAATGCGTTTTGGGTAAAGCCGGTTGACTGGGTCGGTCGCGTCGCCCTGGGTCGTGAGGGCCGCATTAGACTCAACGCGTATCGCTTGAGACAAAGAACGATGGCAGCGATCGAGAAGGCTGTATAATGTGTTGGGCTGCAGTCGCTGTTCGGCTTCCACTCGCGCTTTGGTCTCTGCTTCACGCGCCTGCCTCTCTTCGTCGAGCTGACGTCGTAGTTGAGCGATTGTTTCCTCCATTGCTCTTCAAAATTTAGCACATAATCGAGCGACAAAAAACTTCAGTCAGCACCGCAGGGGATCTGCCATGGGGAACGGACTGTCAGGGCGAAGGGTTGAAGGGAGAAGAATGTGACTCGTAACGTAGTTATTTGCTTACTGCTTACTCATCCGTTAACGTAATTCACAAGCGAGTCGATCACACAACCGAGTCGATCAGCCAACTACAGTCATAATTTTGATTTGCATATATTACCACCACAGCGCAATTAAATTAATAGCTACTGCTTCGGACATCTATTTATCTCATGCCCTATCACTCCACATCCACTGCATCTTGGTGGAGCCCGAGTTCGTTGCGTACTGGCCTGATTTGCGATCTCCACGGAGGTTGTAGCTTCGGCTTCAGCTGGCTGTTGGCTGGCCTGTATCAACGCACGCGCCTCTGTAGCACCTAATGCTGTATCATGAGATATTTGGCGAGTGGATCTTGATTGCTTTTGCTTATTCTTTGTATTTGCAGCACGTAGGCCCCGGTTTTCTTCGGCTAAAAGCACTGCGCTATGCATAGCCATATGGCAGCCCTTAATCAGTTGATCAATGGCCGCTTTGGTGGGCGTAGGAAGGCTTTGAGATCGATATTTAAGTAGTGCCTTAACCGAAGATGCCTGCCGATGTAGCTGCTTAGAGTTGTGTGGTGTTATAGGCATAAAATCGGCTGAACTGTTGCTTCCACGGCTTCGGGGTGGTGTTGGAGCTTTTAGCCGAATATTGATCTTCGAAAGGACTTGAGTACGATCAAATGGCATAATCCTGTTGCTTTGAAGCCACTTTGTATAGTGGTATCTTTAAATGCTCGTAGACGGGCCTCAGGATATGCCGAAAGGAAGTCAAGCTTGTCGATATGGTTGATGCCATTCCGAGTTAGGCTTTCGACAAGCTCACCATATGCACGCTTTAGGGGGGCAAAGCAAGCCACGTCAAGTGGCTGGAGTAAATGCGTAGAATGCGCTGGCATGTAAATTGGTATAATATCATGTTCCGTGCAGATTTGATCGAATTGAGCCGTTAAATGACTGCCGTGTCCATCAAGGACTAGTAGTCGATATTTGCCCTTCGAGCGGCCTTTAGTGTATGGAATAAAGTGATTCTTAAGCCAGTTAAGGCCAATATCGTCAGTAGTCCATCCATTTGCGCTTTTGTCGATTTTCCAGCCATCCGGAAGGTCATCAAACCACGATTCGATGAAGACTTTGCCCTTAAAGATGATATACGGTGGAAGGTGCCAACCAGCGGCGTTGATTGATTCCACAGCAGTCACCCACTCACGATTCCCAGGTTGTAGCATCGATCGTTTCCCATAATATTCGGCACGAGTGATCACTTTAGCGGTCGCAGTTAGGCCCATTGCGAAGCCAGTCTCATCAAAATTGAAGATATCCTCGTTGGCGATGCCGTACTTGGCTATAACTCGCTGTACAGAGTCGAACCACTCGCCAATGACATCTGGGTCTTCGCATTGTGCCCTTTGGTAGTCGTATCGACGACTAAAGCGACTCGCGATCGTGTCTGCATGACGTTTAATGAAGTTTGGGACCCAATTAATGCCAACGGTCGGAGGACGTGTAGGTCCACGGCTTGCGAGTAGTAAGTTGGCCATATCTTTAGCCAGGCTTGGCCGGGGAGGATTTCCACGTAGATCCATAGATAGTATCCATTCAATAAGCGATTCTTCTTCGAACTGGTCAATTTACGACCATTTGCGCGTGATTCTTGTCGGTATTGCTGACCGCGAAGCCGGCTATATAACGTGCCAAAGGGCACATCAAAACGGCGCGTAGCTTCACGAATAGAAGAGACTTCATGGTTTTTGATGGCTTTAAGAGCTAAGAGGATCCTACCTTCCTGCTCGACACGTTTTTGGGCATTTTGAGAGCGAATTGGTGGCATAGTGGGTGGTGGAAGGTAGTGGAAGATTAAATAGGGGACGCGACCGCGTTGGCTGATCGACTCGCTTGTGTGATCGACTCGCTTGTGGATTACGTTAGTAATCATTGAATGACGTAATCAATGGGCGAGCCGCCCACCTGACCTGCTACTAAAATTGAAAACAAGATTAAACCACCAAAACGCCGTTGAATTCAAAAACCATCTATTAGTGCAACAGATAATTACATGGCCAATTTTCCGGCAATTACTACAGGTTAGCGATGCGCGCATGGCTGGTGGGGGTGGCAAATTGGGACGTTCTACCGGTGCGGGCTGAAGCTGTTCAATAGCGTCTTCCTTCTCCTGCAACGCAATTATTGTACAGTTGAGAGCCTGAGCAGCCCCCATTACAGCACCATTATGCATTTGATAGCTCAGTTCAGCTTTGGGCGTCAACAGGAACTATAGTTGCGTAATGTTATACTCCTTAGGCCGTCTATCCTCAGCTTATATAAAGGAGCTCTCCTCCCGCTTAGGAACTTAACTGCTTCACTAACCACCTCGATCGTATTTTTCTGTCATTTGTTCGATCTCACCTCTGTTGCTTGTGCCTGCTATGGATCTCCAACCCGCGTGCCAACTGCCCACTGTGGCTGCGCAACGCTCATATGATCCAGCCTCGGTCCTCCCTGATAGCAACAAATTTCTCAACCACCTCGTCAAATTCCGCGATAACAACAATCGCGAATATGTTCGTGTCCAGCTCACTGCAGCTGGTAATGAAGCTCTTCGGGCACTCTCTCATACCCCTATCCAGCGCGAGGTCTGGTCCTGGCCATGTTACGAATTCACGATCCGAGTGACTAACAATGAACCCTGCGTTAAGGTGGCCCAGGTAAATCAGAGTCTAAGGGCCTCGTATGATTATGCTAATTCGCTACTAGATCAAGACGGCTCATCCCTCGTACGTGAACGCACTCCTCACCGCTTCTCGCGGAATCCAGATGCCCAATCCCTGTGAGCATTCCACCAATAGTCTTCCCTTCGGCGGGAACGTACGCCTTCCTGGCACCTTCAATGGCGCATGCGCTAACTGCCAATGGCGCGATAATGCTTCTCAATGCACGCTTGGGAACCGCCACGAGCGTCAGTATATCTCGTTAAATGCTGGCGAAATCCCTGAGCCTTCTCGAGTCGAAACCTTGGTTGACTGAACAAATGTACGACATATTCATGGAGATTTGGTGATGGTGAATGGGTGTGACTTTTTCTTATTGTTAGTTTCTCCTTTTTTGTTTTTGCTTTAGCTGTTTTTCTCCTGAACAGTCACCTAACATCATGGACCACGTAATCTTAAATCGTCGATGAAGCCTCAACAAGTGTTATAGGTACGAGAGAAGTTCGTGTTTGTGGTACTCCTTCGTCCGTCCGTACTGTATCAGCCATCAACTAAAAACGGGGAATCAACATAGGGGAAAAGGGAAAGTGACCTTCGGCCGTTATCACCTTCCCTACCCGGGGTATGTATTGTAGTGGGGAGATCCCCTCCCCTACTACAGGGGTGCCATCCAGACTATGTGACATAGCCGGCAGTATACAGTGGCCGGATAGCTAGTTCTAGAATACACCTTCTTACACCTCCCCGACCTGACCCCTACATTTGGGCTTCTCGCTGTTTCCTGATTGCTACGCGTGTGTTTTGTGGTGGTTTTTCTGCTGAATCGACCCGCACGTCTCAGCGCGTGCAGCCATCGAGCGTTCCCCTCTTCATATGGTGACCGACGCAGGGGGGATTGATTTTCTGGGTGGCTGAACACGCAGATAAACAACACGACGGGCGCAGAGTGTGGAAATCGCGAGAAACGTCGAAAGGAAAGTTGTGTCCAGGGTGGGCGATCGCGTTAACCCTGAAAACCATTCGAATTCCGGCAATTGCTGGTATTAGTGGTACGTATTATTGGTTTTTGAGCATTTGATGCTCATTGGGGCCTTGTATGAGAAGAGGTACCCCTTGGCATTTGTGATTAATCCCCTACATTGTTCTGGGGGGAGAACATTTTCTAGGTCGATATGATTGGCCAGGAATTCAAGATGGGATTCCGGCAGGATGAGTACCAGCAGCTATTGCGAATGCTGCTTGCAGACCGGCTACACAGGAGAACTGACCTTCAGTCAGTACTGTGTATGAGACCGATTGACTTACACAACCTGGCAGAGAAGATCTGGCCAGGCATCTACAACCTCTGGATTTCGGGTGTGAATACAGTTTTCACCCAAGTTGTCGTTCATTTTTTACTTCAGAATTGTGCTTTTGGGCCGAAAATATCGAGGTTTTCGGATTGTTTGTTTCCCCCTGGTCAGCCTGAAGACCAGGGAGAGTTCTGTTTTCCTACTACCGGCATTTCTCGTGCGAGCAAGCCGGAGCAGTCTATGTTTCCTGATTTTGTTTCAATCTCCTCTGTTGATTCTGTTGATCGGAAGGCTGTCACAATGGGTGACAGCACTAATGTTAATGTTGGCGATGGCCAGAGCTATGTCCAGCCCGTCGTCCAGGCCGATGTTCCCTCACCCTTTGAAGGCTACCGAGAGCCTCCTCGCCCAGAGAGCGAAGCGTCTGCCAGCCAGACACAAAGAAACGATGTGCCAGACGCGAGTGAGCAACAGTCGCGACCACTACCACCCTTCCCGTCCTCTGCCTATCAGGCAATGCCACCGCCAGGAGGGATGTGGATACCAAGTGGTATGTTTCAATTGATGATGAACCGCCAGGGCAATGCCCTGATGCCAGATCCTGGTACACCTGGTGCGCCGTTATTTAATAAGAAAGATGCGAGAAAGTTCCTTCGGAACTTTGAGAAGTTATGTGAAAGGCGTGGTATCAGCGACCCTGCTAGGCAGTGTGAGCTGTTTGCCGATTATTGTGAGGACTCTATCCAATCGTGGGTAGAGTATGACCCGCTGTGGAGATCTCGCGATTGGGAAGCGTTTAAGGACATGCTCTGTGATCGATACAGAGATTATGACTCTGAGCGCCAGAGGTTTTCGAGGGCATCATTGATGGAGTTAGTGAATCAACCAAGAGACACCATTGATGAGGTTCGCCAGTTTATGACGGAGTTCAAGACTGTGTCTGATGTGCTAGTGGCCAATGAGGTCATTCAGGAGATCCAGAGATGTGAGTGGTTAATAACCGGGTTGCCTAATTGGCTACGGCATCGAGTTGCAAAAAGGGCATCATCGACTTCGATCGGCCGTCTAGGCCTATGCGGCTAGACTGGATTGCCGATGAGGTGTCCAGCACGATGGCAGCGCAGGATAAGTATGAGAGGGTGATCAAAACGACTGATCGACATAGCAGTCAAGAGGTGACGTCGACAAAGCTGACGTCGACGAAGGAAAGGAAGAGTGTCGCCTGGGAAGGTGGTTTTTCGGCCGAAAAGCCTGCCATTTCTTCAGGGCGTCAAGAGAATAATTTGGAAGAACAGGTGGAAGAGATGCGCCGTCAATACAACGATATGAAGTTAACGGTCAATATGCTACAGTCAGGCATGGCGAAGAAGGATATGAGAAATGATCCTGCTTACGTCCCTGCTGATGCTTCAAGATTGGCCTATCAAGGACAGCGGTCAAGGCCTGCTGATGGCAGAAGCCCTCCGATTTGTTACTTCTGTGGCATTGTTGGCCATATTTCGAAACCGACGTCTTGTCAGGCAATGTCTGACGCGATTAGCAAGGGTGACATGCACGTTGGTAATGATGGCAAATCATACATTGGCCGTGCTGGTGAAGGTGGCCCGACTATGCAGTTTGTCTCAGGAAGGCCTTCTTTGGAAGGACTGCCCGCCCAGCTGCGAGAATGGCGGCGCAGTGCGCTGAGGGCGCCAGCTCAGCAGTTAATGCCGGTGTCACAGCCGACTGCTGATCCTGCTCCGCTGCCTAGGCAGATTCCACATTATGATGGGCAGTCTGTCTATGATAGGTCAGCCTATGATAGGAGTGACATCCAGGTTCCTGGGAACTACATTGGCGTCAGCCTTGGAATTAGCCCTGAGGAAAATCAGGAGATTGATTGCGATGATGAAATCATTGATGCGGGATATGAGAGTGCTGGCATCAATGCTGTTGAAACGCGTGGTAGTCAACAGCAGGATCCTGTACGGGCAAAGCGCCGTGCAAATGGCATCGCTTCCACCAAGACATGGCAAAGTGGTCAATATATGCAGCCTAGTCGACAGGCAAGAGTGGAAAATATTGATAATGATGACGTGATGATGGATCGACCCCCAGACAATCAGACTGAGCCACGCACGCAGCATATACCAGTGCCTGCTACCAGCGGAAGATCAAATGTGACCGTCAACCAGAGAAAATCAGTGCCCGTCAGCCAGGTGAAGAAGACAGCGCCCTATATGACATCGACGGCAGCATTAGAAGCGTTGGTTAAGAGAAGGGTGTTGGACACTAAGGTGGACCTAACAGTTGAGGAAATGGGCAGGATTATTCCGAGGCTCAAGACTAATCTGTTCCGCGACACTGAGGGCCTTCGTCCTGCTATTCCACAACCTACTTCACAATCTGCGAATGTGACGAATGTGACGCAGTTAACGCCATCAGGTTATGGCGGCGACGATCATTTGCAGGTGGCTGTCGGCAATGTTCACCCAAGTACGTACCGTGACGATCGCCGATCGACAGTGGTGGAAGATCGGGTAGAAACACATCGTGATGTGTATTCACTTGGCCTTCTATACTCTGAAGTGATCGTGGCAGGTTATATGCTGCGTGGCATGATTGATTCTGGCAGTGGCGTCGATGTGATGGGCAGAAAGCAAGCAGAGACACTAGGGTTGCCGATCAAACAAGATCCGAAGATTCATGTGGTGCCCGTAAATGGTGTACATGTCAAGTGCGTTGGCTGTATTCAAAACATGCCTGTTTCCATTGGCGACATCACCACTCACGTAAATGTGTTTGTGATCTCGGAATGTCCTGGAGGGTTGATTCTTGGAAGACCATTCATGGAAGCGACGATGATGGCGCTGGCGCAGCAGCCTGACGGGAAGGTTGAGTGCACGGTGTATAATGATGCAAGGACGAGGAAGATTGTTTTTCCTGTCTATTCCCCTGAAGAAAAGAAGATCATTAGGGCCTCGAGGCTGTGGCCTAATGAGATGATTGGTGAGAATGCCCCGTTTGTTGAGGGCCCTTTAAACTCCTGAGCAGGTGTATGAATTCTGGTACGACACCTGCTATTACTAATGTCCAGAGAATTGTAAATTTCGACGATTTGACTAGTTCTGCCGATTCTGTTGATGGTTTTGATTGTTCTGTTGATTGTTTTGACTGTTCTGACCTCGGTGTGTTGACTGATATTCAGGGCGCAAGGGCAGGCATGGGGGTGCCGACACCGCTGTCTGGCCATGTGCCTATGAACCTGATAGATGTGTCAGCCGGAAGTGTGAGTGATTTGGATGATCACTACCTTCCGCCTGAATGGAAGGTTGTGGATGTTGACGGTCTTAGAAATGTTGGGTTTGGCGATATGCGGGGTGTGCATTATCGTTCAACCACGAAGGATGTTGACTCTTTGCCACCGTGTCGTGATCATGGTGATGGGTTTATTCGGCCAAAATCATGGCGTTCTCTTGGTGTTCCGTTGAACACGCTGTATAAGAGAAAGGCAGATAAGGTTTTGCCGATGAATGTGCCATTGAAGGATGGGTCAGTGCCTGAGGGTAGGCCTGATTGGCAGAGGATCTGCTTGGAAAAGTACCACACGCGCTTTCGAGCCCCTGATGTCAGGACTAGGTTTGATAAGTACCTGAAACCTCGAATAGCGGAGTTCGCGCGTGGTGCGAGATTGACGCCAGAGAGAGAAGGTGCTATGATTGTGGGGAAGGATTTGATGCCAGAGGAGAAGGAAATGCTTCGAGAGCTGTTGTTCAAGCGCGAGGGTGCGCTTGCCTGGTCTTGGGAGCATATGGGAAGAGTGCGAGAAGAGGTCTATGGGCCTCAGGTGATTAGGACAGTGGAGCACGAAGCGTGGCAAGAGCCAGGATTCATGGTTCCACGGGCGCTACATAAGACGGTGATCGAGATGCTGGAAGATCGATTGAAGAAGGGCACCTTGGAGCCTTGCCATGGCGCATATCGAAATCCATGGTTCTTGGTGAAAAAGAAGGCTGCGAAGAAGTTCAGATTGGTGATTGCGGCGATGAAATTGAATAGTGTCACTATTCGTGATGCGAATATGCCGCCTAACATTGATGAATTCGCAGAAGATTTCGCAGGGATGCAGCTTTGCTCAGTTGTTGATCTATTTTCAGGATATGATCAGATCACATTGGATGAGCGTTGCCGGGATCTGACAGCAATCATGACGCCACTCGGTCTTCTCCGTGCGACCACTATCCTGCAAGGTGCCGCAAATTCGGTTCCCCAGTGTCAGAGAGTGGTTCAATTCGTGCTTTCAGAGATTTATGGTTCAGTGGTTGAGGCCTATCTTGATGATTTCGGTATCAAGGGGCCAAAGACAGACTATAATGGCGAGATGGCGCTACCAGGCGTTCGGCGCTATGTGCTCGAGCACCTCCAGAATCTTGATCATACTCTGTATCTGCTGGAGTTGGCCGGGATGGTTATTTCGGCCGAAAAATCGCAGTTTGTGATGCAAGGTGTTGCTGTCGTTGGTTGGATATGTGACGCCAGTGGGCGTCGCCCTGATGAAATTAAGGTGGCTAAGTTGGTTGATTGGCCAACGCCAACATGCGTCTCAGAGGTGAGGTCATTCGTTGGCCTCGCTGTTTACTTTCGCGTTGTGATCGCTGGTTTCGCTATGATCATAGCCCCGCTTTATAAACTGATGAAGTCGGGTGCCCATTTCCAATGGGGCAAGGAGCAGCAGCAGTCATTTGATGAGACGAAGCGGATATTGTCGACATTTCCGGTTGTCCTGCCAATTGATTATGAATACGACCCACTAGTCATAGTGGTGGCAGTTGATTCATCAGCCAGTGGATGGGGAAGTGTGATGATGCAAGTGCGGAGTGCTGTTAGGAAGCCAGCACGTTATGAATCAGGCATGTGGTCTGAAACTGAAAGATTTTATGACGCGGGGAAGCGAGAGTGCCGAGGTGTTCTGAAGGCGTTGAAGAAGTTCAGACATTGGCTGTATGGTGTCCATTTCACTCTCGAGATTGATGCGAAGACGTTGGTGGCGCAGTTGAACAGGTCAGCAACGGACCTGCCTGGCGCATTGGTGACTAGCTGGATTGCTTGGATTCGCCTGTTTGATTTCGATGTCCATCATGTTCCTGGCCGGAAACACGGCGCTGCTGATGCTCTTTCAAGACGGCCATATTCTGCTGAGGAGATTGCCGAACAAAAGAACGAAGAGGATGTTGATGAATTTATTTTGGCCGAAATAAGCACCCTCAGGGTGATGATGAATCCAGTGGAGACGTCTATCGGTGGACAATTAATGGACAGTGTTGAGGATGATGTGGGGAACGTTGATGTTCATGTTGGTGAGAAAATGAGGATGAGAATGTTGGATGATTCATATTCAGATGAATCAGAAAAGATTGCGCAGTGGTGCGTTTCGATCAGGAGGCCTAGTGGCATGTCCCCTCGCCAATACAACCACTTCAAGAAGCACGCCAGCAATTTCGTGGTTCAGGGAGAGCACCTTTTCTATAGGGGGAAGGGCCTGAATATGCCACTGCGTCGTGTTCTAGATGGTGAAGATGATCGAAAGCGTGTCGTATCTGAAGCACATGATGGAATGGGGCATAAAGGTCGTGAGGCGACATATGCACTGTTGAAGATTCGATACTGGTGGGAGGGGATGTACACCCAGGTCGCTGAATACGTCCGAGGATGCCCAAATTGCCAGTTTCGGAACCCCATTCGCGTGGAAGAACCGCTACTTCCAAATCGAGTGCAGAATGTGTGGGACCAGGTGTTCATTGACACTGCAGCATTGCCTGACGAAGATGGTTACAGATGCATGGTTCAGGCAAGAGAGGCGTTAAGTGGATGGGTGGAGGCGAAGCCGCTGAAAGGGAAAGCGACCGGCAAGGCAGTTTGTGATTTCATATGGCAGGACATCATTTGCCGCTATGGATGGCCACTTCGTATCGTGATGGATAAGGGCCCTGAGTTTCGTTCGGAAGTGCAGCTTTTTCTGCAGGCTAAGGGCATCAAGAGAGTGGCAATTGCACCCTATAATGCCGGTTCGAATGGTGCCATTGAGCGCAGCATGCGAACATTTAAGGATGCCATCTCGAAGATGACACATGGCTATTCAGCAGAAAATGCTGCTGGAACCACAACAGCTTCCCAGCGTTCACGATCAGTTCGCATTCCCCCACCTTCCTGGCGAGCATGTTTCTATGCTGCGCTATTAGCTGATCGTATGACAGTGTGTGCCACTACTGGTATGACACCATTTCGATTTCTATTTGGAAGGGATGCCATTCTGCCACTTGAGGCAGAAGTGCCTACATGGTCTACATTACCATGGGAGACGATCACAACACGGGAAGATTTGATTAGTCTCCGAGGACGCCAGATCTTACAGCGAGATGCCGATGTGGAAGAGGCCATTCACCGATATGAGAGGATGCGAGAGAACAATAAGGCCTATTTTGATAGCCAGAAAAGTGTCCGATCTTCACCTTTGGAGGTCGGAAACCTGGTGCTCTTACACGACACGCAAATGAAGGAGAATATGACAGCCGTGCAGAAGCTGCGTTATCGGTGGCATGGGCCTTACCGCATACGTGAAGTGCTAGGCAATGGCGCCTATGCATTAGAAGAATTAGATGGAACGCCAATGTTCCATGGATTCTCGGCTGGAGATGGAATGCGACATCGTGCCGTTAATGGCGATCGTTTGAAAAGATTCTGGCTACATCGTGATGCTGGCGTTCGAGAACAGTCATTTCCGCCAGTGACAGTTGAGATGGACAATAGAGGTCTAGATCTCAGCCGACAGCGGCATGCCGATGCTAGCGTTGAAGATGACGTCTCTGGGGACGATGTGAATGATGGAGATTAGCCACACTCGTGGGTGTGCTGGTTGAGGTTGCTAGTGTTGCTAGTGTTCTTTCTTTTCCATTGTCTTGTCTATTTCTGTTGATTTGATGTTTGATGCGATGTTGTTTGGTTTTTCTTTGATGTTTGATATTGCATTTTCTTTGATTTTCAATCTTGGCCGTCCTCGGCCAAGTTCTTGGGTGTGCTGGGGTGTGTCTCTCAGCCACCCTCGGAGGCCTTTGATTCTTTCGTGATTTGCTATTTTGATCGGTTTTCTTTTATGTCTTTCGTTTCGTTGATGCTTTCTTTTCTTTGATTTTCTTCATGTTTTCAGCACTGCCGTGGCAAGTGTTGACTGCCGTGGCAGCTTCTTTGGTGGTTCAACACCTCAAATTATTTCGGCCGAAAAGCGAGTTTAGGGAGTACACTCCTATTTTCATCTTCTCGAGGGTGGACACCCTATCCCGCCTCCACACCTTACAAGGCCCTGCTTTCCTGGTGGTGACCTGCCCACTGATTCTGATTCTGATTCCGAATCTGCTTCTAGTTCTGATGTTAGTCTTTGACGACGACGGCTAGAGAAGCTGATTTCGATGTCGACATTAATCACAAGGATGTCGATGTGGTCATATTGACTCAGAGACGTGGATCTATCTTGATGTGCTATTTGATGGTTGGTGATGCTTGATTTTGATGTTTAATTCCTCGACCGATCTCTGATTCGACCATTCCCCTACTGTCATCTTTTGATACTCGCAGTCATTTGCCTTGCCGCCTTGCCATTCTCGATTGCGTTTTTGATTGACAGTTGTACCCGTTGGGCTGGCCGCCCTAGATTCAGAATTGGTCGTCATTTCGGTTTGTGTTTTGGTTTTGGTGTTGATTTTGATTTTTTTATGTCGTCTGGCTGGGGACAGCCAGAGACTTGGGTGTGCTGGTATGTAGTGGGGAGATCCCCTCCCCTACTACAGGGGTGCCATCCAGACTATGTGACATAGCCGGCAGTATACAGTGGCCGGATAGCTAGTTCTAGAATACACCTTCTTACACCTCCCCGACCTGACCCCTACATTTGGGCTTCTCGCTGTTTCCTGATTGCTACGCGTGTGTTTTGTGGTGGTTTTTCTGCTGAATCGACCCGCACGTCTCAGCGCGTGCAGCCATCGAGCGTTCCCCTCTTCAGTATTTAGAGATCATGTGATCTTTCTGCCGCGGCCCGCTTTCCACATCATTTTTCCATGGCTACAACAAAATAGGTTCGCCAATTATCATCACTCCATCCATCGGGCCGTCCATTTCCGCTAGGGGTGCACACGAATAAGGATTTTGGTTATTCGTATTCGTCAATTTTCCTCAACTTATTATTCGTATTCGACTGGCTATTTTCGTGACTTTATTCGTATTCGATTCGTAATTATTCGTAATTTCCGCCAAGACTAACTTACCCTTACTGTAATAGAGACCCACCGCCCATCTAACGATGCTCAACGCGTCGCGTGATTGTTTACACTGCAGATACACGACCATAATTTCGTTTTCTACGCACTTCTTTCCTATCAGTCAACTATCAGGACAAATTTCTCGCGCTACGAATGGACGAGTCCACGGAGTCACAGCGCAAACGGCCATACAGGTCTCAGCGAATCAATTACTGTGCGCTCAATGATGGCATCGACGAGGAGGCTCCACCAGAAGACCGCATTATTGAGATCCCTCCTTCGAAAAGGGCACGCAGTAGCGTTGAACCGATTACTCCTGATGACTCTGCAAGCCAATTAAGCCGGGCTCGAAGTCCACTCGTGGCGATCTGCTCCCAAAATGAACTGACTGCGGAGGCGTTGCCTGACGTGGTCAGTATCTCCAATGAATCTGGCCTTTCTCGAAGAAAGATGCAGAATCAAGCTCTCTGGGCACATTTCGACTGTTCCCCGCTACCGGGAAGGATGTGGTGGCCAAAAAGGGGAAAGGGCCCAATCAACGACCGGGAGGTGCGCTGCAAGCGATGCAATTGGAAAACGACAGATTCTACAAGGGCAACATCAACATCCAATATGATGTTCCATCTCTCTAAACATGGTATTATCCTAAGTGGCCCTGAAAACAGTTCGGAGGACGATAGAAGCAGCATAAAACAGCCGTCAGTTAGCAGCTTCTTCCAGAAGCGGACTGAGGAGCAGAGAGCAAAGGTCCTGGAGCAAAACCTGGTTCGGTGGGTGGTTATAGACGACATGGCATTTGACGCCATAGAATCGCCCCCCTTCCAACAGATCTTCCAGGACTTGGGTGTTTCACTCCCTTTCGCATCTCGCATGACAATGGCTCGTCGAATCGATCGTGATTTCGACAATTGTCGGGAGCAGTTGATTGAAGAGCTAGAGCAGACATGCCAAACGATCTCTCTTTCGCTAGACGCTTGGACGAGCAAGAATTCAAAAGCCATGTTCGGGGTTGTTGGCCACTGGTTGACAGTGGATTTTCAGTACCGAGAGCGGGTTCTTGAATTTACGGAAATCCACGGCATTCATAGCGGAGAGAACATGGCAGAAATTCTTCAGACGCTTCTCACAGAACTTCGAATCGAACACAAGCTCCTCGCGATCACAGCAGACAATGCCACAAGCAATGAGCGCTTGCTATCGGAATTATATCTCAATCTCACCGAGAAATTTCAAGCCATGTACGGAGCCGTGAGTGCTGCAAGAGCCCTACGATTTCAAGGAGTGGATAGTTATATTCGCTGCACTGCGCATGTGCTCAATCTGATTGTCAGCGATATACTCGTCATGTTGCAAGCAGGGGACCACGCGTCGGCGAATGCAGCTTGTGATCTCATGCAGGAAAACAAAGAGATTGGCCCGCAATCACCGTTGGCTCGCCTTCGGATTATGGCGCTTTGGATTGCAAGAACCCCGCAGCGGAAGCAGCAGTGGAAGATCATCTGCCAGAGCAATGGGCTCAAGGACAAGTTCATCGAGTACGATGTGGATACACGGTGGAATTCGACACACCGAATGCTCCGAGACGCCCTGAACGCGAAGCAGCAAATCAAGAAATGGATCCACCATCAGTTAGATTTTCCACCCTTCAGTGCTGAGGATTGGGATCGTCTCCAACAAATTGAGGGCTTCTTAGCCAGGTTTGAGGAGTTCACCCTCACTGTTTCCAAGCGTCAACCGCAAATTACCTTAGCCATCCCCATTTACTATGAACTGCACGATCTGTTGCATGATGCTGCGTCTAGGGAGGGAGAATTCTCGGATCTGCACCTGGAGATTTCTGCTGCTGCTGCTGCGGGCTTGAAAAAGTTCCAAAAATACTACAACCTGATGGATGGACAAGACGCCTATTATGTCGCCCTAGTGCTTGATCCGCGATTTAAAACGCTCTTGCTAGACAGAGATCTAGGCAAGCTCACAGCACCCCAAGTTGTCACGCACATCAAAGAACTACTGCATGATCAATATCCATTGGCAGTCGACTCGTCGGCAAAGCCCTCTAAGGAGCAGCCGAGCCTGAAGAAGAGCATAGAGGCCCGTTTACTTCAGAAGCTGCAACCTAAGAAGAGACATTCATCTGACATTGACCGGTACTTTGAGGATGACGTCGTCACGATAAATGAGTCGATTTCACAGGACAAGAATTGGCTTTTATCGTGGTGGAGAGCACAGAGGAACGAATACCCACAGCTAGCTACTGCTGCACGAGACTATCTGGCCATTCCTGCATCATCAGTGTCGGTGGAGAGACTATTCAACAAGGGACGAGATTTACTGGGTGTCAGGAGAAACACCTTGAGCGCGAAGACTATGCGGCGGTTGATGTTGTTACGAGATATATATCTCTCTGAGGAATATTAATCACACGTGATTTTTACGAATAATTTACGAATAAGACACATTTTATTCGTACGGATATTATATAAGCGACGATGCTTATTCGTATTCGTAAAATTTTACGGTATTCGTACGAATATTCGTAAAGTGATTATTCGTGTGCACCCCTAATTTCCGCAGTATGAACAGCCACGGGTTTTCAAGGCACCGCGTTTTTCGGAAGATGCCTGCGGGTGCCTTGTTGGCGCCAAAAAACCGAGTTCGTGCCAAGTCTGCGGCTGATCGTCACCTGAGTGGGGGCTGGGTTTGGGACCCCATTTTCTGGGAGTTGGAACTTCCACTCTACCGATAACAGCACATTACGTTGACTTCTTCTGACCATGGGATCGATATCATTTGGGAACGGAAATGAGGGCGCTCAGTTTGGCAACCTTTACGGACCAGTCCATATCCAATACGGTATGCATCATGCTGCCCTTTCGGACGAAGTCAAATCCACTGATAAGGCCCAGGCCGACAGGGAACCCAACAGCAGAGTACAGACAGCGGTTGGTCTTCCCCATCATAACCAAAAAGGCTATCGCTGATTATAGTGGCAGGGGTGCTCAGGTCACTTGCTTTCCCACAGATGCTAGATCGAAGAGACAATATCAAGCCATGCCATACCAATACCTGCCAGTGGATTCTGGATTTGGATTCTTTCAAGAACTGGAAGAGCCAGTCTCGCGGCCTACTCTGGATTAAAGGCAAACCCGGTGCGGGCAAATCGACATTAATGGCATTCCTACATAACAAACTCGAGGAATGGCACGACGGGAATCAGGGCATACGGCTCGACTTTTTCTTTAGCGCTCGAGGCACTGAGCTACAACGCACACCCCTCGGAATGCTCCGATCGCTGCTCAACCAAATATTCTACCACGATGAGACCGTGCGCCCTCGGGTCCGCGAAATATACGAGGAACGATGCAGACGGTATGGATATGGTGAAAATAACTGGCAATGGACACAGGTTAGGCTAGAGCAGCTATTGGCAGATACAATCCTGATATCGGCCAAACGGCAGCAAGTTATGATTTTTGTGGACGCTCTCGATGAGGCTGGGGCCGAGTCGGCCCAATATCTGGCAGGATATTTTCATCGGATTCTCGTCCGCGCAGAAGAAATGGAAGCAGCCGTTCAAATCTGTATCTCATGTCGACATTATCCAATCATGGAAGACGTCCGGGCTGCTGAGATACGTGCTGAAGACCATAACTCTGATGATATCGCTATTTATATTAAGGACGCCCTTACTGGCATGGCGGTCGGAGAGAGTCTTAGTCAGGCGAAAAAGGAAGCCTTGGTAGAGCACTTGCTCCACCAAGCCAAGGGGGTGTTCCAATGGATCTATCTCCTAATGCCCCTCATTAAGCGGAGGATTAATGAAAGGGAATCGTTTGACCCTTATTCCTGGCTGTGTGAGGTTCCGGCTGACCTTGAAGAGGTGTATGTGTACATTCTCAACAATGTGATACTAAAAAGGAATCGCGTGCAGTCATTCCTGCTGTTCCAGTGGGTGTGTTTAGCTGAACGACCCCTGACTGTGACGGAAATGCGGTATGCCCTTGCGGCCGAGAATGCCCAGATATCGCCATCCCCCAAAGTATGGGAGAATACTGTCGGTTTTGTCGAAAGCGACGACCATATGAAGCAAAGAATCAATGTTCTTTCTGGTGGACTTGCAGAGCTAGTCTTAAACGCGGATGACGCTGAGACTATACAGGTGGTGCATCAGTCTGTCAACGACTTTTTTCGCACTAAAGGACTTGGGCTTATGTCTTATCAAATTGGTACCATCTCATCAGTCATGGAAAGCGAAAAGATTCTATTTCAATGCCAAGCATATCTCTACCGATCATGCCTGGTTTTTCTAACCACTGTGTCCAATAATGCTTCAACAACAAAAAGTGACATCGTCCAGGATCTCCCATTCCTCGCCTATGCCACCATCAACCTCTTCATCCATGCGGAAAAGGCTGCCAGCTCTCGGTCGGGCGCCTTAAAGAATGAAAAGGACGTTTTGCAGCAAGTGATTGGCCCTTGGGTCCAGATTTACCGTATTCTATATCAGTACAACACCGAATGTCCTACAGACGGCACAACTCTCCTGCACGTGGCTGCAGCTTTTGACCTGATTGATGTCATAGAGTTTGTGTTGGAGAGAAACTATGATGTCGCGATAAAAGACAATAGCGGGAACACGGCTCTCCATCTAGCAGCACGACGGGGCCATACAACAGCAGGCAAAATCCTCCGGGAAAGAGGCGCAGACTGCGACGCAAAAAATGAAGCTGGGATAACACCATTGATTGAGGCGGCTAGTCGTGAGCATCTGAAATTTATCGAGTGGCTCCTGCACGAGGGGGTTATGGTTGGAGTATGTGCTATGAGAGGAGACGCATTGCAGGCCGCTGCCCTGAGAGGATACGCTGAGGTAGTGCGAATACTACTCGATGCTCACGCCGATGTCAATGCCCAGGGTGGTAAATATGGTAATGCCCTACAGGCCGCCGCCTATAGAGGAAGCACTGAGGTAGTGTGGATGCTACTCGACGCCCACGCCGATGTCAATGCCCAGGGTGGTTACTTTGGCAATGCCCTACAGGCCGCGGCCCTTGGAGAAAGCACTAAGGTAGTGCGAATACTGATCGATGCTCACGCCGATGTCAATGCCCAGGGTGGTCAATTTGGCAATGCCCTACAGGCCGCCGCCTATGGAGAAAGCAGTGAGGTAGTACGAATGCTGCTCGATGCTCACGCCGATGTCAATGCCTAGGGTGGTCAATTTGGCAATGCCCTACAGGCCGCCGCCTATAGAGGAAACACTGAGGTAGTGCGAATGCTGCTCGATGCTCACGCCGATGTCAATGCCCAGGGTGGTGAATATGGATCACCGCTCCATGCGGCTCTTCAGATGGGTCATTCTGATCACATTGACATTCTACTTATCGCGGGCGCAGATCCGCTTCTTCCAGATGAGCTCGGCCAGACTTCGCTTCATATTGCGGCCTCAGAAAATATGATGCCCATCCTCCCTAGCTCTCCGCGTCTCGCCTTGGCTATTAACGAGCGGAATAAGCTATTACGAACCCCTCTCCATGTCGCCATCCACCAAGGGAATATAACGTCTGCTGACGCACTCATCGACCTCGGTGCAGATCCTTTTATTCTGGACGGTTATGGGAGAAATGTCGTGGACTGGGTACAAGAAGTACAAGAACACCAAATCCTGATGCACAAAATTCAAAACCATTGCCCTCAGACTCGCTCGACGCCGAACGAGATTCAGCACTCCACTATTCGTCAATCAGTCCTTCTCATGACAGACATGCTTCTTCGTTCCATGCCGAACTTCCAATGGCCTCTTGTGCAGCAATTAGGTCGCTATCTCTTGTTTCTCGATGATGAAGACAACGCGAACTATCTATTTCAGCTTCATTTGTCTCAGGACACGGTACCTCAAGCAGGCATATTCAAAATTGCCTGTACAAGGTGTAACAATTGGATCTCTTGTCCCCGTTCTGTCTGCCGGAGATGTGCCTATGTCGATCTATGCTCGTCCTGCGTCCAAGCGCACCCCTACCACAGCCCATTGCACCCAAATCAAAAGCACGAAACCTTCGACGTGTCAGATGTGCTTGATACTGGATTGCATTCCGGATCAGTGTCCGAGCGATTAGGCCGCTTTTTGAGCAATCTTGTGCATGAATATTCTGCGCCATGCACGCATCAAACCAAGAAAAGGCTATCAAATAATTCCGTGTCTTCCCCGGAGGCAGGAAAAGCTGCTCTTCCGCCACGGACCATTTTTGGTCCAGCAATAATCGTTTGCTTCTTTCTATTCGGACTTTCTGCCGTTATATTGGGATTATGATACTTTTAGCTCTATTTGAATACATATTTCGAGTCTACATCTTTCAGCAGAATGAATTCAATATGGAGTTCTGCATCTATTTGTTCTAAGAATGAGTAGATGGCGCAATTGCGCCACTAGCGAAAGTTGAAGATGGAATTAAAGGTATACACTAGTAACAATGGATATGAATGAGAGCCATTAAATATTCGGCTCTGTTTCCAGTCATTTAGCTTCTTCATATCACTTGCGTTCATCTCCATCTCCATCAACTATGCAGCAGATTTTAAGATACGTATTTGGACCGAAGAGCAGAGAAAAACTCTTCATACAAAGACATGATGAATATAGAACCCCATAGAACGGATGGCATTTACTAAGAAAGATATAACCAAGCCGTCAGCAATCAACAAGGACATGAGTGACGGTTTCTTGCGCGCCGCAGACGCACTGGTCATCCTCGCGAAAGCCAAAGGTCTTGGCGTAGGTAGACAGCCAGTTGTGGCCCGTGCGGATCTGTGTCAACAGGTAGTGTATTCAAAATATTATTCAAGCAAAGAAGGATCAATAACCCTCGCCAGTTTTCCGAGGTAGCGTATAGCGTCGAGGTACTCTTGCTTCCCCGGAGCACAGATCCCGTCGCTGATCGCGGATAAAGAGATCTCGCAAGGAATCAAGAGAGCTCTGATGTGCATGGCATGGTTGATGTCACTCATCGACGACTCGCTTAGCAGTCTGCGGACGAGCTCGTTGTGTATCTTTAAATCATCGATTATTTGAGCGCGACAGTCCTCCGCAAGATCTTCTCTTGTAAGGGTTGCAGATGCCCGGCAAAGTGACAACACCACCCCGTCCCTAATCGTTTGGATGTCGCCTATGGTCGACGGTGTTGATAGCTGAAGTCCCGACAATTGCGCTTCTATAGTTCGTTGCTCGTTATTAAGATGGTTCTCACTCACAAACCAATCTTGTTGTTCATTTCCGCGTAAAATAAGCCACGACATTACGTGGCTATATAGGGGTTCTTCTTGGAAACGTTGTTCCCAGAGAAACAAGACAATTCTCGCGATGGTGAGGCTTCCAAAGTAGTTCGCACTCCCAAAAAGTTCTTTTAACGACCCGTATAACGCATTAAATGCGCTAATCTGCCTGCTGCGGCTTTCTGACGTGGACTCGTCAAAAGGTCTAGAAGGAAATCGCACCATTGACGGGCCTTTATATACTTTTTTCAAGTCTCGTGAGATGAGGCTCGCAGCTTCCCATGTCTCGTACTTATGAATGTCCTTCCGCCTTCGTTCACCCTTCATGAGGCAGAGCTTCCTTATCTCTTCCGCTGTTTCTGGAAGAGCAAACTCGGACGTCAGTTCCGAAAATGCACCCACAAAGTGGTACATCAATAAAGCCCTGCATTCGGGCCTGCAGTCGGTATTATTCACGGCGCATGATGGATGGAAAGATTGTAACACGATTGTGGTATGGCCATTGACAATGGAGATTGCTTTGCGACTTAGTTGATAGTTTTCACCTGGCTGCTCGATGTGCCTCAGCCATTCGTTGCAATACGCGTCACGATGACATCTTAATATGACTTTTGGTTTCTTTGATTTCAAAATTCGAGCGAGGACTTCATGACATTTTTCATCTTGCTCTGTCGGACGTTCATCAGGTTGGTAAGAAAACGCGTCCAGCACGGTGACAGTATGTATGCTTCGGGCACCTTTGGTAGCAAGACGAATGAGTTATCGACTGCTAATAGTGTCCCGCAGCTTCTGACAAAGTCTTCGAAACTGACGTCGAATTTATGATATCGTCTGTGACGTGGACGTTCCAAGAGAATTACTATATCCGAAAGGCCGGCTGCCAAGTTCTGCGCCTGAATAATTTCATCTTTGGGCCGATGAAGAGCTTTGCCGAACTTCTCTAGTAATTCAATTGTTTCGTGATCTCCATGGGCAGGAAGACGGACTGGTGGGGCACGAATTAGGCCTTTCATCGACATGGGAATAGGAATTCCGAGGTACATTTGGTTATCGTAAGAGTACATATTTTGAGAGGTTGGCGATCAAAATCCGCTTTCTGGGGGCAAATATTGGAAGACGTTCCAAGTGAGCTGCTGAAGGTGTGGACTGTGCGGTTGTCATACCATCACGTGCGCTTAAAGGCAGCCCAGCGAGCGGCCCTCATTCTACCAGCCTTTGCCCTTCCACATGAAGGCGGCAGGATGAACAGCCCGAGCGCAATATAGACCCGGTCTCACAATGCGTCTCGCAAAGCGCCAGGAACGATGAGGCGGCGATACTTGCAGCTCAGAGACCTGATCAATAGCAAAAGTGCCTCAAATGCAAAGAGCAGGGAAAAGAAGACAAAGAAATTTGGGGGCTGCGCAATCGATTGGCGAAGAGGGCGCGCAGAACAGCTGCAAGAGCAGGGATGAGAAGGCAACAGAAGGCAACGGATTTTGGGGGCCGTTGGATTCGAGAGGGGGAAGGAGGGCGTGTAGTAATACACGCGCGCATGGGTATTCAATTGGGACACATGAATTTGCTTTTAGGTTATATTGTCAAAGATCGTCCGATTTTCAACAATTCGTCCGATATGGTGTAGTGGCTAATTTCGCCATCTCTCACACGGCTGCCTGGGCATCGGTTCACCTATCGGAGTTCTTCTCTTGCATCTTCAAGGGAGATCTTTGTTTTCCTTTGAAGGCTGAGAAGATATAATAGAAAAATATTCGAATAATGTGATACTAAGAAAAAACTTGAGCCTTCTATCCGTTGACTTTGAGTATCGCGAAAGCTGATTCAATTTGAGCTATATATGACCTAAGCGAATTCTACTCCTTTAGAGCGAGTGGCTGGGCGACGGAAGTCTCCTGCAAATTTACTTCCACGCTTGCCTTTGGCTTTCTTCTTTTGTTTCTTGGATCCTGACGAGCCTGGGATAGCTCCCGCTGACTGATTTCTCTTTGAATGAGAATCAATTGGGCCTCGCACTTTTGACTTTAAGGAACTTGGGGTGCTATCGGACCTCTGTTCCTCCCGTGCCTTGCCCTTCGAGGAGCTTGGGGTACTATCCGACCTCTGCTCCTCCCGGGCCTTTCCATTTGATCGTGAGGAGCTTGGGGTGCTGTCCGACCTTTGTTCCTCCCGGGCCTTTCCATTTGATCGTGAGGAGCTCGGGGTTCTATCGGACCTCTGGTCCTCCCGTGCCTTGCCCTTCGAGGAGCTCGGGGTACTATCTGACCTTTGTTCCTCCCGGGCCTTTCCTTTTGATCGTGAGGAGCTTGGGGTGCTATCCGACCTTTGTTCCTCCCGGGCCTTTCCCTTCGATCGAGAGGAGCTTGGGGTGCTATCCAACCTTTGTTCCTCCCGGGCCTTTCCCTTCGATCGAGAGGAGCTTGGGGTGCTATCCGACCTTTGTTCCTCTTGGGCTTTGCCCTTTGATCGTGCGGTGTCCGGGGTGCTATCCGACCTCTGTTCCTCCCGCGCCTTTCCTTTTGATCGAGAGGAGCTTAGGGTGCTATCCGACTTCTTACCCTTCGATCGGGAGGAGTCTGGAGTCTTGTTTGATAAGTTTCCTCTATTGGAATTCGATAGCCGCGTGCTACCACGGAATACCTCCTGCGGTGCCCTAGATGAATCAGGAGACCTGCTTGCCCTGATATTGTTGAATGGCCAGGTAGATCGGGCATTTAACCCGCCTCTTTTTGGATCGGTGTGCGGCCTTGGTGTTGACCTTCCACTTCTGTTCGGTCTTTCGCCCCGTGCTGAGCTGGATCTTGTACCTTCTCGACTTCTTCGTGACCAATTGTTTCGTTCTGGTATCGACTGGCTGGACTGTCGGCTTCCACCTCGGTCATTGATGCCGCTTCTGCCAAGTCCATTATCTAGTTCGGCTGGTGTCCTTGGGGTTGAACCTCCTCTCGACGCGCTAAATATGGACCGTGGTGTCTGGCTCCGACTTGAGGCAGTCTGATGTCTTTGTGGCTGTGGCCGAGATTGCGGCGTGACGAATTCTTCTTCGATTGATGATAGGCGTCTTCTGGGTCCATTGGCTGGTGTGTATACCGCTGTTGGCGTGTCCTGTTCTATGCTTGCCTGATGTCTCCGTGAACGTGAAATAGAACTTTGTAAACCGCGTGTAGGCGTTTGCTGTGTACTGTCATCACTATCTCCATCAATGTCATCAGCATTCGGAATATCATCTTCAGGATCCTCGCTGTCAACGTCTTCGCCACTTTCCTCGTTGGTCTCCGTCGGATGATCTTTGTAGTCATATTTATCACCGTCACCTTCGGAGTGATTATTCCAATTTGTCGCTCTGCCACTGTATCTGTAGCGAGCTTGATGTGAATGCTCGTTAAACTGCCCGGATGGCTCTTCATTCAGAGATACGACCCTTGCTTCCTTCCTAGCTCGGGGAGTTAGCCAATGAGCATTCCCATGGGCATTTGTATTCCTCCAGTGTAGATTCTGCATGTTTCCACCGTCAGGGAACTCAGGGCGTCTCCCAGTAAGTGCAAATTCGTAGTCGCCCTGCTGACTTATTGCGATTCGGTAAATAAAGATATCCGCTTCAATATTGGTCTTGCAAAGGATATGACGAAAATTGTCACGATTCTCCCAGGTAAACAGACCGTCTCTCCAGATGATTTGGATATAGGTTTCCGGATACCAAGCTTTTCTCATGGGTCGAAGAACAGAAGTAGGATCGTCTCTATATGCGTCCTCTACACGCCATGCCACAAGGCCGACGGATCTGACTTGTCCTTGTGTCCAGTAATCGTTCTGATTCATTTTCTTCTTGCCACGGCATGTCGAGGGTATATGGGTTTCATTTCCAGGGAGTTCACGTCTTCTCAATGCTTCGACACGAGCAATTGTTATACCATTGACCTCGTATCCGACGATCACAGAATAGCCAAATCCATTCCCTCGCCAACCTAAAATAGTGCCGTTTGTGAATTTACCAGGATATAATCTCTGAGTACCTTCTTGTAGTTCGTCTAAGTCGACGAGGCCTTGCCAGAAAACACTCCTTCCAGGTTCTGGGTCGTCTGCTTCATCCATATCTTCAGGAATAGTGTTGTATGCATCTTGAGTCATCGAGTGGTATCCATCATCTCTATCGCTCTGCGAGCCAGAGTCGCTATCTTGAGCACGATCAGTAGCGCTGTCATGCCCAGAAGAAAGATCGACAGAGTGACGGCTCTCAGAACCTTCGCCAGACTCACTGCCACGTCGATCATAAGCAGACATAATGCCTTGATTGTAGAATTTTTCTCAGATCAGCCTGCGCACTGCTGGTCCGCAGGCTCTTATAATGCCATGTGGGTCCTTTTGTCCAATAAGCGCGATTGTGCATAGTCTACAATAGAAATTGCAATCTAAATGTAGCTTTTTGTTAATGAGATAACTGTTTAAAAAAAGGCCATAGTCCCATGTTGTACTCTGGAGCCCGCAGCCACTATGGAGACCCTAGACCAACTACCGCCAGCGTACTTGCCTGAGCACCGGCATACTCGTCCAAAGTCTCAGATTGGAGATACTTATTTCGTTGCTTATTTCACCAAACGAAATGCCGACCACGGTCCCTATGGCACATTCATACAATGGAAAGAAGAGCCTGCTTTGTACAGTAATCCTCGTGCAAATAAACGTAAATATCTACCACACTGGAACCAAGCCTCTCATCTGATGACAAGGGTATTATGGGGATCACCCAATGAGCGCTACGAGGCTAAAGAACAGCTCAAGACATTGAATGAATACATCAATACACATATAAATTCAAATGATGGATATCCAAATGGCCAAGGATGCATTCCTGTTGAGAATTGGTTTCAGGCTGGGGAGCAACTAGCCCTTGCTGTGAGAGATGCTGTGACTTTTCGCTCAACGGCAAGGTTTGAAGATGTTCGCGATTTTATATCTGAATTGATTGAAAACTTTTTCTACCCTAGCGACTGGAGAGTCCAAAGATTTATCTTTGAGCAAAAGGTGGCACATCAACTCTCCAACTCACCGAGCTCGACGATATCGTACAGAGTGTGGTGGGATAACGCGGCTGCTCCTTCTGAGCCCGAGAAAATACAATCTTCGATCTCACGAAGACGTTTGCGGCTCTCGTCGAGGGTTTCGCGGCGGAGGCAAAGCAATGGTGCTCGTTCTCAGATGAACTCAATGAATCTGCCTAGCTCACAAATAGACAGGCGGCGCCAGGAAGGCACTGGCTCCTCGCAAATGCGGCCTGCACCGTATTTGTCTCATCGGCATGGTGTACGGGGTTTGCCTGCACAGAGCTCGCATGCTACAAGAGCTCGTGTGCGATCTCGGCATCAGCGCATGAGGAATGCACTACAGTGGCAGATAGCCGATCAAGAATCACCAGCGATGGGTCAATTAGCTATAATTAGATAAACGCCAAATAAGAAGACGAAGTAGCATGAAAGTAGCAATTTCTAAACGCTGTTGCGTTCTTCCTCAACATACTCATCTTCATTATCTGAGGCGGAATGATCAGGTCGCTCAATAATGATGGCAAGTCCTTCTTCAGACACAGTCGCCGGAGGCGCATAGTTTGACTCCTCCGCTTCGCCGACAGTTTTTGCGAGGGAATCGTACATTTCCAAAATCCTCTGATATCCTGCATACAGCTGCTCATACTTCGAGGCTAAAGTGGTGTATGCAGCTCTGTCTTGTTGATTTTGCCATCCCGCTTGGTGCAACGCTTTTTCGATTCGCGATATATGCTCGACGAGATGTTGTTCGCGAGCAAAGAAACCTCGGACCACAGTCCAAGAGGTAGTGACATACTCAGCAGATATCTGCATGGGGTTAGAATGATAACGCTTGAGGGTATTGTTGACAAACCGCCTGATTTTGCATGATTGCAGGATAGAGGGATAAGTTTGATAGATTGATGGTGCAGCAGGTCAAGAACGGATTTAAGTACATATTGTGGTGGGGAGAACCCCTCCCCCTACTACATGGGTGCCATCCAGACTATGTGACATAGCCGGCAGTATACAGTGGTCGGATAGCTAGTTCTAGAATACACCTTCTTACACCTCCCCGGCCTGACCCCTACATTTGGGCTTCTCGCTGTTTCTTGATTGCTACGCGTGTGTTTTGTGGTGGTTTTTCTGCTGAATCGACCCGCACGTCTCAGCGCGTGCAGCCATTCAGCGTTCCCCTCTTCAATATTTATCATATTCACTGCGGAGCTTCACTACTGTGCTAAAAAAGGCTACAGTCTAACCTACTATTCACAGGCGCCCCTTATACTCTACTGGCTAATGTGAAAGGTCAAGGTGGAGTAATCACATTAAATGATGTATGTAACGTGATCCCATTCAGCCGCTCCATTTCTATCACATCTCGTTTGTAGAGTAGGCGGTACTAAGTCTAGGTCAGTGATTTGAATAACTATGATTGCAAGGCATACTACCCCACGGTGATTCTTGCTTTCAACTGCCGCCATTTTGTCTCGAGACCAGCCTTGGTTCTTTGTCGGTCGAGATCGACACGTTCGTTGAACTGGTCAACGATATCAGGCCATGGCAGGCCTTTCTCTTTGAGGTGAATCAGAATCCACTCTTCGGTTTCAGTATATTGTTTGTTATGGCCAAGCGCCTGTAGATTGCACATTTTGTAAAAGGGTAGCATTCAAAAGCTGAAAACTGGTTCGGGAGCGAATCGCCCTCGACGAACCGGTTCTATTTATGATCATCGCTGCTACTCTGTCAGGGCCGGGAGGAGCGCTAGCACGGTCACTGTGCCATAAATTACGCGCAGTACCTCCCGGCTTCTCGCTCAATCAACTCTCCCAATCAACAAAATAGTTCCACAACATGGAATCTACAAAACTTGAATCTTTTCTACATATGAGTCAGCAGCCAGATGCCGAGTTCCCTGATCTCCAATATTCTTTTGAAGGACAGGATGAATTTTGTTGGGATGAATCTCTGGACCAATACATTGATCCAGAACAACTTGATACCGGAGCTCCTGCGCCAGGGGTGGAGTCAGTACCTAGTGTGGATGGGCTTCCGGAGCTGACACCAGCCCCAACGCTAGCTGAGAGTGAGATGCATGGCATTAGCCAATTACTTATCGAACTCCAGAATCGTGTTTGTTTCTTGGAAAATACGTAAGATTCTGAAAACTTTGCCACTATCATGGTGACTAACTGAACCAGGATCACGCAGAAACAGATGTTTGTAAACGACTGGCCCTTTTCCAGGGCTATTGACTGACTGATTTACAGAACAATTGACATACTCGAAAGATATGTTGAGAGGCTACAGCCGTATCTTTTGCAGCTATCTAACCCGGTCCAAGAAATTCAAATGAAAGGCGTCGCGTGATACAATTTAGTTGTCAAGTCGGAAGTATATGTATAGCCGGTCGCGAACATGATTGGGCACAGGCGAAATATCGATGGATGGTTTGTTAAATTGTGATTTTCACATGGGAACAATTATTTATATTTATTTGTTAATTTTCTTTACTCTTCTTGGTCCGCAACCAAGAAAGCACGCAGGGTTCCGCCTGATGATTGAAGTCACATGACAGGTACCCCGCTAAGCCGGGCTAAATTGTTCAGGATAGTTATGCTTACCAGTCAATTTATTCTTACTTATTCAGGTCTTTTTCTCGGAAAAGATGCAAGAGTCTGGAACTATAACGAATTTTGAAAGCCACTGTATTTTGGAGAGTGAAGAGCTGCCATGTAATTGTAGAATACCTGCAGGCCCTCAACTAAGTGCGGTGCCGCGGGTTTCATCCAAGAAGAAGACCTGCTGCGATCCAAGTGCACTGGGGTACGTGCGGACATCGATAGGCCAGGATGGAATAGGAGCAGTCCGACTATTGTCTAATACCAAGTCTATTCTTGATGCACTATACGTTCTGTCCGTCCGCAGATGGCTTCATCGGTATCGACATAGATGAAGATTGGCGTGCATTCAATGGCGATGCTGGATGGAAATATCAGAACGTAAACCACGTCTACAGTATGATGGATGAATGGATGGACAGATTTTGTTTACGCTGACCCCACGCTTTTGAGCGATTATGCAGCCCACTACTACTGTGCTTTAAATACATGATACAATCCACTGAGCTTGTTCCAAACTTTCTGAACGGTGAACTTTCATTGGTGCTTCTAATAAAATTGCTTACGAGACGCAGTCGACGAGATCTGATCATGCTTCGGTGCGCTAAATATTATCCTTCACAGTTCCTATAGCGCATACCACTTTTGGCCTTGTTTAACAAGTTTTCCTGTGGTGGCCTCTCCCAACGAAAACAATACTGTCCTTTCTCCATCGCAGTGCGTCTAAATCGCGGGCCCGTTGTCCAAATTGGCTCTCCATCCAAAGTTTTGCCCAGCTCGAAAGGTACATTGTAGTCAGGCGCGGTTGGTAGGTCCGGCCACGTGAGCCGGTTGGCTGCGCTGAAATATCGTTCCATATCCCCGTCTGATTTTCGCACGGCGACCCAGTCATTCAAAAATTTGCGGAATCTCGATACGTCAGAGTCCAGCTCCCGATTACAAGTCCACTCCGAGATGCTCTGCACCATATCCATGTTTCGATTCCAGTGAGGAATACTTGTGAATCGTGTATCGTTTGTGATAAGCTCGTATAGTGTGAACACAACACCAGTCACGTCATCTCGATCATTCAGCAAGCGCTTCTTTCCATGTGCCGCCCAATCGAAGTCGAATAGAAGGATCTTGTTGGTGTCAGGATCGATAAGCAGATTGCGGGGTGCAATGTCTTGATGCATGATTCCCAGTTCCAGATTCAGGAAGTCCACGAGTTGAGTAAGTTGTTGCAACCACTCAAATCGGAAAGGCACATTTGTATTGTCGAGGGTTCCACCTGGAATGTATTTCGTTGTGAACCCAATTATCCTAGATTCCACATCTTCGAGAACAACGCGATCAAATGGTACTATATTGGGATGTGGCGGCAGATATTTGAGAAGGTTGATTTCATCCCAGGCCATCTGTAGCCTCTGAGGCTTGTCCAAAGGATTAAATTTGAAGGCGACCTTCTGAGGAATCCCGAATTCATCTTCGTAGGATGAGAGATCAACACCTGGTCCAAGCCGATCGAGATTCTGAAGTCTGGAATACTGGATTGTACGGCAACCGGCGAGTGATTCAGCAATAGAAAAAGGAAGATATGCAACAAATGGAGTATCATCCTCTTCTGGATCGGTCGAGATTCCCGCAAGGAGTCCATCGTCGTCGACTGTAACTGCGCGAACTTCCGGTGAGAGGTAATCCGCAAATTGCGCCAGAATCGGGACCTCTACATCCTCGTCGGGCGGAAATAGCTTGGCGGTGCCTTTGACCTTAACCATCTTCAGTCGATCCCAATCCCAGACATTGCAATGTGTTTCGGTCATGGGGTTTTCCCTCGGGCCGAAGTAACCTTGGCCTTCGGAGTAGAATCTGTCTTGAGGTTTCATCACGGCAAATGAATACTGCAAATTTTGCTCTGTATAGCCTTTGTCCGGTAATATAAGCGAGCGAATACTTTTGGCGTCATGAATGTGGAAGATGATTTGTCTTCCCGAAAAGATATATATTAATGTCGCAAACAACGAAGAAGTGGATATATCCCACAACCAATGGGGTGGTAGAGGTCTGAATTGCTGTGAAGCCCCTGTTCTGGCAATTTATGGGGGCAAGCTGACTAACTACAAAACAAGGCAATAAGGCATCAATATAAACCCAATTAGGTCCTCCAGCACCTGGATTCCGACATGATGGGGGCTGGGATCACGTGCAAGCCTATATATCTGTTTACCAGTCTACCTGTATCTTACACAATTAACTCCCCTCAACAACATGAACACTGAAGCATCACTTATAAATCAATAGAATCAAAAAAAGGGTGAACACGGACATACAACAGCAGGGATTCGCATGTGGTCACCCACCATACTACTAACCTGCCGGCGTGTGGCTTATACGCGGTCAGTAGTCGGGTGCCTGCCGCCAGGGTGAGAAAAGGGTGAGCGCCGCTTTAGCGTCGCGCGACCGGGGGTGAGAAGGGTGAGTGCGCAATAGACAGGGTGAGAAACAGGGTGAGAATGGGTGATCATGTATGCCCTTATCATAGCCACCGCACTGGCCGTCTTGGCGCTAACTTTGGTTGGATGTGCTTCGATTCTGAAACCCTTAGTCCTTTGCCATATGCATGTACCTAGGCATCAGCCGGAGCCAGCGAAATATTCCTACAGCCTCTGTAATTGCGCATTAAAAATTCGAAAATTGAGGACTACCATGGGATGGATACCATATATCTTTCGCTAAAAAGGGATAATAGAAGGGGGCTAAATGGAATGGCAAATCTGTGTTGCGCAGGGGCATAACTCTACTGTATGTACTTTTGGGGGGGGGGGAGAGGGAGGGGGCCAGGGACTGGGGCGAAGGGTGGCGAAGGATAGTCCTCTCGTCCTTGGCTCACACCATTACCTCTCTGACTCTCTGACTCTCTTTGTGCTTGAGAGCATGAGCTTGATGAACGGCTATGATATCCCTGCCCCTCTAGGTCTTCTTGAGTCCATTCAGCGTATTGACACTGTACTCCGGGACGTAGCCCTTGAAGTTCCTCAACATCAAGTACTGCGCCGGGACCCCTCCCCCCAACCAACCTCAACACGTTCTGCTTCATGACGTAGCCCTGGGGTGGAGTTGCTTTGCGCATGTTCTGCCCGCATCCGAGGCCTCGGCGTAGAGAGAGCCTGATCGAATTTTGTGCGTTCCTACCTTAGGGTACCCTGTACCACCGTGCCCATTCCAATCTATAAACTGTGGCAGATTTGCCGGAGTCTCCACCCGGGCCGTTCCAGGAGACGCAATAATAATCCATAGGCTGGCGCTGATCTGTCCCTGGAATCCAGCCTGAGCTTATACACTGCTAGCCTGCATATAGTTATGCACTCGTCTACTAGTAGCTAGCTATGTAAGTAAGTATGGCGGCTTCAGGCCATTTTGTGTGGCCGGGGATTTGAGGCTTTTTGCCTTAGGCACCAAAAAGATTTTGTCGGGCAAAATTGGCGGTGTACAAGGGAGCGGTGAGCAGCTGACCTAATAACACTCCAGTCGTGTCGTCCAAACAACACCAGAAAATTGTTGGCATACTTCTACATCATGGTCGAGACACCTGATCTGAACGAGCTACCAGAGGCAGAAGTTCGGAGGCGGCTTGCACAGCTCACGCGCAAAACATCACTCCTACAATATCTCCGCTCTTGCCACACCCTTCTCTCCTTGCCCCTAGCAGTGAGAACACCATCGAGATCTACGAGAGGAAAGATACCCGCTCCCCAAGGGAAATTTTGTCCTGCACGTCTTCTCCATTGGTCTGACTGTGCTTCTGCACAGCAGAGGATCTTCGATGACGTTTGTAGCTTTCTCCACCCATCAAATGAGCCACCCGATGAGATTTTCCCAACAGTCGAACAGCTTAAAGGGATTGCAGAGTCTTTACATACACCTCTGAGCAGCGAACGAGATCTCGAAAGCTACGAGAGATTCGCAGTTGAGAACCACGTGCGAAGAATTATTGGGGAGCTGTGCAAAATCCCTGAAGCCCGCCAAAAATTTCATATTGGGGATGGAGTCATGTTTGAGAGTCACAGCAATGCTCTCGAAGATGACCCTGCCAATAACCCCTTCGATCTAGAATCGACTTCAAGTTCTCAGCCAAGACCCGATCAGTTTTGCATCCACCGCAGGGATGAGAAGTATACACTTCTCATGACTGTGGAGTACAAACCGCCCCACAAGCTCACCGTGGAGAACCTCCGAGTTGGTCTCCAACCGCAAATGGATTTCTGGACTGGAGTTGTGCGAAAAAACAAAATACCGACCGACCACGCAGAAAAATTGAGATACAACGCAGAGCAGATCGTTGGATCAGTTTTGACTCAGGAGTACCATGCTATGATATTTGAAGGCCTTGAGCTGTCCTATGTGACTATCGGAGTCGCACTTGTCCTCTTGCGTATTCCACCCGAAGATCCATCCACGTTACTCTATTTTCTATGTGAGCCCAATATGGAAATCACGATGGAAAGCGAGCAGCAGACATATCGAGAACCAAGGACAGCTATTTCCCGGGTTCTGTGTTTGGCTTTGATGAGCTGCCTCTCAACTCCTCGCGATCAAGCATGGCGACGTTCTGCAATGGCTCAACTTCAGACCTGGGAAACTAGCTTTTCTCTTGTGCGATCGAAGATTCCAGATGAGGAACTACAGCAGATACCACCGGGCTCAGAATACACCGGCTCGCCGAAATCTGCCTCTGAAGGTTCATTCTCCGAATGGATACCATCATCGCCACTACCGCCCACTCCCGCAAGGAGAACTCAACCTCAACGTCGAGCTACCTGTGCACCATTTCCTTCCGACCAAGAGATTGAACCTTCGGATGACTCAGACTCCAGTCAAAAATCAACTCATGCCACACGAAAACGAAACCATAGTCAGGTTGCCTCTTCGCCACCCGGATTTCCATCAGGGACAAGAGATACTCTTCATCAGAGTGGTGAAAGCAAGCAGAATAACCCTGGCGCACAAGACCATCAATATCGATATCAACAAGGGCTCTACTGCACGCAAAAATGCTTACTCGGTCTCCAACACCATGGTGTGCTAGATGCTGGCTGCCCGAATGTTTCCTTACACCGACAACATAAGAACGATACCCAACACCCTGTTTCTGCAGAGGGGTTAGTGCGCCAGCTCAACGATCAGCTCCGCCAAACACTTGATCACAATTGTACACCACTTAGTGGGTGTGGGGAATTCGGCTTTGGTGCGCCCTTTAAGATTATCTCTGCACAATACGGCTATACTCTACTTGGAAAAGGAACAACCAGCCGACTCTGGTCAACTGTTAAGAAGGAGGCTGATGTGTATCGCATTTTGCAAAAGGCACAAGGCTCATCAGTTCCTGTTTTCCTTGGCACTATCGACCTCGCGATGGGTTTTTGTCTACACGGCGCTGGTACGATCCAACATATGCTGCTCATGGCGTGGGGGGGCATCCTTTAAACGAAGAGCAGTCCTTGGCCATGAAGGACGAAGCCAGGCGATCTCAAGCTGAGATCTTCAACCTTGGAGTGGTCCATGAGGACTTGTGTCCCGGGAATCTGCTATGGAATACAGAGCTTCAACGTGTGTTTTTGATCGATTTTCATGATGTGACCCTAAGGAGACGCCTCAAAGCGAGACAAAATCCCTCGAAGAGAAAGCTATGCGGAAATGAGCATCAGCGGAAGCGCGCAAGAATCGCTTCCGTATAACCGGTGGCTTGGTGGTAGAGTATGAGTATTAGGTATGGAGAATCGCGATTTATCGTTGTATTCCTCTTGGCGGCTGTGGCTCCTACGGTGCCCCGTTTAAACTGACTTGCATGAAATATGGTTACACGGTTATCGGCAAAGACACCACTTCAGGGTTGTGGAAAGAAGTTTTCCGCGAAGCGCAGGTATATCAGATCCTGCGCAAGGCTCAAGCATCTGCTGTGCCTGTATTTTTGGGAACGATTGACTTAGCAAAAATTTACTTTCTCCATGGCGCTGGACAAATCCGCCATATGCTTATAATGGGCTGGGGAGGTGAAAGCACAGCAACGATGGAGCTGACGCAACAGCTTCGCCGCGAAATCCACAAATCGACCAAGGAAATCAGAGCTCTCGGGATAATACATGGAGATCTCAGGCGAGACAATGTCCTTTGGAGTGAAGAGCTCGGGCGTGCTTTGATCATCGACTTTCACCGTTCTTCTCTGAGATGCCGACCGACGAAGCAGCGACCGGGGGCCGCAAAACGACGACTATGTCAAACAGAGGCCTCAGCAGATGCGAAACGTGTCCGTGTGTCAGGAGAATGAAATACTCCTTCTACCTTTCAAATTAATTTCCTTATTCCTGATACCCAAGAGGAATGCGACGGATTGGCACCTTGTAATCGGGGTCAGAAAAATTGTTCACGCCGTCAAAGGTCCACCAGGCACAATGTAATATAAACACCACCCAGAGTCAAGTTGGTTGGGTGATAAAGAAGGAAGATCAAATTAACAAGAAAAATCGGGCAAAACAAAGTGTTAACTATGAAAACGCTCCCAGGGCCCCGAGCGAAGTCAAATGCCGCTTATTCGGATATTAGTTATTCCACAATCGGACCAGAAATTCGGGCATTAAATCATCCCACCTTCCTCCTACCCCGCCGCTAGGCTCTCTCAATTTAAACTACCCTTCCCCGTCATCACCATCTTAGACGGGTTCCAATTCATTGTTGGTCTTCTGTCGCGATCTATCCCGGGCTACTTTTCTGACAAGTTTTCTTCTCTAGAGCAGCCTCCTTTACAGCCAAGCCCAGCTGAGTCATGCCGACCGATATCCAAGCCGATGCCTTACCGGACCTTGAGAGCCTTGCACAATGGATTTCCAAGAGCGGGACCCAGATGAAGGAGGAGCAAGGGAAGAAAAATCTTCTTAAATGCGTGGACAAAGCTCGTGAAGAAAAAGCAGGACCATTATTGGAGAAGCTGGGATATGCGACAATACCGGTAAAGAACAGATCCACCCACCGTTGGCTATGGAAGTGAAAATGTTACTAATTGGAAAAAGCATTTTGCTTTGCTATTGCGAATATGCGGAAAGACATCGATTGAGAAACCTGATAATGATAGTCGAACCTTGTTGTTCTTCCCTCTTTCTGGAGACGTGCAAGTCGAGGGTGAAGTTCTCAAGCCAGGGAGTTTTATTCAACTCACCAAAACTTTGGACCTTGACGAAAATTTGGATTGTCTAATTGTCGTCCTACTCTGATTTGCATTGCACGAATACTAGTTAATCCTTCCTTCTTTACGGATTTTACAACTTTCTATGCCTGTAGTCATTTCACAGAATGGCGCATAGAGAACGTGTCTTGTTTAGCACCGAAAAGTCCTGATCGTGCTTGTACTAACACAACCATCCACATGCTCAACCGGCCTGCAAGATTTATCGGCTCGATGCTATTCGCGCAATGCCCCGAGATCTTACCGAAAGTCCTATGATTATGCGGGTAAAGACTTCAGTCACTATCCATCAATCGCGACCGGACAGGTGCTAACTCGTGCCTCAGTATTTCCGAAGGGAAAATCAGACTGTAGACCAATCGTTGTATTGTCTGTAAAAGGCTTTAGACACCTGCGTTCTGGACCCACCCAGCCTGCGATGCTATCAGGCTTTGTGGTACATGACTGGGTGCTTTCGGGTCCTCCTATGTTGAGTCGGTGATGTATATGACTGCTGATCAACGCATTGCTTGACAATGGCTGGGTCTCGCCTGCAACGCTGCCGGTCTGGATGCTCTGGCTTTGGAAATCCGGGAAAAGACTGAACAAGGCGTCGCTTGTAAATGGGTTGAAATGCGTTCTCTCTTGCTCAGTCTCGCCTGCGACGCTACCGGTCTGGATGCTCTGGCTTTGGAAATCCGGGAAAAGGCTGAACAAGGCGTCGCTTGCAAATGGGTTGAAATGCGTTCTCTCTTGCTCAGTCTCGCCTGCGACGCTACCGGTCTGGATGCTCTGGCTTTGGAAATCCGGGAAAAGGCTGAACAAGGCGTCGCTTGCAAATGGGTTGAAATGCGTTCTCTCTTGCTCAGTCTCGCCTGCGACGCTACCGGTCTGGATGCTCTGGCTTTGGAAATCCGGGAAAAGGCTGAACAAGGCGTCGCTTGCAAATGGGTTGAAATGCGTTCTCTCTTGCCCGGTTAGGCCTGCGACACCACCGGTCTGGATGCTCTCGCTTTGGAAATCCGGGAAAAGACTGAACAAGGCGTCGCTTGCAAATGGGTTGAAATGCGTTCTCTCTTGCTCAGTCTCGCCTGCGACACCACCGGTCTGGATGCTCTGGCTTTGGAAATCCGGGAAAAGGCTGAACAAGGCGTCGCTTGTAAATGGGTTGAATTGCGTTCTCTCTTGCTCAGTCTCGCCTGCGACGCTACCGGTCTGGATGCTCCCGCTTTGAAAATCCGGGAGAGGGCTAAACAAGGCATTGCTTGCTAATGAGCCGGGAAGCGTTCCCTGCTGCCCGGTCTGCTGCGGCAGAGACAAGATTGAATCGAGCGAGGCTGGATGTAAAAGCTCCGAAAAATTTGACTCTCCTGAGGTACAGCTTGGTGTTTTCGAGCATCGGGAGGTTACGCTCACTCCGCTTGCATCCGTCCCTGGGCACAAAACCGACGACCCATTCATTATATTATGAGAGCAGTCTGAAGAACAGGGGGTGGGTGCCACTGCGGATGTGGCTATGCCCACTAATGGATCAATGCAATTTGCTAGGGTTTGACCAGGCATATCTTGTGACAGCGGAGAATCAGTAGTCGGTGTGTTGTCATCTCGAGTAGACTGGTACGGGGATTGGCATTGGGTCGTTACTTGAGAATTATTATCATCTTGAGCTGAAAAGATTGGTTGATAATGGCTCGTGAAGATTATCTGAGAAAGGTGGCGAGGCGTACCTTCTGATAAAAGAGAGCTGTCTGTCGCAATATTGACCACGCTAGGATATTGATCATCTGCCCTAGTTAGTGTCCATGCATCTCTCAACTTGAATGAGGCCTCACTTAGTGGCGATGAACAATGATCCCGACAGTGTCTTTTCGACGGCTCGGCTAGCGTTAAGCCCGGCCTTTTCCTAGCATGACCTTCGTGCAATGCGTCATGGAAGGAGTCCTGATAAGGTTCGATAGAAGATAATTCGTAACCTAGGCATCTGCAAATATCCTGTAACCTTGACTGAGTCAGTCATAGAAGTCTTGAAAGATGCGAGTAACCCACGAAGCGCTGTCTCCGAAAATTGCGTTGACGATTAAGGGGATCGCAAATGGCGCGGGTGAGTTTGCGCAATCGGATGACGTGTTGCACTCATAAGCATCGGTCTTCATCCCATCCAATATCGTTTGAGGATCCAGGGAAGAGTCGCTGACTCGGGCGTAGAAGGTTACTGGAAGCCCGGCTTAGGGAGAGTTAGCTTGTCAAGGCAACGTAACGATGGCAACCCTACCAACACAAATAGCATCCCAGCTCATAGATGCCCATTTCGTTGTAGACAATAGCGAAATGAAACTGTTCACCCATTTTGCGCCACGAACAAGCTTCATAAGCTGCTTCGAAGAAGTATCCGATCCCATGATTTTCCGCATCACTTCGAAAACATTGTCTTTGTCTTCAACCGTTTCCAATACAACTGCACAAAGCGAAACGAACAACACTTGGCGGAAATTCCCAAGCTGTCGGTCCAGGATGCCAAACGATACCATGGAATTGGCATAGTTAGACAAAATGGCTATATTCGTCGAGTTCGATGGCACGCCCGCCAATATCTTGGGTGTTGTCTGCGGACCAAAGCTCGATGCACTTGAACCACAAGTCTGTATCAGATCTCGTAGAAATTGTCGACGTTGATTGCTATTAAAGATCGAAACCCAATTTTTCCACTCTGCCGATCGCGGTAGATTGTTAAAGGAGGTGGTTAATTTTGCCAACAGTTGCTGGCGTTGAGGTTCATTGCTCTGGTTTCGTGGGCATTTATCAGTTCCATTCCGATCAATATGGGCTTTCGGGTCGTATTCTATGACTTTTAGAGCAGCAGAATCGCCGTCACCTTTGTGTAAATGTCGATGTTCAAGATCTTCTGGGGCGGGTTGTACGCTGTCACTATGGTATTGGACCTCTGACGCGTATCGAGATTCACATGTGTTGCGATTGTAATTTTCAAAAGTCTCGTCCTGATTCCGACGCTCGTTCAAATTTGCTGTGCTTCTCAGTGGCGCTTCATTTTCGGTATGTTGCTGAGATGTTTGCTGAAGATAATCCTGAAGCTGAAGGACTTGTGCTTCAAGGAATTCAATATAGGCAGCGTCATTACCCTCAAATGGAAACTTGCGTATCATCCTTGCTCTGGATAATGGAAGGAAAGATGTTGTGGAGCGAGTAAGATTTGGTCGTCGTCCTGGCACCCTCCCCCTTCCCCATGATCTGATGGGTGCTGCGAGCAGGACAAAGTACTTGGGGGCCGTGGCCAGACCAAGGGTCCGTGCGGTGCGCTCCTGCAAGTACCATCACATGGGGGCGTACGAGATATCACGCCGCTGGACGATCTCCTTGCAAGAGTACCTTATAATCGCTCATTTTGCTTGGGGAGGCAGAATCCTTTTGGCCATCGTCCTGTTTTAGTTCTACAAAGCCAACTTGTCTTCGGCCAGTTAAGTACTGAGTGCTCCATCTCACAGTACGCCAAAGCGGAAAAGCTATTTGATGTACATCTCCCATAATACGAGGACAATTCTTGCACTCCACGATTTTCGAACGGGCTGATAACGGCATGCTGTCGCTCTGGGAGAGGGCTAACAACGCCAACTAACAGCGCTCGCTCTCTCGAGGCATCGCAACATGTTGCGACGTGTCGCGGCTGTATCCGGCCTGGACAGGCTCACGCCGGGATTGGCACAACCTTGAGGACGTCGCGAGATGAAACGGGCTTCCACCGGGCCCATTGGTTGAAGCATTTACCATCTTGACTGGTGACCGGTGTCGCCGTGGAGGCCCTGCAAGATGTCTCGAGCCGCTTCCAAGGACGCCATTGACACTAACCGGATTAGGGGCACTCAACTGAGTGCCCCTAATCCGGTTAGTGTGAAATCGGCGCACAGTGTTCCGGTTAGTAATTATCAGTCTAGCAGTGGAATTCCATACACTTATCTGAACTATGCCCTGGCCCGTGGTGTGACCAGAGATACCAGATATTTCCCTGGAAAGTTGATATTTTCCAACGCGGCTTTTGTGACCTAACTTAAACAACGTCGGTAATAGCCGTGGATGGTTTTTCCGTCCCGGGCGGAAGATTTGGTCCGTATTTACGACGGCTAGCTTGTGCAAAGAGATAAAACCAATAGCGTATTTAATGTCTGACTTGTGTGTTCGTGACTCTCTGGTATTGGCCATAGACTGATACCCAAACAACATGATAATTATGTTCATTGCTTAGGGATCGGAGGGCATTGAATCACATCTCTCATTGTATTGCCCAAGACGTGGATCGACACCCGCTTCATACCCTTCTAAGCCCTCGTGTGCGGACACAAGAATGCTAAAACATATATAAATAGGAATTTCCACACCTTCGATTAAAATAAATTATCTCTCTGACAGTCTCGTGGCATCTGGTTTCGAGTATCCTTGAAAAGAAAACCAACACTCAAATTCGCTCCACATCCAGAAAACCCTACAGTAGGTACCAACTGTTTTAGCCCATGACTTATGATCTCCGCTGATAAGTTGAGCCAAGATGTGTGATCACCTTGTCTATACTTATAACGAATGTGGTCATATGGCCAGTGATGGTGTTGCTCGCTGTGTACCGGCCAGAGAGAGAAATCAAAACTGTCCTCGCAGCTCTTGGGGTAGCATTTCCGGTGGTCCCAGACCAGGAAAATGCCATGCTTGCTTGCTTCACACTCCTCCAGATTCTGACTGAATTCTACAATGGCAGTATTGAGCAATTCTTTGTTCAGGGTAAGAATATCCATTTCTTCTCGGGCTATCTCATATTTAAGCTAAAACACATCGATGTCAGTACTATCGACAACAAGCTCAAAATACTCGGGTTACTTTTGAAGTCGTCATTGAATTGTGCTACAAGGATCTCAGGTTCTGTTGATATCAAATCTGCAGGCTTTGACTTGTGATAATATTTCGGTCGCTTTGAATGCAGACTAATCTATAAGACCCTTCGAGAGAGAATCGCGTAGTCTCCAATAGATATGATGAATAAATTGGCGAGCAGCTTAGAAGATGTTCTCCACTGTGAAGACTACTAGAGAACAGGAGACTAAGAGAAAATGGGTTGAAGCTATATAGGAAGGAAAATTAATTGAAGGGGAAAGGGGCTAGCGATTCTGGGATATGTGACAAGGCTTAGACAGGACAGCGATATCAGTGGCCGACTGACATAATGTAACTGACAGAATCCAAAGGCCTCAGGTTCGAATCCCATTCCTCGGTGATACGGTTATTGGCCTGAGGCATCAACACACCATCTAGTAGATATACCAGCAGTATTCCTAGAGCAGTCGGCCGCTTGAAATGCCAAAGAGAAAATATTTTGAATTTATCTATCTCGAAAAACCCTCCACGTCCACGACAAACTTCTTGGAGCAGCTGAATACACCGGGAAATCTACTGCATGCATGTCGGGCGAGAGTCACATGATGTATAAATTAGGCATAGTAAGTTATTACGTAACCACATATCATGGTCTGGTCGCCTCCTCCCTCTCTGCCTCCTCCCTCTCTGCCTCCTCCCTCTGCCTCCTACCCCTATCCCGTACCCTATTGCTTTTACCTTCTAGCAATTTAGTTGAGCCACTATGGATGAGACAATCCCGGATGACAAGGTTATCACGGCCGTAGTCCCTACAGCCGACGTGATTACCGAAGACAGACACAAATCTGTTCGCGCATCAGATATCAGCCATTTTGTCGTTCAGTGAGTAGCATTCAGCCAGTACTATCACAGACGCTCTAAATCTGTGTTATCGAAGATTGGCACGCTTGCTAATGGATCTACTACAGACTTTCTGATAAAAGACAGGAGTCGCTTATGCAGTCTGTTGCGGGAGTTCCCTACAGCTTTGATAGACCTTGGCCAACCTGGTTTTTTATCGGGAAGATCGTGTCAAAGACGTTCTTTGACAATGAAGAACAACTTAGGTGGCTAAACACTGTTCGGGTCCGAAACAGGGAGTTTATTGCGTTCACCAATGCCCAGAAGAACGTCTCAAACCAGGCGAAACAAAATACTAGGGAAGGAATGCTTCGAGTAGTTGAGGTCGATTTTTCGAAACCCCAGCCAGGTGAAAATTTGAAGTTATTCTGGAAGCCTGCTCGAGCAATTATTTGCCAAAAAGTTCAAGATTGTAAGTATATAATCTTATCTGGTTTTTAGCATATATGTCATCCTATGTTTCACTTTCAGCTAATCTACGTTCACAAACAGGGTTGGATTATGCACCAAATGAGGGTCCACTTTAGGAGGCCTGCAGCTATTACAATGGATCAACTGCGTTGCCGTCCCATCTCAATCTTAACGCCTTCCAATAAATGATCAGGGATATCGTTCTCGGGGATGAGGGCTTTGAATTCAATCCCCATTGAAGATGGATCCCAGAGCAGGTCCCCCCCCCCTTCTCTCCTAGATGATTTGACAGGGGTTGCGTGAAGGACAAATTACATTGCCGATATAACCAGACAATGGGTCCGTGCGGTGGGCTCCTGCAAGTACTATCACACGGGGGCGTAAGAACCATCACGCCGCTGGACGATTTCCTTACAAGAATACCTTATAATCGCTCTTATCACCCGGGGAGACAGAGTCCTTCACGCCACCGCCCTGTTTCAGTCCTACAAAGCCAACTTGCCTTTGGCCAGTTGAGTACCGAGCGCTCCATCCAGCAGTACGCTAAAACGGAAAAGCTATTTGATTTACGTCTGTCTCTGGGATATTCGAGGAAAATTCTCGCACTTCCCGATTTTCGAATGTACTGATAACGGCATTCTGTCGCCCTGGGGGGAGGGGAGAGGCTGACAACGACACCTACAGCGCTCGCGCTGTCCAGACACTGTAGCACTAGGCGACATTAGCACTAACCGGATTAGGGGCACTCAGTTGAGTGCCCCTAATCCGGTTAGTCATTTAAGTCCAACAGGAGTAAGCGACTATGTGGCAGAGTGCTCCTAATTTGGTTAATGATAGTCATCAACATTGGGGTCCACTATATTAAGCTCCCCAAATTTCACCAATCATCTTTTTTCGAGAAATGTAGCATATTCACCCAGGCCATCAAAGTGGTATTTTAGTGTACTTTGCGAGGTTTCTAGTGCATATACGGGAAATGACCCCTGTACTCAACGGATCTCGACATCATAGGGCGAGGCGTCGCTATGCTAAATTGATCTCTCTACCGCATTCAGCTTGGTTGCAACGCTTTCTATCAACAGGACTCCAAAATTTCTGAAATATAAAGAGACGGCAACAAGTGAGCTGTGAGTAGATTATAATTTTCAATAACTCTGTTGCACCACAAAGTAACATTTTCGAGCGACGTCTTGTTAAATCATGTGTACTGCCGTTCACGAAACAACCAAGTACAAATGTACGCACACCGTTCAAACCACCACGGTTCGACCATGTGATGACGAGGACTGCGGAATTATCAAAGCCGATGAATGGCGAGGATTGAGAACAGATCGTCAACTGAAGTGCCCTCCTTGTGTGAGTACTAACTCGTTTCCATAGCGGGTACGCGAAGCTGACGCCTTCGCAGCGACAGAAAGAAAACTAAGTTCTATGAGTGAGAATGAAATGGGTTTTGGAAGGAGAGGGAGGGGTGGGGGAAAGCTCTAGGCCTCGATCTGTTCTGTGTTCTACCTATGATCTTGCCAAGCTGCGATGTGATATACTCTATTCTTGATGGCTGTATACAGAACCAGTGTAGGGAAAACGTCGCCCATTATCCCTAATTAACAATCAGTCTTGGCCATATTTAAGCTTCATTTCTTATATTTGGAGATCACGCCGTTGCCCCTATTCATGGGGGAGTTCAATCGCATTTTCTCAGCGTCAAGGGTTGCCATGACCCCACATGAATAAGGGTGGGAAGAAAGGCGGTCGAAAATGCAGACGATCACGTGATATTGAGAACAAAACATGCTTCTTCCCCCTTCCCCTTTTGCCCCTTTCTGAACTTGATGCATTGCAGAAGCTGCCATATTATGAACGGCTACCCCGTGATGCTGCGGCCTAAGGGCGGCTCTCGCATCATTGAATTCGGCACTACAGGTATCATTTGTCAAAGCGGTTGCAATCCGAGTCAAGTCATAAAAGGCCCTCTCAAACATAACCTAGACGGCTGCAGTGCAGATGTGATTGAAACGACATTGTATCTCGAAAAGCACGCCGAGCTGTGCATTGAACGCGAGAAAACCATCTATCGAGCCTTACCAAAAGATCCCAACATTCTCGACTGCATTTCAATAACAGATTCGGGTATTATTCTTCCATTTATGCGACTTGGAAATCTACGTGATTATCTACGGCAGCATGATCGAAATATTCAAATGGAAATGCGTATGCAATGGATCCACATGGCTATCGAAGCCATATCTTCTATCCATCGCCTTGAGATAATCCATGCCGACATAAGTGCGCGAAATTTTTTGGTCGCCGAGAATTTGTCGATCAAGCTTTGTGATTTTTCTGGTTCCGCTATCGGCGGTCAAACCCCTCTTGTTGCAGAGGAAGAGCGATATCAGATGGCGCCTGATTCTCCAAGGTCTATTGCTACCGACATTTTTGCTTTGGGCTGTTTGATATTTGAGATCGTGACCGGCCGTCGCCCTTACGACAACATTGAAGACCAAAATGTTGAAGAGGTTCAACGCCGCTACGCAGCCGCAATTTACCCCTGTATTGACGGCATCCCGTTTGGGGAGATTATAAATAAGTGCTGGACTTGTCAATACCAAAACATTGAGCAGCTGAAATTGGACCTACCCACAGCAAGACACAAAAATCGTCGCACCGAAAACACGAAAGGTCTGCTCTGCCTCGTCACTCCGACAATTTTGTTTGCTATCGGGGTTCTAGCTTTTCGGCAGTTGAAACCAACTCAACTATGTCGCTCCTAATTTGGAGGTGCTCCCGGACCGTCTTAATCCAGTTTCTGATCTACCAATGGTCTTGTTCACTAAGAAGCGGAATTTTGCATTGAAAATTTTGACTATGATCTCAGTAATTGCCTCGTCTCGATTGAAGACTATCACTGAGCGGCCCCACGGCAGTCATCGGCTATTTGGTCTAGCGATATATACAGTCATCATCGTCAACAACAATCTTTTGATGTGTCAGGCCGCTTAGCATTATATTTGCTTTGTTTCGGAAATATCGCGGCTGTGGACTGGTCAATGAAATCGAGTTCTATATCTTAGTGCTTCAACTACGAAACAACGTCTCGGAAAATGCTTGCCCTTGATGTTATAATTAGTTTTGTAGTTTTTCCTGTCTTTCAAAGGATGAAAAAAGAAAAAACAAAAAACAGTCTCTGTTTTTGGACTTCTTAGTATCTATGAAATAGAGTTTTCAGTTCTCGTATGGAGATCTTCCACCCCGCGACCCCAACGCCTCCCCTTGTACCATGAAACTTCCTCGCCTGTAGGATCAACAAGTAATTGCGCTGGATAATCGGAATCGGCACACTTCATCCAGATTACATACCATTTATTGACTGCAGGAACCCATGCAAGCTAAGCTGCTAAGACCTGTGTCATAAAGGCCGGCAGTACTTCATGTCTCCAATGGGTAGTTGACAACCGATTCAGTCCAAATCCGTGAATTTCCAGACCGACCCCAGGTATATAGGTAAACCGACGCTCATCTGCATTGATGTGATTACCTTACAAACTCCAACCTCAACTCCAAACACCACAAATTCAGACCTTCCGAATCTTTTGGCCTTTCGACCAAAATGTCCGAACCCTCTGCTGAGCTACTTCAGTCTCTTCTTGAAGCCTTTGCGCCTGGTATATCATGGGTTTTTCGACTCATGTCAGCAATTCTGGGAATCGACGTGTTTGCCCTTTCGCTCTACATATTTCCATTTGTTGCTCTACCCGCTATCTCAACATTCATACTTCCTTGGGTATGGCGGTTGCTAGGACCCATTGTGTTTCTTTTCATCTCCTCCACAACTGTCCGACACCGTAACAATTTATACCCGCAAGTTCTGAGATGGATGCCCAGTCGCAAATTTTACAGCTGGGTGGGCTCTGTGATTGCTGGGACCACGGAGACTTTTGGATTCCTTTGGGATTCCTATCATAATACACCCGAACTGGAAGATACAGACAACCCATTGTATCGAGGGAAGCTAGTCAAAGTTCTTTCCTCACCTGGCCAGCGAAGCCTTCTTTTCTTTCGGTATGAGGGTTGCTGGCTTGCTCTTTACCGTGACCCGCATAAGAATCCTACAGATTCCTTTTCGAGAAATGCCGAGGATATTATTTTTTATTACTTCTCTTGGAATAAGGCTGTTGTGGACAGACTCCTGAGAGCCATTCTGGAGTTCAACATCGACTGCCGCCGCGGGAAGTTACCGGTATTCTGTGCACACCAGGACAAGCACGGTGCAAGTTGGCGAAAAATGTGCGATGAAACGCCCCGAAGCCTTGAAAGCCTAGCATTGGATGAAACGATGAAGAAAAAAGCCATGAGTGATGTGGGAGAATTCCTCAGCGGATCCGTCCAAGGCTCATACGAAAAACGTGGCATCCCGCATCGGCGAGGTTATCTACTCCATGGTCCACCAGGTACTGGTAAAAGCAGCTTCTGTCGAGCAATTGCCAGTCACTTTCAGCTTCCGATATATGTAATCAACCTTGCTATTGTTGATAATTATGGGCTCCAGGAGTTATTTCGAACCCTACCGCCAACACCACAGCAATGTCTAGTTCTACTGGAAGATGTCGACGTAGCAGGGATCCAGAGCCGCGGCGACCCTGCTACCAGTGATAATGGGACGACCCCTCAGAAGACAGTAACACTGGCATCCCTTCTCAATGCTTTAGACGGAATTGGAGGGCACGAAGGCCATATACTCGTTGTCACCACGAACGTCAAGCCGGCTCTTGATTCCGCCCTGACTCGACCTGGGCGAATTGACAGAGAGCTAGAGTTCCAATATCCCGACTCGCAAACTATACAAAAATATTTCTGCTTTTTTTTCGATGGGTATTGCGCAGAGAACGGCCAAGAAAAGAAGAGCCTTGAGGAGTTAGGTGTGGCCTTCTCAAAGTCCATTTCTCATCTGAAACTGTCACCTGCTACAATACAGGGGTACTTCTTGAAGTGCCATGGAGACCCGGCCATCGCAGTTCAAAACTGGCAAGATATTGAAGAAAAGGATGTGGAGGATATGAGTGCTTGGATAGACATGCGATCAGTCCAGGGCGGTGGGTCCTACGACCGCCCTCTCGTTTCACTTCCGCCCTTGGCCTTCTTTTCCTCCCTCTTCTCTTCTCCTTAGTTGGCTCAATTAGTCGAATGAACACATTCTGCGCTCTGCAGGTCATTCATCCACCCAATCAGGAAGAATAGTGCGAGTTGTAGAGGAGAAAGCCTAAAAAAAGTCTATTCCATAGACTCAGCAGAGCAGCTTGTGGTATCTCAAACTAAGAAGGACCTGGGCCTGAAAGGCGTAACTACGGAAAAGCAAATGAGTCGAGAGTTTCAAAAGAGAGGCTCGGGAAATAGCCTATGCAGGGTATCTCTTGAGCGGTGCCATCTATAGAATAGATCTCGTGGAGAATTTCTTTTCTATCTTATATAAGTCTAACATGAATCTGCGTATGTAGCTACTGATAACTCAACTTCCAACCCGTGTATTTGCCCACCCCAGAAACTTATTAGCAATGTCTCGAGGCACTGTGTGTTGCGCGACGAGCCAAGTTTTGATCCTTTTGCTATTCATCAAACTCAAGGCTATCTGGGTGATCAAGAGATGTAAGTGACAGCCCGTTCTAAGAAACATTTGCTAATGTCAAACTAGTGTTACAGGAGCATGTTCCTGGGCTAGACCCCGATATCTGGGCAATCGCTCAGTATTTTGAGAGAAGCAACGAATTCATTTATCTTCTGGTCAGAGAGCAAAGAGAGAGTGACCTGGATTTGATGTTCTTTACTATGTTGGTCGGCCTCATTGCGGATGATATTTTACCACCGGCCGCAGTCCAACGCCCGATACTGGGACTTCTTTTATCTGACCAGGGTACTTGCATAACTGGCCTTATCCTGTCCAAATACGGAGATATTGAAATCCCTTTTTATCGGGGACTTGGGACTCTTGTTTCCATTGTCAACTAGGGCCAACTTATCATCTGGCCAATCTTTTACAATGCACCGGCCGACAAAGTCACAAATTCTATACAGTCAACAACACTCTCTGACACTGAAAATGTCAGGGTCTACTGAGGCTATGCGGTATAGCAGAACCGCAGAGCTGACAAAGCTTTACAAAGATGAGATTTTCACATAGTTAAACCTGAAGGAATGCCTAAAAATACTAGATAAACAAACCCTTTCTGGGGCGGTCCTGATACGCATTTCACAAGGATCCTCAAGACCACCCTTTCGAAAGGGAGTCTTGATAGACGTTGTGAATATGAAAAAGTGTCTTAAGTCCGTGAATGCAGGTGAGCATTATTCTCTTATGATTTGGAAGTCCTGAAATGGCCTCTCTTGGAATTTCGTTTTGACTGAAAATGTTGTAGAAGCCGAGTCGCGAAACAGACAGAAAAACCTGGATCAGATAAAGAAGCGGATTGTGTCAACTATTGTTGATCTTATGCGCTCACGTCCTCTGAGTGTCTTCTTGTCTATCATCACTGAATTAAATGTCAATGAAAAACTGCACAAAGTCCTGAGCACTCGATCCGCCGAAGCAAGCTATGAGAATGGGTGTCTTGGTTCGTAAAGCTATCTTGACCTCAAATATACTTCCTAACATAAAGACAGATGAAACCAACTTTGACGATGAGCGGTATGGAATGAATTATGAAGGCCGATTTTAAGGTTCACTGTGTTCCGATGTTACCTGATATCATTCGGAAGATGTTTTGTATACGAAACTGTATGCGGAAGAAGTTGTATCCGGAAATAAATATTGTCGCCTCAGTCCTTATGTTCTGGTTACGAGTTGAGAATGGTAACACTAGTGTCCTTAAAGAAATTATCACATGTGGTAGATAAGGAATATCTTGACTAGTCGAATTCTGCTTGCTTGTGTCGCGTTGACTCCCCTAATCCGTCGCGTCGAGCCTCCTAGCGAAGAAGCATGTGTATAAAGACAAGACAGCTTCCGGGTAACAAACGACTTAATCTTTCACTAATATATCAAGAAGGCTCTTTCACTCAGTATATTCCCTTATCTAACCTTATCATGGAAATAAACTAAATTGTGCTAATCCTCTCTGATTGTTATTATATATAGTCTTCGCCTCAGCCAGCTCTTTCATAATGAGTTCCCGCGGGTGTATACGCTGTGTGCATGTGAATGTGGAGTGCGACTGCCTTGGCCCTCCTTGCAGAAGATGTCTTCGGCTTGATGTTGATTGCGCATATGCCTTACCTCAATTCCAATCACCTCTCCAGACGCAAGACGGCAACATTCCAGTTCAGGCAGCTCTAGAGCCTGAAACTTCTGCACTTCAACCTTCATGCCCACATGTAACGACTGAGCGGGACACCAAGTTCGCTTCCTCCTCCAGATCTGAATCTCGCAAAGTGAATGCCGAGGCCTCCAAACGCTGTCGTGACCCACTTGAAAAAATACAACATTTAGAGGGGGAAAATCAGCTGCTCAAAGAGCAGTGCCACCATCACAAAGTGTGGATGGAATATTACCACGGTTATCTCTGTCTATATGTACCAAAAAATGAGCTGCCACCCAGGCCGTCAACTCCAGGGAAGGAATATGGGCAATGAATGGTGCTGGGATAAGAAACTGGACGAGGAAAGACTTGAGCTTCCTCTGCTATATTTCTTCTAAACTTCAACGAGTTATCAATACAGGAAATAGTATTCTTCATTTGATCTATACACATGAAGTTTCTTCGACATCAACGTCACTCCTCCAAACCCGGCTAAATGGAGCCGACACGCCATCTTTATCGTACCAGTCTTGAGTGGCAAGTAGACAAAAGTGGCATAATTTTATCAACTAGTCTGTGAATTCTATATTGTACACAACCTTAAATGATAATCCTCCTGAGGAAACTATGTATTTCTGGCCAGTTTATGCATCGACGAACAAGTAGAGCAGCTCAGTACATCTGGTTTCTCAATGGTTCGGTTTCCAACTTCAACTGCCACACGACAATCTAGGCCGCAACGAACAAGAGTAAGTAAGCCGATAAAGGTGGTTCGTATGTGGCATTCAAGCTAAGAGCTTATCTAAGCTCTTAGGCCCGAAAAATTGAAGAATTATTAGGCCACGAGGTCTGAAATACTTAACCCTCCGTCCAGTCCATAACAGATTCTTCAATTTCTTCTTTATTGCGGTAAGGAGCAGAATTCTTCTACGGACTTCCTGGACTCTGTGGCTTACAACAGAGCATCTCGTTTACTGTGCAAACGCTCATATGACCGGTATTGATGTACCAGGAAATGTCAATTCCGTGCGAATTGGACTTGCTATCTGGCTCCTCATGGGCAGCTGCGCGTCGGAAAGCCAATAGCGAGGCGTCGAGACGATTTCGAGACGAAAGACATCTTATACCCCTTCCAGAAGATATGAAAGGTAAGTATATGGTTTTAAGTATTCCTTACCTCTGCTAATGATTTTAGTTGGTGTCTTAGATATGCGGGAACACAAAGACACGTATCTCGTTTGTCCATCCAACGAAATACTCGACCAATGCCAAAGACTTTTCGGTTCAGGAAAATCAGAATTTGAACCGCAGCAGGTGTTTATCGTGATGAAGATGATGCCAAGGACTGATGGTGATTTCTCCAACGAGCTTGACTTCCTTCTTCGCATCATGCAGACAAGACTTTGCTCGGATGGCATTTATGACACGGATGAGGGCCATCTTATTCGGCTCGCTATTGCATTTTCCCGCAGGATTTCCCTTCAGGAAGTCCCGCTTCCTCATACCGTGAAAAATGAAGGATACCTAGTGGACATTCAAGGTGTTATTCCTGGAATCTGGGAGATAAAAGTTCGCTTCCCTAGTCCAGGGTATGTTACACCCGTGCGAGGCAGCGTAGCGAAGCTCATACAACATATCACCTACATAAACTCCAACCCCCCCTCCACCAAAAGTGCTACGTGGGAAAGGTAAGAAGCCTGACTAGAAACTTCATTTCTACCAGTCAAGCCATTCCTTCCACTGAGGGATGCAAAGACAAACAATACATGATGAATCATCCTGGTGGAAATGGGAGATTTTCGGGTTGGAGGAATACAATATTTAGTTTCATGTATCTATGTGGGAAACTTCGAAAGTGTTACCGTATTATGTCCCGAGGATTTAGAAAACTAGGATTTCAAAATCGTAAAATGTAGTTTGGGTGCATGGCTTACTAACAAGTAGTTCACTGAAGTGACATTTCGAGTTGGCGACCATGTAAAGACCCTCCGTCGTCCTTGTTGTGCTGGAATAATATGTCCACACCCACTTCGCAAGCTTAGACCATGGCGGTGGTACGGAGCTTGGCATACTTTCACCATCGGATGTTCATTACCCGTTTAATGAACAATCGGCTTTCAAATTTCCGTTATCATGGGCCCATTGGCTATAGAAGGTCCCATTTTCTTTGGGGAACTCGATTTTCGACGAACCAGCTACCTTGGTTGGTTTGGGTATATTTGATAGCTGGCAAAACCATTCGCATATGAGATATGTTCTTAGTCAAACATGTATGAGGGTCCTCGATATTGCCCGTCATGGCATTGGTTCTTGCGAGAGGACATGAAGACACAGAGAACGTATAAAAGCTTCCAAGTCCCATTGGTTACTGTCAATAGAAAACACATGTCCCAGAATTCCAGTTATTCGGCCCGAGGAGCAATACAACAAGATGGAAAATCGACCTCTGGGAGATATGAGCCTGCTAAACAAGCTTTTTCGTCTCGAGAGAGCACCAGAGCTTCCGTCCAACTTCAGAGAGTCGATTGTTGAAGCGCACCTTTTTCGAGGGCCTCTCGGTTCACACAATGCACTCCATACCTTCCAAACACTTTGCAAAGATGATCCGCATACTATTGTTGCGGAAGCAATTAGTGGTGCATTCAAAGACCCGGCGCTGCGAGAAAGCATCGAAACTAATTGGGTGCTCAGTTGCGACTTTGATCGTGCGAGTTCCCAGGAGGAAATATTGGACGAAAGCGCACCTCACGATCTTGCCTCCTGGACCATTTCCAATTGCCTGGAATGCTTCAAGTTTCTAGTGGAGCATGGCGCCGTTCGAACCTCTTCTTTTTGTCGGACAGGGGAGAGCTTTTTCCTACTTGCGATGAAAAGTGAGAAACGGGAGGCAATGGACATTGTTGTTTCTACCATCGACTACAAGGAGGTTTTCCAGCCGTTCTGGATGAGCGAGCCAGCAGGCGACAGAAAAACAATTCTACAGGCTTCTACATATAATGAGCCGGTCTTCCGAGCTTGCTGGAGCCGGGTGAGATCGCATCCTTACGCCCCTCAATATACGCTCGGGCCTCAAGAGATTGGACATATATGTCGTTTTGTGGACGTGAAGCTCGCAGACGACCTGCTGCAGCACGGAGTGGACATAGCAAAGCCACATCCAGAAAATCTGCATCCTGGTTGGCTAGAAATTGTTTGCCAAAGCGATGCTAGCGCGATGCTTGACTGGTTCTTGAGACGCGGCTATGCTCCACCCGGATGGTATTTGACTTATGCCGCTGAACATAATTGCGTGCATGCCATCCAATGGATATTACTTCATACGGATGATTATCATGACTGGGTTCGGGCAAGCTTCGTTTCCGCGAAGCACGAGAATGAGAGGAGTGTTGAGATGCTAGAGGCAATCCTACAGTCCTCTGTTTCGAAATGGAAACCAGACCGACGCCTGGCTGAAGATCTTGCAATTACAATTGTTGACTCAATGTGTGACGAGAGCGAGTTCCTTCACAAAAATGTCCAGTACATAAGCCCCGGCGGTGCTGGTCCTACTCTGCGCGAAATGCTCTGTTTGAGGGAGAATATTGCTATTCGGAAGCTCGAAACACTCCGCGATGTGCCTGGTGGCGTCAGTGTTGTGGGCCTGAAGATCAAGACTAGTGCAGCTGGGCTCCATGGAGTAACAAAAGCTCTGGAAAAGTTGGAGCCGTAGTTGCGACTTCGATTTCATTCTTTTCGATGCTTAGGATTTGCTGCTTAGTCTCGTACTGTAACGCTGCTAGAGAACAGTTTCTCAGTATTGGCCTCTATTATAGCTAGTGGCGCATTCCATATCTGAATCCATTTTATCATCTGAGATATATATGGTAGACTAAGCCTTCTAACTAAATCTCCTTACTGGATATACACATCACTCGCTGGACTGAATTGGTATGGGGTCATATGGCGAAGGAGAGCATTAGGAAAGCTGTTACATGTTCGGGTGCTTCAAGTCAGAGTTTCTGTATTTAGTTAGACGGGGATCTGGTGGCTGGTGACTATTCCCTAGAAAGGCATGGATCGGAATATAGAAGAAGTACATATCGCAGGATCTAGGCTGTCATAGACCAACAGGCTGAGATTGATCTAACTGATGATCGGGCTCTAAGTGTGGCCAAACATAACTGCTGCCAGCCCCTCCTGTGAGCGTATACTTTAAGACTCGGTTTTCCAGACAAGGCGGGCGCCCATTGTTGACATTTACTCCACTCCATGAATTTCTGGGGATACTTTCAATGTTTCGGGCTCCTGAAGGTACATAACCTGGGATCACACACCCTTGTGAATGACGCTAATATTTTACGAGGCCCATCGAGATTCCGAGGAATGGAACGGAACCTCTGGCCAGGAAGAAAACGCCCATTCCCACCATACCGGCCCCCTTTCAGGGGTACACACTGCCACACCTACTTGGAAAGTGAGCACACCAAACCAAGAGCAATATCAGCAGAAAATGACCATGGGCTTAAACAACACCGACCATGAACATAAAAAAATACTCAGAGTGCGGACTATCCACCACAATGTGGGAGAAGAAAACGGCAGGCCCTTCTCCACTGTTGAAGTTGAGCTCAGGCTAGACGATAAGGTAATAATGACCACTATGAGGTATGCTGAGGTCATGAGCACGGAAGGGGGAAGGGAAGAAGTGGCAAAATTCAGGCCCGTGTATAACTCTTCTATACTTTGACCTTAAGCTTGCACTCCAACGACAAACCCGACCTGTATTTCTACGGAGATGTAAAGATGTCTTGGTGTTGCCACTTGAATACGCTACGAGGTCAAGTGAAACATTGCCTGCCGTTGTTGAAACTATTCTCTGCCTACATTTCGACCTTCTCTCTTTGTCGGAACCGCCTTACGATTGTTGCAATTCATCCTGGCGGAACGAAGGGAAGACTTGGATCACCCAAGACTATTGAACTCAATTATAAACGTTTACCACTTCTCAGCCCTCCTTGGTTTGCCTTATCAAAGGGCCTATTGATGCTTTACGTTTGTGGCCACTGGCCCATAGGTAGTCTAGGTTAAAAGAGCACTGCTGCCTCTTTCCCTCGTCCTCTAAAATCGATATCAAGCAAGATAGGCCGCCAGACATTGCCCCCTGGCACCTGTTACAACAATGGAACGGTCCCGCATGATAGCAGACCCTTCATGCTTCATCAAAACACGTCTCTCCTTTTTCCAACTCCTTCTTCTTCTGTCTTACATCCATCTTGAGTCATCTTTGCCAGCATGCATTGGAGACACCCGGCAATTGCAAGACATCCTTCGCCGGCAAGAAGATGAATGGATCCCGCGAATTGGCCAAGAAACCTACTTTGATATGAAACAAAGGGCGTGGACGGACATGAATTGGCAGACGCGTCGGGCCTGGGATGCGACTCGCAAGCACTTTCTGCAACAAAAACTGATCGACCACACAATGTCAAGCAGAGGCTTGCGGGAATATCTCTCCAACCTGCTGCGCGGTATCGAACAGGTATCGGCACAAAGCCTCAATGCAATTAGCGCCAGGAGTACACTGTCCAGCAGCAAGCCCCGCATGTCGCTCTCGGAGAAAGCCAACCTCGCGATGGTGTGTTTCAGCGTTGGCGTGACCGCAACACCAGGGAACGGCACTCCCCTGGAATCTTTACTGGTCGATCCTAATCAGTATTTAATCAAAGAACTCGGTTCCGAGCTATGCGTCTCCCCCTATTCAAGGGCGGTGTATCACTTTCTCAATTGTGGAACTCGTGTGCGTCATTGGATATGTTGTTTTGCCCTGGGGAGTGCCGCGCTATAGGTCACCATGCAATTTCTGCGCGGGAACCTGTCTACGACATGAAGGCGACGATGATCATTCGAAGTCAAGAGACTTGGACATGTCAATACAGTCGGTCGGAATTCTGCGACACTGTCGATACCGAGCCAATCCAGAGACCTAAGCGAGCGTGGGAGCCCTATTTTGGGAATATTGAGGGGGTTGATTCTACCAAGCGACGAAAAGTTTCCTCTCCAAAAAAGGCACGGAAGCAGGCGGACACCCTATTGAGACTGTAGTATCATACAATGCACTGACACGAGTTGAGTTTTGTACCAAAACCCCTCTCTGTAAACAGGTTGAGCACGGTGAAATGATTGAGAAGTAGACTGAGAGTGTTACGGTGTGGCTATACTGATAGGTGAAGTGCAGGTCGGAATGTTCAGCTGAGACGTTGTCGGATCAACACTGGCCATCCATCTAGGCCCTGCACCTCGAGATGCCAAAGGCTTGGACTAAAAACCACTAGTCGAAGCCTCATTCCGCATCTGGTTGAGCATTGCTGGTGTCTCCTGCCTTAGTCTTTAAAGAGGAATAGCGAGGGCCCGTGTGGTCATTTTCCAAATGTAGAACCTGCCCGAGCAGGTTCCCATCTCGGTTTAAAGGCCATCCAACAACCGACAGAGGCCAGCTCGCATCTTCTACACCATGGCGGAACGAGCATTCTCTTACCTAGGCGATGATAAATCTTACATCTCATATCTTGAAACTCAGCTTATGATGGCGCTGTCCATGATCACCAGGGAGGAGGATACCATCCCGCAGGAGCCACAATCTCCCCGCAGCATCCAGTTTGTGCAATGCCACCCTCAAATCGACAGCCAATCGCGGTTTAACCTTGACGGAAAACCCGCAAAGTGGAAGAGACAACTTGAGGATTTTATCTGTGCCATCCCTTCTGAAGCCCAATGGGCTGATGCGAGAACCAAGGCGGGGATTCACACCAAAGACAGGAATCGATATGCGCTGCGATTAATGCTCGGTCATGCCGCCGAGGCGCCTCTCAGCGAAGTCAGGGGCAGTCCTATAATTTCTCGCGTTACACACACTGAACACGAAGGTCTCGTGCTTAGAGGCTACCGATACGCCGATTTCATCAACAGCTGTGTGGATGATCAGAATTTCACGATATCAGTGGTCGCTTTCCAGAAGCTGATTTTCGTCAGTTTTTGTGTGGTGATGTTACAGACAGGGATTTCCCAAAACACCACCGATAATATGATGAGACACTACTTTCACCAATGTAAGGACCAAAAAACGCTGGAAGGGTATCGTCACGGTGCGTTGTGGGTAAATAGATGCATTGCGGCGCTCCTCGCAAATGGCTGGGGCCACAAGAGTTGGGAAATTTTCTTACTCGGTGAGTCGCTGATAGCCTACATGAAAGTGACAACCGTTGACAATTCTTCTTCGTCCAGAGGGTCGGTCACCTGCGCAATTTGCCCGGTTTGCCGCCAATGAAAAAGGCAGCTATGCGCAAGTGGCAAACCGACTGGGGCAAACCAAGGTGCCGGTCATGGAACACGACTGGATTCCGTATTGCATTCCTTGCATCGTACAACAATTGGCGGGTGAAGCTATCGGGCAAGTAACCCAATGCACATATTGGGGATTTCACTGACACATTATATCAGGCTGGAGCAGATCTGCAACATTCTTGGATACGGGACGCTAGACGACTCGCCGGTCTTGCAAATATCCACTCAGTTCACCGATTCTATTGGATATGTCACGCACGAACCCGTTCAGCAACTCATGCTTCCCGAACCATTGCAGCAAATTCCCCCTGGAGCTCTAAGCCCTTTCCAGTTGCTCTAGCTCCGGTGGCCCCTCTCCCACGACGAGGAAATCTGCCTCGCGACTGATATAAACGTCTGTATGGAGGATATGATAGTATCCGACCAGGAGATTGTGGGGGGCGCCTCCGCGGAGATTGATGATTCGTGGAGTGTCGGAGACGACTTGGATGGGGATCACGTATGTTTCTTGATAGGCAGAGACGAGCTTTGTGATAGATCCTCTGAACATCCGGCACCGACATCCCTATTTCGGTTAAAAACAACCAGCATTCGATTCTGCATGACATACTTCCCGGTTCATTGCCCTCAGAAGAGGGTCGATTAGGTCGTGTAGGCGTGTTATGTCGTATACACGGTGCCCATGTTCGTCAACTGCGTAGTCTACCCCCTCAAATCGATCTATAGAGAGCCAGCTCGCTAGCTGTCGTCGGCAGTTCTCGGCCTCTCGCGTGAGGAGGATGGGGCCCACCATTCGCGTCCAGCAGGGATCATCCCTTGCAGGCGATCTGAAATTCCCAATCTGCAAATGAACAGATCATTAGTGAATCAAAATGAAAGTGAAAGATTCCGAGCATATGTACCATCGAGTGGCTGGCTCTGTTCAGTTCGGCGCCGTCAAGTCGTCCATGGTTCGTGGGTGGTTCGTGTTTGAGGGGTGGATCATGTTTATCCACGTGACGGGCACGTGAATGGATTAAATGGTAAGAGAGGATCCAATCACGGCCCCATCCAGAGCCGGTACAAGGGCACAGATCGCCCTTTTGCGGCGGGCTGCACTGAGTGTCTACATTTTGGTACACGAAGTGCAGCTTCTTGAGCAGAATAACTGAATCGAGGTAGCCACAAACTGCTAGGAATTGTGCTTACCGAAAGACTGAGGGCTTCCGAGACATATCCGTGACACTCGCCATTGCCGTTCGAGGCTCGAAATATATGAACGGCTGCTATGTCCTTGCCAAATCTACCCAGCATTGGATTTCCTCTACTACAATACAAGAGACATATAACTTCGCCAATACCATCGCGGCCCAAAAGAACTAGATCGTGGTTTTCTCCTTATTTGTTATGGAAAAAACACAGCTGCAGGTAAGCCTCGGTGCATACAAATACTTCTTTCTACTGCTAATCGGGCAGACTTTGAGAGTCTGGATGCCTGGGACCTGTGAGAATATCACGGAGACCATCAGGAACCAAGGCCTCGATTGTGTCGTTCTGGAGGCAGTCATACTTGCTGATCATTCAATGGCACGAGACATACCTCGTGGCCGCCCGGAAGGCTCACTTTTGGTGGACTTGGCCGTGGTTGGGGAGGCGATGGCTCTTGTCCGTGATCACTTTTCAGACGTTCTGTTGCCGCTAAGCGATGTCAGCTTGATTATTCTTGGGGAAAATTCGGATGTCCCCGAAACGCAGACGCTCCTCCGACACTATTTGGTCCATAAAAAGTATCTGCAGCAGTTCGCGAAACGAAAGGTCGAAATGCCTCAGCCAGACTTAGTAAACCAATGGTTCGACGGGCGTCTGTATGAGATAAGTGAAGACATAAGAAAGGTTTCTGAGAATCTTTGAACGGGGCATGCGTTTTGTAGATACATTCTTGGAAAACTTCGCTACTGCGATCAATCAGATGACATAGGCCCCATCTTCCCAAGCTATACTCTATCAATATATCTTACGGGTTGAAGTTGGAGCCGGTTCACGCATTGCTCACGCTTAAATGGTTGGAGGGGACGGTGCAATGACTCGACCACCAGCAAGTGGACCACGTTCCGTTGAATCAGAAGCTAAGCCCAACATAATAATTCATGAAAGGTAGATCAGTACAACCTAAGATGCTCCTACTATGCACTGATATGGGACTGCTGCCGTGTTAAAATTCAATGTTTGTGTAGCAAGGAAGTCTGAGGGACTTGAGATCTTTGACAATGCTGCTCTCCTCAATAGGTTTCTAGGACACAACGTTACACGTTCACTTAGGTGACTAAAATCCCCGGCACCTTCCGATGTCACCTCAGTAGCCCTATCAAATGATTCAATCAAACAGCGGATAAAGACAATAGGTATGGTTGATCAGGATTTATGTAACTCTTCGATGAAATCATCGCTGTATCTGCTTTAAAACTAAATCAGCCTCATAATGAGAACCAGGAAGGCCGAGAACATAGAGACTCACAGGTCATGTTCGGCTAAGTGGCTGAGATGGATGCAACATAATGGAGCAGAAGAACATCGTATTGGTAGTTGCTGTCACCCTCGCGATGATGCTCGTTGTCCTTGCTATTGATGTTGAGAATAACATGCTCCTCTTCTTTAGCCTTGCTACTGCCAGGGCAATTATGGGCTCCACCGGTCGTCTTGATCCACTGACCACAAGCAGAACATCTAACAGCCATGACGTTTGCAAAGGTTATAGTTTCGGAAGACAATATCTCAGTCAATAATGAGTGGACTCTGGAATTTCAAAGTTGGAATCGGAAGACGCAGAATAGGGCGCTTTTATAGACGATTCTCTATAGTGCTATTCGAACATCCAATCGACTGCTTAGTTGCGCAGGAAAGTGGTCGTGCTTCGCTTTGCGTTTCACCACCAACCCCTCATAAAAAAAACAGTCTGATTCGACCAGAAAACGATGAACTCCGCCATAGCCTTACGCCGTACGCTGCGCTCGCGCCCGATCGTAACCGAGCAGCGAATAGAAAAAAAGGGGTGATGTTGTTGGATCATCGCATGGACCCATTATCACGCACCGGGATGTGATACCACGGACATGGGCGTGCGGTGTGCCACGTCAAGAATGCCTTTGATCCATTGGTAGTTTTACCCCCTTAACGCCCGTGCTACGACAGTCTGAGCCACCGCCAGCCAGATCGCCAGATTTCCCTGTTGCGCCTCTTGCCCATTAGTCAGAGACATCGTATTGACGTTGTTGAAGTGGGGTCACTCTGACTGCGCACAAACTTGAAATAAGAAGTTGCCCCTCTTTTGTTTCCATAACACTCTTCCACCCGTCATATCAACAAAGATGAACCCATATGAAACGGACCCGGACAAAATTCCTACAACCGACCTATATGCGGATGTGCCCTTTTATGGTCGCTACTGCCCCAAACCCGATGACTTCCGCGTTGATCTCCAGCATGTCAACTCCGAAACCACAGAGTCACTGAAATACTGGGCATCGGTTGTTAGTCTCTGCACCGAAGAGCTTCGAATTTACCCCGCTGACAAAGGCGGGCGCGATGTTTTTGCTCTTGGAAGTGTGGTCGTGAAATCCAGTCATCTCCACGCATGCGAAGGTGAAACAGAGATTGACTTCTCATATGCCGATGCAAATGAGATTCGAGCAATTGCTTTGGCCAAATCCGTGTTGAAGGATGTAAAAGTTCCAGAAATCTATTTTTCAGGCAAGGTACTTGGACTTGCTAGTCGTTCGTCGGTCGCAATGGCTTACATTTCCTCAGATCAATGGTCGCCAGGTGCTGGCCCAAGAAAGGCTTCCCGGGGTTGGATTATCCGTCGCATGGCCGTATCTACATCGAGCCCAGAAGAATTCATATAAAGAACAGGCCAGGAAGGTACTCCATCAGCTTCACACTATCAAGCCCACAGAGAAACTTCAAACTCGCGTCCACGTTGTACCCGACCCTAGTATACTCAGTAATGGTCGGATCAATCGGTTAGAAGCGGACATTCTTTTTTCAGACACCGGTTGTGATCCAGATATGAGCTTCATGCATAACGATTTTACCCAGTCTAATTGTATTGTTGACAATGACAGGATTGTGGGGCTTATCGACTGGGAAATGGCTGGGTTCTTTGGCTGGAAGATTGCGGGGGAAGTCCACCGTCGGATCAGGACCCCCCAACGAGAGCATTTCGTGAATGCCAATCTGAGGGAGGAACAGCTCCAGGATATGATGTTTTGGAGTGATCTATATGATGAGGGTATTCCAGAGAAGTGAGCGAGGGAGATTCTCTAGTTTCCAGGGACATATTTGCGCTGTTCTATCCACTTCTTCGCACTTTGAATTTTGTGAGCGTCGGGATGCCCGACGCATTCGTATCGGGGAAGAAATACTTTGAAGTTCTTGCGAGAGAAACGAAATGCCTTTCCGGAGGACCTGTCTTTCCCTCTATGGATTCGATATTTTGGGGGATCAGAAGCCCGGCAAATTTACACTCGCAGGCCGCGGCAACCCTACGCCCCTTTTTCACCATTTCAGATATGGAGCAGCATGAAATTTGAAGGCGCCTCTTGAAACGGAACTGTCCGATGTGTGATGTTTCTGCCGCGCGCCATTTACAAAAGATGGCGATTGTAGGAGGAACCCTTGGGAGAAATCCTTTTATGAAGAAATATAGGCGTTGTGACGGATGACCCTGGGATTAGCCTCGTCTCGTGGTAGGATGCCTGAGGCATAATATTGGGTCGTTTGCACAATGCGTTTGCTGGGGACTTAACCCCTCTTTTTCTGGCGGACTGACTTTCTTTCTCTTTCCTTCTTCATCTTCGAGATTCTCGTAAGTAGGCACCGAATGAATGTGTTTCCTTCGAACGGCCCGCAACAGGCGTGACTTCAGAAACTGGAGTTGGATTCAGGTTTTAGGAGGGAAAGGGGGCGAGCAAATTCATCCTCCAATCTTCGGCTCAGATGCCATTTCACAGCAAGCCGTTCGTCAACTACAGAGAGTTTGTCAACCGAGGAAAGTCGAGATATCAGAAGCTTTGTCAAAGGAGATAACGAGGTATATGAGTTGACATATGCGACGTTGACGGATCCCTCTTAAGGATATCTGAGTCCGTTGCTCGACACAAACCAAGTCTGGACAGCGTCGCCAGACTCGCAGCTGCCGTTGGTGATGCAGACGTTGAACGTCTGCAGGTAGGGCAAGTGAATAGCACGCAATTGGCTACTGCCTACTTACTATGTAGTTTTGTGGATCGAGTATGGTGCAACTATGGTCTCATTCTCGTTGGCTGGAGCTCGGCCTGGCAACAATTGCAATGACCAAGCCTACAGCCCCGTGATCTATCTACGACCACTTGTCTTATCAAGAACTGATTTGGTGGTAGACTGACTTAGCCCCTTCCAAGAGTAAAATTCCACTCACAATGAGCTGCAAGGGTTCCACACCAAGCTCAATGTCCTTCGCTGGAATAGACGAGTCAAGGTGTGTTCAAGGCAGAGTAAACCCCTATTCCCGCGATCAAGTCATCCTAATAATGTCAGCACACGCCCCTGCAAAATAAAACTCGGCGGGAAAATCCAACCTTACACGAGACGACAAGTTCATCGCGCCCGAGTTTCCATTCAAATGACGTCTGAGAACTGGCCACCAAACAATCACCTTGCCACGCTGTTTGCCATCCAAAACTGTCTTTGATTTTGATTCCACAGATGGAATATCCGGCAGATGCGACTCGCATCCCAACCGGTGTGAGTGCATGGACCGACTGCCACTCCCCATCCTCGCTGCCAATTAAGAGGCCGTTGACCATAAAACCACAGAGACGTTGCGTATCAGATTCTTGCCTGAAAATAAATGAAAAATAGGCATCTTTGGGAACCCGAATGGAAAAGTGCTGGTGATCCCTCAAGTCGCCGTAACTGACGTGTCGTAGAAACGTGGTATTTGTCGGCAACTCTCGCCATGTGATAGGATTGTCCATCAATTTTCGCACAAACTCCATATTGTCCCATATGATCCTGTAACTAACAGTCATTGGGTAGCGGCTCTGCGGCATTCTTTGGAGATTTTGAATCAGAGTCGTCACGTTTGCCTCAGGGTCCAAGTCGTCACCAAGTAAGTATTTTTCACCTAGCTCCTTCCATTGTTCCGAGCACGGCCCAGTGGGCAAAACCGAATTGAGATTGACGACATCCTCGTCACGTTCCAAAAAGCGGTAAACCATTTGTAAGAGTTCTGGGGGCAAAGGTATGTGTGCCATGGCTCGATATTTCTTGACTGGACTTTCTGTTTTCAAAACTGCAAAGACGTCGGAATCAAGGGTGTCTATCTCATTTTGAAAGGGGGTCTGGACCAGGAAATCGCGAAGAAAGTCAATATGCTCATTGAATTCCTCAATCCACGCTTGATCGTAGTATTCCTTCCTGAAGACGCGCCGGGCGATTGACCAGCAATATTCGTGGATCGTGACTTCTTGTGATCGTTGTTCTTCAGTATGTCTTATGATGTCGATGTAGTGGCGGCGTACCAGCCTCCCCGTCCCGACACCGTTGTCCTGCTCCTCTTGAAGCAGGTAATGAGATGTCTGAATGTAATCGGTGGCGCATTTGCACAAGGGACATGTAATGACTGGCGGAGCAGCGTTTGCAATTGGTTGGAGGTCCAGGAATGGTGGGAGGTCCGGGAATGGTGGGAGGTCCGGCAATGGTGAAGGGGCTTGGGGGGTTGAAGTGTTCTCAAGAGGTGAATTCTCCATCGAGGCCGAATGAAACCTGAGCTGGAGGCGATTACACAAGAAGCCTCACGAAGAAACGAAGTCGCGCCAAAGAGCTAGGTTATCTGGAAGTTGCGGACGGCCAAAAATTTTGCACTATGGAATGCCCGGTGAATCAAGTTTGGCGAGTGCAATGATGTGCACGAGAATCGGGGCCGGGTTTTCCTTTAGTGGTTTTTGACGTGAGAATTTCTGGCCCCAAATGCGTTCCAGCCCCAATTGGCCCCAGGGCCTCGGATCGATCGGCCTATGTTTGGTCCCGTTACCAGCGGAGGGCCAACCAGCTACTGGCCACGACTGTGATGGGTGAAGGCATTGAAGACGCTAGCGAACACGACCTCTGAGTTGATCCTGGCACGATCATGAAATGGAAGCTGCTGGGATAGCGATCGGCCAATACAACATAGGGAAGGTATTGAGGGTAATACTGTAAAGCTAGGCGTCGCAGATGCGGGATCTTTCAGCGTAACATCCATAAAGCAACATATTTCATTCCTTGTGAACCGAATCACATTGGGATCCTCTTGGCAAGCAGTTGGTTGGAGGTGCGGTTGGCTGACCAATAACGCCAGGTTTGCAGCCGCCGTTGGAATCTAAAGTTTTCGGGTGGAGCTATTAATTTCGCCTCCCCGGGCTGAATTTTGGAACGCTGCCGCCCGGAAGGACTTCCCCGGCACTAGTTCGACCGTGTGGACCGCGACGGGATCCCATGGACGTCTGTACTTTTGTTGCCTGATGGTGCGTAAATTACAGTCTGCCTGGAGAGTTTCGACCTGGGGATGTACGGTATGAAAAAGTGAAAGTGCAAATACATTCTGACAACGAGACCTGCTCGTCTAAATACTGAACAACTCAATAGCAAGACAACATAAACCTCTATACCTCATCTGCGGTAGCGCCCCCGACGTTGATTCATCTCAAGTCGCTGCAATTTCTCTTCCAGAATGCGGATCGTTTTATCTTTTGAATTACCTTGTCTTGGATGTGTAGATCTTTTTGACCTAACACCGTTCCTCTTCATGCGATCCGATCCCGATTCGTCGCTCTGTGGATCCACGTCGTCCTCAAAACGAGCTCGAGCTCTTCCACGATGACGAGCTGAAGCAGGCACTCGCTTCTGTGCCTGATTGGTATAGCGCAATGAGGAGATGTCATTGTCAGTCTCAGTATCGGTTTCAATTTCAGATCGACGTTTCATCTTTGTATAACGCTGAGGCGATCTATCGTCGTCAAGGTCGATCTCACTATCAGACTCGTCCCAGCCATGCCTGAGACGATAGGCAATTTCGAGATCCTTTGCTTTTTGGTAGATTACTTGGTCGCCTTGATGAGAGGAACCGTTCGTGATACGTCTGACGAATTGCCTGCCTTCCAAAGTGAAGTTGCCATCTTTCCATTTGACCAAGGCTCGAGTTTGTGGAAACACGGAATGAGGCACCGGTTGAATAAATGACAAGGGGTCGATGCCTACTTCGTCATCATCTTCGACCTTCCAACCAATGCCGCGAATATCTTCGACATGCTGTCGACTAAACCGCCACTCTTCGCATAGGATTCCATCCTTCATAATTTCGACCTTTTGACTACCACGGGTCTTGGTCGTAAGAACCTTTTCAACGCGCTTTTGGTCATAGATTTCGTGAGATCCAGCTCTAATTCGATAAATCGGGGCAGAGCGATCACCATAGCGGACAAATATTTGCGAGCCAGTGCCTTTAGGCCACCAGTAGAGAACCTTTCCCCCATTCTGCCGACGTTGCTCTTTCATTGCCCTGGATTCTAATGAATCCAGGCCTGTTGGTCGATTTTCCATAGAGATCTCAGGGTCATCCGACCCTGAATAATCATCGGTAGATTGCTGCTCTCGTCTCAAATCATCCACATTTTGGGTTTCGTCCTCCGATGCTTCACTTTCCTCGTCGGAAGGGTCGCGAATTGTCGGATCAGGCCCGCATAGCCTTTCACACCAGGAGGGGTGAAAGTTCCAGCTCCTGGGTAGATGATGTCGCCGATTGAGCAGCTTGAGTAGATCGCGAGTCCGATGGAAAGCATCCCATGCCGCTTCTGGGTTGCCTCTTTGCGCCAAGATCTCCCTCCTGCAGGTATCTGCAATTGGATCGTACGCTCTAGGTGGAATAGTCCCTTCATCAAGGTCGGCTACTTGATGTTTGTGGTTGGCAGCTCGGATTTGTTGGTTAAGCCTCTCGAAAAATGGCCTGCAGGCACTGGCGTCAAGGTCTTCGGAATTGAAGAATTTCTCAATAGACCCGGCTTGATCGCCACTCGCCTCATCACGAATCACTTCTTTTACCCACCTTTTTAAGGGGATTGGCTTGTCCTCGGCTGGTGGGCCTTCATTCTCCTCTTCGCTCCCAGTCTCTGGGTCTGACCCTTGGGGATCTCCAGCATTGGAAGCAAATTCTTCCCCCGCTGATTCTTCATGGGAGAGGTTTCCCTCCTGCTCAGTTGTATTCTCTCTGTCTGTGACGGGAGTTTGAATATCTCGTGCGCTTGGTGGCTGGTTTCTGCGACTGTTGGGCTTCTTGCCCCTCTTGCCTCTTCCCATATTGGCCGATGAATGCGATCGCGTTGCTGTTCGCTAGACAATCAGGGCTATTTGTGTCTTAGTCCTACTCCAAAGATAACAAGGTAAAAGTTGGAAGGGGCCGAAACTGGAAGGAGCCGAAACTGGAAGAGCCGAAACTGGAAGGGGCCGAAACTGGAAGGGACCGAAACTGGAACAGGCCAAAAATGGAACAAATCAAAATTGGAACTGGCCAAAAATTGACCACCAGATGACGGAAAGACTCTGCCTCTAAGAGTCAATAACGACAAATCATAGACTCGGAGTCAATACATGTGACTCTAATGCATAGAATATCTCGAATGTTCTTCTAATTACAATCTCGAACGCAAATATAGATTACCAAAGTCTGTTTTTCTACAACCAGAAGCGCGCTTCTTGGCGATCTAAATACCCTGAGCGCCTGGTGTTACGCGTTTTTAACTGGCCACCGTGCATGGCCAACGTTAGGTCAGCAACTTACCAGTTGTAAATGGGTACAATAACGATATGTGCTGGTGTGCCAGAAATGGCCTTCTCTGCACCACTAGGGCCTCCTAGGAGTATTGACTCGCAACCGTACCATTGCTGTGCTAAGCCTTACTGAGGCTCGGGTCTTTAGAGTAACTCTGAAAGGCGTGCCAGGTAGAGCGCCAGGTAGGTCAGTCCGAACAGTTGCCCTAATCGTAGGAATTTTAGCTTGGTCAAACAGTGAGGATTGAATCAAGAGTGTATCCAAGTAACAATTTGTACTGTAATCGCATTGATCTGAGTTCGGGAAAAGCTCCTATTTGTGGGATAGAGGCTCTCGAACCTCAGTTACGTGTGGGTCCTCCGGAGGGCCAGATTCAAATCTAGAAGACACTTGATCAGGGTCATGCTCCTGTAGGCTGGTGCTTGAATACCTCGAGCATTCCTCTGTTGCTATTTGCTTTCTTTTGTTCGATTCACTTGCTTGCGTCTTATTATGTGCCATTCTGCCTGCTTTTGGAGTTTCCGGTCGAAAAGCAAACTTTCTACTGCAATTTATAGATCAGGGAGCTGACTAGTATAAGGTGTCGTTTCAGAATCAGCATATCAGTGATATCTGAAATAGATCTGGAATTAGGATTAAAAAGGCACATGCCCCCGCATAGTAGATGTATTGAAGTAACCTTGGAAAGATGACTGAGCAAGACGAAGAGGCTATAGGCAATCAAAAGCGTGCTTCATGGAGATCCAAATGCCGGGCCACTCTCTCAAAACATATCTGTAAGCCACTCGCAGATAATATGTTATGACCTCGCGGGCCATAATTTACCATGAAATTTAGCGGACCACCTGGGAATCATCATAGAGCCTGCAGAGGTTCGAATGAAACCGTGGAAGGAATCATATTACTGGCAGATTGATGACCCGTCTCTGGAGCCGTTATTCCAGAAACATTTAAGCAAACACTCGGTCAGGGCATACATTCAGCTTTGTCGAGAGGTGGGCAAAACATTCCGGGCCGTTCGTACACAAAGAGTGAGGTTCTATATTCTTTCCAACATTTATATGCGCAGAGCTAATGTATATAATTGGAAAAGGTTGATGAGCTATCCCCTGAAAGTCTAAATACGCAGCTAGAAGCAGAAAATAAAATTCTCGCTGAAAGGCTTAAGATCGTACAAGACCAGGCTCACTTCTACGAAAAAGCTCTAGAGGAGGCAGAGGCAGATAAATTAAATCAATCACAGAGTCTGAAAGAGATTCAAGCCGAGAACCAACGATATGAACAGGAAATACAGGCTTGGATTGCTACAGCGCATACTTACCAACTTCAACACATACAATGTTCGGATGCAATTCAGCGTATAATGCTTTTTTTGCAACAGCTACCCTTTGAAGCAAACCTCAGCTGAATGTTGAAAAATATTTATTTTTTAATTCCACTTTTTCACTACCGACAATAGGCTACCACAGTCTGATACCTACAGTGTAAGTGGATAGGCCTTTCCAGACATTCTCTGGGGCTCCTGTGATCTGCTACTCGAGTGCAGAACGATTATAGCCCATATACTGTAGTATTCCAAATCCATGGATAGATATTCAATGGGGCTGGAAGTAAATCATACACTCTGGTTTGTTGATACTGTACATCAAAAAGAATTGAGAACCATCTGCTCATCTCCTTCCGCCCTTCGTCCCGGTGCCCTTGTCCGAGCCCGGGCCAATTCGGGCTCAGGACCAATTCGGGCTCAGGACCAATTCGGGCTCAGGACCAATTCGGGCTCAGGGCCCATGTTGAGCCATGATGCTGGTTATGACATGGAATTGTCTACTTTGAATCATGTCCTTTCTTTCGGCCGTTAGCTCTTGTCGAAGACCCTCATGTACCTGACTTTTAAAGAACGTTTTTCGAAGAAAGAGTTGATATTAATATGGAAATATCCGGGAAAAAATCCGCCCCATCAAGCGCTCCCAACTTTGACGCATAGTCCAAGCCCCTGCGGAAAGCCAACAGCCCTCACTAGCTCCGAAGGTCTCCCTACCAACATTGGAAGATTTGCTATTTCATCATACTTTCGGGCTTCGAATTCTAACTGGATATACATCATGAATAATAGATGAGATGAGGCGCAAACTTGCACATTGGTTCGTAGGAGGAGTATGCTTGTGTACTCCTGGCCAGATATTTGAGCAGCTCGAAATTCAAGTCTGGTCGTTTGTGTAAGAGACAGATAAGATCTCCGCGGCACATCAAAAATTGCAGACGTGACGATACGTAATGGAGCATCATGGTGAATAAGTCACTATTTGTGCCTGATGCACTAGCAAGTTCGAATAGTCTCACAATGTCATTAATTCGATTTGTATCCATTGGGAAATCTCCAAGTGTATTTAAGAGCTTGTCCAAGCTGATGGCGGCAAGCGATATTATTCCATGCTTTTTTGCGAAGACATGGAGTCGCAGATGCAGGAATAATGTGTCGGGGTGTTTGCAAGTGAAATCCCGCTGCCCACAGGAGGGATGGCGGGGTGCTGATTCGAGAGCCCATCCCAAACTTCTTGACTTAGCGTGAACGGAGGCAGGGTTTAAAAAGGTGTTCCCCTTCAGATGAGGGAACTCTTGCCCTTCAGCACTAAATTGGCCTATGCAGTGGTCATGGTCCGTTCCATCTTCCTCAGAGTCACCAACGGATTTCGAAACGCCGACCGAGTAGTCACCACTGTAGAGATATTCACAAACTTGGCCAAAAATATCTTCGATGTTTTCTCGTACTCGGATATGATCTGAATTATTCTTAATCGGGCCAACAATTGATGCCAAGTCCATTTCCAAGAATCTCGCGTGGATATGGAACTTCTTTCCACTCGGGCCGACCGAGAGGGTGATGATGGGGGACTCAAAGACACTTAAATAAAACTCAGAACTAAGCTTCAAAATTCATTCGGGGGATTGTTTACTTACTCTGGGTCATATTGAGACATTTTTGAGACCGCACTTGTTGCAAACTAGCAGCATGGATTTACATATATAAAAGAGAGCCGTGAGGAGAATGAATAGCGATCGAAAATGGAGCAGGGGCCAGAAATGACCTGGAGCCGGAAATGGAACCGGGGCGAGAAATGGAGCAGGGGTCAAAAATGACCTGGGGCCGGAAATGGAACCGGGGCCAGAAATGGTAAAACCGCTGAGCCAGATTAGTCAAGGGTCTAGAAATGCCTACATTTGGGTCTGATAAATTATGAGAAAAGTAGAATCATCATTTTGGCCATAGCGACCGATCACTCGACTGTGATACAGAAGGAAAAGCTACAGTACAGACTGTTGACCACAAGAATACAATACCCTTATTCCCAAAAAAAGAAGACACATAAGCAGAGTAAGTGCACCTATGCTACCAGAGGTCTCACGAAAATTGACCGTGATATGTTTTAGAATGAAAGGGACAGTTTCATGGATATGTGTCTTTTGCCATGAGAAAGAATCTCGAAAGGCAAAACTGAAGATTGCATGCTATGATCCAAGTTCTTACCTGACAGCCCTGTGGTCGTTTCTGATTCCCTCCAAGCACCGCGTCAATCTGCACACTGTATGTAGAGGATGCTTTAAAGAGAGAAAATCTTCTCTCATCGAGGATCAGAGAAACCTCATCGCTCAAGAGAGGACTCTCGTAGGTCATGAGCCATCTGTTTCATGGTTTCAAGAGGAATGGGACTTCTGGTGCTCAACAGCAGAATGTGCCAAAATAAACATACTATTAGAGCAGGATGGGGAACTTTTTCTAAATCTGTGGACAACAGCATCTCTTGGCTAGCGTTTGTACCTGTATCTACCTAGGTATACGTACCATTATTCCAATTCATAAGTCGACATCCTTAGAGATGGATCACATATATGTCAGTCACAATTCAAAAAGTAATAACATATTTTTAGGCTTTGAACCGTTCCATTGACAACGCCGTGACTTATATCCGCTTGGAGCCCAGTCTATCTAATCTATGATGAATAGGTACGTACCTTAGGTATCTATCAGCTATGAATTAAAAGCTCCACCAGGGCACTATGTTTTGATATAGTATTGAGAAGAGTGTAAGGGTGTAAAGCTCTATACAGGGATGATTCTTTGATGAATACTACTTCGGGTGGTACACCGCAGTACCGTGATAAATAGGAAGCAGTGCATTTTCAGTTCCCACTAGTATTCTATGGTTGACTGTGGACTCTCGGTGATGATGGTCACTGAGTCCGAATCATCTTCATCGCAGGTTTCTCCATGGCACACAGATAGCTTTGCAGACTCAGAACGATATAGAGCCTCCGCAGCTTGCTCCAAGCCCGCTTTCAGCTCCTGTACGGTTTCTTCCCGGGTGTCAAGTGTTGACTGGAGGTATTCGATAATGCTGCGTAGCTCCTCATTCTCTTGTTGTAGATTTGGGCAGTCCCGCGCGGCAGCCGCAGAGTGATTGTCATTGAATCTTCCTACCAATGCTTCGATCGTGGGATGCATGTCAGAAAGTTGCGACTCCAATTCCCGTACTTTGCTTCTTTCTATCTCCAAGTCCCGACCCATTGCCTGACATGTATCCGATACGCATCTTAATGATGCTTCATGCTGTCTTTTAATGTGTTCGTAGAGAGACATAGACTTTTCGAGCTGAAGGCAATGACCTCGCAGCCTATGATATGCTCCGGAATCTCCGTGGATTCGCTGCTCAAGACGCTGTTGGTGATTCCGTGATTGGAGCTGCTGGCGCAGAAGTCTTTCTATTAGCTCGGCATAGTTGCACGAGGCCTTGATTTTGCACGGTCAGATTAAACTGTAAACTTAAGATCTGTCAACCCTACCTCGCTATGATTCCTTCGAGACACTGGGCCTTGTACTGCATCTTGTGGATTCATTGATGAAATAAATCTTTCCTGTCGAATAAAGATGAACCATGTACCTTGATTATCTGGGATATAAGAATGCCGAACTGACATCTTTTCTATTTGGCATAGACCGACGGCGAGATGCTAGCTATCGCAAGCCGATCTCAGTTTTCAGTATCGGGTCATGGCGGGACGGTATTGGACCAAGGCTGGACGGTATTGGATCAAGGCTGGACGGTATTGGATCAAGGCTGGACGGTATTGGATCAAGGCTGGACGGTATTGGATCAAGGCTGGACGGTATTGGATCAAGGCTGGACGGTATTGGATCAAGGCTGGACCGGACGGTATTGGACCAAGGCTGAGATGCTGTGTTGATCCACACTCGCCGTGGTGACCACCACTGCCCATGGTGGGCGTGTTGGATTACTCCCGGGCTATCATAGGTGGAGCTGCCGAGCTCGCGGCCGCGCAGTGTGGTCACTTTAAGCAATTAAGACGGAAAGTGATCACCCTTGCTTTGGACTTGGCTTCTAAAATGTGCAGTGGCGGCACTAGCGCAAACTAATGTTCGCTCTAATGCAATATCAATACACGAGATTGGACCGGATGGTACTTTCCGGGGCTAGTGAGTGGGGGTGTCTCGTTCAAGGGACAGGGGCGATCTGGGGATCAGAAAAGGAGTCGGGGGGTGATGGAGCGACAAGGTACTTCCCCGCTCTTGGGCCTCAATTGCCATAATCACGTCATAGCTCCCACACTCACCCATTCGCTGTCCACCTTCATTTACCTAAATAACCTGAACCGTATATGATTCCCGTAGTTGCCTACCCAATTTATTCTGCTACGCAATATTTCAAGTAAATATGCAGCAGCAGCACCGCCGGTCGCGATCTCTCGACCCTATTGCCGAAGAGATCACACCAGCAGATCATTACATACTCTGCCGTGGAGGAAGCTCTTCCAGCCTCGATCTTCTGCCATCGCGACTACAATTCTCAAAAAGATCTTCTCCAGACCTCAGGAAGCAGATTGAGGACCTAGCCTACGAAACAAGTTATCTTCGAGCGGAGCTGAAATGGCATAAAGAAACAAGACAAATACTTCTTGATTTTCAAGAACGGGTTTTTGGGAATTTTCAAAGTATGGAGGATGCTTTAGCGCGCGCCAATGCAAGGCTCCAGGAGTCAGAACGGCGTTATCTACAGTTATGGGAGACCGATCCAGATGGAAATTCAGGTGGAAGAATTTGAGTCAAGATCGGTTCACATAAATGATATGTAGCGTGCCTTGATGGATCCTTTTGTATTTACTTTATCAATATATCAAATCTAGAAGTCGAGCAATCACGTGTATTCTACTTAGGGAAAAATCGACTAGCCAGGTCGCCGAAGCTTTCCATCACCTTGTTTTCACGCGCTAGGACAGTCTCCCAAACAGCATTCAATCTCTCAATCTGATTGGATGCACATCCAATCTTTTTGTGTAGGTCATCAATCTTCTCTGACAGGTTTTCGACCTTCAAGTTGAGGCTTTGGGTTATAGCAATTAGATTGGTGGTGGTTCCTGTCAACCGCTCCGTAAATGCGTTCACCGCGCGCTCGGCTTCCGCACATGCTCCCAGGTTTCCCAGTGTCGCGCTGTGGTTGCTCGGCGAGGACAAGAAGCTTTCACTGAGTTTCTGATATTAGGGAGGCAAAAAAGTTCTTTTCGAAGCGAAGACATACTTGAAAAAATTATTTTGGGAACTTTGATTCTCACAGATATCCATCGATTTTGGCCGTTCACCCGTCGTCGAGGCAGGGTTTGCTCCAAAACGGGAAGATGAACAGTCGAAGTCACCTTCCGTGAAGTCGTTAATCACAGAGGCAATTATTGCATCGTCAAGGGCCATGGAGGGTGAGAAGCCATCCCATTGACTGCTCTCCGCCTGGGAATTGTTAACTTGGTCTTGATGCCTCGAAGGTGCGGACATGGCTAACGAAAGACGGGAGCGGGGAAGTCAAGCTTGCAGGATAATAAATCTAGGTCCGTTGGAGAGCTTTTATAATTATTAGGAGGGTTCTAGACACAATTACAACTCTATCCAGGGTATGATAACTTCATCCCGAATTAGTTAATTAGTAGCACTGTCATGTATATATGTTCCATGTGCTCGCCAATAATGTAATTGAGGCTACTGTTGGTTGGAGACAGCGCTTAGGGACTAGATGGGATCGGTTCGTGACTCAGTACCTTGGGTGGGGAATGGGTCCGTCCTGATGCACACCCTTGCTAGCTTATGATACGTGCAGGGGGTTATCCCGCGTACTTTTATTAGTGCCTAGAGCAGGGAGGTAAGTCGGAAGTTACAAGGAATGACACTCAGGGTGAGAAATGGGTGATCGCTGGAAATTCGAGGCCACAATGCCTGAAACGGAGCAGTATTTCCTCTATTGTGATATAAGAAATGATGTCTCCCTTCTGTACACGCGGATTATACTCCATAAGAACTCGAGATGCATCACAAGGAAGACGTCGGTTGGTTAGACATTGGGATCCGTGAGGATCGCCGCCCCGTTATCATAGATCACGATCGACTGAGTCAGATCACCTGTGAATTGCCGGATCCCGAAAGCCAGTACCCATTTCTATGCTCTATCTTTGGGGATAAGCTCAAAAATCGAGTCCTCCAGGGTGTGTTTCAGTGCAACAATATCAAGCGCCATAGTTCAGACACCAGGATCAAGCTTCGGTATGACATATCGTCCTGTCATTCCCACAATCCCCTCTATTTTGCCGACAGCTTCACCCCTGCATCAAATGAATCGTTTTCGTCTCGAACGACAAGTGTTGGGGTCGGGCTTCCTGTGTTCTGGGAATGCAGCTCTGCCGGAGACCTTCTCAGCGCTCTTTGGTCTCAACTGATCTTTCTCTTTACCGAAGTTGTTTGCTTTTGTTTGGATGATATCGAGGATACCGACTGTGTTTTGAAATTCTTGCTTGATTGTTTGAAGCGAAAGCCCGTGCGACCCCACGCCACTGTAACTACCCCCCGGGTCATTCTAGTGTTTGAATCTCCATGCGGAGGACAGCTCTGTTCCACTGAGAGAATTCATCAAATCATACAGAACTCGGAGTACCAATGCCTGTCAGCTCAGTTCCTCACTATCAGAACAGTTGACATATCAGATGCCTCTCCCCTCTCGGCAGCAAGTTATCATCGGGTCAAAGCTGCAATCAAAGAGGAACTGGATATTTCCGGGGGCATGTTAGGCGAGGGCCATTTTCGTCCCAATGCTCGCCAACTGAAAGAGCTATTCCACGGAGCACTAGGACATCTCAGTACATCGCTTGATTTTCCCTTCTCATTTACAAAGTTCGTTAGACAGGAACGTCCTGTAAGTCGAAGCTTGGGATCTCATATAAGGTCATACTTTGAGATTGGTGCTCAAGTCAATGTATCTGCACATGCTCTTGCTCCGTCCATCGCGTCTGCCCTTTTAATGGATCACTATGTTCCGGGAATGCTAGGTGAGTTTCATATCTGCGCGCATCGACGTGTACTAACCATTTCAGTATCTTCCCCCAAGGACGTTTTCCGGTCTTTATACCGACCTAGAATGCCAGAGGAGCACTGGATTCCAGCGGGGGTTCTAGACCGGATCGAGTTTGAGTTCATCTCATTGTTCGATTTCATGGTCCAGGCCTCCTGCTCCTCGAGCTCCCTACGGAGAGATTATTTGAAGTCCCAGAGTGGAAGGCTGTCTCGCTTACGCACGAATAAGATCTGCTTATACTGCGTCATAGGCGCCGCCCAGCATACTTTAGGGTGTGGTCATACGTTATGCGATCGATGTGCCCAAATATTTGGCACTCCAAATCCAGGACGAGACTATCAATTCACCGTTAAGGGCTGCCTGTGTTGTCTTTATCAGCGTCCACTCATAGTGGACGTTCTTCCTCTTACACAGAGTCCCTCTATATTGGCCATTGACGGCGGTGGTGTTAGGGGAGTTATCCCGTTGGAGTTCCTCACCCTTATCGAGGAGCAGTTGTTCCCATGCCGAATCCAGGATGTTGTCGATCTTGCTCTTGGAACTAGCTCAGGTGAGTCAAGGAGAAGTGCTCGCAAGCCCTGTTGCAGACGTTTAACTTGATAAGGTGGCCTTATATCTTTGGGGCTGTTTACAATGTCATGGAGGGTGAAGAAATGCTCAGCTGTCTTTGAGGATCTCGCCCGCAAGGTGTTCAACCAACGCCGGCACTCGATCATTATTCGTGCATTGAGTTACATTCACAAAAACCCTTTGATCGCCGAAGCGGCTCGCTGGGTCCATTGGCTAGTTCGTGACAGTTGCTATGATGCACGAGTACTTGATGCGGCGCTAAAACAGGTTTTCGGTGAAAATCGTCGTATATTCGGTGTCTCTCGCGATGACGCCAAAGGGCCATTACGTTCAGGTTCGAGAGTGGGGGTGGTTGCCACTAGTATTTCACAAAATGCGGATTCGTTCGTTTTTGGCAATTTCAACGCGGTTGATAGGATCGACGATTACAGCAAGTCAAGTTCCGATCCTTCACATTTATATAAAATCACTGACACGAACAGCTACAGATCATCGTATCATACGGCCTAACAACGTCGATGATGAACCTCTTGTTTGGAAAGGGTAGGTTATACCTCGCATCGAAAATGAAAGATCACACTGCTCACTCTCAGGGGGAGTCAAGAGCCAGAGCTACAGCCGCCGCGCCTTTGTGAGTCACCCGCATTAGTGTTGCATTAGTTTCGCGCTAAATAAACCGCCAGCTTCTTTACGCCAGTCGACTTGCAGGGTATCGGATCCTTCCAGGATGGGGGCTTAAAACATAACTTTGCTGGAGAGATTGCTGCCCAGCTGTGCGACCAAATCTGGCCAGATGCCCCTGGCTCTAAACGAATACTCTCCCTCGGCACCGGCAGGGTTGAAGCCTCCGACAACGCAACCCCGTACTTTCGTCATATTTTTCGCGATAGTTTTATTCGGCGAGGCTTCGACGCCTGGATGTCTACTATGGACACAGAGTGCGACTGGAGGCGGTTTAAAAATCAATTGAAGGAAAAGATAAGCTCCGACTTTCATCGCCTGAATGTACCACTCGGGAAATTGCCAAGCTCTATTGACGATATTGGAGCAATGGAAGATTACCGCAATCAGGTGCTTCTCCAGCCCGGCAGCGCGCGGATGGCACGGGATGCTGCATCCATGTTGCTTGTCTCCAGATTCTACTTTGTGATAAGTGGGCTGCCAAGGAATACAGCGACTCCGTTTTGGTGCCACGGGGTTATTCGCTGTAAAGGACCTAGCGCTGAGATCATTTCGGCTCTTGACCGCCTTTACCCAGACGGACTGGATTGTGTGTCCGATTCCGGTTTGATCGGTTCTTTCCCTGGCCAAGGGGGTATATGTCCATCATGCGCGTCTTTTAGACACCCCATCTCGTTCCTTGCTCGGCACGCTGATCACACCGTCGACGTCTTCCTACAAAATCAGCTGAAAAAACGCTGGAGGCTATCTGGCTTCCCGACAACGGTGGATCGCCTTGCGTCATGTCAGGGATTATTCTCTCCATTTGGTCGCGACGATCATGGATTTCCCAACAGCGCAGCATGTCCTAGCTGCGATGCTAGTGGTGGTTTGGCGATTGGTCGCCGGCGTAGGCGCGAATCCGCGAGCTCTAGGAATGAGGGGTCGAAAAAGCTGCGTACCAGTTCCGACTAGCCTTGGTGACGCACTTTGCCTATTTAGATTGTTGAAATGCCACTCAGTATTTTCAGTTTCATATTTCTCTTCTAAACTTCTATCCAAGCCCTACTACGCCTGACTAATACAATGGGTGCCGATGATCAACGACGTGTCGAACAGTCCAAGTTCAGGAAAAGATCAAAGACTTTGTTTTCAAAAGCCGAAGAACTCGCACGATTTTGTGATGCAAAGGTATATTTGCTAGTTGAACATAACGGTCAAGAGACGACCGTGTATAATTCCATGGCAGACAATTCATGGCCAGCCTCTAGCTACCTTCTGGTAACTTGAGTATACCTACTGTTATTTCCCGAAGTGTCCACTAAGGAAAACAGGAAGCTGAGTATCCTGAACTCAAACGAAAACCGGCAATTGCACAGAATGACCCCGAGGAGGGTGATCTACGAGAACTGAAACGGCTCCTCGAATATTTTGCCACACGAGCGGACCAACTCCGCTCCATAGCCACTTTATAGTTCCGACCTCAGAATCGATATCGAATTACCTTCCCCAGGTATCTGCGATTTCCGATTATTTCCCGACTCACGATGATCGCACTCAATTCCGAGCTCCTCAGGTCTCCAGAAGTCATATATACAGTTGCAGTTGCCTGCTCTCTGTTTTTCTTGATTGTCTGTCACATTACATCTTCCTTGCGGGCATCTTTGTCGTCTAGTTCATTTTTCTCGTGTATCCTGAGACCCTTTTTGCTTCAGCATCTGATTTATGCACGTTCATATGGACGTTTTTTTGGGTTGCGCTCTGTTTCGCGACTTCATTCAATAGTCACTATCGGCTACATCTTAGGCACGGCTGTGTGCAACTTCATTTCTGTTGATTCACTCTCACATGCTAGTCACCGAGCAGCTCACTTGTGTCTTATCAACTTAACACCGGCATACCTAGGTAGTTACGAGTTCGCTTCCCGCATATTGGGCGTGACCCTACGTACATATGGACTGGCCCATCGCCTATTTGCGATTGTTGCCTTCTTGGAAGCAACTACGCACGTGTCAATTGTGGCATACTCGCACTCTATTTCTTGGTCAAATGAGATGCACTTCTATGGCTTAATAGTAAGTATAAGGTTCTAAAAGCAGCGACACCCTACTCACAAGTGGCAGTCTGCCAGCCTCCTGGCGACTCTCTCAGTCTTTCCGATCATCAGGAAGAGAGTATACGAAGTATTTCTTACCACACATGTACTGTCAGCACTGGCAATGATCTATGTTATTTGGCGGCACGTGAAAGAAAGACCTGGGAAGCTTTGGATATTCCCCGTTGTCTTTGCCTGCGCTTATACCCTATCATTGGTCATGCAGCTGATGCGCGTATTCTATCGGAATATCGTGATAGGGAAGGACCCAGTGCGCCTTAGTCTTTCTTCGCATCGGGATGATATTGGTCGCATTACAATTTCTCTACCGCGGCCCTGGGTCGTCCGCGCAGGGGAGCGTATAAACCTTGGGGTGCCACATGTCGGTATATTCTACCTCTTTCAAAATCATCCCTTCACCATAGCGTGGTGGGAATGCGACTCGAAGGGTCGTGCCATCTCGATCTCAGTCCTGTTTCGCTCACGCTCCGGGTTTACCAAAAGGTTACTGGAGCGTGTAGAGCCCAACAAAGAATGTGGTGCCTGGGTCGATGGCCCCTTTGGACCCTCATCAGTCAACACAATATCTTCGACGGCCATTGGAGACTTTGGCCATGTCCTCCTGGTATCTACCGGTATCGGAATTGCAACACAATTGCCATACATTAAAGAGATCTTGGATGGCTATCATCAGGGAAAGGTTCGAACACGACAAATCTCGCTTGTTTGGCAGATAGACCAAGCAGGCGACTGGGAATGTTCTCGTAATTGGCTTCAGGCTTTGGTTGAACAGGACAATGGTTTTGTAGGTTTACAGCTGCGTCAACCTTATTTGTGCTAATGTTTATTGGCAGATGCTTTCTGTGACGGTTTACGATCAACTTCGCTCTGCTTCAGAGGATAGAACCATTGGAAGAAATGGAAACATACAGATATCTAGCGGAGTGGTGGATTGGGAATCCCGGTTGGAGTCAGAAATGGCTAGTCAAATTGGGACCCTTCTTGTAGCAGGTATTGAAAGCAGTGAGATAGTTCCAGATGAATCGGATGCTAATTTGGACTTATAGTATCCGCCCGACCGCAGGTCCGGCACAAAGTGAGAGAGCTTGTACGGAAGCGGGTTGGTCAAAAGGTTGAACTATTTGAACAAGAATTTCAGCCATGGAGCCAGACTACGGGGTTAAGAGCCTACCTCCGGCCGTAAATGCAATTTCATTCTTTCAGGCGTGGAAATGGAATGTTACTGTACTGTATCTGAAACGGACTTGACGTTTCCTTTCTTAGCGTTAGTTCCACCAGACCGACTCTGTTACGTATGCATTGAATAAATCATTAAACATCCCTTGTTGTCGGCCTCCCTTTGAAACTACAATCTCAGTTGCAAAAATGACAAACCCATCTCAAAGTCGCTATGTCCAACTAGTAATTCAGTCAAACGACGTGAGCTGGGAGGCAAATTTCCTTGCGAGTGTCTCTAATTGGCTGCTTCTTGCTGGTTACCTGGTAGTTCCCGGCACCTTCACATCCCTCGAAAAGTCTGAAAAGCTGGGAGGGGCTTTAGAGGAATCTTCCACCGGGCAGGCGGTTCTCAACACTATACAGAACCCTCCACTTCTTACAACTGCATGTTTCCTTTTCTGTATTGGGTCTACCACAATGGCGGCGCTTTACTGGAGGCAAAGGGGGAATTATATATGGCTTATGAACAAGCTTTTTATGTCAGTGAACACCACCCTGATGGAGCTGAATCTTATACATAGCATAGGCCGACACTTATGAACTCTCTCGCTGGCCTACTGACGACAACTGTTAACATATGCACCGCCAGAAGTGGAGATATGTCAATAATGGGTCTTTTAACAATTATTGCTTCGGGAATTTCAGCTATTTTCTCCGCAGCCTTAATTGCGTTCCTCTTTAGAGAGATCAAGCGTATGAAACAGGATCACCAGGCTATGGTTAGGTTACAGGACCTTTCTGTTCACCATGTTGAAGCACCAAGAAGTACCTAGTTCCGACGGCCTAGTTATTTATTTTACTTTTTCCTTTTCCTTTTATCATTTGTGGCTATATTAATGGGGGCCGGCTTTTGAACCCTACGGTTGGACTAGATAGCACCTCAAGTAACTGTTTAAATTCACGCGATTCCCACTTTCCCCATTTGCCAATGCTGAGATACGTCGTTTCTCGAAATTGGGTTGACCAATTCGCAATAAATCAAATTTTCCTGGCCCCACCACCAAGACCTTAGCGTAGGTTCCAGGTTAATCTTGGTGCAACGTAAAATGCATCCCGTATGGTACGGTATCTTCCTATTGAATAGGGGAACGCTCGATGGCAGCACGCGCTGAGTCGTGCGGGTCGATTCAGCAGAAAAACCACCACAAAACACACGCGTAGCAATCAGGAAATAGTGAGAATCCCAAATGTAGGGGTCAGGTCGGGGAGGTGTAAGAAGGTGTACTCTAGAACTAGCTATCCGGCCACTGTATACTGCCGGCTATGTCACATAGTCTGGATGGCACCCATGTAGTAAGGGGAGGGGGTCTCCCCACTACACTATGTACGATAATTTACACATCGCGTAGATACCTCATTAGGTTTCCATGGAAGACGATACTGGTTCTCTGCACATCATCCGTAGAGGTCTGCCGTGCGCATGGCCGATCCGCTGGGCGACTTCGATTAGCCTTCGCTCTGGAGAAGACCACGCCCCGCTTTTGCTAGTCTCGGGCTGACTTTAGATTTTTCGTACCTTACTGGCCCTTCCCTGGACTGGAATTGGAAGGAGCTCGGGAACCGCCCGGTGGGAAAAAGCAAAGAGTGATCAGCTGGGTGTTCGGAGACGATGTGTTCTCGCGAATCGAAGCCGGGTGGGGCTGATTTTTTTGTTTGCTATTCAGGCACACATGCATTAGCACGGGTTATTGACTTATGGATCGCTTAATAGTAATTGCGCCACCGAACAGGTTTCTTTGTTTGACAAACATTTCAGCAACGAAGAATGCGATCCCAACATTAAAAGGGGAACAACATAAAAGCCAGTAAACCTTCCCCACACCCATTCAGCTTTGATCACTCCCATCCCGTTCATAATTTCATTATATGTTCACTGTTGAGAAATGCCGAGTGAGAAGCCTTTTCACCCACTGCTACCTGTTCGGGAAGCTATTTCCATTGGTTCTCAAGACCATTTACCCCAAGCAAAAAGGAAAAAGGTGTCACTCGCGTGTAATGAGTGTCGGAAAAGGCGGATCAAGGTTCGAACGCGCCACAATTTACACAGACATAGAGCTAAAGCATTTCAGTGTTCTGGAGAGATGCCATGTACACAGTGCACATCAAAGGATCATGTATGTGCTTTCGATCCTAGGACGGATCGCCGACGCCGACGCCGAAGCCATTACCTCGAATTATCCCAGCTTAATAGGGCCCTTCAAAGCATTGTGGCTCAATTTCGCCTTGGAACATCCGACGAAGTTACATCGTTGATATGGGCAATACGCAGCTGCAAAACAGACCGTGAAGCAATAACATATCTTACCCAAAGGAATTATAGAGCTGGGCATTCATGATTCTCTTAAACTTATCATTCTGACGGCGAGTGACTATACTGGAATGGGCTGTCGAGAATATGGCATGTACGGTAGCAGGCTTGATGTTTTTGAATATGTCTAGAATACACGACCACTGTGATAGGCCCACAGCACACAGTGTTACTCCAGAACCACCTTGACGAAGGATAAGCCTAGGTTCTATTCCCACAGCCTGCTGTACAGCAGAATTCGAAAACAGATTACCCCCACGGAGACACACACTTTGTTTCCCAGCGCCCCGCAATGACCCCGCTAAACCGTATTCGGCTAGAAGCAATCCCACCATGCTGCGCCCAAAGTATCTCTAATAGATTACCAAAATTGCCGTAATTTCAGGTTCCGGCATGAAGTAGATTAAATTTACTCCTAGAAGCTTCCAATTCTCATTTCTCTTTAGCTGGTGCAAATTTCGCCTCGTGACCAATCTTCTTCTTTAGACCAGTTAAGATTATAGCTGTGTGCTACGCCACGCTATAAACTTTGATCGTGTCCGAGTCTTCCGGGTCGAGGCTTGTCCTGGGGCGAGATCATGGGTTCCTCTCTTCCCAATCGGCAAATCAGCCCATTAGGTCCCTTTAATAGCAAGCAGTGACCCCATGACAATGTCCAAACGTATGATGATACTTGTGCAACAATATACATATGTGCTCGTCGGCCTCTGTCGAACAATTTCGCAAATTCCTTTCTGTCAAAGAAGCCAAGCAGATCTGCAACCAGTTCCACACTGATCAGTGGCAACAAGGATGCCAGGTCATGTGGAGTGGATTATGCCATCAGGTTGTACAGATTTGGGCCGATAGGAATGGAATGCAAACATTGACTACAGCAATGGGGCCTTTGATGGACCATGAGCAGCCTCAATGCCTACGGTCCCAGAAGTCAAGCAGGCAGTGGAGCATGTATATGAAAGGCGCATCTGCTATGTTTGCTTATCACATTGCACAAGACGGAGGTGTTGTAACTGTCCTGTCACCGCCCCCCTGAACGATACAATCCCTACGGGGGATCGAACTACCAGACCCTTGAAGAGCCAATCCTGAAGGGAATACTGGGTCCTAGAGTTACGAGAATCGAAGTTGTGCATCCGACTATACTCGATGCTAAAGATTTTCGCTATCAGCTCTGGCCGCACGATCAGAGAAATGTCTGGGAGGATAGGTTTGGCCATCCTCCAGCTGATGTACACTGGCGCCATATAGTACCACGCCCATCCCTCGCTTTGATCAGGCTTGCATGATTGTGAGGGTCTTGCATCAAGGGCGCTTTCCTGCTCGCGGAAACAGCAAAAGGGAAACAGTTTGCTCAGCTCTTTCCGAATAGCACGGAGAACATATCACCGAATGGGTGTAACAGGTGCAGGTTTCAAAAATGATCCATTTGCTGTCTGCTGTCTACTGAGGCACTCGACAATATCGCAAAATACCAAAAGTACCTGGGTTTCTCGTTTCGATTTTTCTTCATTGAACGACTATGCCGTGTTTGTGCTCCGGTAGGGATTGAGATTGGTGTCATTTCTGCTCGACGGTCAGTATTTAATTTTAGAATGTAAGAAATGGGTTACCACTTCAACTTTCCGAAACCTAGCTACTCGGCAACAGATAGCAGATGGATCATTTTTGAAACCTGGTGAAAAAAGAGTCCAGGTTGGAAAGCTATGGTAAACGAAGCGTGGCCGCATGACAAACTTCATGACGTCAATTATGACGTTTTGATATAGGTTGCGTTTGGAACGAGGTCATCGCTACTGTAAACTGTTGTCGAAATCTGGCGTGTGGCTACGGAGCGCTTCGGCATATATGATTTTCCAACTTCCGGGATTTGTAATTACGGTAAATTTGGTGATATACCTCAAATACATCACGAAGAGATAGTGGGACTTTCCCTGGCCGAATTTAGTTTAGCGCTGATCAAGTGGGGCGTCTGGAAAGAAAGGCTGAATGTCCGAGGGGTAAACTGATTTCGAATTCTACTGTACTGTAACAGCAGACTCATTTTAGATATCGAAACCTACAGCTATCAGCAGCTGTTGAGGCCCTTGGGTTTCTTACAAACAACCGACGATCGGACAAAATGACCATTTGCCAATGGAATACCCCATTGAGTTGCTTTGAGCCAAAGAGACACCCTCACGAATGATACCTAGCACATGTCGCACACGAGATTAGAGGCATTCCAGCAGATCGCCGAGCCACTTGGGGCCAGGTGGCCCTCCCAACTGATTTGCAATGCTCAACGACCATAGGAATACATGAAATTCCATGAGTTTTGCGTTAGCATAAGGTATCTTACAGCGCATGGTAATGTACCGTACATGGTTCGTTTTACTTCACCCCTCAACGCAATGCGAGTAGCTCAATAAATGATCTGCGCTAAGGCTTTGGCGGTGGGCCAGAAAAGAGAAACTAAGTGTGGATTGGTCAAGCCGATTTCGAGAATCACTGTACACGCACGCCAAGCACATGTACGTTCCACCATAATCTTCCCCATCTTCTAGCAGCAGGAGTATCATCGAAATGGACAGTAGGGTGACGATTCCTACGTTAATTTGTGAGATCGCTTATTCCCAAACGGCTCAAGGATCCCGAAACGGCTCATAGGTCCCGAAACGGCTCATGGGTCCCGAAACGGCTCATGGGTCCCGAGACGGCTCATGGATCTGGGTCCTGTCGAATAGGCTACACATTGTCTACTGGGGAGTATGAAAGCAAGGTGTCATTTCAAAAATGAAGGTTACGAACCAAGAATCCCGAAACATGGCAACAGTACCAAAGCGAACAACGATCCTTCCACACTCCTTATGGGAGCGTGAAACGGATGCTGAGGAGTCCAATCAGCTAATGAGATCCCAACCATCAAGTCTTTCACTTCACACTGGTGGTCACAACGAGCCAAAGTCACAATCTGGTCAACATCTTACTCGATTCGGTATTCCTGTCAAGCCCCATAAAAGGGCAGCTCGCACTATTGAGGGGACAAAGTCTCAATATCACCAGTCTTATCGAGTTGATCAAGCGGGAGAGGGAATCATATCTCTTCAGGATGTTGAGGGGTTTCCAGTTTATCTTCTGAAGATACATCACCAGAAGAGCACAAGGAAATCCAGATATTCTTTTCCTATCACTCACTGTAATATCGTGTCCTTGTTTGACATGATTCCCGTGGAAACCGGGACAAAATTCATATACGAATATGAACACTTCGCGATGTCACTGGGCTGCGTTACAGGAGCAGTACAGTTCCACGAGGCCGACATAGCCACAGTTTGCAGCGAAATTTTAAGAGGGCTAGAGTACATCCATAAAGAGCTCAAAATACCCCATGGATCTGTTGATTGCAGTAATATACTGATAACATGGACGGGAGGCGTCAAAATCGGTATGCTATACTAAGTGTCCTGGGGGCTCACTTGTTGATTGAGTTCACAGCGAATATAGGGAACTCTATCCTCGAAGATAGACCAAGGGCCAACTTCCAAGATGACGTGAAGGGCGTTGGCTCAATTGTGGCATTGCTAGCAGACCGCCAAAGCTTGATGGGTGAAGAAGGTAGCCGTATAAAAAATTTGGATGTATCTGAAAGTCTCCGCAGTTTTGTGGGGCATTCTCAGGAACAGAGCGTTGAGTCCCTTCTGAGGGTGAGTATACATTCAGCTGATACTGAAGATGTCTCTAATATGTTGGAGGATGAATTCCTACAGTTGTCAACACCGGGAGGAGGATGGAGCCTGAAGCGTCATTACTTCAAGACTCTCCCGTTGGGAGTTCGCATTGGTAGCTATGTAGGTGCTTCAGATGGATAGTCATTTAGCTGAACCTGGCAAAGAAACGGTTTTGATCGGATTCTAAAGTTTGTAAACACGGTGCTATGAGTCAGGTAGCAGAATGTAGGTCGTACCTGTTGTGATATGTCGTATCGTAACGGAATCAATTCCTAACCTCACGGAATTACCAGCGTTGATTGGAAATCAATCTGGAGGTCGCATGTGTATATAAACCCTCAAGTTTTCTGTCCAGAAGGAATACAAGCAATCTTCCTCTGAATTACAACAGGTTATGAGCCCGGGTGCTAACTTCTCGGGTGTCGTCTCCACTCACTCTGAGAACCACTGCATACAACAACTTGTTGAAGCTATATTTACCCCGCACTTCAGGCACAGCCACGATGCCTGCACATCTAACCGAGTCTCCCGACCGAAATGTCGCGGCTATTGAGCCTTTAACAGGGAGTGATAATTATGCAACTTGGAAGCATCTTATGACTTCCTACTTAAAGGCAAGACAAGTCTGGGATGTCGTGTCCGGAGATCTCCAACGCCCTAACTGCCTTTTTAAATACGCAAAACCGATTACGGCCGACATTGTTCCACTGGTTGATGAACGCCTTATTGGAGCCCCAAGACAGAAGGCTATCGAAGCTCGTCTAGAAGCTGAAGTCCAGGCTTTTGAGCGACATCAGGAATGGTCCAAACGTGAGGCTGAAGCCTATCACACAATCTTTCGATATCTTTCCGTCGAAATCAGTGTTCATGTTGCAGGGCTAGAAACATCTCGAGATCTCTGGAACGACCTTGAAGAGCGATATAGACGAATGGAGCTAGCTACATTCTGCGAACTTTTCGCCCAGCTCAAAGAAACGACTGGATCTAGCTGCACTAGTATACGTGAATTCGTTGATCGAGTCCGATTGCTAGTACATCGCTTAAATGCGATCATGCCAGGGTCAATTGGGGATCACGCACACGTTGCAATCCTCTTAACTCAGATCGGACCGGAATATGCGCTGATAGTTGATGCCATCCAAAATGACAAGGATCCGGCCAATCCCGCCATGATTGGGAATCGCCTTGCAAATGCTGAACGGACAGTTTCAGCAAAGAATTCTCCAACCCCTCCGCGCGGAGCACCGTCAGTTAACACAGTGAAGGCGTCTGTCAAGAAATGCAATTACTGCAAGAAACGAGGCCATGAAGTCTCGAAATGCTGGAAAAAGAACCCGCATTTGCGCCCTAAGCGGGACAACGGTGTCAAAACAGAAAGGAGTGTTTCTGGCTCACCACAAAATGAATCACATCAAGGCCAGGCAGAAGAACGGCAGGGCCCGCCGACTTCTTACAAGAGACCAAGGATCAATATTGTGAGGGCGAGAGTGACGACTCTCTATACCCACGCGCCGAATCCCCGGTGGATACTCGACTCTGCTGCTACTAGCCATATCTGTTGGGACCGGGACTGTTTTAGCAGTTTCCGAATCCACCATGAGATGCTAGACACAGCGGGAGATCCAGTTGAAGCTGAGGGCATTGGCACCATCAAGCTTACGCTCAGGGGGAAGATCAACCGAACCCTGATCCTCAAGAATGTCTACTACGCTCCCCGAATCGGGATGAACTTGATCAGCGTACCAAAGCTCTTGAGGGATCGCTATTCTATGATAGCGCACCCCCAGAACGTCTTTCTGCAACGCCGAGGGCGAACTATAGGGGCTGCCTTCCATACAGAAGAAGATCTATTGATCTTGCGATGCTATGTGAGCAAGAGATCCAGACCTCAGGTCCAACTGGCCAGGTCATCATCATCTAATAATCATGATAATTGTATCGAAATGGATATCGATGAACCGCTAGAGTCAAGTGGTGCACCGAGCGCAGTGACCACCTCTGAACTCAACTGTGAAGCTCAGATACTCGATGAAGATGCAAGCAGAGGAGTTGACCAGATCCCTAAAGAAGCACTCTGGCATGCTAGATTAGGGCATCTAAACAGAGGAGACCTAAGGACGGTCCTTTCTCAAACTGGCACTCCGTACCAACAACAGAAAAGTGCAGAACTGCAGGCAACGCCACAGTGTCCGGCTTGTATGTCGGGTAAGCAGCATCAGAAGAGGAACTCCCGACGGAAAAGGGCACATCTTCATTCATCAAGAATATTTGAAGTCATACACTCTGATATTCTAGAGATGCCAGTCGGCAAAGATGGCTCTAGGTACGTTATCACCTTCACTGATGACTACTCTCGAGGCTCATGGGCATACGCCTTGAAACGAAAATCCGAAGCGCTCCAGAAACTTCAACACTTTGAAGCCTGGGTCAATCGGCAATTTGAGCTTCAAATCAAACGGTTCCTCTGTGATAATGGCAGAGAATACCTCCCAATTGGAGCCTACCTCGAACGCCAGGGGGTTGAGTTTGACACATCTGCTCCATACTGCAAAGGACAGAACGGGTTAGCCGAACGAACGAACCGTACTATCCAGGAACGAATCAATACGCTCCTGTTTGATGCGAGATTACCTCCCTCCTGGTGGACTGAGATTTTAGAGACAGTGCTCTATCTCAAACTACGCGCTCCCGCGTCTATCCTCAAGAAAAAGACGCCGTACGAAGCCATATATGGCACAATTCCCGAGCTATCACACCTGCGTCGAATTGGCTCCCGTGCATGGGTTTTGATTCCAAAAGCACAGAGAGAGAAAATCGGACCAAGATCATCCGAATGCCGGCTACTAGGCTATTGCGAACCTAGTCAATACAAGCTCTACGAAGTGCATTCAGGCAGGACAGTCTTCTCTCGTGATGTCGAGTTTGATGAAAGAACGCCTGTGGCTCCGCTCATTGAAGAAAGTGCTAGTCATAACATCTCTGCTAGTAGCTCTACGCCACAAGTTATGCCTGAGCCGACAGCATTTGATCCAGAGCCAGCACCGTTGACACCGCCACATCCATTATCTCCCTCCAACGAGCCGCAGCAGCAAGAGTCTAACTTACCTGACCACTCAAACCAACACACCAATGAGACTGACCAGCCAGAATCAACTCCACAGCCTGTCAACCCAGCTATCAGTGATGCCCAAGACATACATGACCTAGGGTATTCACTCTACGGGCGAAAACGCAGACCATCACGACGACTCTTAGAATCTCTTGGTAAAGCCTATATTATAACCTCGCCAATGGGTTCCACAAATGATGACCCGCTTACATTTCAAGAGGCCATATCCGGTCAGAAACATCTTGAATGGCGAACGGCTATCCAAAGAGAATACCAGTCTCTACTTGATAACGGGACATGGGAACTCATTCGTCGAAAAGATGTTCCCCCGGGACAACAGGTCATTGGTTGCAAATGGGTGTTTAAGACCAAAGCAAACAAGGTCCGAAAAGCACGACTAGTGATCAAAGGCTATCGCCAAAGACATGGCATTGACTATCATGACACATTCGCAGCTGTCTCTCGCATGGACTCTGTCCGCTGTATCATCGCAAGTGCTGTGCTGAAAGGCTGGAAGCTCCACCAGTTTGACGCGGTCACTGCCTTCCTACATGGAGATATTGACACGGCTATCTATATGGAGCTTCCGGAAGGCTTTGAGAAGGAGGGATACGTCTGTCAACTACGTCGATCCCTCTACGGCCTGAAGCAAGCACCTCGAATTTGGTATCGCTGCGTTCAACGGGTGCTACAATCAAACGGTTTCACTATGGCACAATCCGATAACTGTGTCTTCTACAAGGACAACTGTGTAGTCTGTGTGTATGTGGATGACTTCCTTGTGGCAGGCGCAACGACCCATGAGATCAAAAATGTCCGACGAGCTCTTGAACGGGAATTCAAATTGAATGACCTGGGATCTCCGCGTTCATTCCTTGGAATCCAATTCAACTTCAATATTGACGGATCAGTCTCTATTCATCAGCATCAGTACATCCAGAAAGTGCTCTCTGACTTCTGTATGGAGGACTGTCAACCAAAGAACACTCCTATGAATCCGAAAGCAATATTAAATACACGGCCAGGTGAAGAAGACATTGATGAGAATTCCAAAGACCGCTATTGCTCTGCTGTTGGCGCGCTAATGTATCTGATGGTCGGAACCCGACCAGATATTGCTTTTGCGCTTGGAACGTTAAGTCGATTTACTTCCCGGCCGCAATTGCATCACCAAGCGGCATTGCAACGACTCCTGCGTTATCTCAAGGCGACTCAGTCATACCAGATCACTTACCAAGCGGGACAACTAATCGGTTATACTGACGCGGATTTCGGTGGATCTGTGGTTACTGACGGTGCTTACTCCACATCCGGATATATATTCAAGCTAGCAGGAGCACCAATATCCTGGTCATCTAAAAGACAGGGGGAAATCGCCACATCTACCACTCACGCTGAATATATTGGTCAATATAATGCCATCCTTCATCTACAGTGGCTTCGGACATTCCTTGCTGAAACCGATCTCTTCCAATCTCCAGTCACAAACATCATGGCCGACAATCAGTCTGCTATCGCCCTATCTCATAATCCTGAATTTCACAAACGAACGAAACATTTCAACGTGAAATTTCACTATCAACGAGAAGTCCTAAACGCTGGTGAAATCGGTCTTCAGTACATACCAACCAATTCCCAGGCGGCTGATGGGCTCACCAAGCCATTAGGACCAAAGCCATTCTTGAGGTTCTGCAACCTCATCGGCATACAGGCAGGATAACTACACCATGGCACTCTTTCCACTTTTTCTCCTTCAAGAAAGGTTTTAGTGGTTTTACCGAGGCCTGGGCCATTACGAAGTCCAGTATCACCCTGCTCGAGCGATCCTGAGGGGGAATGTTGTGGTACCTATTACATCAAGAGGACTTAGCGTAGATGACGACACTGTGATCTCAGGTAGCATCCTCTAGACTGGCAGGCCTCTTTAGACCACAAGACACTTTAGGCCAGCGGGACTGCTTAGGCCAGCAGGACTAACCGAGCCAGCAGGACTGCTTAGACCAGCAGCACTCTTTAGACCAGCAGGACTACTTAGGCCAGCAGGACTCTTTAGACCAGCAGGACTACTTAGGCCAGCAGGACTCTTTAGACCAGCAGGACTCTTTAGACCAGCAGGACTGCTTAGGCCAGCAGGACTACTTAGGCCAGCAGGACTCTTTAGACCAGCAGGACTACTTAGGCCAGCAGGACTCTTTAGACCAGCAGGACTACTTCGGCCAGCAGGACTCTTTAGACCAGCAGGACTCTTTAGACCAGCAGGACTGCTTAGGCCAGCAGGACTACTTAGGCCAGCAGGACTCTTTAGACCAGCAGGACTACTTAGGCCAGCAGGACTCTTTAGACCAGCAGGACTACTTCGGCCAGCAGGACTCTTTAGACCAGCTGGACTCTTTAGACCAGCAGGACTCTTTAGACCAGCAGGACTCTTTAGACCAGCAGGACTCTTTAGACCAGCAGGACTCTTTAGTCCAGCAGGACTACTTAGGTCAGCAGGACTCTTTAGACCAGCAGGACTAACCGGGCCAGCAAGTCTGCTCCGTCCAGCAGGGTTTCCTGGCCCCACATGCCGGCAGGAACAAGCATTAGGTCCAGAAGAAGTCAGCAAGATCTGAAACGGATCTATAGTGGTCCTTCACGATTCTGCCTTTTAACAACCTAACTCCCGCCCAAGGTTAACCACTTTAAACTTTCTTTGACACTATGGACGCGGCTGTACACGATCCCCTCGGTAACACCAGTAACGATCAGGCACAGCAGAGGCTTCAATATTATAAGGGCTCGGTGATTATTAATATTCATTCTCTTCGATTCGCCGATTCCTCTTTTTTGAATGTTCGCCACGAGAATCCGCAGAATGTGGAACGTCTCACGAAAATTTTTGAAATTGAAGGATGTGGGAACCTAGAGCCTGAGTACCGCGTCGCGGGTCTCATAAATCCAGGAGCCCTTGATTCTGCTCTTTCAAGAAGCGATTTGACACCAGATGCTCTTTTTGATCCAAAGACCTTGCATCGCCTGAATTTAGATCCCAGTTCCTATGTGATCTGCCTTTTCGGACTACATAGAATCCTCGCAGGCAAGAACTTTGGGAAAACCGACTGGGTGGTGGATCTTTATCTTGAGTGTAGGTTTGTTTGTTGTATTGACTTTTCTTTGTCTGACATTCTTTCTCAGCTCTTCCGAGAATCCTGCAATCGCAGATCCGAGATTTGTCCTCTAAATCCTTATCCTTTACAGATGGAGAGATCTATCGTATTTACAGGACGTATAAACTATCTGATGACAGATTGAAAGAGGCACAATGGTGGGCAAAGCTCAAATCAGATGGTCGCCGGAAGGACTTCCGCAGATTACAGGCCAATACGCTGCTCTGTGAAGGGTTCGACATGTTATTGCCTTATTCTGGTCTCTGGCATTCGCTGCGGTCTTCCCAAATTGAGAGAATACTTGGCTTAAAGTGCCCCCAGGTAGTGATTACACAATCCTCTTTATGACAAATTATTGCTAATCTCCACTCGCGTTAGATTATATCACATTACTTGCGGAACATTCACGACAAATGGTCTACACTATTTATCCGATCAAATGCCTGGATTGTTGATTTCAGGTCTGTAAGCATGATTGAGGGTCTTATGCCACAGCTTTCTCTACGGGACAAATATCTTATAGTCGACCTTGTCGATTCCAATCGACTGTTTCCTTTGATAACTGAGGTGCCCGAAAGAAATGTGGTCAAAGAGAGATTGTTGAATATACACGGGAGAATAACTACATTGAATACCCTGTTCCAGGACACGCTCTTTCTGGAGAATCCAGCTCGCGCTCTTCGATGCTTATGTCCCCGCAAATTAAAAAGAGCTTTCACAGATGAGATGAGATCTCAATGGGCAACGATAGGAGTTCAGGCCCAGCCCGAAGTCCAGATTACAGAACATGAGTTTGAATGCCTTCCGTGCATAGACCGGAGCTCATTTACGATCAGCATGATGCAGCTTTGGCTTTTTGCAATTCGGCACTTTGTCAATACTCCACCTGTCCGCAGACCTGAGAAGTCTTCTAAGCCATTTTATTGGTCAACCGAGATGGTCAGTCTTCACCGACTAGCCAGATTTGCTTGTCGTCTAGGCTTTAGATCAAACGAGATCCATGACCTAAGTTCAAAAGACCAAAACGATAGCCTCGCAAGAGGACTATTGGAGCGAATATGCAGCGATGAATTTCTGGAACTGGAGCCAAACAAGCTCAAAGCGATTTCAACCCAATTTGGAGGTGCTTTAGAGGATATTCGGCGTCACCAAATCCATGTCATGGGGCCAGGTCAATTTGCTACCAATGACGTGGGTCAAAGAGCTCAACGACGATGCAATCGCCCCACGATTAATCAATATGAAATACAACGAGGAGATCTCTTCATCAAACAGGTCTTCTCTGGAGACCAAAGCCCAGCAGAATTTGTGACCCCTCTCGGCGTTACTCGTGATATCCTCTTTTGCTTCTTCGGCGATAATTTGGTGACCGAGATCCGGGACTGGTCTCGATCCACCACACGTGCGCAAAACGGCCATTCCATGAGGTCCGCGAATAATGGATCCACTTCCCATCATCGAGACCAAACCCAGGATTTGCCTCCGCACTCTCCACTCTTCCCGACGGCTTCAGAGAACAGGGACACGGAGGAGCTCGCTCAAGAACCTGGGACTTGCTGGGCAGAACAATTACAGATTAGTCCATCCATTTATTCAAAGCCCAGCGACGTTGAAAGTACTCAGTCCGACGATCATGGTACACCTTTAGATGTTGGCAGCGTCGATCCGCAGACTTTGGTTTCAGACGAACGCGCATCATGTGAACATCCAATGAGCCTTTCAGCGGATAGTCCTGTGGTTCTTGAAACAAGCTCCGACCATGGACCGAAAATCTCTGATAGATCAGCAGACAACGTGACCAGAAGCCCAGTGTCACTATATTCACATCCAACAGGCACCCCTGACAACGACATTGAGATGGTTTCCGAGCCAAATCCACCGAGCAGTGTTCATATACCTTTGGCAACAGGCTTCGAGACAAACTCCGGAGAGTTTGGAAGAATGACATATATCACTCACCACAGCAAGATCCCGGAAATTCTTAAAATGTGGTATAATTCAAGGCAGGATGTGCTGGTCATCTTTCTTTTTGAGATTCGAGCATTCTACAAATTCCCCCTTGAAAATTCTTATGACCTAAGATCCACTTTGTGTAGCCTTGCACAAGAGTACTGTTTCATGGTTATTCATGATCTCTATGGTCTCACTGTGCCGGACATCAACAAAATATATGAGACAGCATTGACACATCATCTAATTCTCGCTGGAAAGCGCGATACCCCGAGTCAGAAAAGGAACTCGAGCTCTGAGATTTCTGTCGACGAGTTTCGTCGCTATGTCCAGATTTATGACATTCACACTGGGAAGCGAAAGCGGGAGGAAGGGGAATCAAAGTCATCGAAGCGTCCAAGGGGTAGAGCTGGGTGAAGCTTCTCATTTCTATAATTAGTGACAAGTGTAGACATAATAGTTTCCTTACTCAATGTCAGACCCAACCCTTACCTTCTGCCTTCCCGCCTCTCTGCACCTCATATTACCTAATATAGCGGCCCTGCTCTATCTCATTTTCATCGTGCGCTCGAAAATATCCTAGGTGCAAGTCCAAAAGTGTTCTTATCGTAATACCCTGCATTCTAGAAACTCGGAATAGATCAGACTGCAGGTGGCCTAGGAGACTTGCTTCCGTTTCAGATCAAGATTTTGAAACGGACATGAGAATCCAATCCAACTTTGGATGGACTTAGGACTGTGCCTGATTTAATAAGGCCAGATAGCTCGTTAGACTCACTACATCTTTTCCCAAATTCTTTCCCAAGAATTTATTCAACACAAGTCAGCATGCCTGAGAGAACGTGGGGCTATGGCCTATGGGACTGTTGCGAGCCCGTCAAAACTTGTGGGGCTTCCAATTAACTCCTACCCGATTCGGTTTGTGGTTTGCTGATTTTTCGGTTTTCTTGCAGGCTGCAGTGCAACATTTTTACCATGCTGTCTTTTTGGTAAATCGTCTGCTTATCTCGAGCTATTACAAGAGAACGAGTTGACGGAAGATAAGAAGGAGCAGGGCTCCTGTAACTTTGATGTGCTACCCCTGCCCCCCCCCCCCTCTTGACTATTATGAAAACTAATCGTATTTAAGTGCTGTATTTACGGCTCGTCCACATGCTGTGGGCTCTGTTGGCTGCCCCTTACGTGGCAGAGGTGGAAAATTAGGCAAAATTTTCAAATCTCAGGCTCATTTGCAAAGGACTGTATTCAGTCTTTCTGCTGCTCCTGCTCTGTTTTAGTGCAGCAAGATAAAGAGCTACGTCGTCAGGTTCTACTAGCCAGAGGATATAGTTCTGTGTCTGGTATGCAGTTTACGAGACAGGACAAATAAAAGCACTAGTGCAAGTGAGCCTGAGTTTCTATTGTACGCTAGGTTGCTCAGATCAGACGAATTGTGCCTTCTTTATGATTTCACCTGTTGCTATTTTTCTATATAGGGCATTCTAAAATATGGTAGAAAAACGAGTTAATAGATATTATTGACTCTCTAAATCTTCAAGATGATAAGTAGATTCGTCTATAAAACAAAACAAACTGAAATAGACAGCAAAATATCTCGATGGTGGTGCGTCTTAGGTTTTGATAAAGAAATCGTTGTAATCTATATCAAAGCCGAATGTGGAGTATCTAATAACTTAAAGCTACAGAATGCTATCAATGATTTGTATATAGTGAATACGCTCTCAGGCTGAGTGGGGGCGACTAGACTAGTGTGTTCACTATAGAAAAAGCGTATCTAGTATTGAGTACTTTTGAAGCTATATAGTATAGAGGACTGGTGATCACATTATTCATAGCAGACAATTCCTCTTTTCACCACAGAAGCAGAGGCGGTGCTCTCAAGTCAAAAAGGCCCAGCATCAAAACAGACCCAATGGAGCCAAGGAACGCAGAAGCTGTAATCCAGTAGAGGCTCATATAAGGGGTAAACAATGGAAAGGCATTGCTATGTGATAGACCTTGTCTAGCTTCGGAAGATTTGGGTGGGCTTATAGCATGTTCTGTTGTGATTTCAATCGTGCCGGTAGGTAGAGGACTACCCAGTGAGGCTTCTGGCGTGATAATGGAAACCCCAATCCAATTCAGATTTTTCGGTGCCAATGTGCCTTGAACGGATACAGTCTGCTGCGCAAGACATGATGCGTAGGTTGTATCGGTAGTGTCACATATTACCCATGCAGTACTTCGCGGGGTTAGCCTCGGATTTAACGGTATCTTGTGATAGAAACCTACTTGTATTTCTCATTCACATGAGTAACTTCTGCAACGTTCTCTCCAACAACGGCTGTCAGACCATTTGTAGAAATTCCGCATCCTGAAGGGTCATTTCCCTCGGCGCAAGTAACAATGAACGTAGTTTTAATATCGTCCTATAGGAAAGGCGTTAATCCAGTTCAGAAAAAGGATTTCGGGACATTCTACCTTTTCAATCTCGCTTGCCTCGAGATGGCGCCCCTGAAATCCTGGTAACAGGAGGCTTGTGACCTCAGCGTGTGCAGTGAGTATAATAGCATAACAGACAAGTATTTTGAAGTTAGAGATCATATTGTTGTGATCTTTCTGTGAGATCTTGCTTATGAACCAAAGATTGATTTGCGAACAGCGGAATATTGCTACAGGCGTAGAGATATAATAGTCGTGATTACTACACTGGAAAAGTGGAAGGACCATACTGCGCCGGTGATCCGTTTCAGAATGGAGTAACTATGCGGGTCTCTTCTCAGTCCAAAATTGTGGAGCCCATCCCTGGATTATCGACGCCAAGACATATCACGGACCCCCTTTCTGAAACGGATCCGATGTAGGGCACTCACAAGCACAAATAGGCAGTGGTGTTTTTTGCTCTCTAGGTAAAATTTAAAAAGATGATAAATTAGATGAAATCTCGCTCGGGCACTAGGTGATCCTGCCCAGGTGAGATTGAGATCTATATTTTTCTCTCTTTTTTCTTGATCCAAGCTTTTTTATTCACGGTGCGAAATGACGTGGAACATGCTTCATTGCATTATCTTTCTTCATCTTCCTATAATCTGTGTCGCAACTCTGGTAGTAAGTTCAAGGGTGGAGCACATATTTTTATATCAAGACTAACTTCCTAGACTAGTAAGCTTGAACTTGCAGACACCTTTGGCTCTTTACCAGGCTACTCGCGAAACTACAGTAAGTACTGGACTCTTTCCCTTTTCTATTGGCTGCCTTTATTCACATACAAAGCGCCCGCAAAATTCAAATGGGGAGATTATCTCGTCAAAGACACTTACAGATCCGTTCCATTCTGCGATGAGGCACAGCAAATTCACTTCCAGGATGTGCAGTGGCCCCGTTTGAAGGCAGCGCCAGGGTCCAAAATTTATGCTCACTATACCAACATTGATCACCCATTCCTTCGACATACGAATGGCGATATTCATGTTTTTGGTGCACATCAGTCAAAACAACCGGATACGATAAGCTTCGCGGATATTCTATATGGGAGGAATGTTCAAAGTAAGTAAGCTTTGTCTAATATCGTTCTACGGTCTCTAATCCAGGAAGAATTGCTGTCCCACCCGTACTCGGATGCGGTCTTGAAAGGCTCTTCTACCTTTGTTGTTCCAAGTGAGATCCTCGTAGATGGGATCTATTCTATTTACTGGATGTGGAACACGACGAACTGTCAAAATGATGAATGGATTGTATGACAGCTCCTTGCCTTACACTGCATTGGCTGAACTAATTCAAAGATAGATACACACTTCATGCTTTGATATTGAACTCATCATGTCGACTGACGGGGACGTACCCTCCAAAGGATCGTCCGACCCTGCACAACTGGCATCCCCTGGCTCTTCTGCGCCCAAGTCTCACTCCCCGTTATCGAGCTCTAAAGGAAGATTTTGCTCTGCTTTGACTTCAGGGTCAACTCTTCCTCAAGAGCCCACAAGTGCTATTCGATCAAGCCTAATAGCCATAAGTACCATGCCATCGAGGAAAACATCAGTGCCCATCAGCAAAGGCGCCAATACCGCAGAGAATTCTCGAGCATCTTGTCTCTGTCATTCAGCTGGGATTGTTGACAGTAGCTCAGCGGAAACAGAAACGACTAGTGCAGAGGGTAGTAGTTCAACAATGACTCTGACAAATACAGCAACAACCAGTGTCACCAGCCCAGCCAAAACTGAGACGACCCTATCGAGTGGCAGCAGCTCAGATACAACATACACAGAAACATTGTACACTATTTATAGTACAACCATAGTGACTGTGAGCTAAAAAGGAATATTTGGTGTGGCAGTCTGAATCCTTGCTACTCGAACCCTAGTTATCACTGTCTTGTAACTAGACTGCGTATCCACTGCCTTGTGTCTGATTGGGGTCTCGTTACAGCGGGGAAAGGGGATTAGGAGGGGAGATCTGGCTCAACCAAGTCCTAGTAGGTAGCTATCAAATAAAGTTCTACTTTCTCCAAACCTTAACCCTGAGGCGTGCCATATAAGTATAACAAGCGCAATATTGCTGCATGCATAGCAAATAAGGTGCAAACGTACTTGGGATTAAAATCAGAGAAGCTCCGATATTTCGATACTGCAGATTGGAGAGGGGATACAGTTGACTTGATGAAGCACTGTCGCGAAATTCTTCAAGTGGAGTATAAACGATACCAACAAGAGGTCATTCTAGCAAAGGAAACCAATGATGTTCAAGTGTCTACAGAACCTGCTGAAGATGAAGAGCTTGCGATGTTATGTGACTCCCAGACCCCCTTTCAAGCCGAGGTTGATCAGCCAGAGGATGAAATTACACGGTATCTCTCCAAAGGTAAGTGGTCTATCCTACCTTTTTTAATTCTATACTAATCTAAACAGGCCTTCAAAAGGGAAATCCTCGTTTTTTTGGAAGGAACATGAGCATGAGTATCCAGATCTTGCAAAATTGGCACGTGATATCCTCTCAATTCCTGCCAGTGTTGCTGGTGTTGAGCGGCTCTTTAATTGTGCTCGTGATATCTACCATTACCGTCGAGGACAACTGAAGCCGGACACAATCAAAGACCTTATGCTTCACTTATTCTCATCAAAGTTTGAGCTTGAACAAAGCCAGCTAGAGATGATCAAGGAATATCTCTCTGCTGGAGAGGCTGCGATGCTTGACCAGACAAGGTCATCTGAGCTATTACTTGATAACCTTGAACCAATCAGTGATGATGAGGAAGAGGGCTGCGAACAAGAGGATATGTCTGAGGATTCAGAGGACAAATCAGAAGATGAATCAAAGGATGAGGTCGCTCTTACACAAGCAGCTATTCGAGCAAAGCAAGTACATCGAAGGCGACAACGGCCTCAGTAAGATCTTTGAGGAACAGAACAATACAGATAATAGGCTCTCACTCACAGCAATGGCCCTTGAAGAGAATACGCAGGCACGGTAGGGACGGATTCGGAAGAAACCAAAGATGCCAGATGGTTTGGAGATTGACAGACTGTGAATTGTGATATTACTCTACCTTTCTACAAACAAAATACTATCACCTCGTCACCTTTTCATTATTCTCCGCCCATAACATTACCCTCCCAGTCTCACCCAGTCCCCAACATTCTCTCTCTCTATCTCTACCACATCCACTCCTCCCTCCACCATGTCTCAGTCATTATCTCCAGCCACAGCCACCCAGCACCTCGACGACCTAATCAAACAGCGAAAAGTGTACCGGAACTCCCTGCACACTATCTCGACCTCTCTGATAGAGCATTTTGATGGCCATGAGACTGCGACGAGTACTGCACAATTATCAGAATGGGTAAACTCGTTGCTCTTCTACCCTCTCTATCTGATCTCTCTACTCAGTTATGTTCTCTTAACTAGATTACACTGCGTACCCTTCTCGAAAACCGAATCCGAGACTTAAGCCGCCAGATTCTGGCTCTCACACCAGTTGAGGTGGAGGAAATATGAGGCCCGGCTGCCCTACATACAGTTTTTATCCAGCTCTCAAGAGTCAACAGCCAGTGTAGGAGGGACCTGGGGGAGCAAGTCTGACACTGTGCTATCTGGGATTCTGAAGTATCTGTGTAAATATTATTGTGCCCTCCATTACTTTTTTTTCTACTTGATAACAAGTTTAAGAACGGCGGCACCAGTGTGCAAGTGCTTTAAAACCTGTATCTTTAAGAAGGTAATTACAGGAGGGTTCGAAATCAGATTCGCCACTTGCACATAGAGTTCCTGGGAGCTTCGTGGCCCCTCACAAAGCTGTGGGCCTCATTAAAGTGCGGTTGGAAAGACGAAGCGCATCATGCTCTGTGCTCTTAATTATGGCAATCACAAACTGTAATCTGGTGATTCTCGGAATGTGCGCTTGAAATCGTAGGGAAGCTGTATATAGCCTCTTCGGGAGATGAGGTTAAAGCGTTTGATGTGGAATTTTGGCTGGTTATCGTGGGGCCTCGTTGGATCTGACGAGTCTGGATCGGGTCGAGCCGTTCCTAGGAACAATGCTTAGCCCCACATGATCGACAGGCTGCCACTTGGAGAGTCGTGCGTGTGGGTTGAAATGCACAGGTAATTTCCTGGCTTAGCGCCTTGGAATCACATGATGATGAGGCTGAGGGATGCCCCTCTTTCAACTCGTGGGAGTCTAGCAAGGATCCTTCTCATGAATCACTCACGAGGCACTTTATTTCATCATGACATCCGTATCTTTTGGTAATAACAATCGTGGACTCCAGGTTGGACATAGCAGTGGCTCGATCCACGCCGAAATTCATCTGCCGCCGGGTAAGACAGAAAACCCGACCAAGATCAAGACCGCCTGACTAATAGCCGCTGCACCTTTAGAGCGACCAGAAACTCCGCCGAATCCTCTATCAACAGTCCCATTCGCACGCGATCCAGGCTTCGTCTGTCGTAGGACCCTGCTTCAGTCGATTCACGAGAAAAGTTCGATCCCAGGGTCGAGAATAGCCCTGGTCGGCCTAGGCGGTGTCGGGTAAGCGTGAAGCGACCAGTTCGTGGCCCGCTGCTCACAAGTGAAAGGAAATCGCAACTTGCCATCGAATACTCGTATCTGAGCCGATTAGAGTCGCCAGAGACATGGGTTTTGTGGGTCCACGCAAGCAACGAGGCCCGGTTCGAGCAAAGTTTTCGGGATATCGCAGACCAGCTCAAGATCGCCTGTCGTCAGGATCCCAAAGTGAACGTTTTCAAACTAGTCGAGAACTGGCTCCGAGACGAGAAGAAAGGGAAATGGATTTGTATCCTTGACAATGCAGATGATGGAAAGTTCCTTTGTTCGCTTCCGGCGGCAGGGAAGGAGAGCCTCGATGCAAGAGCCACCAAACGCCTCAACAAAACCTCTTTTCGAATACATTCCCAGATGTCGGAATGGATCTTTAATTATCACAAGTCGAAGCAGAGAGGCTGCGCTCAGGATGGTCAAACATAAGGACCTCATTGAAGTTAACCCGATGGCAAGGTCCGAGGCACTAGAGCTTCTTCAGAAGGCGCTTGATCAACCTGAGGAAAGCCAAGAAAGCCAACAGTTAGTAGAAGAGCTTGAGTTTATGCCGCTTGCGATAGCCCAGGCCGCGGGATATATTCGAAATCGGGGCCCCCGCTATTCAGTATCACAATACCTGAAAGACTTTCAGAAGAGTGATCGTGAAGCGATAAAGCTTCTCAAAGAAGAGTCGGGCCACCTTGACCGGGATTGGGAAGCAAAGAACTCAATTCTATTGACTTGGCAAATATCGTTCGATTATATTCGCCAGGAGAAGCCATCAGCAGCGGAACTACTTTCTCTTATGAGCTTTTTCGATCGACAAGGGATACCGGAGAGCGTTATCCGCCGCCAGCCACCCGCAAACTGCACCTCAAGGACAGAACTTTTCGACGATTCTAGTGACGGGGAGACATCCGAATCCGACGGAAGTACGGAATTTGAAAATGATGTCATCACTTTACGGAATTACTCATTCATATCTGTCAACGAGAATGGCACTTCCTTCGCTATGCATCGACTAGTGCAACTGACTACGCGCGCATGGCTGAAATCTCATGCACAAACAGAACGATGGAAGGAAAGATTTGTCGACAATATATACGAAGAGTTCCCTACGGGTCACTATGAGAATTGGGGGAAGTGCCGGTCTCTTTATCCTCACGTTCGGTCAGCGATGTCACAACGGCCAGAGTCACGAGAGTCTCTATTGAGATGGGCCACGTTACTTTATAAAGGTGCATGGTATGCGTCAAAAAGCGGGCATATTACGGATGTGAGGGAAATGGCATCGAAATCGCGTAGGTATAGAATGAAACTGCTAGGTGCGGAGGATGAAGAGACCCTTGCGAGTACTGCGATGTTGGCTGAAGCCTGTTCATTAGAGGGCCGATGGGAGGAGGCGGAACAGCTCGAGGTGCAGGTCATGGAGACTCGCAAGACGAAGCTCGGCGTGGACCATCCCGACACGCTGATTAGTATGTCCAACCTGGCATCGACATATCGGAACCAGGGCCGATGGGAGGAGGCGGAACAGCTCAGCTTGCAGGTCATGGAGACGAGCAAGACGAAGCTCGGCGTGGACCATCCCGACACGCTGATTAGTATGTCCAACCTGGCATCGACGTATTGGAACCAGGGCCGATGGGAGGAGGCGGAACAGCTCAACTTGCAGGTCATGGAGACTCACAAGACGAAGCTCGGCGTGGACCATCCCGACACGCTGACCAGTATGTCCAACCTGGCATCGACGTATTGGAACCAGGGCCGATGGGAGGAGGCGGAACAGCTCAACTTGCAGGTCATGGAGACTCGCAAGACGAAGCTCGGCGTGGACCATCCTGACACGCTGATGAGTATGTCCAGCCTGGCATCGACGTATTGGAACCAGGGCCGATGGGAGGAGGCGGAACAGCTCAACTTGCAGGTCATGGAGACTCACAAGACGAAGCTCGGCGTGGACCATCCCTCTACGCTGACGAGTATGTCCAACTTGGCATCGACGTATCGGAACCAGGGCCGATGGGAGGAGGCCGAACAGCTCGACGTGCAAGTCATGGAGACTCGTAAGGCGAAGCTCGGCGTGGACCATCCCGACACGCTGACGAGTATGTCCAACTTGGCATTGACGTATGGGAACCAGGGCCGATGGGGGAGGCGGAACAGCTCAACTTGCAGGTCATGGAGACTCGCAAGACGAAGCTCGGCGTGGATCATCCCTCTACGCTGACGAGTATGGCCAACCTGGCATCGACGTATTGGAACCAGGGCCGATTGGAGGAGGCCGAACAGCTTGACGTGCAGGTCATGGAGACGAGCAAGACGAAGCTCGGCGTGGACCATCCCGACACGCTGACCAGTATGTCTAACGTGGCATCGACATATCAGAACCAGGGACGATGGGAGGAGGCGGAACAGCTCAACTTGCAGGTCATGGAGACTCGCAAGACGAAGCTCGGCGTGGACCATCCTGACACGCTGATGAGTATGTCCAGCCTGGCATCGACGTATTGGAACCAGGGCCGATTGGAGGAGGCCGAACAGCTTGACGTGCAGGTCATGGAGACTCGCAAGACGAAGCTCGGCGTGGACCATCCCGACACGCTGATGAGTATGTCCAACCTGGCATCGACGTATTGGAACCAGGGCCGATTGGAGGAGGCGGAACAGCTCAGCTTGCAGGTCATGGAGACGAGCAAGACGAAGCTCGGCGTGGATCATCCCTCTACGCTGACGAGTATGGCCAATCTCGCTTTCACCTGGAAATCTTCAGGGTATGATACCCAAGCCCTCGAGTTACTGCGAGATTGCCTGACCAAGCAGAAGCAAATACTTGGGCTTAATCATTACGATACCATATCCAGTTCTCAAACTTTGCTGGAGTGGGAAACAAAGATGTTGGATATTGGTAGGTAGATGAGCAAGATACTTGTATACACTCTCTTTCCTTCGTTGTGGACATAGCTTCGTGGTGTAATTTTATAAAGTAATTCTTTGATGAGCTTGCCGTTATTCGGACTGGCACCAAGTCACCAGGACTGTGATGGTAGGTGTGAGCGTATTCACAGTCAGGGTATTTCGAGTAATTTATTCAACTGCTTATCACGTGGATTTGTGTTTCAATACGATTCAAATCTTCAGAATTGCCTAAGCTAAGGATAGCTTAGCGTGCCTCAGAATATAGTTCGAGAATCTCTGTGTGCAAGTGGTGAATCTGATTTCGAACCATCCTGTACATAGAAAATACTCAAAAATACTTAAAGATAAGGTCCAAAACTGCACAATGTAGTCACGGAGAGGCCATGCGTTTAACTCCATTTGGCCATGTTTGCAGTATTTGCAGCCCCGATGGTTAACCGCGGGTTTCGTGCGGTTAGCACTTTGGTAACCAAAACCGCAAATTGCAGGTGCGGTTAGTTGAAGGCCCTACCCAAACCCGCAATTTGCGGTTTTGGTTAACCGCGGTTACCCATGGGGCTGCCGCAGCCTACCTGCTATCTTATCTATGAGTACAATTATGGGTCTGGAGATACTGCGCGATATTGACTGGATGTCTAGACTGGTATCTTGCTCTAGGTCGCGTCTCAGGTCCAGACCTAGTGAAGAGGGGAACGCTCTATGGCAGCACGCGCTGAGTCGTGCGGGTCGATTCAGCAGTAAAGCCACCACAAAACACACGCGTAGCAATCAGGAAACAGTGAGATACCCAAATGTAAGGGTCAGTTCAGGGAGGTGTAAGAAGGTGTATTCTAGAACTAGCTATCCGGCCACCGTATACTGCCGGCTGTGTCACATAGTCTGGATGGCACCAATGTAGTAGGGGGAGGGTCTCCCCACTACAATAGTTAGGTAGCACCGAGAGTCTTATATAAGGACGTTTTTGTGAATTCATGTGACACACCGCCCGGCGTACCCCACATTATCCTAACTTTCCATAGTCAAGATAGCTTCATCATATAGATCTTCCTTCCATCATCACCATCCCCTTCAGTGTTGATAGTAGAGTGAGGATAGATGGATAAATGCTGTTCCACTAATCAGATTGCAGCATCTACTGCCCTCCACCCTTTCATATTATGCCTGAAAAAAAAGGTAATGATGGAAATAACTGTGTTGATGATGAAGCTATCTAGGCTATGGAAAGTAAGGTGTGGGGGGAGGGGACGCCGGAAGGTGAGTCATATGACTTAACAACTCCGTGGCTGGAGAGTACTTCGTTGCGCTCTACTACATTGTGGAACCGCCAGCCTTAATATTAATAGTTATACGAGTAAAAGAGCCTCTTGGTGGAAGATGAATGACATGGTAGGATCAATCTTATTAAATCAACAACCTGAGGCGCCCAGAATATCAACAAAAGCATATCTTCTCAAAACTATTCTGTTCTGGCTTAACTTTCAGGGAAATGGATAAACTCTTCCATGAGCTTCATAAGTCCCTCCGTATCAGATACGCCCAACCGGTGAAATCCAGTCTGTCCGACTTCTTTGTTGAGGGGAGTGTCTGCGTAGAAATGAGCATCCGCGAAGGGGATCCCGGCAGAGGTATGGTGGCGACCTTCCCGAGATTTTTCAAGCTCAGGCTTTGGATCAGGCTTCCACTTCCTTTTGCGGCCAACACAGTTAGAACGTGGTTCCTCAAGAGAGTGTGCATCGTGAAAATGCCGCTTAAGGTCCTGTATGCTCTTGTAGTTCTTCCCCTGGCAGCACGGGTGTGGACAGCCGAGCTCTCTTGAGCCTTCTAGACTATCCAAATGATTGTCGATGTGATTCAGAAGCGTCGATTTGGTCATCCACTGCGTGAATCTCTCATCTGGTCTCTTCTCTTTGTCTCCTAGGCAAAAGGGGCAGAACCCTGGCGCAACGAGTGTATACCGGAATGTCAAACTTCCGCATCGAGGGTGAAGATGATTGAGATGGTCTCGACAGTGGGCAATCCATTCTTCTTCCTCGCAAAATATTTTTGCGCAGAGATAACAAAATTCAACAAATTTGCGGGGAACACGCCGATGGGCTCGCTTATTATTTGTGTAGCGTTGTTGGTAATTTGCTCCGCCAAGGGATCGTCTGTGGCATTGTAATATATGCTTCGCTCTTCCCTGTTTCGGAATACTAGTTTTTGTTAGCCTGAGGTAAGTATTTAAACAGGGAAGGGTCAATAGATCATACTTCAACATAGAACGAGTGCAGGTTGGACATTGGTTCTCTTTCGGGAAAAGCCCTGGATAATATGCAACCCGCTCAGTAGAGATACAGAGGGTAACCATATCTTCAAGACATGCTCTGCCAATCTCGCTATCCATTGTTGTCTCTGTAAATAAGGCCTCTCTAACTCTGGTGCGCTCTGGGAGATACTTTTTGTAGATCTCGAACAATGACGTTCTGTCACGCTCTGTGAATTCATTTCCAGAGACATATTCCTCATAAGAGGAGTTCCACCACTCCTGGATAAACTCGCTCTTCCGAGCCGCTAGTAGCTTTGCCTTCCTCGTATAGAGCTGCGATCGCTCTTTTGCAAGGTGCTCGTGTAGATGTGGCTTCCCAGAAATTTCAGATGTTAGATGTCGTATTCTCTGGATTAGAGATTGGACCTCTTCTGACTCTGTAAACTCTGTGATTGCGGCCGCGTCTAATCTCTGAGGCATATTGATATCTCTGTGATGAGCAAGACTCTGCTCCATATCGCGGCATTCGTAGTCAGGTTCTATATCATAGAATGCTGACTGGATGTCGACAGACTTCAGCACTGACTGGTACTTGAGGAATGTACTGTGGTTTTGATGGTCGAGAGCCTGACCACGAGCTGCTTCAGATGCCTTGGCTGTGATGTGTTAGCCTGATTTCTGCTTTTCGTTTTATGTATTGACACCTTACGGTCAATGCGATTAGCAACACCTCCACGGATTCCGTGCACACGTAGTTTATCCCTGAAACACATTCGTTGCGCCAGGCTTGAGAAGCTGTGCCTCAGAGCAGAGAATGTCAGCGCTCTGCTTCCTTGGGGGCCGTCATGATTGATCATCCGCAAGAAAGGCAATTCCTTTTTGTCCTCGTTCCACTCAAGGGTGAGTGACTCGCGTCCCTTGGGAGGCCTCATAGAGAGAACCTCTGCCACTGTTGTGAGGCCCTTAAATGCCCCATCTGCGACCCCATGGACTATCACCCAAAATACAAAGCTCATCCCAAGAGCAGGGTGCTCTCTGAGCCAGTTCTTTGGCCTTAAAAGCTCTATATTAGCATTCACGAGATTCTTAAATGAATATAGACATAGAAACTCACAGATCTTTCTCATCATGATAGCGCCATCCCTTAAGAAACTCAGGCGAAATTGTCACCCAACGTTTCAAGCTTCCATCACGAGAACTCCGCATTATGTTGAAAGTCAGATGCTTCAAATACTTTATTAGCCTTTTTTTCCGGGCGTGATAGACTTCGGCATTGAACAAACCCTGTAGTAGAGGCATTCATTTGAGTTACGATAAGCACTCGACTCAACTATAGCACCTGCTCTAGCACCCGACGCACAAAACAATGCAAGTGCACTCGCGGTCTGGATACGAGCTCTCTCATGTTTGTAATCATGCCAATCGTCATTAAAAAGACCTCGAATAAGATAGTCCATGTCCTTGGCTGTTACCATAAATCGTTCTCGTGGCTTTGTTGGAAGCTTCCATTTACTTGTCAACTCAGTCCTGATATACTTTCAGGCGTTAGCTAGAGTAGATTAGACTATAGGGCACGCTGCAGAATATACACCTGACTTACATTCAGAACATCGTCCTTGACCTCCTTTGAGATAGAACAAGAAGTTTTTCGTTCCCATTGAGATGTGAATTTGATGAAGTTCTGGCATGTGGAGCTCTGCGTGGGGATTTTCTCTCTTGTTACCACATAGTACTCAACAAATGATTTTAGAACTTGTGGTGTTGGAATTGGCTGATCTTTGCGAAAGTTGGTGTCGGTCGCTTCACCCCGAGAAAGCCTCCATCTGCTCAAGCGATTAGTATGATTTGATCACTGTGCTGAGGCAATTCCTTCTTACAGAATCCAGTTTTTTGCACTCTTCTCATAGTTCTGGAGTGTAGCTGGGGCGAGCTCCTTATAGGATATTGTATTCTCCTCCCGCTCTCGCCTATCCTGGTACTCGCGGGTATATCCACGTGATGTGGCCCGTGCGGTTATCTTGTCAAGCTCTTTTTGAATGTCCTCAGGAAGCATTTTGGATTCTTGATCGGTCTGGGTCTCAGTCTGAAAAGAAGAGAAATGGCAGATCAGAAGTGCGCCCTGGGAGCGGATTTAAAAAAAAATTATGGTGAAATAACATGGGTGAGAACGGGTGAGAATTCTCACCCGTTCTCACCCCTGTCACCCTGGTCTAAAGGCTTCTCACCCATCTCACCCGCACTCACCCTAAGGTGAGTTCCAACGCTGTTTTAACGATCGAGGCTTTTTGAAAATTGACCGCGTATAACATGTGGCTTAAGTACGGCTGAGCGGACGGGAAGCCCTGTTCTCCACACCCTATGGTCGTATGTACTCAAAACGCAATGATAAAAAATAATATACTATCTTCGCACGATCAATCGTACTACAATCCGGTCTGTGTGTGGCTTCTGCTCAATCAATACTCTAGTGGATATCGCCTGGATGAGTAGGGCGAGCGCCGCTTTAACGTCGCGCAACTTGGGTGAGCGGGGTGAGTGCGCAATAGAGAGTGTTGAAATATCCCGGTTACTGGGATAATCATGGGGGCTGGGATCACGTGCATGTCTACATACCTGTTCACCAGTCTACTTGTATCTTACACAATCAACTCCCCTCAACAACATGAACACTGAAGCATCACTTATAAATCAACAGATTGGGTGAGAAGCTGGGTGATAAATCACCCTCGTCGCGCGACCGCCGCACTGACCCTCTTGGCTGAGATCAGCTACTGCGTTAACTATTGGTTCACCCTGACCTCTCTGAAAGCGCGGTCCCTTGGCACCTGCACATATCATCGAATTTCCAACCCGGGATTGGCCAATATACAGCGACGTTGACTTCAATGTCCTTGGGCCAACGAGTGCGCCAGCTATCAAGGCATATCGCCAAGTGGCCATCAAAGCGTTGTATCAGTCACCAGAACACTCCCAGCTGCCCATCCCTCAATTACTGTACCCGAGGTTATATTGAGCCAAAATAATTAGGTGATACACAAAGCTAAAGGGGTTTCATGGTACAATCAGGTGACCAGAGAAACACCACCTTGATCTTGCGGGTAACCGTACTACAGCTAGTCGCAATAGTCGGGTTCTCCGGGTGACTGAGGATAAATTAGGCCAGTTGGAGTTCATGTTTAATTCTCTCTCAGTATCCAATCAGCTGTGGGCTATTCTCGTTGATACGGAGCCCAAAAGAGGTGTAGACCTACCGTATCTTCAGCCCCGTACTGCATAACCTGTTCACATGTTCGTGGGTCTCCCTTTCCATAGAGAAGCGAGCCTCTTTCTACTTTTAAGGTTCGAATGCAGAGACGAATCCACCCTGTTATACGGAAGATTCTGCGAAATCATTGTGAAAGGTTCAGTCAGATTAGAGATAGAGATCCCTGCTGCAGGTTCGTTTGTCTGGCATGAAACTGTGGCGGTCCAATGGCTCTCGAAATGGTCGGTCCTTGGGTTTTTCCATTCAGAAGATATGGCGCATGCCCAGCAAGGCCTGCCTCAGAGAGCTCCGACGTGGGAACTAGGTATTTGACAGCGTTAGTTACGAGAAGCGAGATACAACAGAGTTGCCCACAAATCCATATCCACCGCTTAAATACTTTTGCCTTTGTTTGGATGGAGTGAGCTAAACAGAGTGCAGCTTGCCGAACGTTGTATTCGTAGCTATCTGGCTAACTGAGGAAGAAAGAAGGAAAGGAAGAAGGTGTGTGTGACGGAGGTATGGTGTAGCCCGTCACCGCCCAGGTCCCGTGATTTCAAGTAGCCTTAAAGTGAGAAAGCCTTAGATGATACCGGCAAGGTTGGTTCTCAAAAGCTGGATGGTGTTTACTTCCTTATCAAGGGCTAAGCGTCTGAAAGCAGGCAATGTGATGGCTAGCAGAAGCGCAATGCCCGCACAGAGTTCCTTCTCGAATATTCTTATTTTCCTACCTTGTTGCAAACCGTTAGAGACGTTATGATTCTTCGACTGCCCCTTAGAGCGGAGTAAAGTGGGCACTGCACCGCGAACAACTATGTCAGGAAGTGCCAGGTCCAGACCTTGCGGTTGTAGCCAATTTTCTTCATGTGAAGCCAAATACATCCATGCAAAGATTGTTTCGAGTTGAAATACTTGATAGACCCTTGTAGTTTAACGGGTGTCCAGGGTTTCACCGTCAGTGACGGGTCCGCTCTCCATGGCTGCGAGTGTAGTGTGGTCTTCATGAAAATTTTGAGGGACTTGCGATCCTGATCCAAATGGCTTTGTGTAGCGAGGAGTCTCTCCCAGCCATTGCATACACTGCTCCCTTGGACGGCAATTGTCTGGTTGTTGGTTTGAAACCATATATGTCATTGTCTACGGCAGGGACTCGGCTATTTACCACCGATATCACCACCCAGATTCTAGAATCCAAGTCATTAGCAGGAACATCACATTTTACGTGTTGCAAATAGTCTCCCCGTGGTGCTGGGCGGATGTTCCGTCATCACAACACGTACCATATTAGGTAGCTGAGCGTACATACATCAGGTACTCACTTAGTCACCACAGTCACCTGACTCTGTTCCTCTTCTCTCACTTCCCACGCTCTCTCTTCCTTCCTCTTCTCTCTCTCTCAGATAGCAGAAGATAGCAGCAGATAGCCAATACCACCTGCTTCTCACCCGTTCACGATCATCCTGTACATCTCACACTCTCAGTAGTCTACCAGCAGACTAACTCGTAACCCAATCAATAACCCTTCACCGCCACTGCTGCCATCAGAGCCCAAGTTTCCGTTCATAAGAGGGTCTCCACTGCTCGGGATAAATAGCCTCGTCTGTCTCGCAAAGAACCCCCAACAGCGATTTTTTTCCCCGAAAACCTGTGAAGCTTCTCAGTATTTCACTGAAAACCCTAGTTCAAAATCCATCAACATGGCTCCTACTTTCAACGTTACAGACATTGGTACTGCCACCGCTATCTTGGAAATCAAAGGCGTCAACTTCCTGACCGATCCCTTCTTTTCCCAGCTGAGTCTTCATGGTCCAAAGAGGTGGCAACCCTGACCGTAACCGACGACCCTGCGTTGAAACTCGATCAACTACCGGTCATTGACGCGGTTTTGTTGAGTCATGAGGATCACTTCGATAATTTGGACGATTTCGGCCGCCAACTCCTACATGGACGCCTCGTGTTCACAACAATGGATGGCGCGAAGAACCTGGCCCCGCGGCCTGCAGCCCAAGGAATGAAGCCCTGGGAGACGATTGAGACCACGATCGCGGGAAAGAAATTCACATTGATTGCTACCCCGACTCAGCACATCCCTGGAAACGAATGCACGGGATTCATCGTCACCGGAGAAGACTTCGGATATAGCCGAGACGGTCTGCTTAACGCGATTTACTTCACTGGTGACACAGTCTATATTGAGGAGCTCAAAGAGATTAGAAACCGATACCACATCAAGGCGGCTGTGATGAACCTGGGCAATGCTCATGCACCCAACTTTGCTGATCTAAGTGCTCCTCAAATCCAAATCACTATGGACGGCAAGTCTGCCGCTAGACTGTTCCGCGAAATCAAAGCTGATGTTTTGGTCCCAATGCATTACGAATCTTGGGGTCACTTCACTCAGTTTGGAGCTGAGTTGCGCCAGGTTTTCAAGGAGGAAGCAATTAGTGATAAGATTTGTTGGCTCAAGGGAGGGGAGAAGATTTCGGTTTTTTGATTTTGACATTCTTGTATTTAACCCAGAATGAGATCAAAGGATGATAGAGTAGTTTTGGCCTCAAATTGAACTTTCGCCAAATACCAGACGCGGCGCAGATAGTAAACCCTTTTGTACAAATTGGGCAACGACTCCCTCAATAAAGTCTATGCCACTTTGATTGCAAGCTCGGTGTCTCTCAAACCAGGTATACGCGATCTGCGCGGGAAACAATGCCGAGGCTGGCCCGAAGAGCTTCATCTCATCTTGAAACAAATAGCTCATACTTGAACAAATCAAGAAGGCCAGACGGTCCCCCTCAGCTCGAATGCTAATTGGATTAAGTTCCTCTGACAATCCCACAAATATTCCGGTACAATTCGGCCGTCTCGATAGAATTTTGTCCATTTCCAATAAACAGATGACTCGGACGGACCAGCAATGAGTCATTCCGTTTGCGATGGAGATGTTGGGGAACCATATCGGCCTCGAGGGTTTCTGCGGGGTATTGATAGAACTCGGTTGAAGGTCAGAGAACGAATTGACTGAAGGAACAATGTTGAGGCCTAAAGCGTTCTCCCAAGCGCAAAGTCGTCTCGAAGCCTCGAAAAGGGACCCGATAAATCCTCGCAAAGCAGGTCCATTTTCAGTCGGAGATATGCAACTGAGTATATCAATCTGTTGCAGGATTGATGGTATAGCCGCAACTTCGCTGTAAAGTTCTTGTGTAGGAGTTGGCGCATTGATCGCAAAAGGAATGTTGATCCAGGTGCTAGTAGCCAGAAAGGTAGGTTGCCGATCGCGCAATGCTTCCGCAATCTGAGAAGTCCGAAAATATCAGCATTTATATCATTCAATTTTCTGTAGTTGAAACCTACGATGAACGGCCGAAAGCCTAAGAAAAGTTGATGGAGTAATCCTGATTCAAAGGTCCGCGGACCGTAATTTTGGAACAACGTCCCAATGGCGCAGAGATGCATCTTGAGAGCAGACATGGAATCCGGCAGCATGAGCTAAGAGAGATCAACGAGTGCCTTCTGAATTAGTTCAAGGATCACTTACTTCCACCAAAGTAAGACACATAATAGCAGGCAACAATTCCAAGGAGAGGCCATTCGCAGTGATATGCCCGCGCATAGTATGGATAGCATCATAGTAGCTCTGCGGGGATTCGACATCACATGTACGTGATAAACTCATTCTTTGTGAATTTATTAGGGTCGCTAGTGCCCGTGTAGCTTTCGACAGTACCGAAGAATCGGAGGCCAGACATGGAAGCTGGGGAAGTACGTCAACCCAGGCGCCACATATTCGAGATTCTTCGTGGGATGAGTCGCTCAAGGTATTGAGGATTTCGGGAAGATAGCCGTTTCTGACAAATTCTGCAATATCAGTCATACACTGGCATCCATGAGGCCGGACGAGCGACAGGGATTCTTCGCTGATGAGTAGTTCTGGCTCCACTTGTTGGCGGTTTTTGGGCCGACGTCTGGTAGAGGAGCTGGAGTTCACATCAAACGTCTGTTTAGTGTTCTCCACCGTCTGCTGACATGGTCTTGAAGTCCACGGTTTACTGGAGGTTCCCTGTTGAACAAATGTCCAATCGCTTTGGTACCCGTCGCAGGTCCTTCCGGTAAGCACGCATTGGCTACAGGCAGGCCGTTTTCCATCGCACTGATGGGTTCATTAGTTGAGAATTCCCTAACGGAAGCTGGTACGAAGTAAATCACTCGAAAGGGGAGGGTCATACCCCTAGTTTTCGATCGCGACAGGTCTGACAAACCGATCTTTGTTTGACTTTCATGGCATCGCAGAGATCAACACTCAACCGGAGAGACGTTGCAACAGTTGCCTAATCAGTTGCATGTCATATAAGCATTTCTAGGGACGGAAGAGAGCCTTGACCACTTGCTTTTCCATTGCGCGTAGAAGCATTTGGGGTATAGAGGTCCAGATAGAGTGAGTGGCACTCACAGCAGGGATTGGTCATTGGATGAGGATTATTAACCTTTGTAAACCTTTTGAGTCCCCCGGCTTCCGGGGGGTTATGAATCATTATGATCCTTCAGCCCAGCCTGGAGGTCTTGGCGGATTTTGATTCCAGATACGGTTAGTCCAGACCCACATTGGCCGTTACGTAACTCACGAGCGAGCCGCCACCCCAAAACACACAGTAAAGGCGATAAATTACCACTTCATATGTCAACAAAAATGTTAATTTAGGATATCATGTTAGGATATTATGGTCCAGATAGCGTCACCAGTCCACTAGTGTAATTATGGTTAAATAAAATGGGGGTCAGATTTGCCGCGTAATTTCGCGCGTTATTATGGCGAAACCGCCAAGCCCTCAATACATGACCCATGGAATGGGGGTCAGATTTCTGTATTGACCTTGTAAAAGGGCCGTTTTTGCATTCCAATCCCCCTCCTTCTTCTGCCGGCAGAAAATCAAAAATCAATTCACTATGGAGTCGCTAGCGAGCTTTTGAGAGAAGCTGAGATAGCTGGTAGAGCGAAAGCTTGCCTCTGCACCGTACAAGCTCTAGCTCCTCAACAGCTGCATCCAGAGACAGGCCCTTACCATATCTAGCGTAGATCTCGTCGATGATAACTTTTCGGCGGCAAAACATGACCCTTTCGCGAGAAGAAGGCCGCCAGGTCGCACCATACGATCTCTCTAATGACTGGACAGATGGATTTGCACCTAACCCACATATCCATTCTCTCCAGACCTCCGGCACAGTCTGTGTCGTACGAGAGAGCGAGTATAGAGATCGAGAGGGGGATACTAAAGAGGAGGGAGTATCGATCCCCTGTGGGAGAAGCTGCTGCTTATCTACAGGGGGCTGCAAAGATGATGCCTCCGATAGACATGCTGCTAGCTGAGAAGACGGTGTGAATGAGTCCGAGTCTGGTGTCCGCGCTTCAATAATAGAGGCATCCATGGCTCGTACGGCAAAGGTAACGTGACCAGAAAGGAGATCATGAAGCTGGCGAGAAATCTTTCTAAGCTGTTCATGAGCCTGATAACCATGACGATCAACCGCCTGATGGATATCCTTCTGGAGGACACTAAGACGGTCGGCAATAATAGGAAGCGTCTGCCGGAGCTGAATCTCCTGAGGGGTCTCCGTACAAAGAAGGGACTGCCGTATTTGCTCTGCAAATGCAGTATAGTCTTCTCGTGCAAAGATAGGATCATCCCACATTGAATGCCGGGGGAATTGCGCCTGTAGGAGAACCGAGTCCTGGAGGAGGATGATCCGTAGTTGATTCAGTAGCTGCAAAAAGCCTTGGGCTGCCATATCATCTCGGTCTTCCTGTTCCTGACTAGTAGCCCCGCTAGGTGGCTCATTTGTAGGATCGTTGGATTGGAACCAGGCAAGCCACTGATCGATCCATGGCCAGAGAGCTCGTACGAGGGAATCTGGAGGTTGAATTTTTGCTCGAGGAAGATAGTAGTTCCCAATTGCATCAGGCTGGAAACCAGCCATAGAACGAAGGAATTTCCGCGGCAGATGCGTCAGATAGCAGTTAGTTAAGGCATCCTGATTCCATTGACCAGCACGGCGGATCTTATTCTCTTCCACGCCTTCTAGCTCGGCTTGTTTTGACCCCTGGGCTCGGCCTGCATGTGTCTTCTTGTCGGTAGAGAGATTGATTGCTTTATAGACCTCATTGGCCCATTTCAGCTGGATTTCGTACGAGATTGGCTTCTCTCGATCTGAGCCCTTGAAGAAGTGGAAATTATACCACTCTGGCCGGCTCCGAAACCGAGGTGGCGACTCCCCTGCTATCTGCCAGCGATAAAAGAGATAAAAAGCCGCCTGGCTCATCGTACAAAGGAGAGGATCCTGATGGCGCATTACCCCCATATACTGCAAGCGGCCAAACTGGTTAGTCTTTCCATTATTCATAATCATGATCATTGGCCAACAGGGGGTCGGTCCTTCGTTGGGTAAGGAGATAGTGAACAGGTCAGGAAACTGGAGTTGCCGGCGCGATTCTCCACGAAGGAGCATATTGTGACTGAAAAGGAAATCCACGGCCGTGCGAAGATAGGACTCCTGAGCTTGCGGCTTTCGATGCTTAAGATCTTTTGTTCGCCATCCTTGCCAACAGTATCGTACGAAGTCCTTGATTTTATCCTTGGAATATCCATCCTGCAGGGTGCCTGCAGCTCGGTCAAGATACTGCTCGCGCTTTCGCTCGCTTTCCTTATGTAGTCGGCCAGTCATCAAGGCGGAAACAGCATATCCACGGGGGTTAGGGAAGCTATTCGTACCAATGCTTTTTTGGAACTTCCAGAGGTCCACAATAGCATTGATATATTGAGTGATTGAATTGCTTCCCAGGGTTTGTTCTACCTTTGATCCATCTGGCCGTGTACGATCCTTCTTATATTGAGAGGACCGAAGAGGTCGATTAAGAACCTCAGTGTCAAGAAAGTAGACAAGCTTCTTCTCTGTGACTAGTTCGCCGTCTGGGAAGCCCTGCTTTTTGCAGAAGCTCTGTAGCATCTCCTTAGCTTCTCGTACGAACTAGAGACAAGGTCACAAGGGTGTTCCTTTACCTGCCATTCCTTATGCTTGTTAACATAAGCCTTTGATGTATTCTTAGGCCGCTGGCTTCGCATGTAGTGTAGGGCCTTGATGCTGTGGAGGTTTAATCGGTCCTGGAGCTCAATCTGCGCTAGCTCCTGGGTCTGTGATGATGGAGGAGAGGAGCAGGGAGTAGAAGGTGATGATAAAGCCATTTTTGATTAGGTTCGAAATAGTGTTCTCTCTTTCTCTCTTTCTCTTGATGATGAGATGCGTGTAGGTAGGAGTAATGACAAGAGAGGAACGCGACGCGGAATTCACACAGTAACCAGCTGCCTTACCACCCTTTCTACCGCCTATCCCCATCATCCCTATCCCCCCTTGATTCATTGTAAGGTACTGTCATAGCCCCGTAAGGGTACGTACGAAGCTATCCCTGGCTTCAGGATTACTGCCAAGATTTCGCAGGCTCGATCTGCGATCAGATATCTCAGATATCCTGGGGGTCACGTAAGATTTCGCGAAATTTCGTGGGCGTGGATACATAAGAATTACCCCGCTTTACACCGCTTGTTTGTTTACTGTCTACGTTACTTCTGTTTGTTGTGTTTACATCTTTTTTGTGTATTTAAGACTGCTCCTGATCATAGCTAGATGATCAGGCGAATTCTAGGTGAATATTACCCACAGACTCGACCCCTCGAGGCAAAGCCCGTCCTCGAGCGAATAGTCTGTGATTCGTCTCAACCCCAAAGTACCCTCGGTCCAGCACATGACTCAGCACTGTCATAGACCCAGATGCCGACAATTGACAATTTATGTATAAGATACATGTTACGGACCCTGCCACACGAGGGGCCGCAGCCTACAGATGGGCCACCAAGAGCCAACCATTCCCAGAAGATATGCACTGCTACAGGTCACGCGAGGAACGCTAGAATCGGCGTCACTTTTATCCACACCGATACTACGCCGCAAGTACAAAGTCACAAGTCACGTGACCGCGGCTCCTCGATATACTCCAGGAGTCGCCACGGGGGTATACGGGGAGGACTAGATATTGAAGAGGAGAACGCTCAATGACAGCACGCGCTGAGACGTGCGGGTCCATTCAGCAGAGAAACCACCACAAAGCACACGCGTAGCAATCAGGAAATAGCGAGAAACCCAAATGTAGGGGTCAGGTCGGAGAGGTGTAAGGTATATTCTAGAAGTAGCTATCCGGCCACTGTATACTGCCGGCTATGTCACATAGCATGGATGACACCCATGTAGTAGGGGGTGGGAATCTCCCCACTACACTATTTAGACCAAGGCTCATCTAGAACAAGGCGCAAATGCATGAAATAGGGAATGACTTCCAAGATTTCGCACCACGTGCTGAAAATAAGACCCGTCTGAAACCTTCTAAAAGAAACTCGAGGAGTTTTGCTCCAATCGTTTTGCCGTCATATTCAGCATTCATTCGACATAACGCTTCCTGTGCCTGGTCTTGACTCAAGAAACCTGCTTCAGACCGGCTCAGAATAATTTCCATTTCAATCTCCTCGTTGAACTCCGGATGTCCTTGGAGGGGAATGAAATGACGTGCGGCATACATGCCCTGGGTTGCACACCGTGACGAGGAATCGAGGAGTATGACATCCGCGGAGCAGGAAAATACAATATCGCGGTGCATCTGCTGAATGCGTTATATGTAGAACGGTTAAGATGTCAGCATGAAGGTGTTCGGTCTTTCTGCTGCATAACCTCCGCTAAGGAAAGACATACGATTTTCTCTAATCCAAAGATCTCCCTCCCTTTCTCTGTTAGGTTTATGTCACAAACCGCCGTTTCCCAGCCCTGATCATTCGGCAGAATCGAGAGTAGATTCCTCTCTCGATACAGATAGACTGCTCCTGGGCTTATAACTAGACCAACTCTGTTCTTGCAAAGCAATTATTAAGGTTTTTCTTTCACTTTGAAGATACAGAGTACTGAGGGCTTGGCGGGTATGCTGAAAAGAAATCGATATTATTGTACGGGACTGTATCTTGCTTTCCCCGGACTGGAAGTGAAATATTCGCGGTGTTTAGGCAGTACTGTCCGTTAAACTGTGCTGGCACCGACTTCGCCTGGTGGGTTGTTGGACTATGAGAGGTTTCCTCTTAGAGCAGAGTTACCTAAGCTATCAGGGAAACCCGGCCGAGGTACAATGATGAACGACATTCCATAGAGAGAAAGTTGAAGCGTAGCTGGTGGATCAATTACCATGGTTCTCTGACGTTGGGCCTTCTATATCATGCCGCTGAGCTAGATCAAGCATTAATCCTGTTCTTTCCTTCCACCGTGATTTTTCTGGAGTCCTGATTGCGTTGCAGTAGAGCCGCTTGCCGGCAAGCTTCGCTCAGCAATCTCGGTAATTTTTCTCCCTCAAAGATTTCCGGCAACATTGTTATCATGGGATCATGGTCTCACGGTGAGCCTGACAGCCAGTTCTCTCTCGTCCTTACCCGGCGGAACATACATCCAGTAACCCAATCATGATCCGCGACCATTCTTGCCCGGAAAAATTGTAGCCAATCAGCAGCAATCCCGCGCTTATCAAAATCGAATTACTTTATCAAGCGCTGAGACAACATGACTGGTTGGTTGCCTATCACTTCACCATTGCTACTGCACAGTACAGAGTACAATACATAGAGTAAGCTTGAATAGCGGCGACTACTGGAGTGGCAACCTTCGCACCGCGTGAATAATACATTATTCTATGTCCAGATATGGAACGTTGAAATTGATGTTCCGCCTATGTAGTATTGTATGTACTGTAAGACAGGGTTCATGCAGAGTGACCCGCTCTTCTTTGCGTCTTGTATGGTAATTTGGATCAATTACTCAACCTATTGATCTAAGACTCGCTCCACTTGATCTAATACTCAGTCAGATTTGCCCTACGGTTACGAGTCCATGTTCTTCCAGCCTGCTCAGACACTTTGTCTATGAGCCACTAGTAGTATTGACACCAAATTACGATCAGATATCGAATCTCGGGTATCTAGTTTGACCTTGTTCATGATAATCTGCGGTGAGCCTTTCAAGAACCGGATCCATTCCTGGTATCAGGAGCGGGTTGAGCAGTTTTGCCTCAGATACGACGCCTTGGGAAAGCTATTGAAGATTGAAAGGGACAAATTGACCAAGAGAATTATGAAAAGGTTTAGGAGGCCAGCTGCTTGATTGGAGAAAAGGATGACTTCACAACGCGGGAAAAAAGATGCGAAATAACCGGCTGTTGACAACAGAAATCTACTATTCAAAAACAGGGTGATTGTACCTCGATCCGCAGAATATGAAAGTGGAAAAGTTTCGCAGAACAATACCAGTAACTTCAGGTCTTATCACAACCGTCATATGAAGCACGATGTGAGAAGATTGGTAACGTAAGCCGTAAGGCAATTGGAGGAGTACGACATATATTTCAACAAAAGAAAAGAAAGCTAAAGAATTCTCCAAAAGAACCGCTTTTCGCCCGAGACTGCCTGTAAATTCCTTTTCGAGTTGGCCAATTGACTTGAACTATTGAAAGGACATACAAAGGAATCTCTGTCATATACCATCTTAAGTGGACACCAAGCCTGCAACGTTTCCCCGAAATCCATCACCCTTACATATCTGGAACAACACCCTTCATTGGAGGCCCAGTTTCGATCTCGTCGTAATCTTCAAGTTCAAGGAGAGCCTCCTTCACTCTCGTAATACCTCGAAGAAGATCCACCTCTGGAATGTTCAAAGCCACACCCATGCGTACGCGGTCTCCATCTGGGTAGGTGAGAACGCCCTTGTGGAGGCACAGCATGCTCAGTCGTCGGGTGGTGTGTCGCGGGTTGCCAGTACGTTTCAGGTAGAGGCCCAAATCAGCACCGCGGTTTGTGGTATAGTCAAGCCATGGCATGTTCCAGTCGGCTGTTTCCTTCTTCCAGATCTGCCCGATCCAGGTGGCGCGGTCGACGAGCCTCTCCTCGTCCATGATCTTCAGAGTCGCACGAGTGGCAGCGATAGCCGCCGGTGCCATACCAAATGTTGCTACAGACTCATAGCCGCCTACCAAATCCATCACCTCGTCTTGACCGAAGATGTATGAGGCAGGATAAGCCCCACCGGTGATGGACTTTCCCATTACAACCATGTCGGGCTTGTTCTCCGGACCCATCCAGTCGGAACAAAGGAATTTTCCAGTTTTGCCCGAGCCCATTCGCACTTCGTCGGCAATGAATAGTATATTGTATTTCTTGCAGAGCTGGCGCACGCCAATTGCAAACTTGAGCTCTTCCTCAAAGGAACTGCGCCGCGTGATGTTAGTTTGTTGAGACGAACCATGATAGTCTGGATTGGCTACAGCCATGAGAATTTCCAGGCACAGACTTACGGTTTCTTTCCGTGGATACACTCCATGATTATTGCGGCCACACGTCCGTGAACGTCAGCAAGGACTTGCTCGAAATCTTCCAGGCATCCGTACTTCAGGAGATCCCCGGTCTTTGGGTTGGTATTGCGAAGATTCTCGTTGGCGATACCGTAATCTGACATACTTATTAATTTTGCTGCACAGGATCCGAAACCGGACTTTCGACATTAAAAGAGCAGAACTAAGAGAACAGGTGAAAGCGGAGCACGCAATACTTACCCGATGACTGGCCCATATCATTCATGATGGGCCAGATTCCGGAGCCAACGCCATGATAGTTGTCCGACACCCCAAGTACGAGGACATCGCGAGGCGGAATGCCCTTCATTTTGATTCCCCATTTCCGGGCAAACTTGACGGCTGCATCGGCACCTTCTGTGCCAGAAACCATCCCTACCATTTTGTCATAGCCGAACCGTGTGCACATGTCCCGCGTGAATTCGGCCCAGTCGCCCACTTTAGTGGCGATATTGGTGAGAGTGACTAAATGTTGATGCGGTTAGCTTAGGACCTAATGCAGTCCAATTGCGGGACTTCCACAGCAGAGCGTATGGACCATGAGGCTGGTACTTACTGGTCTGCATAGAGGTGGTCATCGCTTCGAGCAATTTTGGGTGACATTGGCCCAGGTTGGTGGCGCTCAACATGCAGATGAAGTCAATAATATCCTTGCCGTCGACATCCTAGTAGCTCTCAGTCATCTAGCCAATACACCATAAAAAGAACGGCGCGGGAGGATGAAGCACAGACCTTCAATATAGAACCCCTGCCGCTCTTGATGAAGACAGGAAGTGGAAAGATACCTCCCGCGGAGTGCTTGCTATCGATTTCCAGGAGCTCCTTTGTCTTGGAGGACAGTCGCACGACCTTCCTCTCTCTCGAATTTTCCCCAGTCATGATTTTCACAGCACTCTGAAAACTGATAGAAAGGTTCCACGGGAATTCGCGAAGTGACCGGTCAATTACGTGGAGGTGATAGCAGTTGGTGGGAGGAAAAGAGAAAGAATAAGAGGCTTTCAGCGGGCAATCTGAAGGAATTTATACAACCCAACCTAGGAACTCGTTGCTATTTATGTGTTGCCGGTATCCAGCGGCTGCCACTTAATCCACTCGCCTTCTGGCGGTACGTCCTTTTGTCGGACTGCCTGGGAGCCCATACTCTCAATCCATTATTCCAGTGAACCTTGAATCAAATCGCTCGGGTAATACACACTGCCATTTCGCGCCAGATGGAGCCGAACGACGTTGTCCTTTCCGCGTTCTTGGACGTAGAGAGATAGTGGTACCCACCTGGGTAGTCTTCCTAGGCAATTAGTCTTGCCGCGGGTTTCAAAGGGTGCCAGATACTAGTAGAATAACAACCTTGGTACGCTTTAGCGATAAGAAAGTAAGTTGCGGCTGGGGCGAAGTCTGATAAGCGCGGGCATCCCGCAGTTGATGTTGCATTCGACCCACAGTGCTAGCGGGCGGGTTTCAAGCTGCGGTTGGTCGCGTTGGGTGGCTTTCCGACCTAATCTACTTGTACTACGGACTACATACAGAATAAACGGGGTAGCCCGCGTATCCAATCTGCCGGCTGGGACAAGCCGGCACTCTTTTTGGCAACCCGGCTTACCATGGACCGAGGACTTGAAAGTCAGCAGATTCCATCCTCGTCCAGCTGCCTCAAAACAACTGGCTCGTTCATCAGGGTTAGCCGACACCTTCCCCGCTCTTCCCCGCGATAATCATGGATTTTTCGATACGGAGGAGCCCCGCTGATGTATCAACATTCGCGGCCGGGGATATAGCTCGGCAATGTGCAAGGTAGATGAAGTTTGTAAGCGAGTCCGTCGGCAAACTCGAGTGCCGAATCGGCATTGCGCACTACCAGCGACCCGTAAGTGGAATTGAAGTGATACATACTCGGCCAATTGGCATTGCCCATGATACTAGGCAGGTAAGCCCGGGGGAACCTCATTTCTGGCCATTTCAGAAAGTCTGGCTTCTTAATAATGAGGTATATATGCGGCATCTTAGAATGTATCCATGTTTCTCCCGCAGTCTTTCACAGCCGGAATTCGACACCTTCTGTTCCAAGAAAATATCTTCCTTCCCCCGAATTCCGTTGCCAGCTAGTGGATCTTAGGTCCTCCGCTTCTTAGCTTTTGGAATTTCCTCTCGACTTATCCTCAATCTTTAACTTATCTTCAGTCTCCTCGCGGCAGACACAGTATTTTTGTACGATGATGGGTACTTCCGTGGCTGGTTTGAATTTCGATGTACGCCTACAATTTCCACGCCGTCTACGTTCTTGCCCCTCGCGCCGTCATTTTCTAGCCTCGTGTTCATCAAAATGCATGTTTAACATAAACCAGGCTAATTTTTTCCTCTAGAAATTCTACAATATCGTCAATGGAGAAACGGTATCCAGTGCTGTAACTCAGCATGGTACCGACCCGGCCAACAAGAAGCCAAACCCTCCGGTTCCGGTTGCCAGTCCCACCGATCTTGACAATGCTGTCACTGCGGCTCAAGTTGCCTTTGAACAATGGTCGCGATTCCAGCTTGAAGATCGGCGTAAGGCTCTGTTCGCGTACTCCGATGCAGTGAATGCTGAAAAAGATGGGTTCATCAGTCTGCTTACGAAAGAGCAAGGCAAACCTCTCTCCCAGGCGGCAGTCGAAGTTGAGATGGCGGTGGCATGGATCAAGGGCCTGGCGAACTTGGAGATACCTGAAATTGTGCTGGAAGATTCATCCGAGCGACGAATTGTCCAACGATTCACGCCCATTGGAGTGGCAGCCGCGATCGTACCGTGGAATTTTCCAGTGCTCCTGGCAATCGGAAAGGTTGTCTCGGCGCTGGTCACTGGAAACAGTATCATTGTGAAGCCATCTCCCTTTACTCCCTATACAGCGCTGAAATTAGCCGAATTGGCAATCCCTTTCTTTCCTCCGGGGCTGTTCCAAGCTCTCAATGGGGATGACCAACTCGGGCCATGGATGACGAGGCACCCGGGAATCCAGAAGATCAGCTTCACTGGCTCAACGTTGACGGGAAAACGTGTTGCTGTCGCGTGTGCCGATAGCTTCAAGCATTGTACCCTCGAGCTAGGAGGCAACGATCCTGCTATCATATGCAAAGATGTGGATCTCGATGCCCTGGTGCCTAAAGTAGGTGATTGATACATTACAGTGAGATCCTTGCACGAGTAGAAGAAAAGTTGCTGACGCTTGGGTACCGCCAGATTGCTCCACTTTGCTTTCTGAACTCTAGCCAGGTGTGCATGATGATCAAACGTGTCTATGTACACGAGAGCATCTATGGGGCATTCCGAGATAGGCTAGCTGCCCACGTGAAAACTCTGCTTGTCGGCAATGGAGTCCAGCCAGATGTGTTTTTCGGGCCCGTCCAGAATGAAATGCAATACAACAAAGCTCTGGACTTACTCAGCTCTATTTCTGCAGAGGGACTCCGTCCAGCGCTCGGTGGCATCGTGGAAGAGTCGGCCGGCTATTTCATTCATCCGACCATTATCGATAACCCACCCGACACTTCTCGTGTCGTTATCGAGGAGGCATTTGCTCCCATTCTGCCGCTGATGAAGTGGCAGACGGAGGAGGAGGTCATTGCCAGGGCAAACGCTGGCCCGACCGGACTTGGCGGTTCCGTCTGGAGCCGAGACCTCGATCAGGCCGAGCGTCTAGCGTCTCGCCTCGAGTGCGGCTCTGTCTGGATAAACTCTCATTTCGCAGTCGCCCCCCATGTCCCCTTCGGCGGTCGTAAGGAAAGTGGCCATGGCGTTGAATGGGGAGTGGATGGCCTTAAGGCCTACTGCAATCCCAAGACCGTTTGGATCTTTAAGAATGCCTAAACTTTGCTATGTACTGTAATGGCTTGCTGATGGAGTCTTCCCTCCCTCTGGCGAATGTCTTTGCGGTTGTTGCCACGACCAGCGTTTGCTGGGTGTTTTCGTTGTTCGGTTTCTCCTTCTGCGACCTATTTAGGCCTCTTGCTTCCTTGCATCGCTTTCTCTTCACTAGATGCTCGAATCCAGATCCTTCTCACTGTTCCTCCTTCTGCTTCCTGTGCATGGCCGCTCTGTCACTTGCAGACTATCAGCATCCATAGTCGCGAAGGACTCTCATCGCATCTCACATCCCGCCGACTATAAGTGATTAATTTACCGCATTTCCCCCTCAAGCCAGCTCTAAATAGCCTAAATTGACGATCCCGTCTAAATGCTGCGAAGGCATCCGCTACCCATTGGTCAATATTTCACACGACGCCGCAAGAATTGATATTCCCAGAACATCAAGAGGTTAGAAGCTGGGAATACTCAGTCATCGTGAGTTATATTGATCGCAAGTGTTTGTAGGCTAAGTAGACACATGGTGGAAAACACTCCGGCAACCAGAATCATTGATGTCCATAACAATGAAGCCGGAGGGGGGTGTACTAATGGTTGGGAGGGGAGCTGAGTACTCGCACCGAATGAAAAAAAATGAAGAGAATCGCCAGCCATAGAGGGCTCAGCGAAGCGACCGAGTTCTGAACTAGAGCGATACACTCCGCGCTGGTCAAGTTGCTGGTTGAGCTGGTCATGACAGAAAGATGACTATCGGCAAGAAATAACCTGGTGTTGCTTCTATGCCAGAAAGGAGCAGTCCAGATGTGCAATTGTACATATTCTGTGATGAGAACCTAGGATCATGATATATAACCATCTTTTGGGGAAACAGTGGGGGTACGGCTGTCCCACTCTGGAGGTATATTCTACTTAACGGTCAAGGTCGGAGAAGGGCCTGGAGGAGTCGGCAATGCTGAACAATCACCACTCACTCCATTTTTTTTAAATTTGTAACATTGCTGTAGTAATCTGATCAGAACAAGAGTATTGTATATTATTAACTTTGCTATGAGTCTCGTGGGAAGCGGCGTTAGAAATGATATGGTTGACGTCAAGCCCCGTCGTGATCCTCTGAGAGACCGACGGTTTTACCGTTCCTTTGTAAGCGGGAGAGGAACTGTACTGTCCTCCGTATCCAGTAGTCCGTAGTACTCCGTACAGTACGGGAGTTCGGGTATGGGTACGAGGGTACTGTACAGTGGCCGTTCATTAGTATTTGCACTTTGGTACTTCCGTCGCCAGCTTTCTACCGCCTGCCTTAATTGTCCGCCCAATACTTCAACATTACAATACGCGCTAACTCGTTATTATCAAGATTACACTACACTTGTCCCTCTTCTTCTCTATGCTTTGTCTGGTACTGCCTTGATGCATAGCGCAGGTTTGAAATACGAGGGTCGAACGAGATACCAGGGGACTTCACACGGGAACTGAAATTCTAACGGTAGAATAATAGTGGGTCTCTTGGCATGCCAAGTTACAACAGTACAAATACTAATGAACTCTGACTGTACATGTACTGTATTGAAAAGTTGAAGAATTGACTTTCACCCCAACCCCATCCCCACATTTCTTCTCCCTCCCACCATCCCCGCTCATGCCCATGCCCATGCTCATGATACGTACAACTGTACTTCATTACTATATCTCATCTTACCTTATTTGATTTCGGGTCAAACCTATCTGGAAGGCCAGACGATCGTGAACTGTTTGACAAAATTTAATCTGATTTGCAAGACAAACCCCTCCATGCCTCGTCAACGGAGCAAGGGCTGCATCCCCTGCAAGATGCGCCGAAAGAAATGCGATGAGAGAACGCCAACCTGCGTCGCTTGTGCGCGTAATGTCCTTCTCTGTGCCTGGGACTCCGAGTTACCGCCAAGCAAACCTCACAACTCGGGTGGCAAAGAGTTGATGACCAAGAGCCAGCGGCTGCTACGACATCAATCAGCGCCGAAGAGCATGATATCGGACATGGCGTTGTCTATGGCGCCAAACGCTATACATCCTCAACTCGCCCACCCGAAGACAAATTTCCTCTACTCATTTTTCTATGCCCGAGCAGCACAAACACTGTCAATAAAAGATGAGGAAGGAAACCCCTTCGTGCATGTCCTGATGCCAATGGCCGCTACTAGTGACATCGTCTTTCAAGCCATGCTTGCCTTCAGTGGAGTGATCTATGAGCAGCAGCATTCCGATGCCTTAGCCACAACCACGTGGGAACATTACGCGCAAGCGATTCGCAGCTTGAAGCATATGCTCACACTCTATGTTGATAACCAAGTTGACCGGGGAACTGAACTGGTCGCGACCGTTCTTCTACTGTTGTCCTTGGAGGTAAGCAGGATGCGCCACTTTGTGATCCGTTGGTCAAGGTACTCACGAACGTTTTCTGATCTCTCCTTCCTCTAGGTCAGTAAAGCAGACTCCGATGGTCACGCTTTCCGTCATCTCAGGGCATGTCGAGAGTTAGTGTCAGGAACTTTTGCCCACTGCCAAAATCCTCAATTGTTGGGCTTCCTAGCAGAGTATTACCTTTACACCCTGTCGCTCCTCCCCTCTAGCTTGATTGAGCATTCGGATCCGATTGAAGAGGATATCGACTTCGCATTTCGGATCTTACTGAACAACAGCGTCCCTGCAACCGGCGTGTTATGTGGATGTGCCCCGGAGATGTTTCGTACCATATCGAAAGCCACGGTGGTGTCACGTCGTTTGTACGATGAGCTCACTGATGAAGCTGGCCCCTCGAATGAATGTCTTCAGGAACACCTCGATCTTTACGACTACGTACAGACTTGGTGGCCAGAATATGCCGACGAGGAAAATGCCATGATCGCGCACATCTATCAAATAGCCCTCTTGGTCCTCCTTTTGCAGGCTGAGCCTGGAACTTCTGACAATATGGCAATGAATGAACTCGTGACAAATCTCATTAGTCTCCTTCGGATGATTCCGGTCGAGTCCAACACAACCACTGTTCTAGCTTGGCCACTTGCGACGGTAGCACCGTGTGTCAAGTCTAACACAGACCAGACGTTTATCCTACAGTACTTAGGTGCCGTTGTACAAAAATACCGATTTGGCAATCATCGGCAGACCGAGCAACTACTTCGGCTAATTTGGTCGCGCCGTGATTTACAGGAACGGGGTCCATATTGCATACCTCGCGCGATGGAGGCACAGGGCTGTCGATTCTTACTCTGTTAATCATGACTTAATATGTAATGTGCCTTGTTTTTGGTTTTTCTTTTTTTTAGGGGGGAGAGGTGGGGAACAAAGGGACTTTCATTTGTCATTGATATTGCTCAAGATTAGAATATGGCTCTGTGGATATAGGCCAGGCTGTAACAATATTTACTTAATTCAATGAGAGAGATCGTTTGGGGCCACTAGAAACTAGTGAGCTTGCTTTCCAGTAGCTTGGGCTAGAGATTCAGGAGGGGAGCTAAGGTAAAAGATCGTCGTTAATCGTACCACACACATGCCCAAGCCGGCGGCCCAGTGAACTTTTCTAAACCCTACCATAAGCACCCTGAATTGTCCCATCGGGGCAATCTAAGTTGGCCACAAGTTGTCCTGTACTTGGGACCAGTCCAGGAGCGGTATCGATGTATAGCAGTCAAAGCTTGCGAAAACGTTAACCTACTGCTGACTTCTTTAGTTAACTAGTCGCTGCTATGCCCTACTCTATGTGGACACGAGACAACTGGACCGCTGCTCCCCATATTCTCCAGGATTTAATTTTCAGGGAGGTGTGACACGAGCCAAATCTTCGAGAAATGAGTGCATTCCGCAGCGAATACTGAGACTGGAGTGGAGAGAGAAGGGAGAAGTGCTGGATCTGAGGTGCCTGCCTTCATACCCCTCGGTCTCCGCCAATCAAATCGCTCAAAACTAACTACTCTATCTACAAACAGTTTCCCAGTGTCACAGGAAAGACCAGACCCCGGATTTTACATGAGACATAAAAATCTGGGGAGGCTGTGGGGCTGATTCAATGATAGGGTGCCGAAGACTGGTACTACTTATCTGTAGTAGCCACTCGGTAATGTACTAGCTGCGGGTAGATAAGCGCGGGTCTGCAGCAGATTGGTTGGTGCGAGACAATTCCTCTGGTTTAGACCGGTTTGATCTGGATTGGAAAATGGAGAATGGAGGGGTTTCATCCTTCGGGATTTGACATCGGCTGTTCGAGTGAGATTTCGGAGAAAGCTGACTCTTGAAGATTGCCGCTACTGATATGATGCATTCGAGCACTGACACGCCTATCGGCCACTTTCTTGTGGTCTTGAAGCCACTCTTCCCCAAATATGCTCATGCTCTGGGGTGGCGACTCTCGTTTGGTTTATAAAGTGAGCTCCCCGCAGGTTTCATCTCTGAGTCCGGTAAGCTTTTTTCTCAACATCAAGAGCCATCTTTTGCAATTATTCTCTTGCCATTCTTACATTCTGTTCCCTGTCTTTTGGACTTGTCAGAGTGACCATGCCCTTCAACCTATCCGAGACGGGGTCACCGAGCCCAGCCCAGCTATCAAAGAACTTCTCTCGAATGTGAGTGACCTCATATTCCCCGGAAAGCTTTCGCCAGACCTCATTATAACACACCCTTCGCTCCGATAGATCCCTCCTCGGTTTGGCATTCATTACCTTAAACGTAAGTCAGTAGGCGATGGAACGGTTTCTTCGAGGTGATTACTAGCTGCTGATAAACGCCCGTTGCAAATTCCAGTCATGGACCGCTTTTGCTTCGGCTTTGCCTTTGAGCCTCACATCTGGAGGTCCCACAAGTATCATCTGGGGTACGAAGCCTTCTAGCCCTGGTTACAAAGATTACAGAATACTGACGAAACCCGTGAACCAGGTCTCTTGACCTCGGGCTTTTGTACACTTTGTATCGCCGCCTCTCTGGCAGAATTTCTGTCCGCATATCCTACGTTTGTCTTTCCACATCCCATTTCATATCATCAACAATCCACTCCTTTAGTGGGAAAGGGTCAAGGAAGCTAGTTGGGCGACGCTGATATTCAGAATTGAACAGTGCCGCGGGACAATATCGTTGGGTAGCTGGTACGATTTCCTTGCAGGTGATCTACAATTAAATGGATTGAGAAAATATTGACAGATTTTCCGCGTCACTTTTATACAGCCGGTACGCGACGCTAGTGACCTCTGCTCGATGAACGTCTTGCTGACTGAAGAGCCAGTTTCCTGGTATGACTACAGGCGGGTGCTCGCATGGTTTACGGCATGGGCGAATGTCGCCGCGTGGGTATGTAATCTCCCTAGCATATTACGGGGCTATGACTGCCATCAATACTAATCAAGAATCTACAGATCTGTCTATGCGCGACGGCGTCACTTTTTGGGAGCCAACTGGTCACTGACACTATAATCCTAGTTCATCCAGTAATACACCCTCTATCATTCCGTTTTCTCCTGTCCTCAAACCTTTACCATCTCCACTTGATATGGGCTCAGATCTATCCCTGACCTTGCTTTCTAGGACTTTAACTTGCAAAGATGGCAAGTGTTCCTCATCTATGTCGGCTTTAACATTATTGCTCTTTTTGTCAACGCATTCTGGAACAGCATTTTATCCGCGCTGAATAGAGCAGCTTGTAAGGTTTCCCGTCCAGACGATGACTGGGTTTATACACACATGACTAATGCGATGAATATCTAGTGATCTGGTCCCTATGTGGCTTCTCCATCATTTTCGTGACTGTCTTGACATGCGGGTCGCCAAATTACAATTCTGCGAGGTAGGTTGCAGCTTGCACAAGTCTGTGTCGCTTGGTCCTACTATTTCCATATTGCGAGTCAAGCTGACGGCTCCTTCAGCTTTGTGTTCACTAGTTTCATCAATGAGACTGGATGTAAGTCCTCTTAACTTCTGCTCGATCGTCTCCTTCACCCTGGTTTTAGCATAGCTAATTATTGGCAACCAGGGCCTGATGGCTTGGCTTGGCTTTTAGGGGTACGCCCAGCACCCTTGCCCTATCATTGAACTTGAAGACTGATCCACAGCCCTCAGCTGCTTCAAGGTGGACTGTGCCTTGTCGGAGTTGTGAGTATTCGCGCCCATCAATATTTGAAATTCTTGACTAAGTAATTGGGACCAGGACGCAGTTGCGCACATGACTGAGGGTAAATATCATTCCGCATTCTGTGCTACGGCCTTCCTCACCTAACATCGTTCATTCTTTGACCAGAAATTCCCAAGCCAACCGTGGATGGACCGCTAATCATGGTCGCGTGCGTGGCAATTGGCCTCGCCACCAGCCTGATCTTAATTATCGCTCTTCTCTTCGTGTCTCGTGATATAGACACCATTATCACCTCTGGTGCAGGGCCTCTACTTCAAATATTTTTTGATGCAACCAACAATAAAGTGGGGTCCATCTGCTTGCTACTGTTTGTGTTCCTCCCGCGATGTCACGCCACTATGTCTGACAGCTACTCATTTCTCTATGCAATTCTCCAGGTTTCCCATTGGATGCCTTTTGCTAGGTGTGGTAGCTATAACAACCACGTCTAGTAGGATGATCTACGCTCTCGCTAGGTACGGAAAAGTCTGCAGACTCAAATCATTGGGAAATGAACCTTCTTTATCTCTTGCGAGTTATAGTTGTACTAATTGAGCATGCAGAGACTCTGGGCTACCATTCTCTTCCATTTGGACTACTGTTCATGCCAGGCTCAAAACGCCTGTGAATGCTCTGGCTCTCAATACAGCTGCAGTAATCTGCTGCGGGTGTATCTTCCTCGGCTCTTCCAGGTATAGTACTGCTGCTTGAGCCATTGTCAAAGAACACCGGAGTATGTCCAACGGCTAACCTATCATATTACCCATCTAGTGCATTCAATGCACTGAGTTCTGCGACCGTCATATGCTTTGACATATCCTATTGCCTTCCGATCTTGATTCATTGTATACGGGGCCGAAAATTGCTCCCTGTGCGCCCATGGAGCCTCTACCCTGTCATTGGATGGATTGTGAACCTTGTATATCCTATCTTTTCGATTCATTTCTTCCTCTGGCGCCTTACCCATGACTAATCCTGAAATAGGTGTCAATCGCGTATATATCATTTACGACCGTGCTCTTCATGTTTCCACCTGCCCGTCCAGTAACGGGTCCGACAATGAGTAAGGATGTTCATGTCCGAGGGAATATAATAACTTGACTGACTGATGGATGTCTTTTCTGGTAGACTATGCCATTGCGGCTACCGGCGTATTCGCGTTGCTATCCGCAATATACTGGTTTGTCAGGGGCCAGAAGCGCTTTATGCAGGCCCTGGTGAATGCGGAAATCGAATTCCCTGAAGCCAGGACGTCAATTGATCCGACTAAATCGGACGTATAAATCGTGGTTTCGGGCTGGGATATTGGGGCAAATGTCTTCTAAGCTTGTTGCTGGATTTCAAATTGGCACTGGTTTTGCTCGATGTAAAATGCCACCACTCGCATTTTCCGCCTTGGGGGCTGTCTTCAACTCACGGTACGAATGATCACAATATCATTGTTTTCACTTGGACATATCTCGTTCCCAAGAGCTGGAGTCACCTTGTGGATGAGAAAACGGCGCAGGGGCCTTGGTAGCTTTATTGCATTCTGAGATGTTTGGCATCTTTGCAATATAAGATTTGGTTCAGGCTCTTTGCTGGAATGCGAATGAGACGGCTTCTGTAGTATCAAGTACAGATTTTAGACAGATTTTAGACCAGAACCTCGTCATACTTTTAAAGGGAGGGAATAAGACAGGTACAGTTGCCACTTAGTAAAATATTGAAAAGAACTCCACCTTCAATCTTATGATTACTCTTGATGATGATGATAAAGATGATTGACCAATCCACCCGTTTCTCCATGTATTACCTTTAACTGGGTTCTTACTCCGATGCTGAAAATGGATCACATGTTCCCATTTGCTGCGCGGGCTCTAAGCTTTAGATCTACTACCTGCGTTTTTCAAAACATTTCGATCGGGAAGCTAGAGCACCAAGGATGATCATTACCCATATCAGAAATATAAGCCGCCAAGACAACCACTGCTTTTTGGATCCGGAAAGTTAGTGGAACACGGAATACGGTTCCAGGTGCCCGGCAATCGACCCGTCTTGGCGGAATTTGAGGCCAAAAGCGGAAGTGACACCTGGAGTCTCCAGGAATACATAGCTTGGTTTAGTCTCCACGCCATTAATAAGGCATCTGGAAGGACCCAGTATCCTGTTTCCCATAGATGCTGTATATGTAATCACGATCCTCATATTTGTCATCGAGTTGGGAGTTGCTCTCTTCAAAGTATTTACCGCAACAGAACCTCTGCTGGCAACTTGCCGGACGGTTATAAAACGTTCCTTCTCCCCATACAGTCCTTGGATAACACCATCTTCCGGACAAACTACTTTTCTGATTTTCTTGTATCTCTATCCCGGCTACACCTTGAGCCGCAATGTCTGCAGCAACCTTCCAGAGCTCCTTCAGTGTCACACACATTGGCACTGCCACGGCCATTTTTGAAATCGACAAAGTCAAACTTCTTACCGATCCGTTTTTCTCGCCAGCCGGTACACAATGGGATATGGGCGGTGGCAACGTTCTAGAGAATACCGAAACCCCTGCTCTCGGTCTCGAAGACTTGCCCGCCATCGACGCTATTCTCCTTAGCCACGAAGACCATCCTGACAATCTAGATAGTTTCGGTCGCCAGCTGCTGAATGGCCGTCACGTATTCACTACTGTGGACGGCGGAAAGAATCTCAGCCCTCGCCCGGCCGTTCGTGGCATGAAGCCATGGGAAACCGTTTCTGTGATGCTTGGAGGCAAAAAGTATGAGATCACTGCTACACCATGTCAACATTTACCTGGAGGCGAATGCACCGGGTTCATCTTGACTACACCGGATTTTGGCGCCAGCGCTGACGGTCGCCCTAATGCGATCTATTTCACCGGCGACACCGTCTATATCGATGAACTCGCTAAGATTCCTGAGAAATTCCACATTGCGGCTGCTGTCATGAATTTGGGTGCGGCTCATGCCGCTCTTCCCGACGGACCAGTTCAAATTACCATGGACGGCAAGCAGGCTGCTCATCTTTTCCGCACTATCAAGGCGGACTTCCTCGTGCCTATGCACTACGAGTCATGGGGTCATTTCACGCAGTTTGGTCAGGATCTGATAAAAGTTTTCAAGGAAGAGGGGATCTTTGACAAAGTCTGTTGGCTCTCACCTGGAAAGTCTGTAAAGGTTTTCTAAGACATGTCTTGCTGTAATTAGTCAAAACAATTTTGTTGGTTTGTCATTGAAGGAGTGGATTAGTTCGATCAGTTCTAAAAAAAGAATAACATCATCTGTACACGCCCGCATTTCATTTCCTGCTACCCTCTTTCTGAGACTTGACATATAGATCGGTACCCACTTCAATGCACACAATCATTTTGCACCAGTAAGAATGTGATCTCAATGGAAACCCTTGACTTGCTGTATGGCTTTCCACTCCAGCCAGCTGTAGCTGAAAAGTAAAGCATGTAAAACACCGCTATTGAGTGGCGTATAGTCAAGGGCAGGGGGAGTGAAAGTTCCTCAGCTTAATCCGCTGGTGTAATAGCGAAGGGTCTATTAAAATACGACTCAATGCTCTCTGACCACCGGATATTCTGGATTTTAATATGGCCCAAAGATGCATCAGGCGTTACTCCTTGATTGATAATCTAGACTCGCAGCTCAAACCTCTTTTGTAGCTTGCCTACTACGCAGGGAGGGAAACATCTCTCAGCCCCGGTCCAGATAAACTCACAATTTCAGACCCTTCTGATAAATCATCGCACCGAGGGTCAACCAAGGAGCAAACCACAAACAGCCAAGGCCAGTATAAGATCTCTGTCTGTAATACCTCCATCCAGTATAGGCACCTGCAATCACCGTGGCCCATATTATCAACTTCTCTTCGGCCGTCCTGACAGTCACCCTTGCCCATTGGATGTTCAGAAGGGCTACGAGAATGTCAGCACGGGGACGTATATAATGATATTTCGGTGGAAGTCGTGAATGCTCACCAGAAGCGGCCAAAAGGACGTTGACCATATCCCAAGCGGTCGTTGCAGTCGCCTTGCCAAGGGCATGCTTACTGTCTGACGGGATTGCAGCTATGGCAGGATCGACTTCGTTGATACCGAACATAATATGCCCGGGTATTGAGATAGCATGTATAGCCGCAGAAGCATAGTACAGAGTGTTGGGAATAAACGACATCGTAGAATTTCCAGGTCTGAAATGGTGGTCAAAAAAGGTATTGATTGAGGAAAATCGATTTCTTGTATTAAAATCGGATGACAACGGAGATTCAGGATACTTATATAGTGAGATGCAACAAAAAATCAGTTTCTCGCATGAGATAAAGATCACGCAGCGGTAGCGATTTGTCAGTGATTATCATTTATTCTGAACTAATACGGCGTTTATAATGTAGATCGGCAAACTTGATCCGAAATAATCTCGCCGTCATGGCAAAGAATGAAAATTGTGGGAAATATTTCTTGGCGGATTTGATTACCAAATAAAGTTAGCGCGGACTTGACAGGGGGTGGTGGAAATATTACCACAACTCGGCGAAGTGGACTAACCCTCAGATCGCAGGATAGGTGTGGCCCTAGTAAAAATTCGGAGACCGATTAAGCTGATTGATCGAGGGAATGTCCAGACGCAGTTGTGAGCATCTCCGGCAGCCGATAGTTGCCCCGAGAAACGAATGGTTTGGTTACCATTGGCCGACCCATTGTGCACAAGGCTCACACTTGCCCCGGCGAGAATGTAACTTATAATTTAGAGACTATGCAACCATTGCTGCCGTTAATATGTCGCCGAGCTGGGTGCTGCGTGTTCATTTCTCCTCTACCCCTTCATATTTTATGTTGTGACTTCTAGAGTAGACTGTAAAATGGGACTACCATGGGACCCAATTTCTGCCTAATTTGGCCTGATTCTGCGTAAAACTTGCCTGATTTTTTTTGCATTAATTACATGTGTTTTGGTTTGGTTCTGTATGAACTACCTTATTTCAAGTCACTCATAATAATTTGTGTTTTGAGGAAACATTTAAGGAAAATGTATATTTATCTTAACATTATACGGTCGCATATGGCCAAATTTGAGATCAATCTAATATTAAGGCTGGTGGTTTATGTAATTTTGATATGTGGTGGTTGAGTATGGAAATATATATTTTATTGGTGACCTCTCGCAGTCAAGAAGAGAACAGAAAACGTGTACAGTTTGGCCGTAACGGGTCACCTGTCGCTGCGGTCTTATGCGTGAACACATTAGACTGTAGCGTCAGAGAAGGCCCAAATGACCCGGGCCAACTAGGATGGTGGAGGGGACGGTGGAGGAAGCAGTAGAGATAGCGGAGCTGGCGAGCCTGTCTGGAACTGGTGATTGAGCTTGTATAAACTGACGCGTTCGTGGTGAAATACACCCTGAATGCCTCCAAGGTCCCATCTCCCTAGCACCTGGATCTGGTCGTCGATGATCCCACTATCCTGCGCATGTTGAGATGCACCCTTCCGAAAGCTGTGTCATGAGTAGCCGTACGTCTGTATGCCAAGTGCTCTTAGCTTAGTAGACAAGGTAGAGAGGAAATGGTTGCGGCTGAACGGTTTTCGGTGGAAGGAGAATAACGGGGCATCGGGTCCTTTGGGGTCGAGCAGTAGTAGCTTCTGAAGCGCGTCTACTGGGCACGCTTCGTCTCTTGTTTTTGCGAGAACAATCTGTATTCCTTCGTGGTGGCGGTCCGTCTTACTCCGCTTGAGTGTGAGTTGCACATGATCTAACGAGGACGAGAATCTGATGTCGGAGAGCGTAAGCTTTGTGGCTGAGATAGAGCGTGTGTTGAGGTCTTCTGTCTTGTATGTGAATTCTCCGAGGCGGAGGAACCCAGCAAAGCTACCCGGCAGGCGGTTGCGAAGTTCAGGTCGTCTATGAGGTTCGCAGTCATCTCTAAGGGGTGTGACGGGATTGTAGAGAGGCTCGCGGATAGTTTCGTAATAGTGTCACGCGAAATCGGTTTTCTGACCCGAACTTTAGTGATGGGGTTGAGTCTTCTCGCGCCGTCTATGAGACGTCGAAAGTGCTTGTTGTCAAAGAGTTTGTCATCAAGGAAGTTGTCCATATGGTAAGCTCGGAGAGCGGCTAGGTCGGCAAGTGCGGTGTCGGGTTTGACGGCCTTTTGGGTTGAATTCCCAAGGAGTCGTGAAGTTAGCCAGGAGGTTAACGACTGTGTTGAGGCTGGCCATGCCGGTAAATTTTGTAGTGCACAATGCTTTTCGTAACTGCGTTGAACGGAGAGGTAGACGGAACGCGTGTTAGCGCTGAGACCGCTCCAGGGCAGTTTTAGGTGGCCTGGAGTGAGCTGAGGAGCTCGTGAAGAGAACCACGCAGGCGGTTCAATACCGAGAGGTCCTGCCAGTGGGGACAAATGTTAGAAACCTCTTGGAAGTTATTACGGGACAGGGCATCTGCTAGTGTGTTTTCCTGGGAAGGGAGCCAATGTGGCATGATTTGGATGTCTCTCGCCGCCGCTAGGATAAGTAGGCTTTTCAGAGGTACGTTAGGCGGACCATGAAGGAAGCCTTTACTCAGTCCTCTGTGGGCTGTGGAGCTATCCGTGTGGATAACGAGAGTATGATGAAGCCAATGCTGGCTGAATAGTAGGAAGCCTTGTAGAATGGCTCTACTTCGGTGGTATTGATGTGCGCGTGTGCGACTTGGTGCGCGTATGCGTCTTGGGCAAGGGCCAGTGAGGCAGCATTGCTTGGATGAAGCTGGTGACAATGGGCCAGCCAGCAGTCTGATATAGACTTGGATGAGAAGAAGAAGAAGAGCCCCTGGCCTGTGTTGGAGGCATCTGTGTAGAGACGCGTGATAGAGCGGCGGCAGGGGTCAATTAGGAGTACGCCGTTGAAAAGAGACAAGGAGTCCCTCCACCATTCCAAATTGTCACGTACCTCGTGGGAGATACGGCTGCGCGCGCTCCTCCCATGTGGGAAGGCGGCTTGGAACGTGTATAGAGACTGTAGCCTTGTTCTTCCAAGCCAGGCAACTCTTGAACAGAAGGCTAATGAGCCTGTGAGATGCTCTGTTTGCTTGAGGGAGAGACTCGCTGCGTTTAGGGCAGATGCGGCGTCCAATGTGGCGCGGCACAACTTATCTGGTGACAGGCGAGCTTCCATTGCAATAGAGTCGATCTGGATACCCAAGACCGTAACGCAAGTCCCTGCTGGTCCTTGTTGGTATTGCGGGGGATACGCAGGTAGTCCTTGACCTCGTTGTAAACCTCGTCAAAGGGACCCGTAGGGTCGGACACTGGGGGAGACCGAGTAATTGCGATGAAGTCTTCCAGGTAATGATTGATATAGAATACAGGGAGGAGGCATTGGAGTATCCAATGGAGAGCCTCGGCGAAGAGGTTAAAGAGAAATGGGGCCGTAGCGAGGCCAAAGGGGAGGCAGCATTCGACATAAGTGGAATGGTTCCACTGGAAGGAAAAGAGGTGCTGGTTGTCCTCAGCAACAGGGATTATTCGGAAGGCGTCCTTAATGTCCCTCTTAATGATTGTGCAACCTAGCCCAGCTTGTGTGACCTGCTCGTAGATATCATCGATTGTCATGTATTCAATGACTGACCAAGAGTCCGGTATGCCCTGTTTAAGGCCCTGTCTAGGGGGCCAGGATAGATCATGGATGCGGCGCCATCCTCCATCATGCTTAGGGACTAACCCGAGCGGCGAGACGGGGAAGGAGGGCCTAGATGCCAATCTAATGCGACCGAAGTTGAGATCCTCCGCTAGTTTGGCCGAGATCATATCGGGTTCGTGTATGTGATGGTTGGAGGAATGACAACACTGCTTCTTGCCCTTGTAGCCGATCTGGACGCCGTAGGTCAGGATGCCAGTGATAGTAGACGCGAGATCGCCTGGATAGTGGCGTAGGAGGTTGCTCCAGCCTTTTGTATATAGTGGTGACGGAGAGAACTGTAGCTTTGGGAGCTCCGGGTTGAAAACGGGGTATTGGACAGCAGTATTTGGCCTGGGCGGTTGGCCCTGGGGTATTAGGCTTAGTGGTAAGGGATTGGAGCACCTATCGGCCTCTGCAGTGTGTTCCCTAACGGTAGGGTCCACTTGCTATGTCTTCTTACGGCAAGAGGAGGCGCCATGCTGGCTTAGACCACATGCTGTGCACTCATGACGTCTCTTGCAGCCTTCCCAGAGACATCCTGTGGTGTTGAACTTATCGCACACCTCGGTTTCATTATTAGAAGATCTAGTAGACCTTGTTTGGCGAGGTCGGACTGAAGGGTTTGCCGGCGACTTCGCAGGCAGGGTAAGATTGTGACGGAGATATTTTTCGCGAAATGGGGCTGTGATAAGGTTGTTCTCCGTCGACAGCTCTCCTTTATCCAGAATTTATTGGTGGAAGTTAAGGGCGAGCGGCAGTACTGCTTCTGACCACTGATAAGTTTGAGCGAGGTCGAGGATCTGCCTCATGAACATGAGTAGGTTGGGAACTGCCTTTGGATGTTTCTCGCCGAAGAGATATCCTATGACGGCTAGGTATGTAAGGAAGCAGCTCGTCCATGTTGAGGGTTGGGGCCCCAGTCCTTAAGCGATGCCGCTGCCTTCTTGAAGCCTACTGTGCCTCCCGACTTGGTCATCTTGAAGACCCTGTCCTCCTGATCCAGCTCGGTGACTGATTTCTCTTTGAAGCGTATGAGTTCAGTCGCCTTCAACTTCCTCTCGAAGACGCGAGTAAGAAGGGCGGCAGAGACACCTGGGAATATGTCGATGAGTGGTTTAACCTCAGGGGGTGGCTCACGGTTTTCCTCGAGATTATCGTCATCTTGCAGGTCCACATGAGGCCTCCTGCGGCGGAGGTCGGTCTCTGCTACGTCCATTTCAAGGCGCCTGGCCCTGTCTCTCTGTATCTGTCCTAGCCAACTAGCACGGTCCACTGTGTCCATGGTTACCCAAATGTGGGCCGGAGGCCAAGCAGAATCAAGTGGGGCAGGCGTGACACCGCTGGACTGGCTGAACGTCATGGTGGAGAGCGATATAGTCAAGGCGTATTGGCGCTGTTGCCGTAGAGGAAGGATGTAAACAAAATCGAGTCTTGACTGCGTGAGAGACGACAAGCTACCACCAGAGGCAAGCAACTGACTCTTCAGAGGTAGTTGTAGGAGGAAGGAGCCCTCTGAAATGTGAGTGTAGATGTCACGTGAGATAGCGTGGCCAACGTGAGGCAACCCCAATAAAACTTCTCCCTTTATGTCGAGGTATACTGTTAAGGTATGATCTACGTTACAGGGTAGAAGGCCTGTCAATTAGGTAGGAGAAAAAGCACTAAGTCAAAAGTTGCTTCAAGACTGTTTCTTAGGGTTTCTATAACCCATTGTAGCTCAATTTATATACAGTCTATTCTCTAGAACAGGAAGGAGGGGAAAACGCCACAAAAGAGGAGTAGAGAGAGTAATACGAGATCATGCAACCTATAACAGGGTTCCCTCCTGCAGAGCTCCCTCTCAGCCTCACTATCGAAAGGTTGATGATTGACCACTGACGGGTTGCCGTTCGGCCAAGATCCTCAGGCTACCTCATAGCCTGAGGCACCGTATAGAGTTGGAAGGCGGTGGAACCGCACATGTGATGGCAACCAGTGGATGTAGATGAACAAGTCTGATTTCGAGTACAACCCCTGAGCTAACAATTTATAAGGGGTAAAACAAATTACGAATCTATGATGTTTATCCAGAACCACCCACTAATATCCTGTTGAAGTTGAGGGTGCCCTGGTAGTGATATTCAGGGGGTGTCGATCAGGTTGTATTGTTGATCATGTGACCCATGAGTCGAATTGGCCACCGACTTATAGAAATAGCTTCATGGCGGAAATATCATACCAAATGGAGCCAAGCTAGTGTATTTACCTCCGTACTCTTCCGACCTGAAACTGATTGAAGAGTTCTTGCAGAGCTAAAGGCCTTCATCCGGCACCATTGGCAGTCTTACGCCGATAATCCGGATCAAGGATTTGATAACTTCCTAGACTGGTGTGTTGACAAGGTGGGAACAAGGGAACAAAGTGCACGAGACATTTCCGAAATGGAGGTCTCGATATTGAAGAGCTATGGTGGGAATAATTTCTGACTAGCAGTTAGAGAAGAGTGGCAATCGTCTACGTAGTTGGACTGATCTTCAGCGTGAGCTCCTTACCACGGAATACAAGAACTGACCACATCAGAAGCTGCTCCTCGATGGCGGTCCAAATAATGTCGGTATCGTCGAATCTTTTAGTTGGTTTGCTCTTGGTACAATCGCATTCTAATGCGGTAATGGGGCGCAGTCTATCGTCGAAGAACTGTCTCTAGCCTGTTTTTCCACGGTCTATTGCCAGAAGGCGCTGGGGCCCAAAACGATGCCATCCATGTTCTGTGATACGTCCCGATTGTTGATTGTGACTCGCCACTCTATTCCCACTCAGACAGTTGAAGGAATCTGAGAGGATGTAGGCCAAGCTTGCCTGTTAGCTCAAACCCATTCTCAAGTACGCTAGACGGGGAAGGGCTTGAGATACAGTATGCGTCGAAAACAGATTGCCCCCTGGACACAGACAGACGTATTGTTTCTCATCCCATATTCGAAACTGGGTTAGCTCATATTACCGTATTCTACTCGATACACAATACCTGATTAGACTATCATGTCATTTTACGTATTTGTTAAATTTCAGCGCTCAATGAGTCATTGTAAAATACGATAAACCTACACAGAGTGTTCTCTACGGAGGTGCGGAGTACAACTGGCACCCAACCAAATTCTTAGTGCATGAATGGATGATCATCTCTCAGGTAAAATGTAATAAAATTAACTAGCATGCACAGGGCAAGATATCTCTATAGTAAACCCGACTCTGCCTCTAGGAAGTCTGCAAGCTGCTCCATGCCATAACGAAACGACTCCGGATGCATCACGAAACCCAAACGAAGACAGCCTTGGAGGCTTCCTTGGTCGTATTCCTCAAAGCAAAGTCTGGCGGGGCAGAATAGTATATTTTTAGTTTTTAGAAACTGTAGAGCAAACTCCTGATCATGAAGAGGACGTCCGTCCTTGTAGTGAAGCCTTATCAGTGTTGAAGTTGAAGCATAATTAGGTGTTCAAGTGACCTGTGGATGCTCAGCTACGAATTTAGCAAGGAATGTATGGTTAACCTTGGCCATGTCGAGACTCCTTTGGATTAAGCGTTGGCGGCATCTTGACGAGAGTGCTTCTACAGCAATTGCTTCGTCAATTTGCCCAACACTTATAGTACTGTAGTTGCGGATTTGCGTGAAACGAGCTAAAAGTCATTGGACAGTGTTGCAATCCAACCGACTCTGATGCCAGGAACACCATATGACTTGCTGCAAGAACTTGTGACAATACACTTTTCATAACCACTTTCAAGGAAAGAGACGGGCTCCTTCTCGCCATTTGGAAGAGAGTGAAACATCAGCCTAAAACCTCATCGACCATTAAGATAATGTCGTGGGCTTGTGCCAGTTCAAGGACCGAGTTCTGCAAAATGCTCGATAAATATGTACCCGTCGGATTGTTTGGATTGCACAAAACTATCATCTTCGTATTTTCGCAAATTCCTTCCCGGAGATGTTGTAGATTGGCAGCCCAACCGTTGTCGCTATCGACCTTCCAAAAAGGGACCTCAGCACCTAACGCCTGGCTAGTCTTGTAGAGTTGTTCGTAGACCGGATATAAGCAGATGATATGATCACTGCGACATATCAGTCCAGAAAAAATGATATGGTTTGCAGCCACGGCTCCACTTGTAGTTATTATGTGCTCATGTGTCACTTTTGGGGTCGCGTAAAGAGAAGCAACTGAATCTCGTAGGTTGTTACCCCCGTTAGGGTCTCCGTAAGTCAAAGAAATAGTAGCTATCCGGCCACTGTATACTGCCGGCTGTGTCGCATAGCATGGATGGCACCCATGTAGTAAGGGGAGGGAGTCTCCCCACTACAATATGTATGTATGCACGTGCTTCCAGCCTGTGTGATCATTTGAGTAACCGGGATATTCAACAGCGCACTCACCCTAATCACCCGGGTCGCGCGACACTAAAGCGGCGCTCGCCCTATCCTCACCCGGGCGACACCCACCCGACTATTAACTGTAGCCGCACATAAGTAGCTTATCAGTTTAGTTTGTGTCCGTAGCAAAAGGTCGACGCGAAAGTAGTAGGTTGCGACCAGTATCAAGTGGGCTAGTAATCTTATTCGTCGTGGTTTAAAAAAGAATACCTTTGATCCGAACGCAGGCGGCTACAGAGTCCTCCCAATTGGTGACTGGAAAAATGGTAGTTAGTGTATCCGCACGATGGAGCTGTGGTAGAAGACCACCATGGTACGGCCCGTCCGTAGTAGCCGCTGGTCCAGACTTTGTATAGAGAGGGAACTTGTCATTGCCATTTTCCTCGACTCGTCCTCCTCACTGCCATGCCTTGTCGCTGACAAAATTTCGCTGCGTCCCTCAGAGGAAGCCAAGACCAGATCAGACACTGGTGAAGGCGCCACAACGTAGCCAAGTTGTCCCAGGCCCCCAGAAGGAGGCAAGGTTATGGGTTTTGAGTACTGTTGCGAGGAGGGTAGGAAGCCCAGCAGGTTTAGCTGTGGGAACACGTCAGCCGTTCAGGACCGTGCAGGGCATATGGGTGAATAATAGAGGGTGTTCAGGGCGTTCAGGGTGATCACCCTGAAGGGGCTGAAGAGTAAAGCGGCAAGCTTGGGCAGTCGCCGCAGCAGCTAATATGACAAAAAAAGACAACTCAAAAACATACAACAGCAGGGATTCGCATGTGGTCACCCACCATACTACTAACCTGCCGGCGTGTGGCTTAAGTACGGCTGAGCGGACGGGAAGCCCTGTTCTCCACACCCTATGGTCGTATGTATTCAAAACTCAGTTACAAAAAGTAATATCCTATCTTCGCAGATCAACATACTACAATCCGGCATGTGTGACTTCTGCTCAGTCAATACTCTAGTGGTTATCGCCTGGATGAGTAGGGTGAGCGCCGCTTTAGCGTCGCGCGACTCGGGTGATTAGGGTGAGTGCACAATAGACAGGGTGAGAACAGGTTGAGAGTTGGCGAGAATCATCCTTCGTCGCGCAACCACTGCACTGACCATCTCAGCTGAGTTGCGTGACTGGCTCACATCGATCTGCCTGAAACCGCGGTCTCTCCGCACCTGCATATACAGTAAAACCGGGTTATAACGAATCAATTCAGACAGCGAAATTAATTCGTTACATCCAAGTATTCGCTATATCGAGAACCATTATATATAATCACAATAATCAAATTCAGACATTAAAATAACTTCTAATATCCCTCTGCTCCTGGTTTGCCAATTTTCTCCCTTTCACCACTCTCTCATGTTTACAAATCTCTCGCAGAAATACAGAACTACCCTGAGGTTGCTGCTCTTCGTACAAACGAAGCCTTTCCAATGCGTCAATAGCTTCCTTGATTGATATAGAGGGTAATTCTTGAATGATTTCATCCTCTCCATGCTCAATCTCAGGTTGAAATTGGGAAAAAATTAGATCATCTATCTCATGGATATTATCTTGTACAACCTCATCGTTTAGATTAATGAAGTCGTCGATATCCGTAAGATCTCTGATCCTTGATGAATGCTGAAGCTCTTGAAGATCCCTAGTAATATCAGAGATAATCGGAGTGATCTCAGGAAGCTGTATGATGATGATGATGATGATGATGATGATGAATTCATTTGCCCGATGTAGCTTGCTCTAAATATATGCTGCTATGCGGGAGTGCTGTCAGGCCTGCCGACAGCTTGAAGGTGGTCGCCAGCCCACTGAACGATTGTTTCCATGGCTTGCAACGCAAGCCCCTGATTGGTCGCCCGGGAATGTATGCAAACATGACAAAATAGACAAAATAAACAAAAGAAATCCAAAAAGAACGTCGCTTCCCCTCTACCCACTCTCCTTTCCACAATCAGACTTCATTCTCTGATCTACTTCATCCTCCACCGCCTTCATCTGCGCAGCCCTCTGGGCCGTCGGCTGCCGCTCCTGCGCTCGCTTGCATCAAGGGAGTACAGTGGACCTGGCACTGCACTCCTAACGGGCACCATCCTTCTCCTTCCGTCACACTGTCCTGAGGGGTCATCCATTTTCGTCGCCTTTTTCCGTGCCGAGAGCCAATGGGTCGACTGCTTGAAACTGGTTTAAGAGACCTGTCCGGACCATGAATTCGGCCACAATTATGCGAGCCTCTGGCCGCGTCAGGAGCTCGTCGCGTCGCAGAGCAACTCCGCGGTCGGACAGAGCGTTTCTCATCCAGTTGCGCTCATCTTGGAGTAGCGGGCATTCGAGCAAGATATGATCGACGGTCTGGTTCCCCAGATTGCAACCACATCTCGCTGACTCGCGCCGATTGATGCGAGTCAAGTAGGCAGCAAGGCCAATTCGTCCAGTACGAAGCTGCATCAGAATGGACGCTGTCGCTTTCCGCAGGTCGGACCAGTATTCCAGGGTCTTCTTCGTTGGTCGTTCGACTAAGCGTTTCGTCGGTCGACCTGTTCTCTCTATAGACCATGACCTTTCCCACTCGATTTTTGCCTCGCGGCGAATGCGGCTTTTAGCTGCGGCTGCAAGGCGAATATAACGATTGTTTGGGTTTTGTGGTCCTTCTGGTTCCTGGGCCGCCTCCTTTGCGTGTCGGTCGACACGTTCATTGCCGGCCACTCCTTGATGAGCAGGTATCCACCTGAGGTGGATTTGACGGCCATTGGCTGCGTGTTGCCTTACCAGGTGGAGGCATTCTTCCAGGTAGACCTGTCCTGATGGCATCCGTGGTTGGCGGAGCGCCTTCAATGCCCCTTGGCTGTCTGCAAAGATGACAAGCCCGTTTCTCGCCTGTGCCGCCCACGGTTCCGTGGCCTCCAAGATTAATTTGAGTGCCATTTCGATGGCACTGAGCTCGGCAGCGTATACAGTGGACGTTTCTTCGCCGCCCATTTGGCTGTGAGCGTGGTGATCCTCGAGATCAACGACTACTGCTGCTCCAATTTTTCCTTCGATCCCACTCCCGTCGGTGTAGAGAATCAAGGGTCTTTCGCTTGGGTCTTTGGATAGAATGTGGTCGTGAGTTTTCACTGCCATCTCTCTGTCCTCGATGAACACGTCTGGCGGCGCTTGCCATGGTGCCTGGACGAATGCCTTCCGACTCTCCCAGTCCCTCGCCAAAGTTCCCGGGGGAGTCGTAAGGCATCCGCCCGTTTTCCAGGCTTGCGCCTCCATCGGTGTCCATCCAGACCAATCTCTCTCGTCCACCGGTCGGCGTCGTAGCATTGTTGGTGGGACAGCGAATACTGGTCCAGTCCGTAACCGTAAAGCCGTTTCTTTTACGAGGCGGTTCATATGGATCGCAATTGGTGGTAGGTGTAGTTCTGTGTTCAGTGCCTCTGCTGCTGTCGTTCTGAAAGCTCCGCTGATCAGGCATGCTGCCCGCTTCTGGATGGCCACGAACGGTTGACTGATCATTCGTGCCTTCATCTTGCTGATCATCATTGGGTGGTACCAGGCCGATACTCCGAAGAGCATCTGTGGGATGACTACCGCCTGGTAGATCCTGCGCATAGCTGAAAGAGAGGCCCCCCATGTCGAGCCAGCCAAGCTTTGTAGCGCCTGGAGGGACACGCTTGCCTTCGAAATTGCCTTTTCGCGGTGATGCTGAAACTCCAAGTTGGGATCAAGCCAGTAGCCCAGATAGCGTTCCGCCGTCCTTGTCGCAGGTACTGTGTGCCCCTGCAGTGACAGTGGTGTGTACCGAGGCTCGACTTCTTTCGTATTTACGAAATGCACGAGCGCGTACTTCTTCGTGTCGAATACTGAGGCATGCTTTCTGGCCCACTGTTCGGCCTTCCCGCAAGCAGTTTTGAGCTTCCTGATGGTCTCTCGCTCGCTATCTCCTTTGGTCATAAAGCAGACATCATCCACCCAGCCGTTACTGGTCACTCCGCTTCCGCATTTCTCAATCAGGTCTGCATTGTAGATCAGATAGAGAATGGGCGAAATCGGCGACCCTTGCGGAATTCCCGTTGGTGTTGGTATTGGACCAGAAGTGCCTTCTGGCATGCGGATCTTTGTGCTTCGATTTGACAGGAAAGCCTTTACCCAAGGGACGAGTTGCCCTAGGCGTCTTTTCTTGAGATTGTGGAGCAGACGTTCGTGAGAGACATTGTCATACGCCCCCGACACATCCAGCATTAACAGGGAGACCACCGGTTTGCCTTTCCCCCAGGCTATTTTGATTTGGTCAATCATGTTGTGGATAGCATGGTCCGTTGAGATGCCTCGTCGACCCCCGAGATGGGTCTTTGGGAGGAGACCCTCGGTTTCCACGGCATAGCTGATTCGTCGTGCGACCACTGCTTCGAGAAACTTTCCGAGAGTATTTAGAAGCGCCACCGGTCGGTAGGACTTTGCCAGTTGGTAGTCACTCTTGCCTTGCTTTCGTAGGACCACCGTGATTGATTGTTGGAAGTGTGTTGGGTTATAGCCAGTGCGTATGCAAGCATTGAACAGCTGTTCGAGCAATTGCAGTACCACTGGCACCTCGATCAATTTGTGCCAGAGGGAGTTCGGGATCCCATCAGCTCCTGGCGCTTTTCCTGCCTTTGCTGTTCTCACAGCTTCCTGTATCTCTTGTGTCGTAATTGGTGGGAATTCAATCGGCTCTAGGTATCGAAATAAGGCAGTGTCCGTGAGGTCCGCAGGTGGCGGCTGTGGGAAAAAGGCCGTCCGGAAAGCCTCCGCTTTCTGGTCGACCGTCTCGGCAAGTTCGTCTTGTATCAAAGGGTCCTGAACTTTTAGTGAGGGTGTGAGGCCTCTCTCGTAGGCTCCGTTACGATTTCTGGCCCATTTGGCGAGGCGCCACATTCCCTGAGGTCCATCTTCGATGACCTGTTGGACTCGGCGTCGATGTGCCCGGGAGAGTGCCCTCTTGACCAGACGTGTCTTTTTGTTGCGTGCCTTGGAGTACAGCATCCAGTCGTAGGGGTCCTTTGTCCTCGTGTGAATACGTCGTAGTCGCCGAACTTCTTTGACGGCGGCCCTGCACTCTTCGTCGAAGTCGGGGTTCGACCATATCGATTGGTTTGCCCACGGGGTTGAAAAGTCAATTGCGCATTGTACGACGCCCAGTAGCTTCTGACATTGCTCCTCGATCTGTCGGTGGCCTACCATAGGTAGATCTCTTTCTTGTAGGCCTTCTTCGACCTTTTGGATAAGTTTGCCGTCATCGGTCGCTTTCCAATTTCTTCTTCTCTGCTGCGTTAATATCGGCGTCTCGATATCAAGCGTGGTTCTAATAGGAAAATGATCTGATGAGTGCTCAATGTCATCCGCCCGCCCACAGCGGATTATTCTGCCGCTGAGGCTGGGACTGATGAAGGTAAGGTCAATCACCGATGATTGGTCGTTTCTCGTCCAGGTTGCTTTCCCTTCCTCGGTGATCAGCTCGAGCTCCTGGTCGTCTGTGATTTGCAGCAGTTGTTCAGCTTCGTCGTCGATCTTAGTTCCTGGCCCTCCCCAAGCTGGGTGGTGAGCGTTCATGTCTCCTACTACTATATGCTCGGCCATAGGAAGCCTTGCCAGCTTGTCTCTCAGCTGGGTTAGGGTGCTGCTCCCCGGCCTGTTATACACATTGTGTACAAATAGGTCCGTCCAGTCCCTGTTCCGGTTGGCTCTTCTGAGCTTCAGTAGCTGATAATCCTGCGATACAAGTTGGCACGACCAGGTGCCCGGGTCAACCTTCCTCGAGACGAATAGGCATACCCCTGCTTGGGTAGAATTTGAGTCACGGTCGTGAGGGCCCTGCTCCTGGCGGGTCTGTATCGCTGGATACAACAGCTGGAATTTTGCGGTCGCCGGCTGGTGGGTTGTGTGTTGTTGTTCATTCCGCCAGGGCTCTTGGACAGCAATGACGTCCGCCTCTAAGACAGCTTTATCCCTGAGAAAAGTGGCCATCACCGACCATGATTTGTGTGCGTTGTATTGGAGTAGCTCGAACGATTTCATTCGTGGTTTCGTTCGTCATCGCTGCGCTCGCTGGCTTCGTGCCATATGTCGTCATTTGGGTCTTCAACTGTGGGCGCGTCTGTCGTGACCACCGGCGGAGACGATCCGACTGGGACCGTATTTGTCTGGCTATATCTTAGTGTGATGAGTTTTCGGTATCCTGGGCTAGCTGGGTCTAGATCCTGGAGACTGGGCTCGCGAGTGTTGGTGTCGTTGATTGTGGTGACATCGTTGGTGAACTGGATAAGCTCTTGCTCAAACCTCTCGTCTTGCTGGGTGCTGTCCTGAGGGGGGCCGGGTTGAGGAAGGTGGATATCGAGCCAGTTGCTATCATCAGGCTGTTCATCCATCGTGTCCTCTGGTGCGCCCACGCGGCGCTTTTTGGATGTGGTGTGTTCTTGGATAGCCTTTTGAGAGGCGGCTTGGGATCTTGTCGACATCCGATTCACTATGGAGAGTGTGTTGTCTGGAGGCGGCGGTGCCTGATTTCGGGGCCTGGTTCTTGAGCCCTTTGGTCGACCTGGCCCTCTTTTGGGCTTCGCAGATTGGCCGGGCTCACCACTTAGTGCCCCCGTAATGAGTGGTTCCATTTCCAAGTCGATAGTGACTGGCTGGGAATACTGTGGTGCTTCCTTTTCCTGTCGTCTTTCTGGCGTGTGCACTGACTCTTCCAGCTCATTTCTTTCAGGAAGGCCAGACCTGAGCAGGTGCGTTGTCGTGCTGCCTTTACTCGCGGCATTCCGGTAGTATAGTGGCACTCGGTGATATGTAGGGGAATCAATCAGAGCCTGTTTGGCCTCAGCCATGGCTGCGCTCTTCACCGCGCAATTTTGACTAGTTGGGCGGTGTTCTCCACCACAATTGGCGCATTTAACTGGTATCGTCTGTCCCTTTGTCGATGGACACTCCCAGGTCGGGTGCCCATCGGCACAGTGACCACATTTGAAATCGTTGGAACAGTGTGACTGGATATGCCCCGGTTTTTGGCACTTCCTGCATAGCTTTGTCCTCCCTTCTCTACAGAAGCGAACAGCGTGGTGGATTTGTTTTCCCCACACGATGCCGGTGATGATCGCACGGTTGGCCACGATTGGGCTGGTGAATTCGATCAGGATTGAGCCCTACGCAACGTTGGCCATTGTCTCCGGAGTAAGCTTCATCGATCTCACTGGGATGTTGTACGCTACCACTCCCCACGACGGTTCCTGGGCGATGGAGCCTGGCCCGAATGCCCTCAACCACTCAGTGTGCTTACGGAGGAGCTCCGCGCCCGCAGCACTGTTAGCCACCATAGCTACATCTCCTGATGGCAGCTTGCGAGCTGCCACGAAGCTTGCCCCACCAGCCAGGGCTGTAGAGCTCTTCTGTCGGGCAACCGTCGCTCTTTGTCGTTCTGCTCGCTCCACGAGCTCCTTCGGCGATAGCGTTCGAATTGTTCGCGATTCGGTCCAACCTTCACGATGACCTCCCGATCCTCACGAAGTTCAATTTTCGGTACTCCTGGAGATGAGGTGCCGTTGCTCCGGGGGTTGGGGGCCGTAGCCGTGGCCAAGCCGCGCTGCCAGTCTCTGGCTCGGAAGTTGCGCCACGCTGCCGCAGAATCGGCAGGGAGGGAGGACAAAGATCTCGATAGAGTGCTTGTTGAAGCTTCAATGGTTGTTATTCGCTGGTTTAAGTGTTCGGTGTCGGCGTTGATCTTGGTCAACGCTTCAAGCACCTTGGCCATCCCCATGGCGTCGCCCCTTTGGGCGTTGAGCGCGTACTGGCGGACAGCCCGGATATATCCTGTGACGTATCGGTCCTCGGTGCCATTGTTCTCAATGTGGTTCAGCACCTGGCGGGCCCCTTCTGCGATGTCGTCCATCGATCTGGGTGGGTCACGGGGTACCATGGTTTTGGGTGGTCCTCTCCTGTCAGGGGGCAATTTCTGTACATTCGCACCAGTCGCAACCATCGCTACCATCTCGCCTACAAAATAGGTATCAAACGATAGCGCGTGAAGTTACGACAATGATGAACTAATTCTCAAGGCCCTGAGACCTCTGATTGGCGAGATATTTCAAGAAAACGTTTTTGCCAAGAAAGAGTTGTTCAAAACTTCTTTTCGGGCGGCAACATTTTCAGTTTGGAAATTTTAGTGCAGATTATTTTTAAGCCAGAGGTAATTTTATCGAATGAAAATATTATAAAGTCTGAAATTTCCGGAGGAAATAATATTGATGGGTTATAATATTCCACCATGAAAAAGTTATACCTATCAGAATATTTTGGAATTTGGTTTGAACCTAGAGGGCCGGCCGGGCGGGCGAGGGCCTCGTCGGCGTCTCGCTTGATCCTCAGCGTTTCGCCTAGTGCAAAGCTGCAAAACAAAAGCACATTGTAATTCCGATGCCCAAGTAGGTGCTCCCACGGGGCTTCTACGTAGATCATAGGCCTATGTAGATGCTCCGACGTAGGAAATCAGTTAATATAGGACGGGCAAGAACTGTGGATTGGTTGCCGCCGAGCCCACAATCCCCGGGCACGTTTAATGTGGGCAGATGAACGGCTGAGGTTGAATTGTAAGCGGGGCTCTCGTTGGCGTCTCGCTTGATCGTCAGCGTTTCGCCTTGTGCAAAGCCGCAAAACAAAAGCACCTTGCAGAAAAAGCCTTTTAAATGCCATCGATCAAGCACTTAATTGAACAAATTGCTAATCAGAATTTCATTCAATATATCTAAACATGCCCTTCAAACTATTCTCTAAAATTGCAAATAAGGCTGGTCTAATCGGGGTGCATATCATGGTCGTCCGCCATTCGCGAGGCCGCACTAGAATTATCCAATCAATCTGGCCGTCGGGTGACTGGATTGTAAGCTCTCAGTATGGAAAATGAGCTGAGCCGATCTAATCTCTCTATATAGTACGGAATATTACCGGCTTGCGAAGAATTTGAAGAAGAATGCAAACTCCGCGAGGCTGCTGATCTGGAGGACTGATTTACCGAACTTTTTGTTTCCTGGATTTGAGCTTATGTGTGTTACTTTAAACTGTATACAGTACTGTATTGTTTGCAGATTTTTCATGTAACGAAAACACCTATGAGCTTTTTGTTTACTGTACGGCCCTAGATACTGCATAATTTGCTTTTTGAAAATTATCACCAAATCCATGAAATCTAAATATGAATTTTTGTGTCTTTGAAAAAAAAGCAAAATATCTTGGTCTTTCATATTCCCGCCATATAAGAAAGTAAATAACAAGGTCTTTCCAGTCTACCCTTACAGTACACAAAAACTTGAACCTAAGTATTGGAGCGTCTCGGGAAATGCACTCACAAAGCATAATACCACCGTCTGGTAGCTCACTATCATGTGTCCCTGGCCTATACTATTCTGAAAAGCCTATGCATTTAGTCCGATAACGTACAATTCAGATGAGATTGTGGTTGTGCATCATGGAGTGCAGTTCGACTCATCTTAAAATATAAATCTCGTCGAATAGTAGATTTATTTTAAATTGTGATTCAGTTTCAAAAGTGGCTTTAAGCGGTGATTCGAGAGACGTCTTGGTCCAACAATGTTGCTTGAGGATCCACCGTTGGCGATACCTCATTCCCTACTTCCTCGATCCTGCCCCACTTCGTATATGGACTTGGCCGTCTCTGTCGCTGACTCGCCGCCGTATGGCGACCTTCCCCAACTATAGATTTATCAAAGCCTGCGGCCCTTTCCGATAGGTATGACGCGGCAAAGCAATCGGGTCCAATAAAGGAATACATAGGCAGAGGTGCTTTCCTCAACAGATGCACAAGGTACAATTAGAGATAGTGAATATGAAAAAGTAATGAACAGCCAAATTATTTTAGGATCGAGGACTTACACTGGGCCAATACCGAACGGGGCACGAAAGGAGAGCCTTCTGACAGGCTCCCAAGCCCCCAAGAAGTCGGTTTCCGAGGAGCATGATCCTTACCTCCGAGGATGTTTGAGATGCAAGACGAGTCTGGAAGGCTTTCGTTATCCTGAACGGCCTCCGGTACAAGCCAGACATGCCATTCAACAGGATCTTCACCTTCCCATTGAGAATTCAAATCATCCGTGCAGAGACGCGGCATCACTCCGGCTGCAAATAAGTGAAAGACAACGATAAAGTCAAAGTTTCGCAAAATAAAGTACTTCTAAGATAAAGTAGTCGCAAAATTTTCAGATCGAAACAAAAAATGTATTCTTTATTTTTGACAGCAATAAGGCAGACGGAAGAAGCCAATTTTTGCAACGAGAGAAGGGTGAGCGAATAAATGATTTTAAAATCGCTTAGTATTGCCATCCTTTTTGTCGCGATACCATCTTGGGCGCCATAAATGCGCCCTCATATACTAGAGAGTGCATTGGCCCCAAAATACGACTAGGAAGATCCATTCTTGAACAGCGATGTTGAAGTCTTTCAACAATCACTTGGCACGACCTGCGCCTATGTTAATTTAGGTGAAACCTGTACACAACAAACTTTGAAAACCATGCAGATATGGGCTGCATCTTTGTTAACCCCAGCGCCCCTAATTGGCAGACGACATGAAAGAGTCCATTCTCTAAGAATGACTTTGAATAGCCGATGTCAATGATGTCCATTGATCAAGTGTCTCAAAGCTTCTGAAATCTATCAACCAGAATATCTCCTGAATTGATTTAAACCGTTGGCTAAGAAGAGTTTCCGACTCTTTAATAGTGGCCACTTCCACCGCAATTTTGTTTTATTCCTAAAGATGCTCTGCGCTGAGGAAGGGTGGTGAAAGGAAAATCTGGCAGAGTGCGATCGGCAACGTTTCTCTAACATGAGCGGAAATATCCAAGCGAATTCAATGGAATTTTCACTTCTGAATGACACAAGCATACGTTGAAAACTTGTGTTCTGATGGTCGGACAAGTAGTTCTTGCCAGAATGCGTGATTGAGCGGGCCATGGAACTTGGCAATCGGGATCTCGGAGTTGCTAATGCTATAGTAGCAACATGCCACAGTATGACTCGGGAGAAGGTAGCAGCTCCTCGGGATATCGGCAAAAAAAAGTCAAGGTGGATCTATGCCAGTCTGTTTTCTTGGCCAAGGATTCATATACAAGGAAGGGAAGCAGACTCTCTCCTTTAAAATCAAATATGATCAGAGAGCAAAGTCAAATCCTGGTCTGAATTATTCTATGACATTCAAAATCACGACAAGATCTTTTAAAGACAACGATCAAGTAAACTGGAAGACGGAGCTTTAGTCTCAAGTTGAAACATATATTAAACACCAAACTCAGAATTAAAAGTGAGTGGCCGTCAGTACCCTAACATCTAGAATCATACCAATGTGGGATTGGTAAAATCCATGCCTTTGCTTCTCATGTTAAAAAGTGCTTTTAGAAAAGGCAAAGGGTTGCACTGGAATGAGATTGTGTGGGTCAGCCAACTAGCCGTCGCGTTTCCTCGTCAACAAATCCTTCATTTGTGATTCGGCCCTCTGGTATATTGCTGCAGGAACCTGCCACCAGACCCAAGAAGTACCGGAAGTTTTCATATGCCAAGAATGAATCGAAGTAAAGGTCCCCTGAGAAGAGTGCCAAGTCTTGAATTATCTCACGTGGCCAATGCCATTCATTGCGTCTTTCACCGATGCTGAGGAAGGTGAGATCATCAAAAGATTGCATGGTTTTATTTGTCTTAGGAGAATAGACATGCAAACTTGTATTTTCTGAAATTCTGATATCAGGCAGAAGCTCGTTGACCTCGTGTTGGCTCAAAAGCAACAGGTCATGGTTATGTTAGAGACTAGACTCTCTGGGAAGTCTCCAGCTAGCTTCTGCTGCGGGATGAGCTGAAGTGTCTGATGTTTTGCTCGTGCCTTGATGATAAGTTCACTCTCATCCATCGAGAAGTGGAGCTGCGTAAACAAGGTCAGTTTCACGCTCGCACGACGGAGGCGCAACAAGCTTACAGAATATCCCTCATACTGGACAGTTGACATGAATGTTGACCCATTCAAATTCGATGATAGCACTGTAAGGGTTCGCTATGTTGAATTTGTATTAATACCAGACCGGAAATAGGAAGTGGAAAGGGTTTCTCACGTTGTCAAAGATCCGCTGAAATAACGGTAAGCTGGTGTACTCCCGAGGAAGACGTCCAGGAGGACAATTTGCGAGAAGAAGCTCCCCACTAAGTAGGTTATACCATTGCACTGTGGGCCCCGCTCGTAGACAGCCAAAAGCGACGAATTCATGCAAGCTCAATTCAGAAGGACTTTGCAGGTTCCGTGCTTTCTTACCACCGAAGGCTGATCATCGCGTTACCCACCCAGCGTTTTGGAATAGAGCATCAACTCCATAGAGAAATAATACTCTTTGGCAGGTCACAGTGTATTGTAGTAATGGAGCAGGCTTGATCTTTAGAGCCAACTGTCAACGAATGCAGACTAGCTGGCTTGCTTGTGTATATCACCCCTGTGATACTGAATGCTCTCTATGATCACATCGCCGAAAATATCGATTTACGCATCGAAGAAACATATATTTTTCTCTGGGATGATCGGAATGTATCTCCAGGTCCCTGGAACTAACTTGATGGAGCGAGCTGCCCTGATGACGAAGTTTGGTGAGCCGGCCAGGTAACCCCGTTAACTGAACTTTCTAAGGATTCAGGAACCGGACCGAATTTGTAAATCTATTGGCAATTTCGTCTAGGTAATCAAGAAGCATCGAATCGACTTGTATTTTGGTAGTAGTGACTGAAAGTCAGCATAGGGTGATGCACAAAAGACCATAAATAAGTTGATTAACGTAATTCACATACGGATGGCGCATACAAGCGGGTGGCGCACACCGCCTCAAATCGCGTTCCGGCGCGTACTCATTATCTTCAAACACCCACCATGCCACCAAAGCGTACCCAATCCTCTCAAAAGTCTGTCGAGCAAGAGGGTAGGATCTTATTAGCTATTAAGGCTATTCAAAATCATGAAATCCCCTCTGTTCGTCAAGCAGCAGCGCTATTTGATGTACCGGAAACTACCCTCCGCCGCCGACGCGCTGGACAGCCTTATCACGCTGATATACGCGCTAACAATCATAAATTGACCCAAAATGAGGAGGATTCGCTTGTGCAATGGATATTATCTATGGATCTACGTGGAGCAGCACCTCGGCCTTCTACTGTACGAGAAATGGCCAATATCCTACTTGCAGAGCGTGGATCTACTCCCTTATCTACAGTTGGTATAAACTGGTCAACAAACTTTGTTAAACGACATAAAGAGCTTCGTACACGATTCTCAAAGCGTTATGATTATCAACGTGCTCAAAATGAGGATCTAAAGTCTCTACGTGAGTGGTTTCGTACTGCTCAACGTATAATTGAAGAGAATGGTATCCAACCAGAGGATATCTACAATGTTAATGAGACTGGCTTTGCAATGGGTCTTATTGCAACTGCTAAGGTAGTAACAAGTGCTGAATACTATGGTCGGCGAGCACTTTTACAGCCTGGAAACCGTGAATGGGTGACAGCAATTGAAACAATTAGTGCAAGTGGTTTTATACTACCTCCATGCATTATATTCAAAGGCAAAGTTTACATTGAAAGCTGGTTTGATAACCTTCCCAAAGACTGGCGATTTGAAGTCTCTCAAAACGGCTGGACTACAAATGAGATTGGCTTACGATGGCTTGAAAAGCTTTTTATTCCGGCTACAACTACACGTACGAAAGGAAAATTTCGCCTTCTTATTCTTGATGGCCATGATAGCCAACTTACACCTCGCTTCGATCAGATTTGTGCTAAAAACTTTATTATACCGCTTTGTATGCCAGCACATTCATCCCACCTTCTTCAGCCACTTGATATTAGATGTTTTGCTGTTATCAAACGCTCATATGGTCGCTTGGTTGAGAATCAAGCACGTACGGGATATAACCATATCGACAAACTAGATTTTCTAGCAGCATATCCTCAAGCACGTACTGAGGCTTTCAAACCAGAGACTATTCAAAATAGCTTTGCAGCAGCAGGTCTAGTACCAATCAACCCAGATCGTGTACTCTCGGGGCTGAATATATCACTACGAACACCTACACCCCCAGAAAACCGGCCAAGCAGCAGATCAAGTATTTTTTCACCAAAAACACCAAGAACAGTTCACCAGCTTCAGAAACAAGCTTCATCGCTTAAGGCCTTGCTTAAACAACGTTCAAAAAGTCCCCCAACTCCATCTAAGATTGCACTTGATCAAGTTATCAAAGGCTGCTATCTCTCAATGCATAACGCTGCGCTTCTAGCAAAGGAAAATGCTGAGTTACGCGCTGCAAATGAGAAGAAACGACAAAAGCGTACACGATCAAATCGGCAAATACCACACGAAGGAGGCTTTACCGTTGAGGAAGCGTTACAGCTCATTGAGCAGCCAATTGAGCCAATTGAACGTGTTGAGCAACCTCCGCCAGGGCCTGTTGAACAACCTGTTCTACCACCTCCACCAACCAGACGGCGGCAGGGAAGGTGCAGCGGCTGTCATGTTATAGGTCATTCAATTACCTGGTGCCCCAATAGATAGATTTTTGAATATAATGGCGTTTTGGTGGTAAAATTCTAGTTCAAACATGTAGGAGCAGGCGGTGTGCGCCACCCGCTTGTATGCGCCATCCGTATGTGAATTACGTTAGCGTGTTGGTGCCTGAGGCACCAGCTCACTCTTACGCAAGGTGTGAGTACTGTAAAAAAAGAAAAAGAAAAAACTGGTATAGTTTGATACCGCGAATCAGAGACTATAATTGAGATCGCAATTAGAAAAAACCGATGCCGGAAAAGCCAGCTTGAATTTCTGGCGGCTATAAAAGAGAAGTCATTGTCAATGATATGTTCTATCCTCCCACGACAACAGACTAATCCTTTCTCCTCCGCTTTCAACATGGGTGGAATGGTAAAACCCCTAACCTTTACGTTAAGAAATCAAATGCGATTAGGCTTATTCTCATGTACCTATGTAAGTATTTGAGGGCCCATAAGGCGTACTTCTCAGACTTTCTTGTCAACCTCACTCCCCCGGGAAATATATACAGAGGTGTCCCGATATTTTGAGACAATGAGATCGCTGGTCGACGTGATTGAAATACTAGTAGCTTGCTCGCAGATACCCTGGACTCGATTCCCCTTGAGCTCAGTCTCTCATTAACGTTTTTTTTTTTTTTTTTTTTTTCTACCGCTGAAGATCAGTTTTCTATCCATTTTCCTTTCTGGTTGGACGATTACTTGCTCAATGGAAGATTGGGAGGAGCGGTGTTTTCGTCAAATTCCCGGCAATGTACCACTCCCAGTCGATTGAGCTGACCGATAATTCGCGCTGCGGTTGGCTGAGGTTGACCGTCTAGCAAGATCGCCTGCCATTGCGTAGGCTGATTGATCTCTTGGTTTCAAGCACAAATTAGTTCGATGCCTCTGGAAAACGCGACTGAAGCTGCGATACCATTGCATTGAATGGTGTTATTGAAACAAAGATCGTGAAAATAAACAACTTCAAAGAGATAAATTGATCACTAGGAGTACACGTATGGCCGATATTGTGACAAATGAGTTTGACTCAATCGCCCCCTTGCTTCCTGAGGAATTTCACTTTCTGGAGCTCGAAGCACATGGCTTGGTTATGTCCTATGTAAATACTACTTATCCCACATCCACTAGTACTGCCTTTTATAGATGAGGAAGGAAAACGAATAGTAACATCCTTCTACATAATCTAGCAAATCGTCTTGATTACATACAAAAAGAGTCAAATTGATCTATTAGACTAGCTCATTCATCAAGAACAACCATTCCCAGCCGCCGAGCAACCGCACTCATATCCACGCCACGCACAATATTCGTATTATCAGAAAGAACCTCCGAATCATTGACCTTACTACAATGATTCTTGTAGAAGTAAACTCCGTTCTCGGAGACAAATTTTGCGCGATCAAGAACGACTGTGAACGTGCCAGATTCGTACGGTAACCAGTTGTACAGATATTTTTCAGGGCCACGAGGAGTAACTCGTTTTGCAGCTGGGGGCTGATCCTCTTCTGAGAGGATATTGTGAAGGGCGCCAATAGGGAAAGGGCTTTCCTGGCTTTCTTGATTTTGCTGGGATAAACTTTCAAGAACTTCATTTTGGGCGGGGCCGATGGCCGACCAGGAATTGGACTTTGGAATGAAGAATTTGAGGGTGAGGGTTTTATTGGCCGGAAGGTGGGAGAGGACAGACGCTGTGAAGAGACGCGCTGTGCTTTCGAGGAGAGAGAAACCTGCCGTGTCGCGTATATGACTGAGAAAAGATGTGTGGACAACGTATTGAATGTCAGAGGTTTTGCCCTCAGGAGTATTGGTGACTGTAACAATGTCGGCTTCTCTAGAAACCTGGAATGCCGGACCAAGAGAAAAGCCACCAACCGAGGTTTCTTGGCCGAGCTGGTCACGAATCTGCTCTTCTGTTGGCATATCTTGGCCAGGAGGTTCGCCCTCATCAACATCCAAGGCATATCGCTGATCGGCATAAGAAGAGACGTTAAGGAACAAATCGAGGATTATCATCTGGCCGATGTCCATTTGTTCCGTAACACGCTCGATGGATAGTTCAAATGCCTCTGACCTGAGGTCTTCATTGTCCTCGGGTGAATGTTGCGCCAAGTCAGCATCAGCGCGTGTGCTAGAAAATGTGCGGTTGAAGTAAAGTAAATCCGGGCCTTCGCCGATCTCCTCAGCCTCCTCGGAATCCTCCATATTGCCCACTCGATAACTGTGCGATCGCACCAGAACGCAAAATCCAATATTGGATAGGCGATTGGGACGATTCCATCGCGCAATCAGTGGAAGAGGATTTTCGACTCGTGACCGATGTTGCTGCTTGCGACGCGCGATTTCCATGCGATTATGCTCAATGCAGGCAAAGCCATCGGGCGGGCGGTATGAGTAAATTTCGAACAAAGGCTTCACTTCGTCATCCGAGAACGTCTGCATGAGGTATTCTCGGAGCTCTTCGTGGTCGTCGTCCAAGGGAACAAGACTGTAGACCTGAATGGGAGTTTCCAGATCGGGGTCTGTCTCGTATTCTGGCGAGACATACTGCTCGAGCACGACAGGATGACCCAAATGGTCCGTGTAGGTGCGCACTTGCTGCCAATCCATCTCAGATCTTGCAACTGGGGCTATGGTTGGTGCAAATGAGCAGCGACCTTTGATGAGGAAAACAGGTTTGAAAGAGACTACTGAAGTAAACGTGGGGAGCGACGGGCTTAAATGGAGGGGAGGGGTGTTACGTAAGCAGGGAGAAGATCGACACAGGGGCTAATCGACCAAGTAAGTTGAGCATCCGGGCATGATGAGAGGAGGTACGTAGGTAGTATGGAGGAGAGAATGTGCAAGTGTGTACTAGTAGATTGAATGTGGTACCACTGGTAGGTGGAAATCTTAATATACTGAGAGAGACATAAAGTCAGGTGACTGCCCAGTAGCATGCCCTACTAGTATGAACAGCAACAAAATCAATTGAGTGTTATAGTCAGAAATTGACTAAATTTACAGCTGCAACTAGGTACTTCTCGGGTGGCCTCGTCAAATCTACTACAGGCCCAGCTTTCCTAGCTGGTTGCCTCCCCACATTCCGTACTTGCTTTCGTCATTTGATGCACTTGTCGCAGTACCAGGAAGCGGTTTACCCGCATTGGACGTTGGGAACTTGAATTTTCCCACTGCTGCGTCTCCAGTAGTCATGGTGATGTCTGCGAACTTCTTCGCGACAGCGTCTGTCTTTTTCGGGTCCGTCTTATCTTTTATGGAACTGATCTGGTCCTTAGCGGTCTTGTGCCAATCCGCCTGAATCTGCTCAATCTTGGCCAGATGGTTGTCAATCCAGTAGGCCCATAGGGTACGCAGACCCCAGTGTTTGAGGCCCCGGGGGGTATCGTCTGGCTTGAGGGCCTGTCCGTTTGGCTTGTTCTGGGAATATTGGCGGGTATATTCATGGTCGAATTCGTCCGAGATCAATTCGATGTTCTGACTGGGCTTGGTCCACTTGTCGCTAAATTCCTGCAGATAGTTCCAAACAGTAGCAGTCATCATGACCTTGTCCGCTATCTCTTTTGGCTCAACGATGTAACCGTTGCTGGGGTCGTCCTTAGGGAGGCTAGACTTCCTTCCTTCGGTAATAACCTCTTTGACTCCGTTGGGCTTTTCGTGATACATGACGAGCAGGTCAAGCGATTGGCCATTTCCGAGGAATTCAGCGGTATGTTGGACCCAGTTCATTTTGGGCCCATTATTTCTCGACCAAGTCATTCCGCCACTAGAACCTATACAGATATCATTAGTTAATATCAACAAGACGCTACACACACTCCCCTGGCCTTCTTACCTCCAAACACCTCCGAGCACCAAGTCGAGTCAGGACGTGTCCATTTCTTAGGGAAAGGAACCTCGCCAAGACCTCCATATTTGGATTCCTTTCCTCCGCACACCCACTCAAGGAAATGCTTGACCAGATGTACCTCGAAGACGTGCTCCGTGCGGAAGTCCTTCGCGGGCAATTTGCTATTGCCGTCAATGAGGTATGCATTGTTCGCTCCCTTGACGGAGTTCTCCTTTGTTGTCTTTGCCGAGCACCTTCTGTTGTCGTTGATATCTTGTGAGCTGGATAGCATAAACTCGGGAAGATACCACTATTGTATTCTCATCAGTATTTGCGTCTTGTTGAACCGGAAGAGGAAAAAATAAACAATCAAGGCATACCTTCGCCACACCCGTCGGCCCGTCGTTCTTTGCGTTACACCGGGGATACCTCAAATATATAAATTTCTTGTTGTTATCATAGAAGCTGAGACTCATCTTTTTAGGCTCTTGTGGGTCAGAAGCGCGGTCGAAAAGGAACGAATCTGTATCGTAGCACTTTCCACTATCTGGGGATGGGTAGATAGGACAAGAACCACTATCATCGTCACGGCCGAACAGAGAAGAGACATCTCGTTTCGAGTCATCGCTGTCACTGACTTTCGTGCCGTACATTGAGCACATCACGCAAGAATTCTTTCCCCCACCCTCACCAGGGCAATTAAGGAAGTCATCGGCGATCGTGACCAAGGGTAAGTGTGTCACGCTTGGCAATGGAATGAGAAACAGGCATAGGCATGTATTCATTTCTACGCGAGGAAGAGTCTTCCACGGAAGAATTGTATGCTTCATAGCCTAGCAAAGTTCGCTTGCCCTTCTCACCAACGCAGGTTGAAGGCGTGATTTGCTTCCTGGGCACCTCTGCGAGCGTGACTCGGAGATCGCCAAATTCCTCAGGGGCGTCAAGCTGAGCGTACATCTTTGAACCAGCATCAATACCATAGCTGAATGGGCAGCTGTTGTCCCCGTTGAGTGAGTAGGAAGCTTCCGCATGTCCGATCACATATCCATCCAGGACAAGATCAACGGAACACCGGGGTATCTTCCAGCGGTCATCGAAGTCAATTCCAAAGCTGACAGTTGGCTTCAGATGCAAGGCAATCTCGCCGTTGGCAGAGACAGAGGCATCGAAATGGGGCTTGCCAATGGTCTTAGCCTCACGGTCGGGCTCATCGAGGGCTTTTTCTGGGTATTCATCGTTTTGAGGGTAGGTCTGTTGAATTTCCCAGGATGCGAGAGTAACGTCTGCTTCCAGATGTCCCGCTAGAACAATCGAGGCATCTGCAGAGGCATAGACTGCGAGGTTCGGACCGACCGTAACAACTCCAGGCACGCGGAAGGTTGCGCCGGGGAAGTCGTCGAGACCGAGCAGCTTGATATCACCGGTCGAGTACGTCAGAGAAGCAACGGCGTCAAGTTCAAACCAAGCTTCAACCTCTCCGGCGTTTCTGAAGTAAAGGTAGGATCTGCTGAGATCCATGCCCTCCTTGAGGGTGGTGATAATGGTTATACCGAAAGAGGTCTCAACATCAATCGAGGCTGTGATGGATGATCGAATATTCGCCTGAGCCTGGGCTCCACCAACAGGGCATGGTCCGAACTGCTGATCGATGAGAAGGAGCTCGACTTTCTCATTGACCTTATGGTTGAGCTCCTTGGTGGCCTCGGCTTCACCAGTAGTGATCAATTGACCGAGCAAGTTGAGGATATCCTCACCGAACCAACGCTTGTGGACCTCATGGCGCTCCATACCACCATGATGATACGCATCACGCCATTCATCTTCGAGATAGCGCTTTCGGTTCTTGTGATAGCCTGTTTCATCCCGCTTTGCGCGTTTGGCCTTTCGCTCGGAGTCACTAGCGGGCCTGTCGACAACAGAGTCCCAGTATCCAGGCTGGTTACTATAGTCAATACGCATCAAGGCATCGCCGTAATCACGAGGGACACGCTTGAAGTCGTAGTCGAAGGTCAAGTCGTAGACGGATCTGCCCTCAAGCTCACGCTTGTTCAGATGACCCGGGAGACTCTGGTTATAGGACTCCTTAAGCTCCTTTGCGACGGCATATCGACCGGGGCCACAGCGACTAGGCATTTGAAGAATGGTACCAGGAGCACCCTTTCCACGGTGAATGTGGTCACACTTGCTGTCCGCGGAGGAATCGGTACAGATCATGCGGATAGTATGCTCCTCTTCGCTATCGCTGTCGGGGCAGTCCATTAACTCCCAGGGCGAGCCATCACGCTTATCCAAGCTGACATGAACCTCATCAGGGGCAGTTATAACCACAAATCCAAAAGCAGCGTCTTCAGGCTCTTCATCAGCATCGCCTTGAGTGTCACCAGTGCCCCAGGTGTCGTCTACCGAGAGATTGAAGTCGGGGTCATCTGCATTCTCTGGGGGATTCTCAAACAGATACTCCAAAGGAACTGGCATGAACAGCGATTCACCACTTGCGGGTGTGCAGCAGAAGGCTCGTTGACGAGACCTGTTCTCTGTCAGCTTATACTGCCCTAATAGAAAAGGCTCGACATAACTCACGTTGGCATACAGTCCTCTCCTTCACCGTATGGACTCTAGCAACAAGCAGCTAGACAGACTCGCCTCTTTTGAAATGCAGATCTTTGGACAATCTTCGGGATAAATGTGCCCACATTCGAAAAACTCCTTTCCGACCCTTGGCTCCAGGTATAGTGGTGCATTTCCCTCCGAGGCAAACAGAATGCTGAATGTATGTACCAAATGAAATAATGACAAACTTTCTTCTAGGTTCGACTGGCGGAGCTTCTGCAAATTTATTTGCTGAGTGCCTTCCATCGCCTTGCGCAGAATTTCTTTGATGGAGGCTTGAGACTCTCTCCGTTTCTTTGCAGTAAGGCGTAATTGACAAGCAACCCGAGAAGAGCACATTTTCACGATCATTTCTCGGACTTATTTCGGGATCTCTGTAGAGCTATCTCTCTCTGACCAAATACGAATCAGTAGCTACCATGAATGGAGGAGCACAACGAACTATATTGACTATAGAGATCTTCGGAGAAGATCAAAAGATTCGGGAACCACGCCAAAAAATTCTATATTTCAGCTGTCCGGGCCGCCGTCCGGATGCCTCAATTGAGACAAATAGTTTTGCAGACTGATAGCAGCCCGCTGTACGTATTGGCGTATGAAGTGCGAGCTGAAACTTCGACACTCACATGAAGGTACCCATAGAGCTACAGAATATCTTCCTGTCTGGAATCAAGCTAGGCAGGTACTCGATGCACTGAGGAAGTCGACGCGATCTAGGGCTTCTTTTTGCTTTGCCTTTTCGCTCTGGTTAGCTGCAAACATTTCCCCAATGGCGACTCGCTTTTTCTCCTTCAGATCGAGGATTTCATTTTGAGCTTCCTTCAGCTCTTCATCTCTAGCGTGGATTTGCTCACGCTGATGATCGATTTCTTCAAATATGACAGACGCGGCTTAGGATTCAGGACTTGACGCCAGCACAGCAAACTGCTTAAAGAAGCTCCGAAGGCCATCGCGCTATTAAAAGTAGAAGACTTTTGAGCATTAGAAGACATAATGGGAAGGCTGTGTTGTGTTCTGAATTGTCAAAAGACTGTCAGTATGAAGAAGAAATATTTCTTGATCTGTTAAGGAAATAGCAAGGAAGTTCGAATCAAAGTGGCTAGCCCTAGCTACCTAGATAGGTCTATGGGCTACAGGGAGTAAATAAGTCTCTTTATCCTCAGGAGGTTGCAAACCAACCTGTGTTGAGAATGCTATCCTGGATAGGCTAGATAGACTATCTGAATCTGAGCCCGCCGAAGTGTCCGAAACGACACCTATACTAACAGGAAACAAGTGGGCATCAATATCCTGATCTGGTCTCTGGCACATAACTTCAATATGCGCGCTGCTGGATCCCCAGGTTGGGAATTCGGCTGGCACGTTCTCATGCCCCCGTACCAAGGAGTTAATAAGTAGACCCAAAATCATGATGGCTCCACATGCGGTTGCCAAGACCATTCCGAGCGGTGAGTATCCAACAGCTGAGCCATTAAAGGATGGAAAATGCACCAGCTCGCCTGCAGTGTCGAAGCCGATGGTCTGAACCACAAAGAGGCTCTGAGACACGAGCCAATGCAAGACAATCATGATAATCATCAGTGTAATTGAGTAGGTCAAGGGTAGTGAGAGTATGTAGGACGATCGTTGCATGCCACTGGGCAAGGAGACACGTAGTGGCTTCTTCCCATCTGGTCTCAGAAAGCGTACCCACTGGTCGGCGACAAGCTGGCGTGTCAAGATATTGTTGTAAAGAAGGTAGAGGAAACTGACGAGAAGCTGGACAATGTTGGCAAGGAACACGCATGTGATTAGACTGTAGTCTCCCTTCTCGCTGTTCATCCCGAGGAATCCAGCATTGACGCCAAAGCCTTGTTTGGCGATGGTTAGCAGAGTTAAGTCAACGCCTCGTGCCTTCCATGATACCACCGCTTGGATGAGAACTACCAAAGGGGCGAGTATCCCGATGATGAACCTAGCGTTACCAAAGTCAGCTTTAGGCTCTTTAATACAGTGTCGAAGGTATCCTATAGCACTCGCAATAACAGTGATACTGCCCACACCTTCTTGCTCACACTCTTGAACCACGAAATCCGATGCCGAGGGTTCCAGACTTGTGGGTAAACGGACACAGACCGGTAGTTTGATAGATCGCTGCGACGCTCTAGATATTCCGCAACGGCATCACCCATCAAAACCATAGTTCGATCCACTTTGGATCATCCTGAGGTCGAGCGAGATGCCAGCCAGACCACAGAGATGAAAAAGCATTGTATCAATGTGCACACGCTCACGACAGCGAGTACTTGCACTCCATAGTGCAAGCCGCACTGTTGACTAATGTCGCTCTCAGCACCGACTATGCAGTAATCGACCTGGACCCTGAACGGCCAAACCGGATCCTTGTGTTGTGTCCATGCAAAAACCGTCCAATCATCTACCAGTGTGTTTGCCCACTCGCTAGTACACAACAAGGTCATCTCGTCTCGGTTATAAGCTTCGCAAATCCACCAGGGTGCTCGGCTCCACACATCCCAACCGGTATTCCAGCCGTGGAGGAGAGTGTTGTTGTTATTTTGAGCGGATGTGATGTTGGCGGCGACAATAACTAGTGAACCTTTGGAAGTGAGCGGATCGATGTAGGCATCTATGCAACCTTGCTTGTCCAGTCGCGTGAAGTTGTCCATTTCAGCGTACAGAGCATGTACTGAGGCCCAGTTCCTACCGTTAAGAACCGCTGGCAAAGGGTCTAGAGACCAGTCTCTACCTGCCTCTCGGAAGTCACTTGTAAGAATGGCTCGGGCATAGCTAACAACGGGTGTCGAAGTGAAGATGACAGAGTTCCAACTAGAAGTGAACACGCGCCCAAGGTCAGCGGTCTTCATTGACCCAACGTCACAAAGCAGAACTCACAACAAATGCAAGCATGCTGAAAGTACCCCCAATCCAAGCCACTGAAGAATGCGGCCTCTTGTTATGTATTTCAAGTTTCGCAGACTCGGTACCCCAATGTCTAGCGAGACTCCACGAGCATGTGCGGCATCCATTTCCCGTCGGGATGGAGCCACCAAGATCTGCATGCAATAGCTCCCGGCACCCAGAAAAAGAGATGATAGGATATTGAGAAAGACGTGTGCAGCACTATCGATTGTTCGAATGTCGGTGCAGTCACCTATGCGCAAGGTCCCCACACCCAGTGAGTCTGGAGGGAAAAGAACAGAGAAACAAACAAGCACAACTATGTTGGTGATACAGACAGCGACTGCCGTGATCAACTGGTTTCGGACCATTTTCGCTCTTTTGGATGCCTCGTTCTTCCGTGTTTTGGACCGCGGTGATGCCTCGTCAAGCTCGGGGACGTATTGGCCAAGCATTGCTTTGTTGGCGAATTTGTAGCAAAGCGGGCTCGAGCCTTTGGTAGACTCATTGGTATGGGGCCCTTCATCTTCGCCTGGGTTTATTGTACTGATGGATTCTCTTTGCTCTTGGGTTGCTGCGTTGCTGCTGGATTTACCGGCGTTGGGTCGGTATCATGTTGAATTTGCTCATTGGGAGGCTCAAGGAGCGCGTCCTCCTCGTGTGCTGGCTCGCGTGCTCGCGGCCCAATGGCCGGAATATTGCTACTATAATATCGGACGGTGTTCATCGTGTCATCTTCTTTAGGGGGTTGGGGGGCGCGTTTTCAAAGTCGAAATCAGCGGCATGTACTTGAGGATTATATACCCCAAGTATTCCATCAATATACCTACTGTGCTACATAGTACAGGCTGGGGCTCGTTCCATATAGGTACTTCTATTTATGGGCCAGTTCCTAAAGTACGCTCTGCCTTGCGCCACACATGTGCACTAAATAGCCCAGCATTCTTACTGCATCACACGTCTCTCTCCGGCCTTGGGCAGCTGAGGCGCTCGAAGGCAACCAGAATATCATACGGTGGTGCATTAGCTTGCCTCGTTGTTCCTGTGCCAAGACCTACTGGGTGTAAAAAGAAAGCCTAAACATTTTGATCGGCGCAACTCATACCTAGTCCAAGCAAGCGTGTTTGCTCATTCAGTCAGCTTCAAATACGTTCGGCGAGACCAGGTGTAGAAAAAGCAAATTATACCTAGGTGCTCGACTGCAAAGTGGCCACATTTGAAGACGTTGGAACAGCGTGACTGGACATGCCTCGGCTTTTGGCATTTCCTGCAAAGCTTCGTCCGTCCTTCGCGGCAGAAACGCCACGTATTGTGAATTTGCTTCCCCCATACCTAACCGGTGATGATAGCACGGTTGGCCACGGCTGGGCTGACGAATTCGATCAGGATCGAGCCCTCAGCCCGAACATCCGGTCGCGTCACTCAGCCAAGATACTAGATCCTGGCACCTTCGCCCTAGTTGATCTGTCTGAGCAGTTCGGTTGAGACGTCGGCCATCGTTTCCAGTGTAAGTTTCATGGACTTTACGGGGATGTAATACGCCACGACTCCCCAAGATGGCTCCGAGATCACCGAGCCAGGCCCGAATGCCCCCATTCAGAGTAGCTCGGCCCAGCGGCACCGTTAGCCATCATCACCACGTTGCCTGGTAGTAGTTTCGGAGCTACTTCTGAATGGTTTCCTGCGACGATATATAGTTTTAATAATCTTGGTAAAGTTCTGTTGAATATGTAAGACTAGCTCGTTCAAAAGCCATCGCATAGCATGTAATCCTTAATGTTCAATCTGTTCTTCCATAAATATGCTTCCCTACAACCTTCGCAAAAACTCTAGAGTCCTTTGCTTGTCTTCACCACCGAGAAATTCATCCTCAACCTGTTCACGTGCACATCTTTCTGCATACAAAAGCGGCGTCAGACCATAAACACCATGTTGATAAAGACACGAGACAGAGCTGTCATGCAAGAAGACTATGAGGTCAGTGGCAGTCTAACTGCAGCATGATTATGTGTTTCCAAAGAGGGTTCCAGAAAGAATCTATAAGAGCAAAGCGGTGGAATTTGATATCGAGCTGCCCTATACCAGCGTGTTTAGGTAATGTATAATTGCAGCCCGGGACGAAATTCTTCATCCTACAAGCACCATATGATGTAGTCGCACTCGATATGTAGCGGGTGTGACCATATTTATAGATACTAGAGCATTGTATACGAGATTACGAAAGAGATACGTGGCTAGTCGGTGAGGAGGCGCGGGAATAGAGTCCGGCGGCACTGGGACGAGATTTCAGATTCAACGATGGCGATCGCGACGATCAGTACGGCGATCCTTATTAAGGCTCGGCGAGCAAGCCAAACTAATGCCGGACAAAATAATACCACCTGCTTTACTGCTTTCAGCTCCAGACTGTCAAACATGCCGATCAATGCTATCATCCAGCTTTATTCCCAGCTATATAGCTTTGAGGTCCCTGACAATCTTCCCAATAGCTATTATTCTTATGCCAAGGGACCCAGTTCAACGTGCGCTACGCGGTGCAGCTCTCGCAATGCACAGTTTTGGCTAGCCGGAATCGGTGTCTCAGCGCGATCATTGTCGAGAAAGTACTTAATATGATCAGGCGCAATTTGTTCGAGGCATCTAACGAGCTTTCCTTGAGTGGCGCCTGGCTGAGGAAAAGTAGGAACGTCTGGACTGCGGTTAGCCAGTTGCAGGTACGAGTGAGTTATTGAATCTGGAACACATACCAGAAGAGTCCAGCCTTTGGATACATTCCACATAGGCTGGGGTACAAGTCGGCATGGCCTGTGTAATTTGAACAATATCATGAAGCGGCTGATGGGCCTTCTTTGCAATATCAACACACTGCTCCGACATATCACTGCACTATTAGCGATATTTAGTTAGCTAATATAGGTTTCCAAATAGAGGTTCAAAATTGTAATTAGTAGTTGGCAGGCCACACCTGTTCCTTGAGGAGTGTGATCCAGGCCTCGCCAGGGGCGGCCAGGACGGCGGGGGCTAGGAGAGCGATAACAGAGATGAACTACACACTCTATTAGCAGCATTTCTCGCTGTTGCGAAGTATTGATTCTTTACCTTCATGGTTTATTTATAGCGTGCGATTTCAGTGGATGTAATGAGTATAAAATATAGGATAGAGGTTTGCAATAGCTTAGATGTAGGAAATGGTAGAGGGGAAGACGTTAGATTTATATAACACAGCTTTAGGCGGTGAGCAGGCACGTATATATTAAGATAGAGGGTAAGTACTCAGATTAATAATTATGATAGCCATAACTATAACTAGATCGTGGATTTTACTCCACAGTGGCACAGATATCTACATGGCTGGCTGAATCTGAAACTCAAAATATATCTTCCTGCTGCTGTTTATCTTATTGAGTAATTTTTATTTTGTATATAATTGATATTTTATTACCTGGTAGGCTAAGTTGGGTTAAGTAAATTGGCACCCAAGTCTAAGGTTTCGATAAACTCTTGTATAAAGTAATCTTCTTTTATAAGGTATTGATTTCGCTAACTTTACGGATATATCTATTTATTATTAATCTATCTATATCTTAGCACTACTGTCAGAGTAGCGCGGTTCTCGAATTCTTTAGAAGCTGGCAATCAACTCAGCTCAGCAATTTATCCAGGAGGTGATGACCATGCGTACAAGCTGAATTGTGGGGCAAGCTAACTGATGGATCTAGTGGATGCAATAATACATGCTAGGAGATCCGATTCAGAAGATTTATAAACTTCAATTAAGCGAAAACAAGTGTCTATACCATTTGCCGCTCTTGCAGGCGGGCTTTCGTTACCGTCATTGTTAGCGTGTTCAAAGGTTACAGCCGTGTCTCACGCATCTGCAGCAATGCCGGTGATTGGTTATGGTTTAGTTCATTCTTTGCGTTGGCGATGATCGCTGTGTCCTCATACGTGAAGGAGCGGATCAATATATTAGAAGGAAACGATATACGAAGAGCCCCACAGGGATCAGCACGATCTTTTCGCACTACTCGGCATATATTTGACCCACAGTTCGCACTATTGGAAGCTCCTCTTCTGCTGTACCCCCCCCCCCTTTTCACCAATCACTACTCCGGCACAGGAACCAGAGATTCAGATGATATTCTATCCGGTGTAAATAGACCAGAGTAGACTAAATCGCTTAATCGAAATATATACTGACTTTGCATCGGAGCTTCATTAACATTTTAAGAGGGTACTGTTTTTTCGTGCACATTCCTTGTGAAATCTGACAGATCGTCGCGGATGGATCACGACGGTCACAACCATGGCTATTATAAGTGGGTTAAAAGCAGTGATATCCGGAATATGGCGCTCCTTCTGGAGCTGATGTAAAATGTGGTGAGGTGTCACTGAAACATCGCTAGACCGCTTGAGTTTGCATGTTGACAGATCATCGGCACATCGCCTAAGCCTTGGATAAATTGGGCTTCGGCGCTAGATCGACTATTTACGAGGTACTATTGAAAATTGGTCTGGATTGTGGGTACGTGATCTGCATTATTTACGAGGTACTATTGAAAAATGGTGGGTACGTGACCTGCATTATTCTTGTCGCAGTACTTTTACGGTGGTAAGTTATTAGCGCCACTGTATACCATAGAAGACGGAACAGATATAGGTGGATTTGTTAGAACGCGCCCATATGTGGTCAGTATGCCAGCGGTGAAGCCCAACACCGCCTATTCCAGCCAGCCCTCCGCCTAACTCGATGTCCGTGCTAGGCATTCTCTGGGCTGCCGTGCAAACGCTGGCACAATGGATGGCTAGCACCCCCTGCTGCCAGACATTCTGAGCTGCCATAGACGCGTTGGTACATTCATTAGCCTCGGCTACGTTTATTGTCTGCTTCCTGTCCTGCCCTTCCCTTACAACCTCCCACTCAGGATTGTCCCGTCAGACGTCACTCGCTCAAAGCATGTTTGAGCAGTCAGTGCTCGATTTTGGCTATCAAAGATCCCATACCCTTTCCGCATATACTTGATCACTACTCGCCTCAGCTCTGATGGCTCTGAAGCATCTACCATGAGCGTATGTGTGAGCTGCCACTCCCCATCTTCGTAGAGCTTGAATTTTATCCCAACCTTTTCTGCTACCTGTCCGACACTCGATTCTTTGGCCTGTGGTGTGTGAGCGCAACGATGCGGTTTATTGTTTCAAGCTCCATACCTGTCGACGAGCCTGCTGGTCGTGGTGAGGCTGTTCTCCCACCTCGGGTGCCGTAGGTGGGTCTTGACATGGTGGTCCATCATCTCCAGGCTCTTTATCAGAGTCGAGCCCTGTTCTAACTCAACTCTTGTGTCTCGTTGTGTGTCCAAAACGTGGGGCTGTTCCTCCTCGGCAGTGACCGGACTCAATCTTGCCTGTCCAGATTCCAAACGGGAGCCTTGGCTTTCAGACTCATGCGACTCCATGGCCGACTGCTCCTCCCTCTCTCCGTAGCCGGAAGCTGCTCTGACCTTTGCTGACAGTCTTCACACTCCTTGGTGGCTTTTTTGATTTTCGCCTGAAGTCTCTCCAAACATGCCGCAAGCTAGTCAATGTTTCCTCGCAGTTCTAGTTCCCTCGCAACAAGCTTATCAACAACTGACTTATGTTCATTTTCTATTCTCGCCCACGATTCAGTCTGTATCTTTTCCTCGTCGCTGAGCTGACGAGCATTCTCTGACAACTCTGCCACCACTGTGTACATTCTTCTTTCTTCCGCTTCGAGTTGCTCCAGTGTAGCCTTCCTTTCGCGCTCAGTCGCTGCGAGCTGATCTAGTACGTCCTGTTGTCGAGCAGTTTGAGCTCTTAATTAATCTAGATTTCTTTGGTTCTCCTGCTCCTCTTCCGAAAGTTGTTTAAGCCTGGCTGTTTGGGTCTCGTCGTCCCTGAGCGCCTGCTCTCGCTGGCCAGCCGCGAGAAGATCGAGTTGTATTTCTTCGCCGAGTTTGTGCTGGGTCTGCTCAAGAGTACCTATAATAGTTCGTCGCTTCTCTTCGTCGGCTTCCAGGCTCTCTAGCCTGATCACTTGCTCAGCCTCCGCTCTTCTTATACTATCTAACTTCTCTTGCAACACCTCAACGTCCCGGCTAGAAGCTATGAGCCTTTCCTCTTGTTTAGATACAGCGTTTTGGAGCTGCGCTATGTTTTCCTGTTGGTCCCTTTCCCTTTGTGTGAGCTGCTCCAGCCTGGCTTCCTGCTTGTCCGCCGTTCGTCTTAGGTTCTCCAGGCGGTCTTGCTGATGGGCTTCATCCACTATCATAAGCTCTGGTCTCGGATGGCCACCTGCTGACTGCTCGGGACCGGGCCTTGGCTGGTCCGTGGTCGCCTGTTCTTTATATATACTATTGACGTCGACAGCATCGACAGAGATCTGCTTCCCAAAGAATGCAAAGTACATCGATCTTTGAATAAATAGGGATGTCAAAGTTGGTCCGCATACTACGTCCGCGTGTAGCTTGTCGAGGAAAAGATAAGACTTGTCCCGCGCTTGATCTGGTAGATTGGGTATGCCGCTTCGATTGGGCAATCGAACTTGATCCTCGCCCTCATCCGTATCGTCACCATCGCGTATAGCTTGGGCCGATTTTATCCACTCCGTTACTCCTGTTACGCATCTCTCAAGATTATGATACCTGAAACGATCAGATTTTCGAGCCGTCAGGAGCAGTCGACGGGCAATTTCTCGGTCTGGGTCTCGCTGTAGTAGGTCCTGGATCCGCTCCGATCTAAATCCTAGCTTATAGGCTAGAGAAGCAAATTCAAACAACACCTTTTCGTTAACCTGGCCACTCCTGGGGCCTGCGAGCTTTTTCTTGGGCTCAGCCGGTATTTCCAGGTACTCGCGCAGCGCATAGAGCCATAGAGCTTTATACACGACGTCGACCCAATCGATATCGCTTCCAGAGACAGATCTGAACGACGAGCTAGACATCTGAACCAAGCACAGGTTGTTGCCGTGATCCGCATCTGAGAATGAGTCCTCCAGGGCAGACTGTATGGTTTCCCTCCTCTCGAGACGCACCAGCCACTTGACACTGTCTGCTACAAGCTTGAGGTGCTTGAGATTGTTGAAAAATCCCGAAAGTGACGGGACTAGGCAGTCAACTGTGGCAGCGCGAATCCTAGACCAGATGGCTTGCCGCTGTTCGCCACTAAACGCGCTGAGAATCTCTCCCGCACAGACGCGACCGTAAAGACCTCGGGCTTCCCCGTCGCAAGCGCCGGGCGCCTTGAGTTCTAGGGCACGTACCGAGGCTGCGTCGAGCCTATACATATCTCCCTCGTTTCCGCCAAATACGGCATACCAGAAATCTCTAATATGTTTAAGATACGATAGCAATTTCTGTAAGTCAGTGACACGGCTTTGTCTGGCATGGAATGATGGTTACCTCGTCGCATCTTATGGATATTATTTTGTTTACTGCACTTAGCCTCAACCCGCAGTAGAGGGCTAGAAGATGGCGGAAGGCATCAAAGGCAGGCGCGAACTTCGGATGCCCTAGCAACTGTTCAAGGCGATCTTTGGGGTTTGTGGATCCTATTTCAACTGATTCAGGCTCATCAACGATGGGGGTCATTCACTCGGTAAGCTTCAAATTTTGACAGGAGGTCGACGTGGAAAATCAGAATATGAATCACCTTGTTTCTAGCTTAGCTATGCTTACTTTCTCGACTTTTCCTTTTAGATCCCGATGGATTTCATGTCACTCAGAGACAAATGTAAAGTGCTTTCGAAGCAAAAACCATATGTTCGAGATCTAACGGGGGAATTTTCACCCATCTTCGGATTCTGAAACGGTACGGCACTCAAGGAACCGGGCACTAGGGTCACGCAGCTTCATCAGGTCATCAAACTGAGGTTAACGCGTTCTGAACTTAACAGGCGCACACGCATGTTTTCATACTCAACCAAATGACTCGGTGGGGAAAGCATCGCGGTGGCCAGGTCCATGGCTGGCGATGGAGTAACAAACTTTGGAATATATTTCTCAGGAATCGGCTGTGATTTGCTTGGAGTAGTCAAACACTATCTTGCCTGGCATCGTTGACGATGTACTCCACTCAGCTCAGCTATGTTGGCAAGGATTGGCTACAGACCTTCCGCTTTGGGGAGGTTCACCTTGAACCTGTGTGCTGCAGTTCGGCTTCTATGAATGTCTGGAAGCAGTGTCGAATCTGCCGATATTATGATCAATTGTTTGGTCTGCATCCCCGCATCCAGACTTCGCGGACCAAAAATGCGGGGGCGAAGGTTTGTCGGGAAAAGCTTACAGCCACTACTTACACAGCCCCACAATTTCGCCGCCCACGTGAGCCTTCGTATGTCATCGCAACCTAGTATGCGAATTCAATCTCCAAGATCTCGAATTTGGAATATTATCTTTACTCTCACAGCCTGTTTTCGAATAATCCCTCGTCACCCTTTCCCCATTCATCGAAGTCCTATGTATAGGAACGGGTCGGCAATGCCCATGAGGATGGGTATGTAGAAACAAACTCCGGGGCAAGAAAAGTCGTGCCCGATCTCCGTGGAATTCAACGCACCTAGTATCGTGTCAACACAGCCATGATGGGCCCTGAGTACCAGGAGTGTTCCTGAATTCCATTTGAGCATTCTGCAGGGTGAGTCAACAGATCCAGGTTTTGCTCTGCCATATACGATGCTGAACCGATCTCAGGAAGACTTTCAATGTCCGAGCATTCTTTTTCTCAGGCCCAGGGCCCACTTGGCCTTGTCAGTGGCTACCAAGGCAACAGCACAGCTATCAAGGTGATCATGGGCGTTCTGGTTGCCATACTCCTGTATAATGCAGCAGAGCTCTCCGTTTTGATCTTCCTCACCTTCCGCCGCTATCGGGGCCTCTACTTTTGGTCACTTTCGCTCTCCACTGTCCTTGGGCTCATACCCAGTGGAATCGGCAATATCTTACACTTTTTCGCCATCGGTCCACTGTGGTTGGCACTGACACTATCTAATATCGGATTCTACTTCCTGATTCCTGGGCAGTCCGTTGTTCTATACTCTCGACTTCACTTAGTGTTATACGATCAGCGAATCCTGCGGCTAGTTCTCTATGCAGTGGTCATGAACACTGTCCTCATCGGCTTTCCAACAACGGTTTCAACATTTGGAGCAGCCTTTGTACGAACGGATGATTGGAACGAAGCTTACACAATCATCGAGCGGCTGCAGGTGACCTGGTTCTGTGTGCAGGAGTTCATCATTTCCCTACTATACATCCGAGAGACAGTCAAACTTCTCCAGCTCCGGCCCGCGAATAGCAGTCGCCGAAGACAGATTATGTATGAACTGCTGGTGATCAATGTTCTCATTATCGTCATGGACGTTGCGGTTGTGGTTGTCGAGTTCCTCGGACTGTACTATCTTCAAGTGCTCTTGAAATGTACCATCTACAGCGTCAAGCTCAAACTTGAATTCGCTGTCCTCGGAAAACTCACTGACATAGTGGAAGCCTCTCATATGGACTTTATAGGTAATGGCGTCAATGATTTTCCCGATGTCCCAAATCGACGGGATTTTACTACTTCCGATACGGTCAGAGAGATCCCAGTCAATCTACTTGCTGCGGATACGACTCAAAGATCAAGGGAGATTAGGGTTTGATGGCATCAGCATATAAAAAGGAAGAAAGTCTATACTGCACCTGCTGCGCGCGGCCCGCGCCTTTTGACTGTGCTCATTAATATCATTTGTAAAAGTATTACTTGTACATATAACGTAACTCACATGCGAGCTGATCAGTCCCACCAAAACGCGACCGCGTTTTCCAACTGCCACTAATCAACCACCTACCATGCCACCAATTCGCTCTCAATCGCGACAAAAATTAGTCAAACAGGAAGACAGGATCTAATTGCTATACAAGCATATGACTTTTCGAAGCGTCTGTCTTTACCTTCACCTAAATAGTTGAGCCCAATCTTTTCTCGAGAATCAAGATGTCGCTTAGACATGTCTCTGAAAGACGTTCGCTGAGGGTGAGCAAGCGGATGACAAGAGCAAGCGGATGACAAAGAGCAAGCGGATGACAAGAACAAGCGGATGACAAGAACAAGCGGATGACAAGAGCAAGCGGCATGGGTCTGGCCACGGCTCAGCTCCTCGCGGAATTTACTATGTATGAACACGTTAGCATTTGACAATATCGGAAGTACCAAATAGAGCCATATTGTACTTTCATACTGAGCAATCGAAACATCGCCACTTTTATCGGAAAATGCAGCAGGCATCGTCATGTTGCTACCGTAAAGGTTTATTCACTGTTGAGTGACGAGGCATGAAGTGATTTATCTATGGTATCGTATCGCGAGTAATGGTGCGCAAATGGAGTTTGGGGGGAAAAGTCGGCTGGGGTTATTCTTCCATATTTGGTGCTTTATAACTGTGTTTTCCAAGAGACCAATTTTCGAATGCATTATTTTGCTGGGTTTGTGAATTCTGTAGAGGGGGCGACCATGGGCCCGAGTACCGGGAGAAAAACGTGGTTCCAGTTGATGCCAGATTCAAACCATGAGCTTGGAATAGGGGAATTTGTTGATTTGGTCGGTTACCGGAGTACTAAACTCGGGATATTGCTTGAGAAGATATGTGTTGAGAAGAGGACCGAAGTTCACATAAGGGGTCAAAAGGCCCGAGTTCAGCAATTCTGAAGAACTAAAATCATTCACAAACGAATAATTTTCAAGGTTTCCATCCCATTTCGATGATTACTTTGTCTTCGTTCTCAATCCAGAGATTTTCATGGCAGCTCTGCCCCGCCAAACGCAGGATGAACTAAGTTCGTAAGTATTGTCAGGTCGCCGGCTCGATATCTGGGCAGCGCAGCCGGATTAAAGCTTTCCAGCTCGTTTGCATGATTTGCGGGCTTTGAGACTTCGGCTTGGCTCTCAGGGCTGATGCGAAGGCAGGGAATGTTACTCCCCAATGTGCAGCTTATGGGTTTAAATGTCCATTGGAGTACGCATTATTCTTTTACTTTCTTTTAGGTATACGTTAGAGGAGGATAAATCAGAATCTGCTCTGCGAGCATTATGAACGAACAGGTCGGCTTAAGGCAGGATGCGATGGCTCCTGTCAATTTTTGTCAGTGTAATTACAGAATATGCGATTCTGTTGGGTTATGCTACCAGGCTTTAATGGTAGTGATTGATCTGATCTGCAAAAGAGGTGTGTGGTTCAAGGGATGCAAATCTAGGATTGAATCCAGATCCTTGTTGCACACGTTTAGAGCTCCGAGGAGAGCATTTATTTATATTTCCAGCACATGCATTAGAAACCGTGCATGATCATTCAACAAGTATATTTTGTAAATTCTGTCTCGACCTCCCTTGACCTACTTTTTTTATGAGTTTAGTTTCACGTTTTTTAAAGTCGAACCCCAAGCAAAGGCTGTCACATCGGCATGATGAACTTCGGCTACAGAAGCTTGATAGATATCCATGCCGATTACTTTTCATGTATCCGCTCCGTGTGGTTTCTGCTAAGATCTCGCCCTTTCTAATGGATAATTACTTTTCTTCTTATCCTGGGCGCGCGACTGTCAAGCGGCGATCAACTGCTCCACCCTGAGACCCTGAAAGATGTTAGCGCTGTTACGGACCGTTCGGAAGAAACAGATTCATTTGGTGCCTACAGACGAGAATCTCGAAGATGAAGGAAGGAGAAAGAAAGAAAGTCCGCCAGAAAAAGAAGGCTTAAGTACCCAGCAAACGCGCACCAGCAAACGCGTAGTGCAAACGACCCAAAATTATGCCTCAGGCACCCTTCCGCGAGATGAGGCTATTCCCAGGTTCATCCGTCACAAGCGCCGTGTTGTCTTTGAACGACCTCCATCTTGTCCTCTCGTCAAAACCTTCACCGAGAAGTCTTATTTGCACCTCAAATCGCTATTCGGCATGCGAATCGAATTTCCACCGACGATCTTCTCAATTTTGCTTGTTTCTTTGCTCGTTTTGATTATTTAACACAGGAAACACAGAAGGCTTTCTTGCCAAATAGTCATTAAAATGGCTCATGACATGTGTAGCACTTAAATTGTAAAGCATATTTCGCCCTGAAGCAGAGAGTACCACCACCAAGTTGTTTGAGTTCAATCAGGCTGACTTCCTCATTCTTCGTCGCTAGCCTTACTTCAGATTAGTCACTCACGAGTCCCCGCCCAGCTCACGACGAACAGCAAACTTCACAGCCTCCAGGACATCCTCACAAACCTCCATGGGAGCAAATCGCGGCGTCTTGTCATCTTGGTAGACGCCCGTCTTGACCAAGATGGAGAACCAGTCAGTATCACTGATCTGGTTGTACTCATTCGTGCCCCGGATATCGGACTCGGGCGTGTCGCCCACGAAATAAACGGTGGCTGGTGGTTCATCAATACCGTATGTTTCCTTGCGCCATTCGCGAAGCAGCCTTGTCGCGAAACCGAATGTCCCGAGTTGCGGTTTCCCAAACGCAACGGTAGTTAGCTCTTTACCAGTTAGTTCCTTGTAAAGAGCTTCCACCGACGTCCGCAGTGCGCCCATTCCAATGCGCGAGTGCTCGTGGGAGGTGGACCAGACAATGTCATTGTGGGAAAAGTAAATAGGCGGACCCTCGTCAAAGGTCTCGGAGCGAGTTCCTAGGCGTCCATTCTTGGACATCAGAAGATCGAGGATGATCTGCTGGTCACCGGCCCAGTCTCTGCTGTCAGCGAATACGAAAATGGCATCGATGGTAAACTCGTCGAAATTCCTCTCGCGGGAATTGCGATACTCCTCCTCTGTCAACTTCCGGAATGGCGTTGTGTCATGCTTGGACTTGATGATATCGCCGGGGGTAACCACGTCTTTGAAACCATAGTCCTCTGCGACAACGCGGCATTTTTCACCCTCGCCGCCTACCACAAGGACTGTTTGATACACCTCGGCCATTTCGCGCATCGGTGTGTGCCCACAGATGAATTGTCCAGGTGAGACCTCGATTTGTAGCTGGCGACTGAGATCAATACAGCGTTCTTCTTCCGTCTTCCCGCCGCCATTGGTGACGAAGATATAGGGGCTCAGAAGAATGAAGTTAGCGTGTGCATGTATGGATAGAAGAGATGTATTTACATCTTTACTCTATATGGATTGTCCCCATTGATGTATTTCATCGCACCGACCGATGCTGGAAGCGGCTTCCCTCCCTTCACAAGAACGCCATCGATATCGAAGGCAATAGCGAATTTGTCTGTACAACTTCGGTCTGCTTGTTCAACCTCGGGGGTGTCCCCGTCGGAGGCCGTTTCATCGATGCTTTTCCTGGCTCGTTCCAGCCCTGCGGCAGTTCCGTCTGCGTCGTACAGTGCCTTCAATTTTTCGGGAGGAGCGACGACGGTTTCAACGCTGTACAGATCGCTTCTCCTAGCGTCGGCGGAGGATAGCCTCCGCACGCTAGTGGCGGTTTTTGCTGGCATGTTATCGACTGAAGGTGGTTCTTTCGATATTCATTCGCAAAGGCGAATGTATAGACCCCAAGGATGAAGTGGCCATAAATTATACGATTAGACTGAGTCCCGTGATCCGTGAGAGTATGTACCGCTAGGATGTCATCATGACGAAACGTAGGTTTTGGTTCGTCCGCAGTCGCAATATAGTTCGTTCCACACTCTGTAGGACAAACTCTATCGGGATTTGCGAGTGTCTGCTTTGCATTACGGATTGATAACGTAATCAACGGGCGAGCGGTTAACGTGATTCCTAAACGAGTGGGCCACCGAAACGAGTGGGCCACACATCAACAGTACACTTACTATACATATATATATATCAACCACAACGTACTGATATTGAATTAATTACTGCTTTTGACATGTCCTGATATCATGGCCTGTCTCTCGACACCCACTGCACCGTGCTTGTGCCCTTTTTGGTTGTGTATTGGCCTGATTTGTCACCTCCGCTGTGCCCGCTGCTTCGGTCGGAATTGCATGTTGAGGGCTCTCTACCAACGTAGAGGTCTCATGAGCAGCTATACTGCTATTATGAGATATCCGACGTTTAGATCGAGTGCGCTTTTGGGTTAAATTTGCCACAGTTGCACGTAGGCCTCGAACTTCTTCGGTCAAAAGCGCTGTTCTGTGCATATGTAACTCTGAACATTTAACGAGCTGGTTTAACGTGGTTTGCACAGCTAAAGGAGGGCTTTGAGACCCTACTTTGAGGAGGCCTTTCATCAATAATGCCCGTCGCTGTAGCTGACGGGTATTTTGAGGTGTTTTTGCAATTGAAGAAGTGCTCCCTCGGCTGGGAGGAGGGGTGGGCGTTTTTAGACGAATAGTCAATTTAGATAGCACGCGATCAGGATTATATGGTACTAATCCTGTAGCATTAAAACCGCTTTGGATTGATGCAGTAATAAGTGCCTTTTGCCGTGCTATTGGATATGTAGATAGGAAATCAAGCTTGTCAATATGATTGATCCCGTTGTGGATTTGCCGTTTAACTAAATCGCCGTAGCCACGTTTGAGGGTGGCAAAACAGGCCACATCTAGTGGCTGGAGTAAATGCGATGAATGTGCTGGCATGCATATTGGTATGATGTTGTTTTGGTCGCATATTTGGTCAAATTGAGGTGTTAAGTGGCTACCATGCCCATCAAGGACTAGGAGACAGTATTTGCCTGTTAACCGACCTTGAATAGCTGGTATAAAGCTTTTTTGAAGCCATTCGAGTCCGATCTCGTCTGTTGTCCAACCATTTGGGCTAATCATTAATCGCCACTGGTCTGGAAGCTCATCAAACCAGGATTCGATAAAAACCTTGCCCTTAAAGATGATATATGGCGGGAGCGCCCAACCAGTGGCGTTGATAGCTTCAATAACTGTCACCCACTCGCGATTTCCAGGTTGTAAAGATGCCCTCCGACCGTAGTATTCAGCCCTAGTGATGACTTTTGCGGTCGCAGTTAGGCCCATTGCGAAGCCCGTCTCATCAAAATTGAAGATATCGTTAGGTGCGATGCCGTATTGGATAATAACCTGTCGAATCCGGTCGAACCAATCGCGAATAACCTCAGGATCCTCGCATTTAGCCCTTCGATAGTCGTATCGGCGCGTGAAGCGACTTTTTAGCACATCTGAGTGCCTTCGAACAAAGTTATTGACCCAATCTCGTCCGACCGTAAGTGGAGGGTTGGTTTGACGGCTTGTAAGTAGTAAATTGGCCATTTCTCTCACCATATTGACCCTAGGAGGATTTCCACGTAGGTCCATAGAGAGTATCCATTTCACAAGCGATTCCTCCTCATTGGCAGTCAATTTGTGGTTGTTGGCACGCATTTCAGTCCGAAATTGTTGGCCTTGTAGGCGTCTCTGTAGAGTCGTACGCGGGACGGAAAAGACGGTCGCAGCTTCACGAACAGAGGTGATCTCCTGATTTTTGATGGCTTTGATAGCTAATAGGATCCTGCCCTCTTGTTCTGTAGATTTTTGGCCAATTTGAACGCGATTTGGTGGCATTTTGGATGGTTGGAAATTGCCAGAGATCAAAATTGGAGATACGCGTGGACGCGTGGCCCACTCGTTTAGGAATCACGTTAACTAGTTAACCAACACGGGCGAGTGGTCAACCCCATCAAAAAACGCTTCCCCACGCGTACCCACCCTCTTCAACCACCATGCCAGCAAAACATACTCAATTAAGTCATGACTCGGCTAGTTATGAGGGCAGAGCCTTATTAGACATCCAGGCTATTCAAAACAATCAAGTCACATTAACATATGCTGCTGCGAAGCTATATAGTATCTCATATACTACACTACGCACTCGCTATACTGGACGAACCTCACGTACTACCACACGTGCAAATAGTCATAAATTGACTGAATTCGAAGAAGATTCACTTTTGCAGTGGATAATCTCTATGGATTCATGTGATGCAGCGCCTAGGCCTCTACTGTCAGAGAAATCGCTAATATTCTACTTGACGACCATGGAAACACTCCCCCCAACACATTAACTGTAAGGATTAATTGGACATCAACCTTTGTGAAACGCTGAGGAGAGCTTTAAACACGTATTTTAATGCGCTATGAATATTAACGTGCTCAAAATTAGGACCCAAAGGCCTTACGTGAATAGTCATAAACTGTTCAATCTGTCATCAATGAGAACGGTATCTAATCAGATAATACCCACAACTTTGATGAAACTAATTTTGCGATGGGCCTTATATCAGCACAAAATATGGCTACTCGAGCCTAGTATTATAGCCGTCGGGCTATTCTACAGCCTAGAAATCGTGAATAGGTGACTATTATTGAGTCAATTAGTGCGGCTAGTTTTGCTCTCCCATTATATTATCGTCAAAGCTAAAAGCCGCGACGATAGTTAGCTTAGTGGGCTTCTAAAAGATTAGCGAATTAAAGTCTCACCTAATAGCTGGACTTCGGATGAAATCAGTATTAGATAGCTTCAAAAATCTATTTATCCTATTCACATTAGTTCGGATAAAAGGGAAATATCGCCTTCTGATTCTTGATAGGCATGGTTGCAATCTCACGTCTCAATTCGTCCGAATTTGTACTAACAACTCAATCATCCCACTCTGCATGCTAGCACATTCATCCTATCTTCTTTAACCTCTAGATATTACTTATTTTACTGTTTTCAAAGCGTGCCTGTAGTTATCTGATTAATAATTAGGCACGGCTAACTAACGTAATCCACTAGCGAGTGAGACACACGGGCGAGCACGAGAAGGGACCTTTAAACTAGAGACTATTCAGTCTAGTTTCACAGCAGCGGGTCTAGTTCTACTAGATCCTGAACAGGTTCAAACTCAATATTTCTCTCCGAACACCTACACCCTCACCTAGCCGACCTTCCAGCCGATCAAGCCAGTTCAGCCCAAAAACACGCATATTCACTCAAAATATTATTAGGAAACGCTCAATAAGTCCTCCTACGCTATCTAAGATCGCCCTAGATCAGATTATTAAGTATAGTTATCTATCAATGCATACTGACGAACCTGAGGAAGTGGTCAAATACCACTAGGACCCTTCGGGATCGGCTTATTCATCGTTCACCCAATTTCCACCTAGTATGGTGTCATAACACGCCATAGTTCAAATATAGAGACCCCTGAAATCGCCCAACCGATCTAAGCACCTTCAATCAATTATCTGATTCTATTGGACATGTTCAGTACTAGCCAGTACACCAATTCCTCATCCTGACACATACTGCTACATTACTAGCACAGTAATGTGCTAATCTACGGGCTGCGAATGAGAAGAAACGGCAAAAACGAGCACGAATCGCCTAGATCGATGCAAACAGGTTGTCACAGTTGGAGAGGGTCTACCACCCACAAACATCAAAAGCTGCTGACCAGAACCATAAAATCTGAGCAACCAGTCAGCATAATAACCTTAGATACTACAAAATTGGATAGGTTCTATCTAAATAACTGAGCATACTTACACATACACCTGGCTTTCATATCCTTTCTTATAGCAGTAGTCATTTCAATGTTGCTTTTTGGGTTTTGTCCTTGTGATGACACGGACCCCGTGTTCCAAGCTGCACCAGTGGATGACTGGCCAGTTGATGACCAGGGACTCGACTTTAGTTTCGCACTGAGTGATCTCATTCCAGCAGCGAGGTGTACACAGACGTAAATGAAGGAGTTTGGGCTTTGCTATTGAATGAGAGAGGCTGACTGGAGTGTAGAGGCACATAAAGGCGGTTGGTCAGCTGACTAGCCCCAACAAGAGGGCGACTGATGATTATTCCAAGTAGAGAGATTTTTTAGGCATACCTGTCCGCTACTTGAACATTTACCTCGTTATCTACCTGTTCGTCTACCTAGTATTCACCTGCACAATTGGCCGCCTGTTTATCTGCTCTCTTGTTCCATAACCCACGCTCAAATACAGATTAACAGAATTGATGGCGCTAGATGCATGGGCTACTCTCTCCTTTCCTAAATATCCTCTTTGCTTCAAGTCTCATTCAAACAGAAATTGCAAGACCATGGTGATATCATCTTCTATGTAGTATCATCTTATATAGAGGTGGCGGAGCTCCAAACTGAGCTGTTTGGAACCCCCAGCAAGCATACAAAACTTGTACTTCAGTAGTATCCGGGATAGCAAAAGCATTGATGCGTGGTATACATTCCAGGCCCGCCATAATCTCGTTGATGGGTAGAGCAGAGTTCGCGATGGAGGATGAAGTCGCCAGCTTGAATGGAGACGTAACCGCCAATGGCAGTTTGAATTGGACGCAGACACCACAGCCTTCTGGCAAAGAAGCAGGCTTCGGCTTGGGAATCGTATTCATAATCACTCCATCGATGGCATCTATTAACTCGCCGAATTTCTCCACGATAAGATTCCTATCATCTGATGGCTTGCGGAGGAAGATCAGTCCTCCTAGCTCAATGTGAGTGGCACCGTTTTTGGCTTCTTTCTTCTTTACTGGTGCTGCAGCAGACATCGCCTCAGTAGTGAGTATTGACCGTGCCGGAGAAGGCCAAGGCGATTCCCAACGCAGGTGGAATGTCATGCTCTCGGCTGACATGTTGAATTCAAAGCCACATATCGAAGCTGCGAAGAATTCCTTGGACTGAGTCGCTGACATGAAGACTTCAAAATTCATTAGTATTGACTTGTGCGGTCGAATAATCAGTGGACCAGCTCTTACCTAGGCAGCCGTCCTCCACTGGCTTAATTGCAGCCACGGGCTGGTTCGGGCAAATTGTCAGGAAATTCAGCGCTGTCAGCCGCTCTGCTAGAGGGCCTGCACATAGCCGACGCGCTGGATGTCGATCATTTGGTCCCCAGTAGTACACGCTATCACAAGCTTCGTGGATTTCAGACTCGATCCGCATTGGGTTCTGCGATATAGTGCTTCTAAATGGAATTGAGCTCTTGAAGCTCTCCTCCTGGTTGGGTGGAACCAGTAAATAAATGCCTTGCCCTTCCTGAACCACATTCAGACCTTCTGTGGGGAGTTGATTTGAGGGGGTCCGTATCGAGGCACTTCCCTCCAAGGCTGCCACTGTACTGCCTGAAATTCTATCTCGGTCCACAAATGGTGGAAAAGGGTAAAACGGTGGTGAGTCTGTTCGAACAACGAATGCCCGGATGGAGCCGTATTTACGGGCAACAGCAGCTTCGTCGTCGGTTAGAAGCGTAACGTGAAAATATGGTCTGGTAATTTTTTGGGCATCTTGATCTTCGATTCCGATAAGGGCTGCATTTTGAAATCCCAGTATTGCTGTGTGAAATTCTTTGCGACCAAACAGGGGTTCGTCAAACTCTAGAGTCTGCCACCGGCGAATACGTTTGCCGTGCCGCTGCGCCTCTCCAGCGACACGATCGCAAATGCGTAGAAAGTCAAGAGGATATGCCGCAGGGTTCTCGGATTTTCGATGCTTCAGGAACAACACTAGCTCGCCTCCCGCAATACTGAAGAGGCCGGAGGAGACAAAGACCCAGCAGCCCAGTCCCCGTTCTGGTGCCCGGGTAATTATAGTATCCAGAGAGCCTGGTTTCAGGTTATAGACAAGAACGTTTATATTGAATTGCGGTGTTTTTAATTCCATCGGCCATGGTTTCGGTTTTGAAGCAGCGGCTGAAGGTGAGGCATTTGCATTTTGTGAAGGACTTGGCTTGATGCTGGGCCGAGGGGCACTTTGGACATTGATAGACTTCTTTTCATTGACTGTAGTTATACCCGGAGGCCGATTCTTGTCCAGTCTGTTCCGTAGTCTGTTGAGGGCCTCCATGTTGATACAAGGACAGATGTGCAGGATAACGCTCCTGCTCGACAAAGAGACAATTGTGCTTATATAGAACTAGCGTACTATATATAGCACCTTAGCCCCACGGGGCCTATGCGGTTGCCAAGTGAGCCAAGAGAACGGATAGCAAATCGTTTGACGCCACGATACCGATCTCTCGTATTGACCTGCTCACCCCCTTGGTGTCACACAGATTCTGCGAGGTCCTCCAGTTTTTCGAGCACCTCGGATATTAGCCGCACACCCCCGGTATCTCCCACCTGCTCTTGATTCAGGCACCAGCCCACAATCTGGCGATACTTCCGGCCCATTAACAACTCCGTCTCACGAGCCATCTTTCGTAGTGTATGGCTAATGTCTTCCGGGTTCATGTCGGAATGAAGCTCAGAGCGAGTCTCCAAGCTGGACCAAATTCCCACCTCCAATAAAATAACACCAAGGCTGTAAATATCATGGCACATACTATGTCGTATAGAGGTGGATGGCGATTGCAGGTCGGGGTGAATATAAATCCCCAACTCTAGGGGCATTCGCCTACGGCGTCCGGGGTCTGTGTCGCCCTCGCTGGTGCGGGCTATCTCGAACCCAACAAGAGCAGGAGATTCAAGAGCCCATTTTACATATTCATTCCCGCCACCTTTTTGCGAGTGAGAGGTCCTTCCGAGTAAGAGAATGTTCTGAGCCCGAATCGCTTTATGCACCCATCCCAGGGAATGGACGAAGAAGACCGCAGTTGCTAACTTTCGTGCGAATTCCAAGCGCTGGTTGAGTGAATATTTGAGTTTCATTCGCCGCCCGTTCTTTTCTCTAACATTCAGGAGAGACTTGAAAGATATAAAATCTCCGTCGCGGTCGATCGGCAATTGATAGATGAGCCCGAAGTGTGGCGAAGGAGCCGGGTTGTAGTAAAACCCAATACACCGCAAGAGACCCGAAATGGTTGAATCCAAATAATTCAGGGCTCCCACAAACTCCCCAAGCTCGGTCTTCTTGTGCTCAAAAGAGGCGATGTCGGTGTTATCCATGTGCGGCCGGGATTCCAGCAGGGTTGTCCGTCCGTCATGTTGACAAAGAGAAAAATGTGACACTTGCGGGTGGCTCATATTCTGGACCTGGTCAGGTGTCACAAATAGCGGGCCCCAGACGGCTTTCTTTGCAGCGGCAGCTTTCGCTGTAAATCGCTCGATTCGGGTTTTGGCAGCAATGCTGGGTCCGAGTGTGTCCTGCGACTCCTCCAGGAACATCACGGTTCGTGCTCGTTCAGGCAACGCGATCAGCCGAAGGTCAAGCCTCCTGGTCCATTCGTAGAGCTCTTTCTCCAGCTCGCGTACTTCATTGCGCCGCAGTACCCAGGTAATCCTGTTGAACTCTTTGGACCAGCGACTCTGTGCTTCGAGCTTGTTTTTGCACAGTTCTGCGCGCTTCAGTAAGGGTCCGAGATAGGAAAAGCTTTCGTCGAGGAGCTGCTCGTCTTCTGGGCACAGCCCCGCGCCGCTGAATCGGAAATGTGCGAAGTGGTCATAAAAGTGCTTGAGAATGCGCGCGTCGTGCTTGAAGCGAGTAGCTAGCGAGTGAGATTCCTTGTTGTACGCTGCGGAAGCTTCTAGTGTGCGCCAAATAATTTCGCAACAGGAGGCAGCTGTATTAAATGCGTCCATATCTCCGGTAAGGTCGGTAGGAGTGATACCAGTCAGGTAGCGGGAGACAGAGTGATGTGTACTGCTGCTATGTGGGCGAGGGTAGGAGAAGAGGTTGACGGTAGGGCAGACTCCAGGGCCGACACCTCTCAAACATATCAAACAGGCTAAGGCTCAATATGGCTGTCAGGGGCTTGGAAGAGCCTCAGGCCCCGCAGCTGAGGGTGACGAAGACGCAGGGTCAGGTGCGTGGCCAAGAGTCCGCGACTCAGCCTCCTTGGACTTTCCCTCAACAATGCACTATGCGCTTTCCCACCTCTCACTCCCAGCACTCACTACAATACACACAGAGTTTATGCGAATACAAGTCAAGATCTTGACGACACAATGCAATCCGAGGCTTTCGAGTCCGTTGACCTGTCCTCCTTCGAGTCGGAATCCGCTGACTCTGACTACTCTTTTGTGGGCCTGAGTCTGGGAACACAAGCGAGTGAAAGCAGCCATGTATACCCGAAAGATTTTGATGATCCCGCTAAAGGAATCGATATAGAGCACTTTTTCGAGATGTGCTTTGATTCCGGGATCCAAGTATATCCGGAAACCAGGTTTACGAAGGGACGCTTTCTCGGCTCTGGGGCTACGATGGCCGTATACGAAGGCACCTGGAAAGAGACTGGAAGGCCAGTGGCTCTCAAGTAATTCTCCCGGCACTTCAAGACTCTGGTCCAGTCAGATGACTTACAAGCTGCGCGAAACCCAGATATTTTAAAAATGCACTGATAAATGGTGGTGGCACTGCTCGGTCTTCCGCACAAGAGCAAGAACACCGACGCTTGTTAGAGGCCGGGATGCTTGAGTTACGTGTCTTGTCAGATAACTACGCAAGACATCACGATAACATTGTCACCCTGCAGGCTGTATCGTGGGTTGTGCAGCAGGGTAGCATCTACCCGATTCTCATAACCGACTTGGCATGCAAAGGTCACCCAACACTTGCGGGCCTAATCAAAAATGGGATGCCTCCTTTGGGCTTACGCTACGAACTGATTCGAGACGTGGTTGAGGGCTTGCGAGTCGTCCACGAGATGCGAGTGGTGTACGGAGACATCAAGCCAGAGAATATCCTGATATTCCCATCCAAGTCGCCTACATCACGCTTGACGGCGAAGCTGTCCGACTTTGGATTCTGTCAGGCGAACGATAAATCTCAACTTGAGGCTGGGGGTACACTTTATTGGAACGCCCCGGAGTGCTTGGACGGAGCTCCCGCAGATCTGAAAAAGCATGCATACACGACTAGTCGAGACATATATGCATTAGGCCTACTGATGACGTATCTGTTATCAGGGGAAAAGCCGTTTGGGGCAATTAGCAAAGAACAAATCGTGGAAATGAAGCTTGGTAATCAAGTATCCAGGCTGGTTACCTCGAAAGTGGGCAACGTGATCCCAGAGTCCGGAGCAAGCTCAATCTCCCAGGACCTGCTCAGAATCACCTCTCAAGCAGTCATGATAAACCCAAAAGATAGGCCCTCACTGCGGGAAATTTACGATGTATTACTGTAAGTACCAGTCTCCTACTTTTCTGACTACCTTCTAATTATGAGCAGTCCACACACCCGGACGAGGCCACCGCTCCGAAAGTTTGACCATGGGTGGATCGCCAAGGGGAGTATTCTCAACCCCCGCTTTCCCCGATTTTTGTCAGGAACAGCGAGCATCGATCCTCTGTCACAGTTGGATGCGTCAACTCCCAAAGAACTGCGGCAATTGCTTTATGAACATGTATTGAATGTGGCCCATCATGGTGGACCCGTGGATCAGGCCAAGGCAATGGAACGCCTGGGAATGTTCTTCCTAACGGCTTTTGGGACTGCAAAAAGTCTTCGAAATGCTTTCACGTGGCTTTGTCGCGCTGCCGAGAAAGGGTCATCTACCGGGATGGACATGGTTTTCCGCCTGGAGCAAGCAACGCAGCATACCCCCATGCCTCTAGTTGCAAGCATAACGACAGAGACTCGGGCACACTGGGGAACTACCTGTTTACTAAGATGGACGACGTCTCACTATGATCCTCGACTGTGTCCCGAGGCTATTGACATCAATACCATTGATTCGCATTTTGATCAAGCTCTCAAGTCTATTGACTCTGATGTGCTTTTAGGTGCTCTCCAAGAGGATGTTGAGTCCAATATTATAGCATTGGGCCTGCAAAAAAGAAACAATTCAGGGGCCTTGGACAAGGTTCTACAACATGCTCGACATCTTGCGCGAAATTCTCCTCACCTCCAGTCCATTGTCGATGCTGTTTGTGACGATGACGAAAGATCACTAGATCATCTCCTCCAGCAGAAAAAGCCACTTCCATCAGGCTTTCTTAATCTTCTGGTCACTATTTCAGCCGATTGGCATCGAAGGGATGTTTTGAAATGTCTTGTTTTGAAGCACGGGGCTGACCCGGACACCCTCGATACAACAAATGGAGGAGAAACGACACGTCTAATCGATGCCGCCTTGCGTGACGATTACCCCACGGCAATGATTTTAGTCTATTGCGGTGCAAATGTAAGCCGACTGATGGGCTTTAGGATAATGGACAATATTGTCACAGGTTGCAGTTCAACTATGATGCGGTTTGCTCTAAGAAACTTCCTCTCCTTCAAAGTCCAGTCCTACCGTGGAGACTTGCAAGACAATTCAAGTCTTTGTCACCAGTTTCTTGACGGAGTTTGGCCTTCATTCCTCGGAGTCCGCTCTTCGATGCCTCAGCATTGTAACGAGACAGACATACCTGGCGATTCCACTCAGCTGCCGTCTTTGTTTAACGCTGTGTCAATGAACTCGCTCGACAAGCTCCAAGCACTTCTGATGAGTGGAGCAGACCCTAACATTCGCTTTCGTGGGCTCTCTCCAATCCACCTAGCAGTCAGAATGTTACGTCCCACGGCTGTTCTTCTATTGTTGGAGTTTGGGGCAAATCCAAACTTGTTCAACTCGCGAGAGGGTTATATTACGCCTTTGCATGCGCTTTCACAGGATTATTTGATAATTCCAAATAGAATGCTCGAGGAATCTAATAGCAGAGCTGACTATGCTGGCAGAAAGTGGAATACGGACAAATACGGCCAGAAGGGACTGATGCAACGGAGAGCGGTGATAATCCATCTTCTCCTGCACTACGGTGCAGATCCTGCAGTCTGTTGTGTCGACGGCTTCACCCCGTTGATGATGTCTATGATCAGTCCAGCTCCTGATTCGGACTCTGTTTTCTCACTTTTGGTCAAGGGTGGGCTGACTCTCAATGACCGCACAACACGAGGTGAGACAATCATGCACGTTGCAGTACGAATGAGAGACATTTCTTGGATTGAGCGAATCCTATCAATCGCTGAACCGGAGCTCATTAATTGTCGAGATAATCTTCTGTCCACTCCTTTATTCCTTGCATCGCAAGATGAAGGTTCTACAGACGTGCTTCAACTTCTTCTTTCTCACGGCGCTCAAGCCAGCCTCCGCGGGATGTTGAATCTTTCATGCCTTGATGTTGCGATTTTGGAAGGAAATAGTCGCAATGTCAAAGTCTTACTGGATCATATCACCAATATACCTTTATTTCAACGACGCCAGATACTCATTGCGAAAGATATTTGGGGAAGAACGTTTTTCCACAACTGTCTGGCCTCGAATGACTTTGAACTAGCATGCACCTGCATACGCCGAATCCTCAGCATCGACCGGTATTTCTCATATCAATTGCTGACATCTCATGAATACGCCGGTCCCACACCAATTGATCATGCCCGTAGGGTCGGAAATGAAACTGCACTAAATGAGATTGTCCGAAACATCCTTCCCATAAATTTTCGTCACATTCGCGTGCAAAGTCCCACTCCGAGGAGGAACCCAGAACCTACACCAGATGAAGATCCCATGTTATCTTCATTTAAGACTTACCAGTCCTTGCAAAAGCTTCTGAACGAGCCTGATCATGATGACATCTCCCGATGTTACGATGCACCTGAGTTCAGCTTCCCACAGAAAGCACTGTCAGATGTGGAGCAAGAATGGGAAACTTGTGTCAAAGAATGGCAGAAGACGGATGGATACCAAAGCAGAAAAGTGGCGTTGGCCATGAACTACCTTGGCACAGCTACAGAGCGACATGGACGATTAAAGAAGGCTCAAGATATCTTCTACAGAGGGTGGACTCTTACGCGGTCGCTACTGGGTGACCGGGATGTTCTCACTCAAGACTTTGCATGCAAGTTTCTCCGTGTCTCTCGTGACAGGGGAGTTGACGAAGATGTCTGTGCGGAAATAAAAGGCTGGCATAAGCTTCATGGCCGTAATACGCTTAAGTCAAGTCGTTTCGCATTCTACCAGAGTGTCGAGGATTTGGAAGAGTTGGCAGCGTCCGGGCTGAATATTGACAGCATCCAGGATAAGGTTTCAAGGCAATGTGACAGACCTAAGTGCGACAAGAGAGCAAAATTTGCTTGCGAAGGTACGTACATTTGAGTCTTCGCACACGACTGTTCTATTGTACTAACATCGCTAATTTCAGGTTGCAACTTCGTACACTATTGCTCTGAGGCCTGCCGCGTCGCAGATATGACAGACCCACTAGTCCAACACCATCTCGCTTGCATTCGTGCCGACCCAATCTCATCCTCACTGGCAATTCAACGTATCTCAAAGAGCCCCGTACACAGCACTTACCGCTCCTTCGCACAACAAATCTGGAACAGCGTTCGAAAACAACTGCCTCTGGCACCTGAAATTCTGCCACCGCTAAAAAGTTTCTTCATTCTGGCGCTGGGTGAAGAGGAAAAGCTCACAACACCTATTCATATGCCGTTGGAGGAGAATTTGGTCCTATATTGGCGACAATCTCCACACGAAATTCGCTACTCGATGCACCAAAATAGTCCTTGGTTTCCTTGCACAGAGGGGAGACAGTTCACATCATTTGCGCCGGGAACACTTTGCATTCGACCTGCCCGTGGGAAGAAGGGTTTATCTTCAGGTGACCCGAATGATCTCACTCTTGGGTGGGGCTTTGTGGTTGACTATAGCCTGATGGATCTTGATCGGGCGTGCTTCGGCGACAAACACTTCTGAAATGACAGATTCAGCGAGCATGATCTTTTTCCCAGTGTCACGCCCTTCCTGGATATATATTGAAAAATTCTAAGCACTGGGCACTAGGTGTTCTACATCTTATCTGAACCCTTACGCAGTTATCTACTTGATCATCTACCTGGTTATGTATCCCACAAGAGATCCACTTCTTGATGAATTAGACTGCACATTACATTGTGAGTGAGAGCCTCATTTATTGACAACCTTACAGCTACTGTGTTGGATAACACAGCATAGAAGAGAACTGCTGAACTTCCTGGGTATACTGAAACATGGAGTTTCCGCCAGCAGTAGTATTCGATGCTTGGTTATCTAAATCACGGTATCTGTGCGACGCGAGATATTAGATAAGATTGGTTCTGGCCGTGTCATCCAGCACCAAGAGCAAAGCCCTAGTAATGCTTGGGAGATATTAATCGAGCAATGTTGTGTTGTTTCAAGGATATGAAAAGCTCCAAATCTCGCATCGCATTCACCAATAAATGCAGCATATCTCCCTGCGAAATGTCGAAAAATATTTTCTTTCTGACCAGAATTGAGGATCATGCCGGCTCATTATAACGGGGTATCTATGCGTCGTGAAGGCAGAGTCTTTCAGTAGAATCTTGCAGGAGCGTTTCCCCCTTTCCCTCCTTAGCCAAAGGCTTATTTTGCTCGCCGGAAGGTCGTTGTTCCGGAGCAGGAGCATTGTATGGCACGGTCTGCGCGGGGTAGCTCTGAAGTTGAGTAGGAACGGTGGCGTAAGGTTCGTAAGGCTGAGGGTAGCCAGGCTGAGAATAGTACCCATAATCGGTAACGGGGGCGCTGTGATAGACAACACCAGGATTCTGCGCGCGTCTCCTCCGGGTGCAATGCAAGACCAAGAGAACCACAGCAGCGAAACCCAAGATGAATCCGAGGACAATACAAATGAATCCACCAATAGCCAGGCCCCTAGGGCCCTCGCATTTTGAGTTTGGGATATCGTCGATGTTGTCGTAGTCGCCGTTGCCGTGGTCCCAGTCAGCTTCGCAGCTCTGGACGGCTTTGCTGTAGTAGGCTTTGATTTGGGCTCCGCCGGCGATGAAGAAAATAATCGCCAAGATCAAGGCTCCCCCTGGCCACCACCTGGACATAACCTGACGGCGCTTTGTTTCCTCCATGTTGGTGGTGGAATTGTGGTTGATCGGTTTGTTGGGATGTGGAGATGTTGTGAAGAGGAATGGAGGTTTCTTGACTCGTCTCCAAGTGTGGGATGGTCGACGCGTTTAAGCTCGATTGTTCTTTTCTGGGGCTAAGAACGTGGTTGGTCAGCCTGCGTGTTTGGGTGACGAACACAGTGCTGAGCAATGCAAAAGAGGGACCGTGTCTGGTGGGTCTGGGGCCAACGAGGCTCGCGCGGGCTGAAGGCTGATCGCTTCCTGAATTGGAATATATCCACTTTTCTAATTATTTTTTTAGATCCCGCCTGACAGCTCCCATTCCTGGTGGTTGCCCTGGCGCAGGCTGTATGTGCAGCACCATATCGGCTTTTTTTTATCTCACCTGAGGGGTGATATTTTTGCCCACTATGACATAGCATCATCAACAAACCTCACCGGTGTTCAAAAATCCGGCATTTTGATGCTCAATGACACTGTCATGTCGATCCTCTCCAGTTTGAGAACAGTAATAAAGTTGGCTATGTCAGATTAGCACTCGGGCATAGGCTTGGAGAGCCGCAACCGTGAAAAGCACCATTAGCGCAAGCTCGCTTCGCCCCAAAACTGATTTTCACACCAATTTCCTCATCGGCCAGCGACCGCCGTTGGTTCTTGGCGCAAGACTGGCCAGGGCTATTTGGGTGGCTTCTGCTTGATTGCATTCCGCGACCACCAATAACATGGCGTGAACGGGCATGGTCAATTTCGCTTGGCGCTTTATAGCAGATGGCATTCGCTTTCGATGCTTTCTGGAGTTTTCGGGATCCAGTCAGCGCGTCCCTTTGTAATCAAAAATATCAGAACAGCCATGATGTTTGGTGATAGGCCATGAATGGGCGTATTGAATACTTGACTGGGGTATCGCTACTTCCATGGGACCCATAAACTCATGCCTGCACCAGTGCGGTCTGGTTTAGTATAGCCGACGGGAAATTGAACGGACCATTTTCCAAGCTCATAGAGCAATTGACAGGGTCGGTAGACTGCACTATGCTGTCTCTTCGGACATCGACATACGATTTTGGAAAAGAAAATACTGAAAAGGTTTTTCGTTTCAGAGGTGTCAACGAGGTTCTTATTTCCTCGGGAGATTGATTTTGGAGGGCCCACAAAAGTACATAACACTCTCCGATGGACGCAAATGGTTGCCGTCAATGCGGATGGTCACATTCGACCATCGATAAAAAATATTGTACAAATAAATCCCATCATATTCGAAATGGCCCCCCAATCAAAACAAAAAAAAGCTCCGTGCACCATAACTCCGATTGTGGAACAAATGCGCTGAGGGCGAGTTAACGCTCGAGCATTTACTTCCGGGCACGTTCGTGAATGTGGCGGAGTTGGTCTTCGATATTCATGGTCTGCGGGTTTGGTACGCCTCCGGGACCAAAGGCTGGGCCTGGGGCGGGAGCACCAGTGTCATCGGGAGTTGCCATCCGCTTCGCACGACCCTCGGCGTCGGCGTCGAGGCTAGGGTTAAGAGACGAGTCGAAAACGTCACTACGCTGGCTAGCCAGCCGCTTAAGATTCTGAGCGACGTCGGCGGTTGAAAGGTTAGTAGTGGCGCTGCGAGAATCAGCTTTGGCACGCTGCTCCTTCCAGCGTGGATCGAGCATCTCAATACGCATGTGCTGGTCCATTTCCGTGATAGGGATCTGCTGCTTGCAGTTCGGGCACAGAGCCGTGCCACCGGCAGCACCCTGGCGGCGAGCTTGGGCACGCGGCACGTAGTCCTGGCGGATACGCATAGGCTGCTGACCGGGCCGAGCAGGAACCACGGGAGATTCAATAAGCGGCGGCTGCATGGCCTGGGCAGCAGCAGAGTCCTGCATGACAGTGTCCATGCCGACGGGAGCTGAGTAGGGAACTTGGGTAGGGATGGGTGAAACGGTAGGTGGCTGCATGGGAGCAGCTTCGGGCTGAACACCGTGGGGGTTGTAGTAAACGGGTTCATTGGTGTCCGTGGGCATCGCTTCTTCAATGCGTCGGGTGTTGAGAGAAAGAGATGCCTTTTGCTCGAGAGAGGCGGACTGCAGTTCTCTGAGGGAAGGTGGCGGCGGAAGGTCTATTTGGTCATCATTCTCGTCGAACAAGACAGTTTCGACAACCACGGCGTCCTGCCAGTCGATTTGCGCGTACTCGATACGTTCCTGGGCTTCCTGGTCGTCCTTCTGCTGTTTCTGTTCTTGCTGCCATTTCATGTACTCGGCCCGCTGTCGAGCACGATCCAGAATGCGGTGTGGGTTCTCGATATTTGCCTTCAGCTCGGCGATTCGCTTCTCCTCGGTCGTGTTCTCATCAATCCCCTCCGGGCGCGTGATGATGATGTATTGCTGAACGAGTTCCGTGAAGTAGCGGTAATAGCTGTGCTGGGGTCGCAAGAAATCGAACTGGGAGTTGCCAGCTTCGCGCTGAGCCAGCTGCGTCATCCACGCATTTCCCTTCATGGCGGTATGCAGTGCGGTCAACTTGATCACATCCAAATCCAACGCATTGATGTTGGGCGGCATAGGAGCAGAGAAGTAGAGCTTGGGGGGCTCAGGTGGTCCCTGGGGCACCTCTGGCTCAGCAACTGGAGCTGCAGGCGCGGGCTCGCCTGGTCGCCGTGTATCGACAGGAATGCCGTTGCCTTTCTTAACTTCGGAAAGTCGATATTGGTAAAACGCATTGTAAGCATCGCTGGGGGTGAGGAACGAGAACTTCGGGTTGTTCTTTTCCTTCTGTCGAATACGATCTAAATAACATAGGTCATCCGGCATTAGATTAATGCGGATGTGCAATTAGTGCCAGGTCCGTACTCACCTTCAAAGATTGGGCCGTTACGAACGACATAGCCGGCAGTCTTCTCGATGATATCTAAGAGCTAGGTCAGCTGCGCTGTCGCGACCATGGACGGCAATCGAGGCTGTAATTACCGCGGATATCCTTGGGAGGGAGCACCATGCCCTCCGGAGCCTGGATGTCCCCCTGAATGTCCTCCGAAGCGGACGCGTTGGCGGTTGACGACTCCATGTTGACGGCGCTGGAGGGGAAATCGCAGTGGATGCGCGCGCGATCTTTTTGGCGTTGGCAGTCGCTGTGGCTTGTAGCACAGTTGCTGACTAATCCATCCGCCACATAAAAGTGGCGGTGCGACCGTGTGCGGCAAAGGCTGTTGTTTGTGTACGCGCGCAGCCGATAAGCACCCTGACTTTCCTCTCAGTAGTATTTGTGCGATAGAATGTGCTGTTTTTCTAATGATTCAGGAAATGGGCAATCTTCAAATCAAATTAATCCTGTGCTTCAACCCGACAATTGCTCGGCTCCATGCTCGCCTCGGTGCTCGTATTGTTCGCAGTGTCAGCCGCCCAAAGTACACTAGTCCACAGGGCGGAAATCAAAGGGGGGCCCGTTTTGGCCCTCACGTTCTCGCTGCTCCGCTCGTCGATCTGGCCACAAGTCCGGAACCGTCCATTCTTCCACTCCCTCCACCACCACCTTGATACTTTTCTTCGTCCCTGTCATGGGCTCTTTTCTTTTAACTATCTACGATCACTAACCCGCTCTACTGTCGTGGGGCTGTTGAGAAAGCTCCCGCCCTACAGCTTTCGACAGCTGTCCGATCTCTCGACCGAATCGATTGATTCAATTCCTCGAAAGATTGGGAAAACGACCGACCGAGTCTATCCTCCTTTTCTTTGTCCGCTTTTTTGTTCATTCCTGCCGTCGCTGTTAATTCCGATTTTCGTGCCGATCGCCTGCGACCCAGCTGCATAACCCCGATCGGGATACCTGTGGTGACGATGGGCCAGAAATCCAAAGATACACTGGCCGTCCGGCCTCAGAGCCGCGGCGGGCGCTCTCCTAGTCGCTCGCCGAAGCCCAAGAACCGCAAGCCCGTTCCAAAGCAGCCTGCCAGCTATGCGTCGGACGGAGTGAAGGAATATGACATCCTGAACCTCCCCGCTTCGGACTACAAGCTGCTGGTGCTGGTGACATTGATTGCCGCGGCCGTGCGTCTGTTTCGGATTTATAACCCCACTAGCGTTGTCTTCGATGAAGTCCAGTAAGTCGAGTTACCCCCGGTCAATGCCATTGTTGGAAGGAATGATTGCTAACGTATGATGGTTCTGTTCAGTTTCGGTGGCTTCGCCTCCAAATACATCAAGGGAAGGTTTTTTATGGACGTTCACCCTCCCCTCGCCAAACTGCTCATCACGCTGGCTGGCTGGCTGGCCGGCTTCGATGGAGAGTTTGATTTCAAGGATATTGGCAAGGACTACCTGGAACCCGGCGTGCCTTATGTAGCTATGCGTATGCTGCCGGCCATCCTGGGTGTTCTCACTGTGTCTTTAATGTTCCTCACGCTCAAGGCCACTGGATGTCGAACTTCGACTGCGGTCTTTGGTGCTGGTGTGGTCATCTTTGGTATGTTCCCCATGTTGAAATCTTCGACAAAATATACTGGGAAAAACTAACAACACGCTTAGACAATGCATTGACCACTCAATCGCGCTTGATTCTTCTGGACTCTCCTCTGGTGTTCTTTACTGCTTTGACGGCATTGACCTTCAACTGCTTCACCAATCAGCAAGAGTTGGGTCCTTCCCATGCCTTCAAGGGCCCCTGGTGGTTTTGGCTGGTGGCCACAGGCTTCTCCCTCGGCGCTACGCTCAGTGTCAAGTGGGTTGGTCTTTTCACTATGGCCTGGGTCGGATCTCTCACTGCCCTCCAACTGTGGGTCTTGCTTGGTGATACTCGGACCGTGACTCCACGCGTCTGGTTCAAGCACCTCTTTTCCCGTATCTTCTGTCTAATTGTGATTCCGCTCGGCTTCTACCTTGCGATGTTCGCTATCCACTTCACCTGCCTGGTTAATCCCGGAGACGGAGATGGTTTCATGTCCTCGGAATTCCAGGCCACCTTGAACTCGAAGAGCATGCAGGACGTCCCAGCGGATGTGTCTTTCGGATCCCGCATCACCCTCCGCCACCACAACACCCAGGGAGGCTACCTGCACTCGCACAACCACATGTACCCCACCGGCAGCAAGCAGCAGCAAGTCACTCTCTACCCTCATAAGGACGAGAACAATATCTTCATCATGGAGAACCAGACACAGCCCCTTGGTCCTTATGGAGAAATTGAGGGTGCCCATGCTTGGGACAATCAGACTGTCAGCTTTATTGAGGATGGATCGGTCATCAGGCTCTACCACGCAATCACCCACCGCCGCATTCATTCGCACGACGAACGCCCGCCGGTTACCGAAGCTGATTGGCAGTTTGAGGTTTCCGCCTATGGCTACGAGGGCTTCCCCGGTGATGCCAACGATTTGTTCAAGGTCGAGATTATCAAGGATCTGTCCGAAAGCGAAGAAGCTAAGACGCGCCTCCGCACCATTCAGACCAAGTTCAAGCTTGTGCATATCATGACTGGTTGTGTTCTGTTCTCTCACAAGGTCAAGCTTCCGGAGTGGGGATGGGAGCAACAAGAGGTCACCTGTGCGCGAGGTGGAACTCTTCCGAACAGCGTTTGGTATGTCGAGTCCAATGCACACCCGATGATGCCCGACGATGCCGAAAAGGTCAACTACCGCAACCCTGGTCTGCTGGGCAAGTTCTGGGAGCTGCAGAAGGTTATGTGGACCACCAATGCGAACTTGGTTGAGTCGCACAACTGGGATTCTCGCCCTCCCTCCTGGCCTACTCTTCTCCGCGGTATCAACTTCTGGGGTAAGGACCACCGCCACATCTACCTTCTAGGTAACCCGGTCATCTGGTGGTCGACCACCCTGGCTGTTGTCATTTACCTGGCTGTCAAGGGTATCTCGGTTCTTCGCTGGCAGAGAAGCTGCGGCGACTATAAGCACGCCACTTTCAAGCGTTTCGACTATGAGGTCGGTACCAGCGTGCTGGGATGGTTCTTCCATTACTTCCCCTTCTACCTTATGGCTCGTCAACTCTTCCTGCACCACTACCTGCCGGCCCTCTATTTTGCCATCATGGTACTTTGCCAAGAGTTCGACTTCCTCTTCAACCGATTCAAGAGTCTAGGACTCGCCTCTAAGCCCGTAATTGGCAACATTGTCATGTCTGCCTTCGTTGGCCTGAGCATTGCCGCCTTCGCCATCTACTCTCCCCTGATCTACGGAAACCCGTGGACCCAGTCAGCCTGCGAGAGCGCCAAACTCCTGAGCACTTGGGACTTCAATTGTCCCGTATTCTACACCGACGTAAGTGTTCCCGAATGGAGACCTCCCCGCCGGGGATATTGAGAATCTTCCGACATCCCATGGCTGACATGGAATCCCCCTAATAGTTGAGTGCCTACGTGACCGAATTCGAACAATCCAAGATCAACGCCCTTCCGACCAGAGCTGTCCCGCCTCCCGCCGCGCCTCCCGTTCAAGCTCAGCAGGAGAAGGCCGCTGAGGTTGCTCAGGAGCAAGAGCAAGCTGCCGTCACTCAGCCCAAACTCTCCGGCTCCGTTGCCCGTGTTGAGTACCGCGATCAGCACGGCAACATCCTTGACGAGGCACTCGTCGCTTCGCTCCGTGACGAGGGTAAGGTCAAGTTCGAGACCCGTTACGAGTCCAAGTCTCGTCTCGAGAACGCTCAGGAGATCCCCATCGTGGACGGCCAGCTTGCGCCCCCCGCACCCTGATGTCGAGGGTCAGAACCCCGAGACTGCCTCCAGGCTGGAAGACTCGATCCCGCCCGAGAGCCCTGCCTCGGTTGCGGATGGTAATGAGCGCTCTGTTGAGGAGCCACTGGAGCCCGAGGCGAGCCCTGCGAACGAGGGCTATGAAGCCACTCAATAATATTTTTGTCTTTGGGGGTTGCGAGAAATAGAGCTCTGCTCGGGCAAAAAACTTCACATTTGTATTATGATAGTGGTCAAGATGAATTTCTTTTCGCCGTGATTAGTTATCTCTGATTCTTGTCAGAATATTAGCTTTGAATACAATGAGCGTTTGCTGTTGACTGCTTCAAGCTTCGTACATGGTCGGAAAAAATTATCAAATCTAATTAGATCTATTCGAATTATATCAGATGGTTCACGTCTAGACATTAAACTACATGTCATGTAACGGTATGATGTGAAAGCTTGAGCCAATCTGAAGCATGCAATTATTCACACTTCATCTTGCACGGACATCATATGATGAGAAATGTACTAAGCTGATATATATCTCCACTGTAAGTCGTCAGTCCCAGGCCTAGCATCACCGGGATAGTCGTGAAAATAATATAAAACAACTTATAATCACCTCCGGAAGCCAGGGAACCGAAGAAGAAAAAGATATTTCCGCGTTTAATAGATACCTTGGGGGTAAATTTGAAAGAAAAGACACCAATTCCAAGTTTGACTCTTTTATCTGAACAGCGGGTACTATGCACAAATCTCCGGTAATCTCAATCATAAGTCCACGCACTTCCTTCCTCCCCGTGGTCTTAGTATACAACAGGCGACCGCAAAAGCGGCGGTTCGCTCTCGCATCATCTTTAGAAAGCTCAAGGCAGACTGTTTAGTAGTCCCACTCCTCCTTGCCGTACTTGTTGAAGCGCTCGTGGAGGTCCTAAAAAGGTCAATATCCTACAATTTCAAATTTCCAAGAAAAAGTGCCTATATTGAGACTCAAAGAGTCCCGCTTGGAAGCTCACGATGGAAATGAATGACATACCTCGGGCAGGGTGACATTGGGGACAATGACGGTGTTCATGGCGCTGGGAGCAGCACGGAGGGGCTGGCTCTTGTCACCGTGAGGGTGGTACTGATACTTGTAGATCTTGCCATCCTCGGAGGCGCCGTGCCAGGGCATGGCAGACTCGCCGATGCGGACGTTGCTAGCCTCAGAGGTGACGGAGGTGGGCTTGCTGCCGAAGTACCTATAGAACGCGAGAATCCGACCCGTTAGTCATTGAAGTCCAAAGAATTTCGAAAGGTGATGCTATGGTTGTGAAAGCTCCTGGGCTCGTATGGTCGAACTCAGGACGGCAGTATCGTCACTGCGGGAATAATCGGGTATTGGGCGAGGGGAGGCGATATTTACCAGCCGGCAAGTAGGAAAGCACCAGACATGACACCGAGGAGGACCTATAGCAGCAACAATTAGATTAAAAGTTCGGGCGACAGTCAATGGCACGTGTGGGTTCGTACGTAGAGCTCGGGGTCCTTCTTGGGGCCTTGGTCAAGGTTGGCCTCCTCGACCTTGGAGGACATGAAGCGACGCGGGGGAGCGCGGAAGATGGGCTGGCGGGTCAGAGCCCGGCGGGAAGCCAGAGCAGCGATCGAAGACATTGTTATAGCAAGTCGTGCGTGGGTGGGGGAACGCGAAGGACTGGAGACGGGGGTGGTGTGGGAGAATCGTGAGCATCGAATGATGTTGCCGGGTCACATGACCGCCTGAGTCAGCGGTGCTCCGGATGCGCGCACTGGTCAACAAGTCAACTCTTGTTTGCGACTCTCGCTCGCCGGTTCCTCTGCGATTTCCCTTGTCGACTCGGGTCTACCTGCGGTTCTGTGGCCGTTGGTGATGTAATTGGGCTCTCTCCATTGTTTGTACTTTCGACTTGCAGTGCTAGAGGTGTGTACGACTCCGTACCTGATTTCTTGTGAGGCTGATCAGGGGTTCTCCGATCTTGAATGCGTTTCCCCCGGATTTCGTGACGCGTGGAGGGACATTGATCAGCACCCCTTGAGCTTTTTGCTAATGATTTTTCTAGTATTCCGAATGATAGTCCTTCGTTAGACCTCACCACCAACCTACAGTCGCTCATTGTTTCGCCTCGTTTCGCTCCTTGTCCGTGGTTGATTCGATTTCGCTTGCCCGTCGCCTTGCTTCGCCTCCGTGCAAACGCCCCCTGAATCGATTCCCTGCGAGGGCAGTATGCTTGCGCGCACCTAGGAGACTCCAGACAAGATTCAGTCAGCATCATGGCGAATCCGGCAGATCGCCCCGGCACCAGCGAGACGAACCAGCATGTACTGGGAATTCCTCGACCCCCATCGGTGGGAGGGATTTCTTCTCGAGTCACTGATATTGCCTCAGAAGACGGAGAACAGTCGCCATCCTACGCGTCGCCACCACCGTCACAACACCAGTCGCGCCCCTCAGCATCGAGACGTGGGCCTCCTCCCACCAGAAACTCTGTGACTAGCAGACCTGGGAGCTCGGGTAGTCGTTTGAGTCGGACTCATATCCCCACATTGACTGCCCAGGCTTTCTTCCGCCCGATGAGCTCGCAGCGACTACAGGCACACCGAGGAGCGCGACCAATGACCAAGGGGACCGTCTCCTCGACCGATGAGTGGACTGATCCCAATAGCCACAATCGCCGGAGCATCATCTCAAACAGCACGGCCCCGCAAGGATCTCTCCCGACAGTGGAACAAGATGCTCCGCCCTCTCGAGGCACAGAGTTCACAGACCCTATCATTCCGGACCGGAATACCTCCAATGCTAGTCCCACAGGTAATACAACAATTAGAAGTCTAGGCGAGAGTGTGAGACTGCTCCGAGATCGAGATCAAAGAACCAAACCGCACCCCGGTCATCTCAACCTCAATCCGACCTACAATGCGCAAAACACGCAGGATACACCCCCGAAATCCCCGCTTTCCTTCCTGTCATTGCAAAACAAGGGAGGTGCGCACAACAATCATGATGCTCGGGGCCATGAGCGTCTCTCGTCAGCAGGATCATCTCCGGGACCCATGGATGTGAAGAAACAGCGATTTCCTCGGGGCGCCCTTGGCAAGAACTGGGAATACTTCACTGGCAACACATTCTTCTGCTTTGGAGGACGATTCCAGAACTCCAGAGACAAACCCATCAACATCATTACTGGACTCTTGGTGGTTATTCCCTCCGCCCTTTTCTTTGCGTTTTCCGCTCCTTGGTTGTGGCATAATATCTCTCCGGCTATTCCCGTCGTCTTCGCGTACGTCTTCTACATCTGCTTCTCGTCATTTGTGCATGCTTCGGTCGTCGATCCAGGCATCATGCCTCGCAATGTTCACTCTATGCCTCCTACAAACCCAACAGATGACCCCTTGGCACTGGGCCCACCAACTAACGACTGGGTTATGGTCAAGCTCGCTACGTCCGAAGTCGCTGCAATGGATGTGCCTGTCAAGTATTGCAAAACTTGCAGCATCTGGCGGCCTCCTCGTTGCTATCACTGCCGTGTTTGCGATAACTGTGTCGAAACACTTGACCACCACTGTGTGTGGCTCAACAACTGTGTTGGACGCCGCAACTACCGCTATTTCTTCGCCTTTGTCAGCTCCTGCACAATTCTGGCCCTGTTTTTAATCGGTGCTAGTCTTGCGCATATCTTGGCCTACATGTCGCTCGAAGGTGTTTCTTTTGGATCTGCGATTTCCAAATGGCGAGTGCCTTGGGCTATGGTTATCTATGGTATCGTCGCAGTGCCATACCCGACGTCCCTGTGGGCATACCACCTTTTCCTGGTTGGGCGCGGTGAAACGACGAGAGAATATCTCAATTCCCACAAGTTTGCCAAATCCGACCGCCACCGACCCTTCACTCAGGGCAACGTCATCAGGAACTGGATTGCCGTCCTAGGTCGCCCTAGGCCACCTACCTACATGGAATTCAAGAATCCCTACGAAGAAGGAGACCAGCGTTTGGCCATGCAAAAGCGCAAATATCTCCCTCGAGATGTCGAGTCACAGGCAGGTATTGAGATGCAAAACGTTAGACCTCCTCAATAGTATTGGGAGCCCAACCGTTTCGCGTCTCAATCTTCTGTTTCAACATCTCATGCCTCGGATTCTGTCTACTGGGAGTCTAGCTACTTCACTTCCAGCCATTTTGACTCCAATCACCTCGATCCTGGCTTCTTTGAGAGTGGCTACATCCGGCCTGGTCTCTCTCAGACAGGTACCTCCCAGACTGGTCACTCTCAGTCTGGCTACTCCCGGTCTGGCTGGGAGTCTGACTAAAGCGAAGCTTGCATACTTGTTCGCAACTTTGCTACGACCCGTGAAGACGACATGATTATTTTCTCTCTTCTGATCACTTTGCCCATCTTTTTTCTGTGATCACCCATTCCGATCTACTCTTTTAATGGCTTCTAATATCTACCATCTACATCGACACTTTCACCTGTCACATTTCTTACTGTTGTCACATTTAGCAGAATTTCTGCTCGGCACGCCCTCGATTCTCTGGTGCTTTCTTTTCCTTTCCCATACTTACCCACCCGGTCTTATTCCTACGATTCTCTGACCATGCACAGTTGTAATCATGCTGTCAAAATACCTGTTCTTTTCCTTCTATGCTTCCTATTTCTTTGGGTCTCCCTGGACATCTTTTTACCTTCTGTGTCTATCAATCATGAAGAGAGCTAAATACCCCGTGTTTGTGTGAATCGGCCAGATAAAAATCTAATATGATACTCGTACACAACAAATCACGCGTAGAATCCCAGCCTCGCCAGAAGGGGAAGTGGCAGCGGAACTCGGCATTCCACGACTATCAGACCCTGTAACGCTATTTAGTTTCACCCTTGCACCCTTGATTCGCATTAGACTCCGTTAATTTCACCCAGACCGTCTCTGGTGTGTCTGGACTGGAAACTGGAAAAGTGCATCGAGTGTTGATGTTGCACGCGTCAGACATCCCCCCATCCAAATCGCCCTAGAGTGATAAGAGGCGCGCGGCTGCTGATCTCCAACTTTCCCACCCCTGATACCCTCGACTTTCCCCAACTCTCCGGCCCTCGCAAGATTGAACGACTTCTCCACGCGCAGAGACCGTCTAGCCGCCAGTTGAGGCCATCTCTCACCATGGTGCGCCGAATCCCCCGGCTCCCCGCGTCCGCGACTCCCGCACTTGCCGACGTCTCTTCTCACGAAGCCCCCGACGATACGACGAGCCTCGACGTGCCCGAACAGCTCCTCACGCCCGAAAATAGTCGCTCCGAGACCTCTAGCAACAATGAAAACGCGTCGACAGACGATAAATCTGCCGGGCGACGGAGATCAACACGGGTTGCACGCGCATCGTTGCAAGCGACTGATGCACTGCCCGAGTCCCCGGTGAAGAACAACGAAGTGGCGGCCTCCTCGAGTCAAGCGTATGTCGACAGCATCGCCAAATCGAGGCGCTCGCACTCCTCATTGCGCCATAGTATCGCTGTGATGGAGAATTCACTCCGAAATGGAACCGCGCTGCCAGACGATGATACTACCACCGATGACCACCCAATGGTTCCCGATACCCCGATCTCGAACTCCTCCCAAGAATTGCCATCAACGGACTTGAAGACCTCGCTCCAAGAGCGGACTTTGCGACAACGGGTTGAGAAGGCATTGAGCAAGGACGAAGAGGAGAAACCCTCGCCGAAATCCGCCCCCAAGGCTTACTCTCGAGGTTCAGTGCGACGGTCTACGCGATTGAGTCTTGTTGAGAAGGCCACTGGACTGTTGGAACGATCTAGCAGTGTCCTGGGCAAACGCCAGCGGGGAAACAAGGATGTTGATCGGCGCGCCAGCCTTCGACCTCGAAACGTTGCGCCGGTCGAGGAAGAGGCGCCCTCACCCGCACCCAAAGCACCAGAGCCAAAGAAGCGTCGAGTCTCCGAGAGCGATTTGGCGAAGCTACAGGAAAAGAAAGAAGATACCCCACCGGCAACAGAAACCAAACCGGCAGTATCGCAGTATAAGCCCAAGCGATGGTTGACTCATGGGCTGTACACGGGTCAAGAGCCCACCGATTCGCCTCCGAAACAACGCAAGAGCAAGAACTCGGCCAAGGCGAGCGATACTCCATTACAGCGGAAGCTGCTGCCCATGCCTATGTTCGCAGGAAAGCGCCTCATCCAAAATGGCCGAGACTACAAAATTCCATTCGACATCTTTAACCCGCTCCCGCCGGGACAGCCCAAGCCAGATGAGTGGCGGAAGACCAATAAGAGTAAGTATTATATTTCGGATCAGTATTAGGGATTAAAACTAACGGTCTGCTGAAGACGTGTTTGTTGGTGACGCCGCGGCTGAGTGGAAAGCCAATAAGAACCTGGAGCTTTCCACTTGCATGTGCGAGGAGGAGACTGGTTGTGACGAGAATTGCCAGAACCGTTACATGTTCTATGAATGCGATAACGGTAACTGCAGGCTTGGCCCAGAGTGCGGGAATCGGAACTTCAACGAGCTGAAGGCCAGAACGAAGGCCGGCGGCAAGTACAATATCGGTGTCGAGGTCATTAAGACGGCTGATCGTGGATATGGTGTGCGCAGCAACCGTTCCTTCGAACCAAATCAGATTATTGTCGAGTACACTGGTGAGATCATAACGCAGTTCGAGTGCGAGCGGCGGATGAGATCGGTGTATAAGAATAATGAGGTATGGAACATGATCGATGTACTATTTTGAACAATGGCTGATCTGGAACTGCAGTGTTACTATCTGATGTACTTTGATCAGAACATGATCATTGATGCTACTCGAGGCTCAATTGCCCGTTTTGTCAACCACTCTTGCGAGCCCAACTGCCGCATGGAGAAGTGGACAGTTGCTGGAAAGCCGCGCATGGCCCTGTTCGCAGGCGACCGGGGAATCATGACGGGCCAGGAACTGAGTTACGACTACAACTTTGAGTAAGTATTTAGGTCTGCCACGTCTTGCAGTTCATATATTAACAACATTTCAGCCCATACTCCAACAAGAATGTCCAACAATGCCGCTGCGGTGCAGAAAACTGTCGTGGCATTCTCGGTCCACGACCCAAGGAAAATGTCCGACCTAAAGTGGTGGATGATAAGAGCAAGGCTAAGACAGCTGGCACGAAGAGAAAGCTGTCTGAAGCGGACGACGCCTCGTCAGGCCCCGGCAAGAAGCGTAAAACGCTGAAGCCCAAGTCCATCAAGGCTAGCGTCAAGAAGGTCGTCAAGAAGGCAACCACCACTGCCCGCGGAAAGACGGCTACCAAGAAAACCGTTACGAAGACGACGGGCCGTGCCGCGTCTGCTTCCAAGAAGGATGTCAAGTTGCCAACCGTCAAATCCGCCTCAAGAGTCAAGGCTACCGTCAAACAACCTGCTCGAAAGAACGCCAAGTCCACCAAAGCAGCTCCGAAATCACCAGCGAAGAGTCCCTCTAAGCTCAATCGTCCATCTGCCGAGACCAAGCGAAAAATTCTCGCTGCGGCCGCTCGAGGCACCGGTGGCCGAGGCTCGAAGACTACCAAAAAGTCACCGAGCAAGCCCGCCGCGAAGAGCCCCAAGAAGAGCCCTGCCAAGGCGAAGGCGCCCGCGAAGTCCAAGGGACTCGGAAATAGCGTGAAGAGCGCAGCCAAGAATGTCGTACGTGCCGTACGAGGCACGAAACGACCCACATAATGGCATTTCACATGAAAAGGATTGAAAACCATTGTTTACGGCGATAACTGGTCAGGAGTATCAATTTTCCAAACCCTACATGACCCTAGTGCACCTGGCAACGACTCAGAAATGGAATCCTCATCTCTGCCGTCTTGTCTTTTTATTCTCTTCTCGGATATCGTTGAAATATCCCCCACCAGCTCGAGCACTGTTCGTTTCTGAATTGGTCGGCTTCTCAACAACCTCCAAGTCATGAACAGTGACTACTCGACTGGCTTTTGCTTTACACCTAATTAACATCCCCCTTTTCTTCTGCTTTCTGGATTACTACCCTTGCACCACGTTTTTGAGCAACATTGTGCTCTCTTTGCTCCTTTCTCTTCTTCATCTTTGTTCATTAGCCTATTCCCCTTGCACGATATGAGAATAGGATTTTCTTTTGCTTCGTACTCGTGTGCCTGAGATGGTACTTTGCTCGGCCCTGGTTTCTTCTATTTCGTCGATCTGATTTACCTTGCTTTTTAGTGTTTTACTCTCTTCTTACTTTTCTTTGGCTCGGGTTAAGTGCTGGGTCGTGAGAAATTATCGTGCGGTGTAACTGGGTTCGAATATCCAATTGAATTGAAATCTATTAAAAGCAGTTATACTTCTGAACGTAGACGAAATTTTTTTTTTTTTTTTTTACACTATCAGATTGTTCCCTGCAGCATGATCGGTGCAGTCATGGTGTTATCAACAGAAGTTTTCGGATAAAGTGATCGGGTATATATCTTTCATCAAGACAAGTTAGGCTCAGGATAAGATATGTTGAGATGGGCTACGACGAAGCATTGAATATAGAATGAGGACCTGCTAGACAAATCAACCTTAATGAATTGGCAGAACTTTGACTTGATTGTGTTGTGTTGAACTGTCTACATACGATTCTGAGGGATTTACTACTGTCAGGGGCTTGCCGCCCGTTCAGGGATAAATACCCCCAGAATCGTATGTAGACAGTTCAACACAACACAATCAAGTCAAAGTTCTGCCAATTCATTAAGGTTGATTTGTCTAGCAGGTCCTCATTCTATATTCAATGCCTCGTCGTAGCCCATCTCAACAAGATACACAACAAATTAGTGTCTATTCAATCATAAACGATGCACAATAAATATATTTATTCAGTAGAAAAAAAAGCACAATATTCGATATTCAACTCCGGCTAGACTCTATCTCCAAGAACCAAGGCATTATGTTCCATACATTACAGACATTGAACCCGCAGAACTCAATAGTTAGGCATCTACGAGGCATCTGCAGCTGGGGCAAGGGTATCAGATTCCTCTTTCTTAGTCTCCGAATCTGCGTCCGACTGTGCGGTCTCAGCTGCCTGCCCGGACCCGCCCTCTGCGGTTGGCGTTTCCTCGGCCTTTGGCTCCGTGTCTGATTTGGACTGGGAGGCCTCGGCGACAGGGGCTTCTGCTGGAGGCTGGGTGGTTGGCTCGGCGTTATCTATCGATGCGGGGGCAGGAGATGCGGCTTTCTCTTGGGGTTCAGAGGCGGGTTCTTGCGGGGCTAGTTGCTCTGTTGGGTTTGAGGCGTCGCCCATTTCAACGTCTTCCTTTTCGACAGGAGCCTGACTAGTCTCAGTGCTGTTTTCTTCGGTTGTTGGCAAGGGCTGAGTTTGTCCGGGGTTTTCAGTCGGAGGTTGGGGCGCGTCGTTGGCCGATTCTGGCTGTGCTGACGATTCCTTTGGTTGCTCTAGTTGCGGCTGTTCCGAGTGCTCCCTTTCAGCTGGAGCCTCAGGGGAGACAGGCGGGAGGGGTGAGTTCTCTCCGGATTGCGCTGTTTGCGGTTCTGTTTTGATTTCGTCGGTGATATGCAGGGCATCTCCAGTAACAGGAGATTCTTTCTTGTCCTCCGCGCCGGCAAGTGAAGTAGGCGCAGGTTCAGAAGTATCTTCTTTCGGAGCGGTATCCTCTGTATGGATCGCGTTTTCATCTCCGAGGGGCTCTTTGGGTGGCTCACTCGGGTCTGTGGTAGACTGTTCGGCCTTTTCGACAGGCGGAGCAAGAGTCGCCGACGCCGACGCCGACGCCGACGCGTCAGTGTCATTTGCGGGTGTTTCGGTCTGGACAGGAGGGATAGGCGAAGGTTCCTCCTTCTCAGCTGCAATTGAAGGCTCAGAAACAGGATGTGACTCAGGAATAGCATCCGCCATTTCGACATCCCTCTCCTGATCAATTGCAGGGTCGGCTGATTGCTTGTCGGCTAATCCATCAATTGGTTGAGGCTGGGGAGTTTCGGGGGTCTTCGCATCAATCATAGACTCATCGCCCTCCCCCTCATCACTCTCGTCGCCATCCTCGCCCTCGTCATCTTCCTCGTCTTGACCAGACTGATCAATGGACATCTGTGAAGCATCCTGTCCTTCTCCGCCACCATTGACATCACCCGCACCAGGCACAACACCATGTACTGTAGCAGCATCGGCACCCTCACCCGGAGCAAACATGACTTTCTTCTTACGGCCCTTCCCAGTTCCTTTGCCCTTGCGCTTGGGAGGAGGCGGTCGTCGCTTGTTCGGATTGGAGACTGCAGCAGAACTAGCGTCGGCAACCACCACACCTTCAGAGTTGACAATCCCAACACCCTCCACAACAGTACCCGGGGCAGGAGCCTCAGGCTTCACAGGCACTTCGCTTTGCTCAGAAATAACCTGCATATCACCCGTAACCTCGCCTTCAATACGATGCCCCTCAGGCACCCAGGCTTCGTAGATAGAGATATTCCCCGTTTCCGCATCAACCTTCTGAAACTTGGTTCGTCGCATCGGGCCAGGTGTCACCCCAACACTTCCATCCACACCAACTGGTCCGCCATAGAGCGAGGGCAGACCGGGGCGACGCTTTGCCAAGAATTCAACCTCTGGCGGCTCCATGTGCTTCGGGAGCGACATCCATTTGCGACTGGTGAAACTGCGATCGGCCAGGTTTGCGTTGCTGGCAGCTTGATCTTCGGCATCCGTGTTGGGCTTCTCCTCCTCGTCGGCTCCTCGGCCGCTGGAGCGGATGTAAATGCAACCTGCACGCGCAGCTCGCAGGAGCGCGCGGCTGGCTGCGGGCAGGAGTTGGCTGTCGCGTGGCATGGGAAGCTCTGGAAGCCCGTTGACTCCCCCAGCACCCTGTTGACCGAATTCAGTTTCCTCTGTCTTGGGCGCTTGGGAGACGGTGTGAGGCTGGCGCGACCAGCGGCGAACAGGCAGTCCTTCGAAGACATCGTGGTCGATTTGGCCGGTTCGGGAGCGATTGCTGTCGAGCTGTCGCCCGGAGCGCGAAGACCGGAACTGTAGTCATTTGTTAATTCTCCGTTCTTCTCTGGAAGAGGAGTAGCCCCTCTCAATTGCGCGCTAACTGAAAACTAGCAGCTCGTGGAGACGGAATTGGGTGATGCTGGCGGGCGCATCTTGGACGTACAGCGGATGGCATGATGTATCGGGGGTCCCTGTAAATCCCCTCAAAGCACCTAAGAAAGAGATGCCGGGCCGGTTGAAGGTCGGATCCTTGGTTCCGGCAGAATTGAAGCGCTAAAGCGGATGAGCGGCGACCTTGACGATAGTAAGGCTCGTCGCGTTGTGAACGGCAGAGGATCTCGCGGTAGGGAGACATCACGTGACCACCCGCATATATCAACTACGACCTCGAAGACAGCAGGATAGAAGAGAATTCAATGTTCTATGTAAAATGAGAAGAACAGAAACGTATACCCTTGAACAGAGGAGTAGAGAGGCTTTGTATTTCGAGCAGAAATGGATTTGGCCGTCAAGCGGCAGTTGCACTATAATACAGAAGAAAAGCAGAGACAAGCTGTGCTCTTTACTATTGCCAACCGAGTACCTCACGAGATGGAATTAATTGCAAGTCTTTTTCGAAATAAGTCACAATTTCACTTAGTTCCAGCTGGACGCTATAAGTCAGTAGATGCTCGAAAGTTCGTAAAGGCCGGGGCTGTTTCATAACAAGCAAGCTCAAAGAGAAACATACCCAGTGTCCTTCTGGCGAACGATTTCGCCGTGGCCACCTGTCTCCTTGCCCTAAATTTCACGTTAGATTGAGATTCGACGAAGTTCTGTCTGATATCAAAGGACACCTTACAGTCTCCTGGCCCTCCACCACCAACTTGTCTAGCTGGTAGAACTGGCTGATAATTGTTTGTCTCTGCAAGAAACGTTAGTTCTCCATCGCAGACCGGAACATTCAGGTAGGCGTGTGTTTGCCACCGTAAGGCCCGTCGAGAAATCGCGGTCTGACGCAGTCCCATCGACGTCGAGGGATGGCCGATCAACCGGACAAAATAAACCACTCACCTTCATAAGACGCAAGCTCTGCAGACCCTCCTGCATCAACTCCTGTATCCGGCGCTCTTCCGACACCTTCTGGTGCTCACGGAACATATCTCGTGTTTTCCGGCGCGCATACTCGCGGAAGTTGTAGTTGGAGAACTGCGATGAGGTTCGCAGCAAAGAGCGGAACTGCGCGATTCAAACAACATGTTAGCACGATGCAAGTCGCTGCCTCCGAACAGCAGCCCTGGTTATCTCTCTGGCGGAGCGTGCTCGGAGACATGGAAGCCTGGGATGACATACCAGAGAGCGCGCCTGAAAGGCGGTATCGCGGTGCAGCGCGGCGACAGACATATCGATGCGAAGAGCGTATGAGAGGAGAGTGGTCACTAAGAAGACCTAGTATGTATCCTGAACGCGCGAGTCGGTTGCCCACGAGCGTCGAATCCAGGTATCGGGGGTGCGGATGGAGGACGGAGGTGGCGGTTCAGGGTTCCCGGGCTATGACACGGTCGGGCGAGACGATCGAGATAAGATGCGAAGAGCACACAGGTCTATGGCCCAGTGCGATCAGACTCTCTTTCACGGATCTCGCGAATGCGATGGAATGGGGACGAATGACGACAGACGAACGGTTGGAGCAGGCGGGAAATTCTTTAGCGTTCGGAGGCGCCAATGGCGGAGTTATCGGGGCCGAGCTGATTGTCTGCTCCACGCCGCCTGGCTGAGCTCCCCGCACAGCAACAACCCTGCGGCGCTCTTCGTTTCTACGGAATTGGGTGATCACTCGCTGCTGCTTAGTTCCTTATGGTCCAGGTACCCACGCCGCCTGCCTCGCGGCTAGGCTCTGAGGATTCCGCGGCCGCGAAGCCTGTCGACGACCAGTCGGAGCTGCTGCAATCGCTGGATGAATTGCTGGAGCAGTACCTACACCTGCTGGATCGCCAGCAGAAACTGCAATCTGGATTGGCGAAGGAGCTTTCTTCGGTATGGACTCTTCATTGAAAGTGGCTAGGAGCTTTGCTGACGCTTTGAGAAGGGGTTCCTGGCTCTTGCCCATGCAAACTACACCTGTCCTCCTGGCCGACGATATGGCGCCGATTACTACGATGAACGAATGAAGGCGACGCGTAAAATGTCAGTGAGGTCATGTTACTGCGAGATGAAACGAACAGAAGCTGATGTATGCGGGATCAATAGCTCAATCCAAACGGAACCTGAAATCGATGCGGCCGAAGATACAACAAGCTCGCAATCCTCGCACGAGACGGAGTACAAATTTCTCCTGGAACGCGTTGTGAAGGTGGAGTCGCAGGAAAAGACCGATGAAAAAGATGAAAAGATCGCATCGTTCGAAGACTCTCAATCAGAAGCCGAGGCCACACCGCAAAACAATGAAGGCAACACCAACAAGTCCGACGAGAGCCCGTCAGCGGAATCTAAAGCCCCCAAGAAGAAATTTCATTCGAACGACCCCCTTCATTGGTATGGCATTCTCGTACCGCCGTCGTTGCGCAATGCACAGCGGTCCTTTACAGCAGCCGTCGAGGGCCAAGTGCCCGAATTGGCTGGCGTGGTGGTGGAAATGCGGGCCTTGGAGCACAAAATTGCCGAGCTACGAACGGAGATAGGAGTCGAGCCGCTCGAAGAAGCTAGCCCTGGGAAGCCTTCGTGATGTACGACACGCGAGCGTATATCTAAAAGAGGCCTCGGTCACGGGATGACCCCTAGGGTACTTACATACTACAATGTAACCCCCATCCCAGTGATATGAAATGCCCTACGTGGTGAAACAGCCGCGAGGTACCTACTAAATCTAGCACGTTTATCATCTAACCACCAGTCAATTGTTATTTGTGGATAGGGAATACCACAATTAGATGGCTTTTGGTATCACTGCTCTTAAAAAATCAAAGAAAATATCATGTCTCAATGCTGAAGTACAAGACGTAATGTACTACCAGAAAATCTGCCGTCGACTACGGGGACGCCAAGATCACCCACCAAGACATCAGAGATGAGTGTGAAGGGCAATTCTGCGTGAGTGAACCTTTCCGATCGCGGTCATCATCTTTTCAGGCCATTACAATGATGTGAGTTACAACAATGTTCAGTTGAGCGAAATTCTTGGCAGTAGTGAGGTACAAACATTACAAATTTACGAAGACGAATACACGAGAAAATAACGATTGTGTAAAGTTTTGTATGAAATATACTACTCCCGCTAAATATAGTCGCTGCCCCACAGCCCGCCTGTATCTATTACGAACGATTACTTCGCTAGGCGTCAGGCCGTCGATCAGGTGACGACCACGGCCGTCCGCGAGGAATGACTGTGCGTGGCAAGACAAGATCTGCGTGAGATTATCGGCCACTTCCAGTCTTAGTTAATCCCCATCCCGGTGATATGAAATGCCCTGGGTGATGAAAAGCTCACCAGATACCTGCATATTCGAGCACTGCCATTCCGAATCCACATGTTGAAGATTGCCTGGAAACAGCAGAAACAATAATTATTTGATTGAGCTACAGTGCTTTGAAGGATTCGATTCAGCTGAGACAACTCAAGAAGGTGGCTTCGGCGTCGGCGATCGGAACGAGGGTCGAAAACACAGCCACAACCATTTTCTGTGCATTGTGTGCAGGGTATATCTCCAAAACACTGAAACTTTTTAGCTACATGTCTGGGAAAGTTGGTGTCACGTTCAAACCATGACTAGCTTCTTTCGACACTCCTAAAGTTGGATGAAATCAATCATCTGGGGGAAACCCTAGCCTATACTAAAGATCCAACCCCATAAAGAATTCAAATTAATTAAAACATTGAGTATGAGTCATATCCAAAGCAACTCGGTTTTCCATCATCGTTTAGTTCGAGGTTTTTAACTGTGGCTCTATTAGTCTCTATTATCTATGATAAGTCTAGGAGAAGAGAACTTACCAGCAAGGTCGAGAATATCTTGCTTGTTGTCATCGGTAATAGCGTAGGAGATGAAGGCATTACCACTGTAGCGAAAACGAAAAGTTAGATATTATTCAGTTCCAAAATAGATATAAAGATATAATTATCTTACTCTTTATAGTAATAAAGGGTACCATCTTGATTCAAGAAACACTTGTTTAAGTCGAGATGCCAATATAACTGCGACCCGCATTGGACAGCCATCTGGGATGGGTAATCTTTGGTGTCGAATTCGGCGGTACTTGCGTCACACTTAGACGAGATGTCTGCCATAGCCAGAGAGGAAAAGCCTAGGGCTAGGAGGATCTGAGGTAACTTCAAATTCATGATGAATGGTGAGGAAGTAGTATTCGAGATGTGAGTACTCCTCAGAGAGAAGGAAAAAGGGGTAATTTATATCCATTACCCAGATGCTTCATTCTAAGGCTGTTGGGGCCGTTTGTGAGATATCAGGGCAGTCCAGGCCCCCACGTGCATCTTTTCCTAAAGAAACACTTATTCCTTGGGAGCGACGAAGTGTGGTTTCCCAGATACTAATATACATTAGTAAGTGCGACGTAGTACGTCGCACTAGTAGTTTTCGGAGGGGGCCGATGAGATACTAAGCAATATACTGTGTATACATATTTACTCCGTATAGCCCAAGCAATCCCGCCCCTTTCGCCCCCGGCCCCTTTCGCCCCCGGCCCCTTTTGCCCCCGGCCCCGGCCCCAAGGTGGGGCGCTCAAATCCTGTGTCCAAGTCTAGCCACTTGGAGGACACGCCTCAGCAACTACTTCAAGTTGCCAACAAGAAAACGGAAGACTTAATTGTAAACTATTGGAGGATATATGTTAAATACTTGGCATTCCAACCAGCAGCCTAAAAAACTAGACCATTACCTACTAGTATTTGGCCCCCGGTTCCTGACCATAGTAGTAACTACGCTGTACTCGTTCTAGTAACTAGAAATACCACTTCTAGTAGCGAGACGACAAGAACATCCTGCTTGGTTGACTCTTGACCACTTCGTAAATCACGAGCAAAAAGATAACAATAATAGAAGGGGTTAGTAAGCGTAGCTTGAGGAACAGCCCTGCGGTTAACATTAGCCTTGAATAGTGCACCCACGAAATTTCGGTCGCAGGAGGAGTAATTATTTAGCTGGATGCTCCTTTTGTCCAATTAGCGCTGTAGACCGTTGCCTGGTGTAAACCTCGCCAAACGCAGGTTTGGGTTGGGTTTTCAATTTCCTTACCCGCCCACGGGCAGCCCACCGCGGGTTTATTTGGCGCTCAGATTGGCTCTTTCGATCCAGGGCTCGACAGCTTCGCCGTGGTCAAGTTCGAAATCGACTATCGGTCTCTGTTCCATCGCATAATAAGGAACGTGAAAAAGCGTTTCTCTAAGGAGCCCACCGAAGTTGCTTGGGCTGGAGGAGGTTGACCTGACAAACGACACGCTGGGTCGAACCACCACCGGAATAATGTGGTCCTGATATCCGCAACCTTGGCTCAGTGTTTGATAGCCAAGGGAAACAAATATAAGGAGGCGGACGCAATACATCGACGGGCATTGAAAGCTTGGGAAAATTAGCTTGGATACACACACACACACACACACACAATTCATTAACGCCCGGCGGCGAGGCCGAAAGGGCAACTATCGCTGATCCATACAGGTCCTAATATACATATGCCGTATCTCCTTCGAGCCCATACATAGATCCTTTCAGTATATGTCCTCTCAGCTGTCAATATCGTAGGAGTCCTTGTGGGTTAGTAATTGTGTTAGTAGACTGGCTTGAAGGCGCTTCTTCAAGTGTTCAACATCCTATCCTCGGCAGTTGAAGCGCGTCTACCGTCTTTGGCACAAGGTGGTTGGTGTAGGTTAGTTAGGGGAAGGGTGTCATTGTGTTGGTCGACATGGTTAGGCGGCGTCGAGTCGGCCCTTGGCGATTGCGAATCGTATTGAGGCTCGCACGGCTTCCAAGTTCGGCGTCCAATTCTGGTCATCCGAAGGCGATTTTCCGCCCAGGAAAAAGGACATGTTGCCTCGATGAGTATGGGTACGTTGCAGCATTTCCGTCCGATGTGCGGTCCACTTCTGACGTCGAAAGAGGAAGTGTTCCACGGTCTCTCTTGCTTGTCCACATGCACACTGATCCGTCTCTGCAACGTTGATCCGATAGAGATAGCCATTGAGTCTGGCCATGCCAGTCCGGAGTTGGGCCAGCACGCTCGCTTCTTTCCACGATAATCGATCATACAGCTGTCGAGTGTGTTTCCCGGGAAGTGCTGCGTCCACCCGTTTTACGTGTCTCCCTACGTTTTCTGGCAAGTCATTGCTGGCAACTGCTTGGGACCGAGCGATATTCAGTGTTGTCGACTTCATCCTGGGGACCGATTCTTGTGGGGCAGCATCCTTCTGGGTCGCGGTTCTGGCCTGCTCTTTAGCCAGACCTAGCAGTTTATTGTCTTCGCTGGTAGGGACCCAAAGGATATCGATGTGGTTTCCGTTTCTCCGCAGTCTTCTCATCAACTTGTACGTCTGGCAGACGAACTCCTGGCCTGACTGTTGTCGGGGGTTCCTTATCGTGAGAGCCGCCGCTTTGTTGCTCGTGAGCAACATGATCCTGTAATCTTTCAGTCCCACCAGCATGTTCAATGTATGTGCCATTGCTGCTAGCTCCGCGGAGAATGGGGTTTGCTCTGATCTTGCGCCCAGTGTCGCGGAAAAGGTCTTCAGTTTCGATTTTCGATAACGAGGTGGTCGCTTCTCGATCGCCACCCCAAATCCGACCAGCTCGTTCCGTGCCGAGAGCTTGGATACAGTACTTCCGGAAATTGGTGTCACCACCTATACTCTTCGATTGTTTCTCGAACCCTAATGCCAAGAACCCTAATCTACTTTCGGCATAATTCGAGGACCCTCTGGTTTCGTGGCATCGAGACCGAAACCACGAGGATTACGGCTTATGACATTCGATGGCCGCTTTTAAACCGTGCAGCCTTGTTTATTCATAGCCTTGTTTATTCACAGCCTTGTTTATTCACAGCCTTGTTCCGTCGTAGCTTTAGAGAAATACAAGGTTCCTAACTACGGAGTACATATCTTCTAATTGGACCTCGACAACTCCGATAGAACTACTCCTAATGGGAATTGTTTGCACTGGATGGACCCTGAGGTTCGAATCAAATCTGGATGATCCCGACTCCTGCCGAGGTCTATCGATAACCAGTTTTGGTTGGATTTCTTAGTGCTTTTTGGCCCCCAGTCGCATTACGCTAAATTGTACGTGATTCATGGGGCCAGCATGATCAACCACCCTTGAATTCTTCCTACTAATAGCGACTATGTGCATTATCTTAGTATTCCGCCCCACCTCGTCATCAATTTTGAGTTTCTTTGCAATATGCCCATATATAACAACCCGCCCATGCCTCCTCTTCTATTACTGTCTCAAATTTCGCACACGGCTGATCGGACTACCCCGAGAGAAATATCAATCAATATCTTCGAAATGCCTCCTATTACTAAATTCTGGCTCAGTACCCTCAAGGATGAGCAGTCCGTGAACTCTCCCGCCTTCCTCCAACTTATTTCAGAGATTCTTGACCTCTGCGCATCGCACAGTGGCCCAGAATCCGGAATGACACATACCCATGCTTTTTATCAAGATATCAACAATCCATCTCGATTGTTCATGATCACGGGGTATCCGTCTCAGGAACTAAACATCGCGGCCGACAATGTTTACGCCGAGAAGTACCTTCCGCGCATGTTCGATTATGTGCAGCATGTATGGCTGAAACAGCTTGACATGGATATTACCACCGTACCTCTGGATGAAAAGGTAGTTGTCGCGTATGGCAAAAACCCTTCTCAGTGGAAAGATGAAAAGAAGGGCTTTGGAGGATGGGATGTTTGGCTGAAAACTGCCCAGGCCAAGAAAAACACCCAAGTCGAAAGAGGAGATCAAAACGTCAAAATCGCGGCTGATCAAGTTTGGGTGCAAGTTTCCCGCTGGGAAGACGGAAATGCAGACCTAGCGCAACCCACAGAAGGCGAGAAGCTATATCTGCACAAGGTCATGAGTCGATAAAAAGAGAATAGCTAGGTGACTGTCTCTTCAGCAATCTGAGCAGTATCTAGGAAATTCAACTTCATCCATATCTTGCAGATAGCTTAGAGTAGTAATTATCTGTGAAACTTGAACGTCTGGATACTGTAGCGCAGCCACTACAGCAAAGGTCCACCCAATTCCACTACTTAACTGACAGATTCTGGTGTGGGCCATATTGTAAACCGCGCTATGTATAGTTCTTCAACATTATCTATATATAATAACGAATGATGACGTGAAAATAGCTTCCTTTATTTCCAAAAAAGATAGATGGTTTTAGGTTATGGTTCTTGTGAGACTTTCAGGAATAGCTTCTCGCCCTCTAGGTGGCAAGAGGGGATCGTGCATCTAGGCAACTCTTGCATGTTCCTTAATGCAAAAAGGCATGCTACTATCCGGAGACCCACGCATCAGTCTGCGACCTGATTAATTACTCTTGTCCTCGTAGGCACTTTGCTCGATTAACTCCATGAAATGCACACGGAACTGCAATTTCGGACAGGTCCGCGTGTTGCTGCGTAAAAACCCTACTTCCTCACTTCGGTGGCAGAATATAAGGAAGGCATCATGCTGAATCTTAATGCAGGAAAAGGCTCTGCCAAGGCTTTGAGGGCCTTGGGCTAACCATGGCTTGCCCATACACTGACGATATATGACGTCATGTGTTGACTTCGAGTAAAAGTGTAGGTAACGATACAGGAATATATTATGGTAGTTCTTGGCATTAGGGTTCGAGAAACAATCGAAGAGTGTAGGTGGTGACACCGCTTTCCGGAAGTACTGTACGGACCTTTGGACGCTCTCGCCAGCATCAATAAGCTTGACTTTGTGCTTGAAAAGCAAGGGTAATATGAAGAAGCGGAAACGATGCATTGACGGGCACTTAAAGACATATTCCTACAGACTGTGAGTTTCTGTACTCTCATGCAGCAAGGAATCCTGCCTAAGAGCATACTCTTCACTCCTCATCCGTTGCCAACAGCCAAGACCGGAAGTGACGACCAACCTCACCCAAATCTTGTCTTGCCACGCACAGTAGTTCCTACTGGACGGCTGTGATCGTCACATGATCGTCGGCCCGCGCCTAGCGAAGTAATCTTTCGTAATTGTTACAGACAGGCCGTGGGGCGTCTTCTATAATAAGCAGCCGTAGTATATTTCATACACCACTTTACACCATTGTTATTTTCCCGTGTATTCGACTTCGTAAACTTGCATTTTTTGTACCTCTACGCTGCCAAGAACTTCGCTCAACTCAACATAATCGTAACTCACATCATTGCAATGGCCCGAAAAGATAATGACCGCAATCGACAAGGTTCACTCATGCATAGTTCTTCTTCATACCCATCTCTGACGCCTTTGCGGGTGATCTTGGCATTCCAGTCGTCAACGGCAGATTTCCTGGTAGTACATTACGTCTTGTACTTCAGCATTGGGACATAGTATTTTCTTTGGTTTCAAAGAGCAGTGATACCGAAAGTCATCTAATTGAGGTATCCTCTATCCACAGATAACAATTGACTGGTTGTTAGAGGATAAACATGCTGGACTTGTCAGGTACCTCGCGGGTGTTTCACCACGTAGGGCATTTCGTGTCACCGGGATGGGGGTTACACTATTTATGGAATGCTCTCCAATAGTATCACCCGTCGAGAACTCCCCGGTACTTTTTTCTGGCTCATGCCACATGGCGTGCGTGATGTAAAACGGCGTCAATAGATCCGGTTCAGAATCCACGTTGGGCAAGGCGTGCAGCGACCCGCATGGGTGCAAAGTTGAGGGGCTGAATTATGGACTTTGGAGCTCCACGGCTCTGCATTGTCACGAACGGTGGATGAACGGTAGCCGGCTAAGCCTGGGTCTAGGGGCGACTCCTTTTTTTTTTTTTTTTTTTTTTTTTTTCTTGCAGAGTTTTCCCGGGTTATCCGACATTTGTATTTCCGCTCCGGGCATGTTGTGGTGGATAATTGCTTGGATTGTGTACAAGGGTATTGTATATAGGATAGGGCCCCGACATGCATTGTATAGATAGTCCCAGCCCCCTCGTGGCATGTTTCACTCGCCTTGCCCAACTTGAGAAATTCTCCGCCCCCAGAAAGTCGTGGCGGAGGCGGCGAATAGTCTACCATGGCCGTTTTAATTGTCGTGGAGCCGAAGTGCACTGCACTATACTAGCAACTAGTGTAATGTGTTGAGCGAGGTCACGGTACCAGAGGTCACGCCTTGACTCTCCCACTTTCCTCGACGGCTCGGACCCTGATCACCCATCGCAACCTGATCAAATATCTGCGATGGAGATCAACGATCCTCCAGACAAGATATTGTCCGCAATAAAGGGACCTGCAGCCGATTAATCCCCCGTGACGTCTCATATTGGCTGCACTAAGCGAACGCGCCCCTCAATGTGAGACGTAGCGTCGGAGACTAAGCTCCTGGCACCTCCTGGAACGCACCCCACTGGCGAGTGTCGAGATCGGGATTCGTGTGCTCGGCCCCAGTCTCCACCACTGTCAAGCATCCTGGTCTGGCTGTGTAGCGACCTGAAACCTCCCGACCTTTTCGAATTTCGAATAACCCTCTGTGCCGGGCGTGCTCGACGTGTGAAATTGCCAGGAGCCGTCCGAGCCCCCCAATTTAATATGTCTAGCCCGAGATGTGAAGCGGCAGCTCCACTAGTGGTCTGAAGGGCCACGCTTGCCGGTGCTGCTGGCGGAAAATACGGGCAACTGAGGGTTTAATCTATTTCGGGCGTTGCACTGGCACGCCGTTGTGCCGTTTGTCGCGTCCACTGCCGGCTTCTCCTCTCTCCCTTTTCTCGGGTTGTTTTTCTTTCTTTGTTGCGTCCCTCGCGAATTCTCTTACTTGCGCGGAGAGCTTGAGGCTCTTCTCTGCTTCTTTTCTGTCTTTGCGCGACTGCTGTGAGTATCCGCTTTGCTCTGTCTGGTTGTGTTCTGAATGAACCCGTTGTTGGCCTGAGATCGGTGGTCAGAGACTTATATGGCGGCGGACAATACCCTGAGTTATACAGGGATCCAAGCTAAGATGATTGTGTAATCTAGGCATCTATTGTTTCGAAATATCGCTGGTTTGATACGAACGATAGTTCTTTGCAGTCTGTGTTGACGGTGAGAGATTGTCATTCACCTCGGAGTGATCTAATGTCTAACTATCAGGCCGGCAAACAGTGGCATTGAATGCCTTTCCATTCTTTTTCATCTTGAACCCTAGCTACATGCGACCTGCGACCTGCGACTCGCTAGCTTTCCATTCTTTCGTCATATCTTTGCATCAGCTTGGATATTTTCCCTCGAGTCTTTGACCCTCTGGCTACCTCGGCGCTCATTCGTTTCGCGCCGTTGCCAGTCACTCTTTTACTTCGCCCACCTCGATCAGGGTATCGAGTCACTCAACTACTTCATTCTATCTAGCTTTTCGATTTCAGGCCGCCGTTTCGACTTCACTGACCTAAATTGTCTATGAAATCGCCCGATGTTGTGAAACGGTCCTCTTCTCGAATCATCTTCCGAAATCTGACCACTGTTTAACCATCTACGGCAAATCCAAGCCAAGATTCAATGAGCTCGAATTTCCAAGGAAGTCATGGCCCGGGGCCTCGTCCTGGGCCACGTCCTGCTGGACCCGAACCAGACAGGAAAGGATCCGTCAAGCGAGCGAGGGAGTTGCTGGAAGCAGGAGTCCGTCCAAAGCGAACCTCGACCACGGCGCCTGTACCTGCTCTCCAACCGAGACCGTTCCCACCTCCGCCTAGAAACGCCTCCCACCAAACACAATGGCCCCTACCGGCGACGGGCCTCCAGCCACGACCGCTGAACCCGCAACAGCACCCTCGATATGTCGGGCCTCGGGGCCCTCCTCCGCAACGCCCACCTCGTCCGAGTGAGGTGCCCTCGCAGATCCCGTCGCCGTCAATCTACTCTGTCCGAAGTGGACTCGACTCTGAGACCAGCTCGAATTATCCGTATCCAACCCGGCCAGCTCGGTCTTTCTCTCAGCCCAAACTAGTTGTGCAAAACCAGCATCCGCCACGCCCGTCGACAGCCGATGGCTCTTGTCCAAGCCCAACCAGTACCGTGGATCTGACACCTCGTATATCGATTGCTACCGATGATTTGTTCCGGCACTCAACGGCTTCCGGGTCCTCTTCTGTCCCTGATGTGCCTCCTGTTCCACTACCAGAGTCACCTCAGCCTTTGGCTAATGCCCAGCAACGCAAGACTGCAGGTCTCGCTGCACCCAGTGCTCACAAGGCTCGAGCTCGGAGGTCATCTGTCTCGCCTATTCCAGAAGAACTACCGGACCCCCGCCAAACACTCGGATCCCTCGCCTCCAGCCGTGCAATCCCTTCGAGCTGGGGCTCCGGGCCTGCGGAATCAGAAATCCTAGGCGCATATCTTGATATTGAATCCGATGGCGAAGGGAGTGCGGATCATAGGCCCGTTGAAGAGAACGCCGCTCTGGTTCGAAGTGCCAGTCTTGGAAAACGGGGCAAGCCAACCATGCGTACGATCCTCAAGTCGAACACGGGTTCCGAAGTCTCAATCCCCGATGCCCCCACCCAAAACAAGGAGAACGAGAATTCTCAGAACGAAAAGCCCGGCAAGGCCATTATTGCCCCTGCCTCCATTGGCCAGGTCTTGCGTGCGCCCAGCCCCCGACGCAAGTCTGTCTCAACGGTCTCGGGTGAATCATTCATCGACCCGGAAAAGCCGCGCTTTGCTCAGCCCGCTCAGGTATACCACAATGCCGCTCTCGAGAAGGAACTCGAAGTATTGCCCGCTGCTGCGCCGACGATGAGTGATAAGCGGCCTGGTGGCCGGAAACCGCCTCGTCTTGATATGGGTGCTGTCCGGGATGCCGAGGCCCGTGGAAGTCTTTCCAGCTTGACGGACCTCATTCGTCGTGCAACTAAACTCGCTACCAACCTGGATCACGGAAGAACGGCCAGTCGAACGGACCTGGTTGCTTCTGAAGCTGATCGCCGGGGCCCATTCGGTGAGTCTCCTCGACTTTCAGTTGGAAGTAACACGACTTTAGTTGTAACAATAGAACTGACACACCTACCAGGACGCCGCCGCAACTCCGGCTCTATTTCTGATATTCTCAATTCATTCCCTAACCCAGCCCTAGCAACCCCAGATGAAAACCGCGGATCCTGGCCCGTCTTTTTCGGTCGCTCAAATCTCCGCAATGGCGAAGCTCTCGCCTCCAACGAAGATGAAGCGAAACATCAAAAGGCCTCGCGGAAATGCTGTGGCATGCCCCGCAAATGGTTTATTATTCTCTGCATCGTCCTGTTCATCATTGTCATTCTCGCCATCCTCCTCCCCGTGTTCCTGGTAGCTGTCCCAAACGAAAAGTCCAAGAACGACGACACTACTAGCTGCGCCAAGTCTAATCCCTGCTCGAATGGCGGCGTCAGCGTCTCGAGCGGTACGCAGTGCTCTTGCGTCTGTTCGAATGGATATACAGGCTCGACCTGTACGGCGGCCGGTGATAGTAGCTGTGTCAATTCGGATGTCGACAATGGTACTATTTCCAAGAAAGCTACGATGGGCTCTTCCCTGCCCGCCCTGTTCAACGAGTCAGATTCCAAGTTCGGTATTACACTCGATTCGGTGACGATCATGGCGCTGTTCAGCATGAATAATATCTCCTGTAAGACGGAGAATGCTCTCATTGCTTTCAGCGACGTCGACCGCAGCAGCAGCAGCAGCGGGAAGATCCGCCGCTCCGTCGACCTGGAGACCGCTGGCACCGTAGACTCCACAGCGGCTGATAGTACGAATGACAAGCCAATGGGTCTCCCCATCCGACCAGCTGACGATGCGACTCCGATTGCCCTCGCGGCCCGGTCAATGGCCACAACTAACGGGATTCTCTACGACAATAGCGGGAATCGAGGAGAGCCCTCCAAGACAACCTCCACCACATCTGACTCCCAGGGTACTGCAACAACCACGGGTACTAGCACAGCTACGTCGATCACATCGACTTCATCTGCCAAGGCCCGATCCACTGGGGTCCCCGACGATGTGGTCGAGTTCTCTCAGATCGCCGTCCTCTACATTATGCAGGAAACTGGCTCGTTCGACTCGGCTCTCTCTTCTGAGAAAGAAATTGAAACGTACTTGACTGAGTCGTATGCCAATACGTCGTATCCCACCATGGAATTGATGGGGACGTTTGCCCTGGATTTTGCTAATAAAACGATCACCCTGGATAACGGAGATGGGAAGACGGTGCATTGACCGTTGCGCATGTTGCAAGTGATGGATGTGTATGTACATAGTACCTTCCTTAGGGTACAAGGAGTTCGTGAGTGGTGTTTCATAATCATAATCTCTTGACCATTTACCCTGTAGAGCGCGATTTACCCCTGAGACCCATTGTCTGAACTTCGTACCTTTTTACTTTTTTGTCCATATGGAACCTCGTATCTCGTTTGCTCGCCAGTCCACGTCATTAGTCATTCGAGCGTTCCAAGTAGATTCTGATGGGCCCGTGTTAAATGCTTAATGCCGGTCGTGACCTGTTTGGGACTTGCCAAGCCAAGCCAAGTACATCGTTACCCGATTGGGAACTGGCATCACGACATTCCTCGTGGAGGTTGCGTGCTCTGGTCACGTGGTTAAGTGCCGAACCGCCACCGACGTAGGGCCGCGCAGTCCGCTGGCGGACGAAATGTATAAGAAGGAGGCAGATAAGAGAAAAGGAGCAGCGTCTGGAGGGGCATTTATTGGGATTGTCAGGGAGGGAGGCTGAGCACTGGCTAAATGCCGCCCCCTGAAAATCCGGGAAGATCCCCGCCATAAACGAGTACGGGTCGTGATTCCGCGGTCAGCGGAGATATTGTTGGCGGGAGGACCAAGGACTGAACATCTGAACACCTAAGGCATTTCCCCTGAGGTCGGGCGTAGGATGGTAGTACCACAAGGCCGATTTCCGAGGGTTGGTCCGACAGGCCAGGTGTACACTGCCCTCTCATACATGGTGAAACCGTGGATCAGACCCTGGCAACACCAGGAACGCGAGAAGATCAATTAGAAACCCCGTCGAACCGGGCAGGCGTGTAGCAAAAAGCAAGGATAGGCAGAGGGCCCCTGGTTCCCCGGCGGCGAGTCTTCTGTCTGGACAGTTGCGGCGGGGCCAAGACTCCAGCTGCTCCACCGTTGACGACGGTCCAGACAACATGCGCGCTGTACATGCGTGGCCCTCCCGCAGGTAGAAATTCTCCCTTCCTTCCTCTTTCTCACTTTCTCTTCTTTCTTTGTTCTTCACCTTTTGTACGTTTTATCCCTCACTTCCATCATGGCCAACGCTCCCCACGGTGGTGTCCTCAAGGACTTGCTTGCCCGCGATGCTCCCCGCCAGGAGCAGCTCGCCGCTGAGGCCGAGTCGCTCCCCGCGGTTGTGCTCACTGAGCGCCAGCTGTGCGATCTGGAGCTGATCATGAACGGTGGTTTCTCACCTCTGGAGGGTATGTGTGCCATTTCTTTCTGTTGCTTTCGATGGGTGTGATCAGTCAGACTGCACGTTGAATTCTCTACTTGGCAATCGCGTCATTCTGCCCCTCCCCCACTGCGGTCAATTGGTCTTCTGCAAGCCCACCGCCGTGTTCGCCGCATCGCCTTTGCCATTGTCCCTTGCAATTGACTGCATCCGAGCATTGCCGGACCGGCGGTGGGGGATTGCATGGCTATTTTATTTTTTTGGACTTTGAATTTTTTTGCGGAGCGGGCGGGACATCAGAGGGGTAATTGCTAATGTCGATCCCCAGGTTTCATGAACCAGGCCGACTATGACCGGTATGTACCTCCCCGGATGATGCGATTGGAATTGCATTCGCCTCATTTGACATGTTGGATGTGAACAAAAACTGATTGGTGTAGTGTCTGCGAGGACTGCCGTCTGGCCGATGGCAACGTCTTCTCCATGCCCATCACCCTCGACATCAGCCAGAAGGAGATCGACGCTCTCAAGATCCAGGCCGGTGGCCGTATCACCCTGCGCGACTTCCGTGACGACCGCAACCTGGCCATCCTCACCATTGACGACATCTACCGCCCCGACAAGTGAGTTTCGCTGCAAAATTTCTCCCTGCTCTCATGGTCTATACTCCGGTGCATTCTTCGGACTCCGCGTTGCTGTCTGCCGATCTCCGATATCCCACTTCCACACTTGAAACGGGGCACCCCCTGTTTGCTTGTCTGGTGAACGGACCTCGGAGCGGTGTTTGACATGGCGCATGGACCAAGACTGCGTGGATTGGACCGAGCGCGGCTCCTTACAAGTGGGTCTGGCTGACGTGGAATGTTTCCCCTAATCTAGGACGAAGGAGGCCAAGCTTGTCTTCGGTGGTGATCCCGAGCACCCTGCCATCAAGTACCTGAACGAGACCGTCCAGGAGTTCTACATCGGTGGTAAGATCGAGGCTGTCAACAAGCTCAACCACTACGACTATGTCGCTCTTCGCTGTACGTATTCTCCCCTGCTCTGATGGATCTGGGTCTGGTATTGACAGCTCTGCAAAAGACACCCCCGCCGAACTGCGCGTTCACTTCGACAAGCTGGGCTGGTCCCGCGTCGTCGCTTTCCAGACTCGTAACCCCATGCACCGTGCTCACCGTGAGCTGACCGTCCGCGCGGCTCGCTCCCGCCAGGCCAACGTGCTGATCCACCCCGTCGTCGGTCTCACCAAGCCCGGTGACATTGACCACTTCACCCGTGTCCGGGCCTATGAGGCTCTCCTACCCCGCTACCCCAACGGTATGGCCGTCCTGGGTCTTCTCGGCCTGGCCATGCGTATGGGTGGTCCCCGTGAGGCCATCTGGCACGCCATCATCCGTAAGAACCACGGTGCCACTCACTTCATCGTCGGTCGTGACCACGCCGGTCCCGGTAGCAACTCCAAGGGCCAGGACTTCTACGGCCCCTATGACGCTCAGCACGCCGTCGAGAAGTACAAGGACGAGCTCGGCATCGAGGTCGTCGAGTTCCAGATGGTCACCTACCTCCCCGACACCGACGAGTACCGCCCCGTCGACCAGGTCCCCGCCGGCGTCAAGACCCTCAACATCTCCGGCACCGAGCTCCGCCGCCGCCTTCGCACTGGCGCCCACATCCCCGAGTGGTTCTCCTACCCCGAGGTCGTCAAGATCCTCCGCGAGTCCAACCCTCCCCGTGCCAGCCAGGGTTTCACCATCTTCCTGACCGGTTACATGAACTCCGGCAAGGACGCCATCGCCCGCGCCCTCCAGGTCACCCTCAACCAGCAGGGCGGCCGCTCCGTCTCCCTGCTGCTGGGTGACACCGTCCGCCACGAGCTCTCCTCCGAGCTGGGCTTCACCGCCGAGGACCGCCACACCAACATCCAGCGCATCTCTTTCGTCGCCTCTGAGCTGACCCGCTCCGGCGCCGCCGTCATCGCGGCCCCCATCGCCCCCTACGAGCGCTCCCGCAAGTATGCCCGTGAAACCGTCTCCCAGGCCGGCTCCTTCTTCCTTGTCCACGTCGCCACTCCCCTCGAGCACTGTGAGAAGACCGACAAGCGCGGCATCTACGAGCGTGCCCGCCGCGGTGAGATCAAGGGCTTCACTGGTGTCGATGACCCCTACGAGGCTCCTGAGAAGGCTGACCTCGTTGTTGACACCTCCAAGCAGAGCGTTCGCTCCATTGTCCACGAGATTGTCCTCATTCTCGAGAGCGAGGGCTTCTTCGACAAGTCCCAGTAAATTTACTAAAGGAGATGTGTGGATTGGATACCTTTTCTTTTGTTTCAATGCTATGTTGACCCCATAGAGATTTTACTCGCTTTTTAATTGCGAATGGATTCCCCTAGATCCAAGTGGATCTACAAACAATCTTTCCGTTGTAGAATTTCTCTAATAGAGTCATTGAGTATGGTCTGTCGCCGCAACTTGGCGCCAACTTTCAACAGGTCTTCATTTTATATATACGCGAAAGAGTCAGTTTCGGAAACTTAGTTTTCCTGATCCTGATCTTCTGTATTCCAGTCGGCTTTCTGATAATGTATCGCAAGAAAGACTACACAGAACGGAGGCGAATTACCTCTTCCTCAAAGCTCATCAGCTCTGCGTACTACAGATTCAATCGTACTTATCGAAGTGTGTTCGCGGGTTTCGACGAGTTTGCGGCCTATGTATGTAAAATCAAGATCGAATATACCACCTTTTTACATTCCTACCCAAACACGCACAACCAAGAACTGGATAAGAGCTCGAGGCTCATACGCCGTAGGTAAATAGCCTTTGGCAATTGCATCATATCGGATGAAAAAATCGCGTAGTAAGGGGGATAGCTTCGGAAAATCCTCCTGAAAATCGCAGATCTCGCGTGGTACAAGAAGACTATATATGGGCTCTTCCCACAGTTAGATTTGGAGATGGTGAGAAGTACATACATCCCGCAATTAGATCCCTGTAGAGCCTCACGGATACTGGAATAAGCCTGACTGCGCAATCAAGCATCATGGTACAAGATGCTGGCCGCCTGATGGTTTTCATCACCGCTGTTGTCCTGCTTGATAGATTCTCGGCAGCCGGAACAACTGTTGCACCTGAATGTGAGAGGGCCACCTGGCTGAATTGATACGAGCTACGCATGAGTACCGCGGTGTAATTTGCTAACTCAGCTGTATAGCTTCCTCCCTCTGTGGGGGCACATCCGCTTGACGACTATCCAACCCTGCACTGATGAAAGGTCTGATCCCTTTGGAACCTTGGGGTCTTATTTGATATTTTTATACACTGGCCCATCCCTGAATCCTCTAATTCGACATGGTGCTAATCAAGGGACTGGTAGATTCCACCATATCATCTTAATACGTATATGTACAATGATTGAATTATCCACGATTGAATGGCTCGATGACATTTTGATTTTCACTGTCCGCTTCTTCATTCATCTCCCCGCCTGAAGTGCTCGCTAAATATCACCAAGAGCAAGTTTTGTAACCGCAGCCAGTGATTCCGGTCCCGCCGAGCATGTAGTATTCTGTCATCGGGTCGTAATGTCAGATCGCGCCAGGCCACTACGGTATTCGGGCTTCGGTGGTACATTGGAAAATGAGCACAGAATCAATGTTTTTAATGTTTCAGATTTTTATGCAGTTTACTCTCCACATCAATCCTGAATACAGCCCGACTCACAAGTATCGTCGGTAGGGTCCCGCTGGGAGGCTGTCTAGGTATACAGATAGTGTGTCACGTGGTTTGAACAAACAGTGCAAACTCCATACCAGAGACCAGCTTCGTCTTGCGCAAAGCGCCGGACCCATTTGTTCACCTAACGCAACCAACAATGCTATCACGACACGCGGCTGGTCGAATACCAGCTCGGACCCGACTGGGACAGCGACTGCCCGGATCGCTTCTCCCACTGCGCCCCTTCACCAACCGCAGCCGACTGCAAATCTCATCACCACTCGGCCGCCCTCAACTACCATTCCTCTCACCACTTTCACCTTCGCGACCAATTCTGCCGCTCTCCATCCACCTCCGCCAACACTTTGCCCGCCTCATTACGACGGGCCCGAGCAACTACAAGAAGCGCCTTAGCTACGGGATTAAGGCAGGCCTTACATTCTCCGCCGTCTTCGTTCTTTTATCGGTTATCCAGTTGGGCGTCTACCAAGAAGATATCGAGCACAAATGGCCCACGCCACCTGAATGGTCTCTGAAATCGAGATGGTCCTTGCGCTCCGCACAGGCCCTCCAACATCCTGAATACACGAACCGCATCATTACCGACTGGCCCATGGTCGCCGGGTACCTGCGCGAACTGATCGAAAGATTGGAGAATGTTAATGGCGAAGGCGCGGGATTAAGGGAGCAAGAAGAAGGTGGGATTCTCGTTGAAGGAGTTGGTCGGACCGGCCTGGATATCTCTGCGAAAAGCGAGGCTTGGCGCAGAGGTTACTTCCAGGCTCTGATGGGCTCTGCGAAGGCCGCGGAGAATCTCGAGGGTTGGGTGACGGATACCAAGGAGCGGATTTCCGCGCCCCAGGAACATGTTGTTGGACCCTCGAATCCAAGACCGAAACCTATGCCCCGTGGTGTGGATAAGGTTATGCGAGAGGAGAACTGCGAGCCGGCTTCTCCGCCGCCGGAGACGTTTTACATGAAGATTCTTACGACCGGGGGATTTGAGACGAGGCAGAAGCTTGAGGCGGCGCTTGCTTATGCTGATTGGCTTGATTATAAGGGGCTTGGCCGGACTGCTGGTGATATGTACGCCTGGGCTTTGGATATTGCGGCCGGTGGCGTTGAGGGTGATGCGAGTAGCCTCGTTGATGTGAAGACGGGTCTTTTGAAGAATGTCGACGCAGCACCGCCTTCTGAGAACCTGATGCGCGTTTCGACGGCTCTTGCTGTTCACAATGCGCGACAGGGTGATCTCCCAACTGCACTGTCACTCTTCACGTCCGTCCTGAAGGCCTGGCGCAGTCTTCCCGTGATACCTGAACCAATTAGCCTGGAATCGCCCAACCAAAATGATTCTGGGAACATCTTCGCCAGCCTTTTCACGACTCTCAAAACTGTTCTCGTTCCCGTTAAATACCCGCCTCCGCCACCTTCGGGAAATACCCCCCCGACTAGAACAACCGGATCGCTCTGCCACGAAGCAGGCCTTATGACCTACATCGGCGAAATCATCTACGCCTCCTCATCTCGCGAACAAGGCCTGGCATGGACCCGCGACGCAGTCGAAATGGCCGAGTCAACCCTCTCACTCATGGAGAACTCCTCTGACGCAGACTCGCGGACGAAGTGCGCGCAATGCCTGAAGGTCGGACTGCAAAACTGGAAGACGATGGTCTCGGCGCTGGTCGAGAAGACCGAGAAGGAGCAGCTGGAGTCTGTGGAGCAGGCGAAAAAGGCTTGGTATGGCGGGGATAAGAGTTTGAAGGGTAAGACCGAAGAGCTTAGGAGATGGAAGGCTGAGCAGGAGATTCTCAATGAGAGGATCAAGAGGCTTTTCCCGGCTCTTGAGTGGGAAGGTAGCTTGGAGGGCCTTTCTACGGGGAGCTCGCTGTATGTTTGATTGTATGATATTTGTATTTTAGATGGGGTTTGGTGTTGAATTTGTATATACCTATTTCACCTTCTCCTATCAACATCATGAATGATTGAGTGCCTGGCAAAAACAGAACGATAACCATGTGGATCCAACAGTAGTTGAGCATTCGATCTGAAGATTTCGGGCATTCGATCCGAAGATTTCGGAAACATTAACTTAAACCGGCTGGCGTGGCTGAGAGGCGGGGTAGCCCCAGCCTACGCTTGCTGAGCTTGAGCTTCCTTGTATCTCACGTTCTCCTTGGTAATGTTAGCAAGCCGCTAAAGATGAGCACCCCTAAGAAAAGAAGGGCGAGGCCAACTTGCAAGAAAGTAAAGGGTTGGTGTATCATTGCTCCGTGCGGGGTGATCCAATCGGAGCTATACGGACTAACCTCTTACAGGATGCTATGAATGCTCCCAGCGACGAATAAGCTGCGACAAGAATGAGCCTTCGTGTGCTAAATGTCTTCAGAAAGGCATCACATGCTCTGGTCAAGGCATTCGGTATAGGTTCAATCATGGCGTCGCGTCGCGGGGACGGTTAGCCGGGAAGAATGTTAATGGGGAGGCAGTAAAAAGGTTTGTAGATAATTTTCCACTCACTTTGATCTGGATTGACTCATTATGGCAGTGATGGTTGTGAATTACCAAGATGTTCTGATTCCAGTACTACCACAATGGCTGTTCCAGATGATGCTACTCCCTCAAGTCTCGAAATGGGGCTAGGACTATACATCGGAGATTGTCTTGACTCCCTCCCTCCCGCAAAACGGAATCTAGTTCGCTACTGTATGTATCTGACCTGGTTGGCTATGATCATTGATTGATTTCTGGCTATAGTTGCGACAGAAATCGCGCCCCACATGGTAGCCATCGACGACGACTCAAACGGCTATCGAGTCCTCGTCCTTCCAGCGGCAGAAGCATACGGATCAGTTCTAAATGCTGTCCTTGCGGCTTCTGCATATCATATGTCTCATCGAATGGAAAGCAGCCATCGTGCATCACAACAAGCGCAAAGTTATTATACCCAAGCAATTAACGATCTCCGTCATATTCCTCCTGGATCTGTGGGCAATGGAAATGAACAAATGCTGAGTATTTTGACAATATTTGTGATGCTCATTTCAACGATGATTACTGGATGCTCGGATTTTCCGATCCTTTATAAAATGTTGACTTCCTTGTTTAAGGCATCGAGTCAGGGGAAGAGTCAGGATCAGGCTTATTTGCGGGAGTTTTTGGTTATTCAGATGAGAAAGTATGCTCTTCCATGAATACCCGGAGCCTTCTACAAGAGCAAATTAGCTGATGTTAAGTAAAATAGATTCGAGCTCTACGCGAACCCCTTTATCGACGAAAAGCAAGTACCCGGAGATACCGAATACACAAATTTCGTTACCCAGGGGCTTACCTGCTTGCGCAGGTGCGCAGAGCTCCACCCAGAACACGCAGCCAATCTTGCGCGAACATCAGATCTCATTTCCCAAGCTGGTCTGATTTACTCACTCCGTGCCCGCAACGAACTTGCGAAAGAAAGTTCATTCCGTCTTGTCGAGGAATACAAGACTTCGCTCGCTCGGTTCTCGCCCACGACGGCTGGTTGGAAGGTTTTGATATGGGCTACTTTTATTGTTGCTGCCGAGAGCTCTGATACAACCCATCGAGCTTTTCTGCTAGAAACGCTGGAAGAACAGTACCGTCGAAATGGATTTGGGAATCTTCGGACAGCAATGGATATGCTACGGGATGTATGGAATCGGGGAGCAGAGGAAAATTGGACGAAGAGGTTACCCCAATGGAAAGTGTTCGTCATGTGAATCGTCGATGAGCAGCAGGAATCTAAAACTGTCTAATCTGTACATTGTGTATATAACAAATCACACCTTCACGTCTTCTGCCGGCCTGGCAATAGCCCTATTAAACAAGAAAGCAACACTAACCATCGTCTTCCCAATCGCACACAGCAAAATCGGAAACGTCGAATTTACCTCCCTCTGCGCAAACGCACCGACAAAACAACCCGCCGTCAGCATAACGAGGAACATGAATCTGCGATTCCGAAGTCGGTTCTTCACTTTCACTAGACTGGGATCAATAACCAAATCAATGAATGCAGCCGTCGCCATCGCAGTCGTGATCTCTGTAATTTTCAACGACCGACTCATCGCAACTTGTGCTCCGGACGAAAATGCAAGACAAGCGATAACCGCCCAAGACGCCGGCCCATCGCGCTGGATCGGCCAGATGTACATGAATATCAACGCGAGGAATACCAGTGCTGTCTGGATGAAATTGCTCATTAATAGCCAGCTCCGTCGTCGCACGCCAAAATAGTTGCCCAGTTGTCCCATCACCAAGCCGCCGGCTACGAAATTTGCCAGGCTAACTCCGATATTTGGGAAGCTGTAGGCGTCGTGCGTTAGGCCTGCTATTCCGATGGCGAGGAAAAGGGTGTTGCCTGTTTGGTTGGAGGCAAAGCACATGTAATCGGGCCAGGCGGCGGCGTCTTGGATACCTGTTGAGAAGGAGAGGAGGAGGAGCTCGCTTTCGAGAAGGAGGTCTTCGCATATGTCTTCGTCGAGGAATTCTCGGAATCGGGATTTCCGGGGGTACTCTTCCGAATCGGGGATTGATAGACCCATGTTATTCTTGTGTATGTAGCTTTAGTGGGTGTTAGTATGTGCCATTTCGAGCTGCTGGAGGTTAGGTACGTACTGTAATGGTCAATAAATGCAAGTAGGTGAGTATGTATATAATCTAGCGTGGATTGTTCAGGTCAGTTTTCGATAGAGGGACCCTGAAGTATGGCTGGGCCATACAACGGATGCCTGGATTGCTGGAGAACATTCACGACGAGAGCACGCCATCAGCCCTATATACCTCTGAACTTGTTCTGAGGAGGTTGGAAGGATCATCTACCGAGCAGACCGACCGGCATTCCGGGCTGACGTATATAGGTAGGGGGTCCGAGGGCGCGGAATTTTGAAACGATGTAATCGGCGAGATCGCCCACGAGGGTGGAGAGTGCCAAGATCTGGGGCATGCGGCGGGATTCGGATCCTGCTTGTCGTCTTTTCTTTCGGTTTCCCATATGGTGAATGACGCGCATGGCGGTGGGATCGTCGAGGCTTCACGCGTCTCCTATTATCTTCTTCTGTGTTTGGAAGGGGATCGATCAGGAACTGTGCCAAGGGCGGAGAGATCTGTCTTGACTTGCGTGGTGCTTGGAGGTAGTTGAGATCGAGTTCGAAGGGGGGTATGTATGTGTTTCATTTTTGTCCTTGTTGGCCATGGGAGTTTGAGTGGATGTGGGTGATAAGCGGATGTGAAGATAGAATTTATAGTATCCTTCAAGAGTTAAACCTCGAGTCAAATCATGGCAATAATAATATTATCTGGTTGAGGTGGCCACACCCAAGGTATAGATACAATAATGCGATCGTGAAGTGCTATAAAGTACCCTATACTTTGTCGATTACGTTCATCCCCTCATTTGGAAAATGGTGAGGTTGGCAATTCCGACCATACCCAGAAATTTTCGATCCATGTACCTCCTTCGGAGACGCTGGGCGTATAATCGGTTGTTATTGCTGCAACACAGGCCAAGACGGCGGCGTTGTCCTATTTTGTGACAATGAATGACTATGATCTTGTGCTCCAGACTGACGCGCTTTCAGCCATATCAAGACAGAAAGCGCAGCTAAATATCGGGACGCCAATACCTGCGCCAACTCCGATACCGGTCTTCGCCGTTTTTGTCGATTCGGAGGATGTTGATCCCGTCGCCCTAATATCACTTCCAGTCCCGGTAAAGGTCGCGGCTGCATCTTCAGCGTTCGAAATTACGGCGACTTTTGATGTGAGTCTTGATAAAGCGGAGGAAGCTCGCACGTATGGGTACGACTTAGGGCTGATATCCTCTGGGCGGACACCTTCGATCCAATCAATTTGGAAGCAGCTCACGGAGGTGGCAAGCATGAGATTGTCTTTCTTGTCTGTTCGGCTCGGTAGATTGATCGAGAAGACTTTGTGGTCGTTAGATGAAGAACGCCACGTTTCTCTTGGGAACACTCACACCCAATGTTTCATTTATGGGGGCCTCCAAACTGTCCCAGACTGCTTGGGAGTGTGATAACGGGAAACCGCCTTGCGAGCGGCCGGCCAGGCTCCGAAAACGACGATACAGAGCCCAAGGAAATGGAGGCACAGTCGCACAAGCCGCTGTCCGAATGTGAAAGAAGCCATACTTGGTTAGTGGGTCAAGTCAGTTGAAGGTGGGGGCGCCTTCGAGAATTCGACAACTGGTGGAACTGCATCGACGGCTTGGGTGCCGCTGGGCTTAGAGAAGGTTCGTGTGCGCCACAGCAAAAAATTTCACGTACGGGTAGCAGTGGAGGAGGAAGGAAGAAAGAAAGAAAGAAAGAAAGAAAGAAAGAAAGAAAAATAGAGTCGAGTAAACTGAGGGAAGTGGAGTAAGAACCGTTCTGCGACACCTGACCGTCGACCCAAATAGCCCGCTCATCCAGTGGGAGCGACATTCAACAAGCTGATTGAGTCGCCAACTCCAAAGGAGTCTTTTCGGTATAGCTGCCCAGGAAATTAGGCCCGGCTGTGATTGACAGATATCTCCATCGTGATAGCATCGCGAATAGACTGACTCGCATGCGAATAATGAATGACTGGAACTTGGGAAACGACGCAGGCTTGCATCAAGTTACTCCTCTAGGGCTGTTCAGAATAGGTTAGATCCGTGGGGTGCTCATGGGCGGGAGGAGCCGAAAGTCACTTTTCTTATGATCCGCGCACGCCAGTGACCAATGAGGCTCTTCCGGAGGGTCACAAAACACCACCCAAGGGCATCGCCGAAATATGTGCCAGAGAAAACCTGGCGAGGTCGGTGTTTGAAAAGAGTATTTTTCTATAGCTGACTAGCTGAGTCGAAGCCCAAGCTGAGTATTCGTATTCAATTAAACCATTCAAGTCCTCACCTGACCCGATCATACTACAACACCAAGCTTGCTATTGACGTTGCACAAGAGGATACACAACGCCTTCAACAATATACTTATACAGACGATGCGGTTCGCGTTTGGTGCCGATCATAATTCGTCGATTAAGCCCAAGAAACCGAAGACGATACGAACCAAATGATTCTATCCACTACTATTCGGTCTCGGGGGTGACTGGGAAAGCACTGGCAGTCCATCTAGCCGCCGTACGATCCCAACGTGTAACGCGGGCGCCTGTAATAGCATAAATTTACGCAGCGTCCTCGCTTTTCTCCGGCCAGGGTCCATACACGTATTACGAAAGACCTTCTCGCCCCCACTCTTAGTGTCAAGCTAGCCCCCTGGTGCACCCTTAAACGAAATGTGATCTGCCGATCCGTCCCAACCCCCTCGCCCGCAACGAGGACCTCAAATCCTTCACTTTTCTCTCTTCATTCCTTCGCTGCCTGTTTTAAACCTAATCTCTGCTTTACGATGCGATGCCTCCAATAATGTCACGTTCTCGATCTTTTCATCTGCTGTTTGCGCTTGTATCATTCCTTCTAATCTCGGTAGCCATTGCTGATAACTCAACATGTTATTACCCCAACGGCCACAAGGACAAGAATTATAAGAAATGTCCCGGAGATAGCTTGGCCTGCTGCTTGGAAGGAGAGTCATGCTTGTCAAATGGTCTATGCTTCACTGCGAATTTTGGAATCCTTTATCGAGGACTCTGCGCCGACAAAACATGGCCGATTTCCGAGTGTCCTCGAGTATGCTATGAGGGTATGTTTCCCTTTTCTTGTTCATGTACAGCTATACCACAATGCTAATTATTCCCGGTGCCTTAGAAATTCCCGACAAGTGGGCCAACATGTTCCAATGCAATACCTCACATGCATTATTTACCTGCGCCCGCGACGACGTATCTGCCGCAACCGCCTGCAAGCCGGAGAATGCCTTGGGCACATATACATACACATCTGCCAATGTAACTGTCGCCCAGAATGGCAAGGAGGTTGTAAACACAACGACCTCAACAAATGTGACATCCAGCGAAACATCCGCCGAGACGGGGACCCTGTCGTCGTCAGCTTCCTCGTCAAGCGCAACGTGCCCTGCAACGATCTCCTATAAGAACTCTCAGCTCGTCGCTATTGGTGCTGGACTCGGAGCTGGACTTGGTATACCACTTTTGATCGCGGCTGGACTTGCGATCTATTGTGGTGGATGGAAGCGTCGAAAGTTGGAGCAAAAGCAGGAGCAGCTACAGGCGCAACAACAACAAGTTATGGTGGAGCCTGCTACCTATGCCGGAGTTAACTATAAGAGCTCTCCACCGGAGGTGCAGGGCTCTATACCCCACCATGAAGTAATGGGATCAGTGAGCCATGGCCGCTCAGAGTTGCCTGGTTCGACATGATACATCTGTATCGAGACGAAGATCACTGTATTAATATTCGAATTGTGCTGCTGCAGGCCCCATTTTTAAAGCGTCTGTCATATCACATATTCCAACACAGGATGGCGTTGATTAGAGTCGAACGGACAAGGGACTCACTCATACGGGATCAATAAAAACATTCTAATCATCTCTATTCGATGAGAAATGCCTAGCATCACCAATCCTATATACAGTAGAAGACAGCAGTCAATATATACCCCTCCGTGTCTATACACTCTACTCCGTTTAAACCGTATTAATGGGAGCATCATTATAATAAGCCACCAAACCCCGCAGCAAGAGATCCTGCAAATTCTGAATCGTCTGCACAGAAAACCATGCCAAATGCGGCGAAACGATGAGATTCGGCACATCCCCCGAGAGAAGCACCGACTCCCCTCTAACAGGTGGCTCCTTCTCAAAAACATCCGTGGCCGCAGCCCCAATCTCTCCATTCCTCAGTGCATCAACCAGTGCCCCCTCATCCACAATTCCACCCCGCGAAACATTAATCAGAATCGAATCCTTCCTCATAGTCTCAAACTCACTCGCCCCAATCAACCCAATCGTCTCAGGATTCTTTGCTGTCGTGAGAATCACAACTGTCGCCTTCCTCAACGCCTCGTTGAACTCCGTTCGTCCCTCTCTCACATCAGACCCGCTCATTCCCTTTCGCTCAGCGATGAGGACTTTCATCCCCAGCGCGGAAACAAGAGCCTGTACTCTCTTCCCCAGAAATCCATGGCCGATAATCATAACCACCTCCGCGGAGCAGGTCAAAGGCGGCCCGCCGAAGTGATACGTCAGAGTTCTCTTCTCCGCATACTCATCCGAGGCCATGCACCGATTATGCATGTCGACGATCCGCCGGCGCGAGGCAAAGTAGAACGCAATTGCGTGCTCGCTGACTGTATCGACGTTTGACTGTGGTGCGCGAATGACTGTAACGCCTCGTGCGCGGAAGCCGTCGATATCAACCCAGTCTACGCCGGTGGCCCACACGAAGACGCATTTCAGGCGTGGGTGGGCATCCAAGTCGGCGCAGGTTATTGGGACGATTGTTGTTATGGCGATGTCGGCTTCGCCTAGGCGGGAGGGGACTTGGTCGTGGCTTGTTTTGTTGTAGCCTTTGTATGTATGTGGGAATGGGAGGGGTGGGACTGGGCAGTGGCATTCTTCTAGGCAGACGATGTGGGGGGTTTCGGGTACCATTCTGAGACTGAGATTGAGGAGGATGTGTAATTGGGAGTTCAGAGATGTTGGGGGAGTTGGAATATGTGGAGAAGATTGAATATTCTGCGGGGAGAACGAAGAGTTGGATGGCCGCGCCCTACCGTTGACAGAGGACCCACTGGGCGATAAGAGTGATTGGTCAATTGAACTACAAGACTTGGAGTCTTGTAATGCGACTTGTGAATGACCTGAGGAAAGAGCATCTAGAAGAAACAAGTATTTAGAAAGCCCACTGAAAATAACTTCTCCATCCTCGGGTCATTGACTGACCCAAGGTATGATGAAGTGACCCAACAAGTAGTATGCGCTCCAGCCCTCAATGTAGTCGTCCAATTGTTGGGTCCTGGGAAAAGCCATCAAGAAGGCATAAAGCCCACGAAGCCCACAAGTTCAACAAGCTCACGTAAGTTCTCGATGTCCAAGATGCCAAAAAGCTCAAAACTGTTCACAGAGCCCACAATCCCATATAAAGTTCACAGTGCCGCCACGCCCTCGATGCCCTGGAAATGCCCACAAGGATACCTCGGTGCCCGCAAGAAAAAAGAGGGGAAACAAAAAAAGAAGATAAAAAAAGAAGAGCGCAGCGGAAATCAGCGATGCCATACAGCATTAGTAGTCGGCAGAGAGTAAGGAGTGCGGAACGCAGACAAAAAGACAGAGCGCGGCGGAGTTCGGGGGTGCCATATGGCTTATGGACAGAGGATATAAAACGTGGAGGACAGAATAGAGGAGAGAAAGGCGAGTATTCATAGGAGGGAAGACGTCAACGTTATTTGCTCTAAGCGGCGCGTCTCACCGGCATCTATACTGAGACATGCTGGTGACGGAATGGGATTGACGTGGGACGCGTCTGTTGGTTGTGTCTGAAGCACGGCGCAACTAATCCCAGGGAAGTTAGTGTTTGCGAGATGTCGTAACTTGGGGAACTGGCTGGGGTCGGGATGTCCCATCGAACTGTGTGGGCTTTAACAGTACTCTACATTGTACCCTATTGCCCTAGCATACATGGGCCAAGACTCAGGGCGAGCCCGAGGGAATGAAGCTCACAGTTGGGCCATACTTAATCCATGTATCTTACTTATGGGAGGACAATGTAGATCAATTCAAGTATAAATTCAATGCAATGTAATGTATCTCCTTTCTATGCAAATATTAAGTATCGAATATGCCACATCTTTCCAAGATATTGAATATCAGAATCAAGCCGCGCAAGTAATGCAAATAAAAATATCGAATGAAGCCTGTAGAAAAGGAACTCAACCTCGGCAAAAACCCGAGACCAAGATCAACTGAAGAAAAATAATTGAAAAGTAAAGAAGAAAGAGCAGAAGTAAATTAAACAACCTGACTTCCCCTCCGACTCCCAGTGTGTGAAGGAGCCTTACTCCCACCCGCCTTAGCAGTCCGCTGCGACGCCCGGCTCGAAACCTGACTCACAGAATCCGCAGGAATAATCGGGATCTCAAACTTCGACTTGGACGAGTGTTTCGAAGCCTTCGAGCCAACCTTGGAATGGCTGGATCGATGCGAGTGCGAATGATGCGATCGGCTTGATCTCGATCCAATCTGGCTAATCGAGTCATCGGGCGTCACGTTCGAGTTCACGTCGAGATCGATAACGCTCTCCGGGAGGGGGACTTCGCGTGCTGAGACATGTGATTTCGGTTGTTGGCTCGGGCTGGCGCTGTAGTAAGTTGCGGTTGAGCCAGCAGGAAGGGGGATATTTCGGGCAGATTTGGAGGAGATGGTGCTTCCTGCTGCGACGGGAGGCTGGCTCTTCTTGCTGGCGCTGGATTTGTTGGAGTGGTGGCTTTGGGAAGAGTGGTAGAGGTGCGATTGGTGGCTGTGGCTGGATATGTAGCTTTCTCTGTCGTCGTGGCTGTGTCGGCGCATGCTCTGCGTTTGCGAGGCTTTGATGGTAGATGATGAATGGACGCTTCCTGGACCGGCCAGGGATTTTGAGCGTGGTTTGTCTGCGGCGTAGCTGCTGATGAAGGTGCTTGGGCTGCAGGGGAAGCGAGAGCTGTTTTGACCCTGCGGGGGGTATTCAATTGCGCGAAGAGGTAAGTCTTCTGGGATGCTGTAGATGCTGCCCTCTGATGTCCGTCGGCCGCTGTCGTCGTAGAATTCGGTGGCTTCGTAGATGGTGCTGGCGCGCGGGTTCTTAGAAGCGACAGTTCGGCTTGCTGTGGACCGGGGGCCGGACGCCGAGGTGTACACACTTCGGGCTGGAGGCGCTTCAATGGCTCGGTATTGCTGGGGCTGGTCTTCATGGTTGGATTGGGAGTAGTGCGAGGGAGCCATGATCTGAGGATATTCTTGCGCGTATTGCGGAGGAGCCTGGCTCTTGGTCTCGGACTCAGTAGACTGCGAGTCGCCCTTGACCATGGCGTACGCGATGGCTGCACCGGCCGCGGCACCGATCAAAGTACCAACAATAGTCTTGGCTGCTTTGCTGCCATCGTCGGGCTTCTGAACAGTCTGCGCCTGCACCGTATATGAAGGCGGTGGTATAGACCTCGTCTGCGACTGGGCTTGGGACCGGTGGGAAACAACGGATGGGGCAGCCTTCTCAATGGCCGTTGGCGCTCTGGAGACGGCTCGAGACTTGGCGTCAGATACCGCAGACGGTGCAATGCTCTCGGCCTTTTTTACCGTGGTGGCTTTACTGCTCTTCGAGACAACCGATCCATTCTCCAACAGGGCTATTGTCGGACCGCCGGCTTCTGATGCGACGACCGAGGCACCGGGACGGTAGACTGCTTCAATGCTATTCCCATCGAAGTCGATGATGGCGGCGCTGAAGTATCCGGACTGTGAATCGCGGGTCTTTGGGCTCGCCATGCATCTTCCCACCGGCCTTCAAGGCACTGATGAAGAAGGCTTGTACGGCATCTTTGGTCGGAGCAGGGAAGGCGACATGTACGGCACTGGTGGAGATTCTGTGTGAAGTATTGTCAGAGAGGTTCGTTTGAAACAAGCTCCCCATCCTTGAGGAGAGTAGTGCATATAGTATGACGTACCCTGGCTTCTGTTCAGTCACCCAGAAATCGGCCGGCTCGCCCTGCTTCTGGCCAAAGCCGATATAATCGTCATGACGGCCAATAAATTGGTATCCCAGAGGCTGGAGACATGACAGGAAGAAGGACGTGGAGGTCGGCAGGTGCGAGACGGTCAGAGTCAAGTGGGAGACAGGCATGTCGGGTGAAGGTGGAGGGAAGTAGGCGAGCCAGTTTGTCGAGCTCGCGCTGGAGGCGGAGGTAGAAGTAGTCGAGAGTGGATGAGAAAGTGAGTAGTAGAGAAGGGAAGATAGAAGAGGCAAGCAGAAAGTTGGTAGCTTAAGAATGAATATGTACGGTGAGGGCCGGACACCCAAGTCTATATAGTCAGGAACTATGACACACCACACCACTCCCAAGCAGGACCAGGACCTGCCAGGAACCAGTGGAAATGCAAGAAAAACGCCGAGCTCCCATAGGCCCTCTATCGGTAGAGCAATGCCCAAATCTACCACGATGGTCATCCGCGCAGCTCGTCCCAAGAAGGAGACGCTGCAGGAGGCCCCTCCTTCGGAACGCGAAAGTGGGACCCTGGCAGATGCGTGGAGGGACCGGCTGCGTCTGCTCTGGCTCTACTCTGCTCCAGATTAGTCTAGCTCCAGAACGGGTCAAGTACCGTGGAATGAGAATCAACCACGATCACTCAGTCTTCTGCCTGATCGGGCGATCTGCACGTCGGAAGGAGATGAAACGTCCGTGACATCGCCGGCGAGGCGAGCAGCCCCGTCGAATCATGTTCCTGGCTCGTTTCGGTGAAGTTGGAGCTTTCTCCCGGTATAGCGCGGTCTCCATTCATCCACCAGCCGAGTGCCAATGGCCAGTGGCTCGACTCGCAGGGGATGCTCCAGACGGAGTAGAGTTAGACAGGATGGTTCTTCTGGGCCCCCAAGGGCCAGCTCATCGCAGGGGCAGCCGGGGCCGCGGGTGGATCTGTGCCAGTGGCGGATGGAGTCGAGTGGACGTGCGTGGGTTGGGTTCTACGCGTCGACAAATTGGAGGCCAACTGGGCGAGGCGGCGGTGGAGCGAAGGGAATGCGGTGGCCGCCAGCCGGTTTACTTGGGCAGATGTGCTGACCGCTAGTACAATACTACGATGTACGTATGATCCTTATTTTAGGATAGTCATGATAGCATTGTCAAAGTGAGTCATGAGTTTACAAATTATGAGAATGACGATGGGCATGATGAGAAGAGCAACAAAGAGGCCGGGCAGAAATGCAGATATTCCTCCCAGCCCAGCCAGTGATTCGTCCGGCTGCGTACTGTACGCTTCCGATTAGCTGCAGACGGCCTGGTTAGTCTCTTGTTAGAGTACGCCGAGTCGTAAGAAGTAGTCCAGCAGGGAAAAGTGAGGCGGCCTTGCCACGTCGAGCCCCGGTTGGATCTGCTCGACTGTAACAATAAGCTATGAGGCGCGAATGGCGCCCTGCCACTTGGATATCAGTCATATACACTGCCCCTACGAGGGTCATTAGTACGGCAGCCCGATTACAAGAAAAAAAAATGCGGAAATATAATTGTATTCAACACATATGTGCCTGATCTCAGGATCCAAGCTGGTTTCCCGATCGTTATGTTCACTTTTCTGGTCTCGCCACAGTCGAAACGGGCTGCGGAAGAGCTCTGGATCAGGACTGGAGGCGAAAAGGAACCAAATGCCATCCAGTCCGAGTGTCTCTCGGAACAGGGGGAAGAGAAACCACTGGTGATGGTCCGCAGCAATTCCCCAATACTAATTCCACGGGCCGATGCCCTCTCCGGGGGGAGGAAAAGAAATAACAAATCAAATCACGGAACTTCTTTCAGTGAAAGGCCCCGTCGCGAGTATCCCGACAATAAAGTCAAATCTTTCGAGCAAAGACGACAGCAAAAAGGAAGAGAAGGAAAAAAAAGACAAAAGGAGAAGGAGTAAATGGGATAAGATGGCTCGCGAACGGGAAAGCAATTCCGCGAAATGAGGTAGATACCCCGGAAATTTTCAAGCAAAGAAGAAAAAAAAGAGACAATGGCCTCGGTCGGTGTTTCCAAAACTCGCAGTCCGTTGGGAGTACAACCGTTGCAAGGAAATTCATGGGTTTTCATGGGCGCAGTCTGGCCGGGCTGCGAACGGCGGGCAACAGGCAGTACAGAGCGATCGCTATTTCCAGCAGAGAAAAAAAGGCGAAGCGCGCGTATATCGCCGTGCAGGGATTTCAGCCCGAAGTCGTTCACAGAATGTCCCACACCTCCTCGGCCGCATGGCAGAACTTGCTGCAGGCAACACTGGCACTCAGACTGTAATTGCTGATACTGATCGTGTCGTCCTTGAAGGAATCGGCAAAGTCGTCATGGCCCTTGGCCATGGCACCCACGAAAATGGCGATGCTCTCCTTGGGGCCCAGCGACTCGATGTAGTCCTTGGTGCGGACGACGGGCGCCTCGAAACTCATGGTCACCTTGCGGCAGTTGGGGGGAAGGTGGTCGGTGATGGGGTTCTTGATGACCTTGAGCAGTTTCTCTTGCGAGTTGGTGGAGCGGATGGACAGGCGGTGCAGCAGTTGGACCATCAGACCGGCAAAACGCTTGAAGGTACGAGGAATGCGGACAGAGGGGTTGACCTCGATGAGAACGCCCTTGGCCGTGTGGATGAAAATCTGGAGGCGACCGGCCTTGTTGACGGGGGAGTCGAGGAGGGTGAGCAGGCACTGGACGGAGTTAGATCCACAAATAGACACATATCGTCGTTATATTGCTGGGAATACCTGGTGAGTGATATCGGGACGAGCCTCGCTGATGTCCCGGTTCATCTTGCGCATGATACCGATGTGCTCGTCACTGTTCAGCAGCGAATACTTCTCGTCCTTCGCACCGGCACGGCCGGCGGAGGCCCGGTAGGTTTCCAGACTGGCATTGGAGAGAATGACAATCAACCGCTGGGTGTCGCGATCGTGCGAGGGGATGGGCACATGCTGCTCTGCAACCAGTTGAGGCAGCTCGGGAGGGGGGCAAGATTGAGTGCCTAGCGGATGATCGCTGTTAGCTTCCTGCGTAATTTCCGGCTTGATTTCTCGCGAGCTGCTCATGACGAAGTGAAGAAGAGCAATTGATCCCGAGGGCGATCTCTGTTCGTCACTATGCCAGGGCGGGTTGCCGGGTTGCACGACGTCCTCGAACTTTTTTTGCGTTGGGCATGCGGAGACCGGGGATCTGCTCGCGATGCTTTGGGCACCCTGGTCGGGCTTAGAGGAGGCAGGGGACGACTCACGCGCACGCTTTCGCTTTCCAGCCACTTGTGCGGTATCCGACATGGTTGGTTGGATTGGAGGGGGAAGTGGTGAGGATTCGAAGAGATTTTTGAGCTGACGCCGGGTCGGCGGTTCCGCGGGCGGGACCAACAAATTCGATACACTTTATTTTAGCACAACACCATCACAGCAACAATCACACTGAGTGTTCAATTTCTGGCAGAAATCTTTGGCTATGGCTGACACCACTCGGGACGGCTGGCCTTAAATACTGCTACGATTCTACGCTAAACCCTCCGGTCGGGGACTTTCTCTCGCTCTGCAGCGGACCGACTTCGGTGGGGATCCCCTCATCTGCGCTGCAACTCGGGGTCCGGCCGCTGCGTACTGCACACTACTGCACTGAGAACGCAATGTTGAGGGCAATGTCAGCATCGTGAAGATGAAGATATCATCGATGAAGATAGTGTAGACAGAAAGACTCTCCCGCCGGGGTCCTTCACCCTGGCGAGCCCAGCCACGTCTGACCAGGAATCTCCGACCCCCCGCACCCAGTACGCTCCCGGGCTGGCCAAGCGAGGCCAATGATGCTGGTGTGTAACACATGCCTGCAGAGGGTCAAACCGGAGCGTGCCAGAACTGGAAAGTCAATAAGAATTGCTTGTTCTCGATGAGCCGAGAACAACCCGTCTAAGTAGTCATGTATTAGTAGGTTGCGTTTGTTGAAGTCTGTCAGATGCAACGGACGGCTGAGGTGATACGAGTCAGCCTCGTTTTCACGCCTTGCCTCTCTTGAGCAAAGCTGATCGTGATCTGCTTGCAACATGCAGCCGGTGCCTGTCAAGCTCGAGGGGCGATCCGGGCCCCGCTGTCATCCAACGACCAGGGTTGCAGACATGGCAGAGGCAGCATGATATTGAGTTTTGAGGCCCACGAGCTCCTCATCCAACGTTCATGATTACTGGCTGACACTCGAAACTCGCCACGCCCGAGTCGCCCCTCGTACTCTGAACTCTACTGTCGGTCGTGCAAGCATCGGCCTGCACCCAGAAATCCGGGGCCAGACCAGGATGCGCCAATGAGGGCCGCCGAAACGGACAACGGGCATCGATGAGGGCCAGCCTGTAGCACCGAAGCCAATCATGCTGGCAGATCTGCGATGTTTATGTTGGCGATTATCCAATCAGCACAGCAGGGAGCGTTGTGCCCCGGTCGAAGCTCCGGTTTCTCCCCGTGGAAATAATAACTGGGCCCCGGTAGGCGCCGTACGTCAACCCTGTTGCTTGGCCGCAAGCCGCAACGAATGCACTGCCTGTTGCAAGGCAGAAGCATCTAGAGCGAAAGAGAGAGCGGTCTGGCTGTATATCCCTAGCAGCGTGCACGATGCAAGAGTCAGAGTCAGAGTCAGAGTCAAGAGCCATCCGGGGATCCAGTCAGATCGTGGGATTGGAGGCTGTCAAAGGCTGTCAAAGGAACTGTAAGGGCTGGACCCGTAGAAAGCACTAGCACGAGGATTGTGCTTGTGTGCTCGTGTGTGCTGTTTGGGCGAAATCCTCTTTAATCTCCCACTGCGACCTTGTACACGGCAGCTTAACGTGCTGTGAGGCTGCGATTGGACATCACTGGGCGATGTTTCCATCCATCGTCTGAATCACAGGTTTGAGTGGTCGAGCGTAGAAAGGGGCGGAGGGAGCCCAATGTGCCCGTCCCACCGGGCATGCCAGGCAGACATTCAGGAATGAGTCGAAAGGACGTGGGACGAGGAAGAACATAAAAAAGATCCATCGAGCTCCCCGACCAAACAACGTGCTGTGTTAGCAAATCCCGGCAAGCTTCCCTGTTCATCGTAATCGGGGTGGCGATTCTGGCGCTGAATACTTTATTAAACCAACGCCGAATTGCACCACAGCTTGCCCACCCCACCAACCCCCCTTCTTCTGTTGATCAGCGCGATTTTGCCTGAGGAAGTTCCAAATTCCGTCGCATCCCCGCCACCGTCTGGAGTCTGCCCACCTCCTCCACAACTTTGTGTCCGGTAAGGGATAACAAGGTGAGTGTCAAAAGACGTTCCAGCGAACAATATGACCTAATCCAGTTAGCGCCACGCGTGCGGTGGAACCAGACGATCCGCCTAGTTAAACTGCAAAACCACCCCCCCCCCCGTGTCGGAAAACAAACAGCTTCTTCTCCCCCACAGACCACCAGGGAGATGCCGTGGACAGTCACCAATTCATTTAAGCGGTAAGTGGCGCGTCCCCGTCGCGCACGTACGGTAGGGCCCTCATGCTAATTTGCGCCGTGCCTACTACAGAGGCCTGATGAAAACATACGGAAGACCGACGTGGCGCGTCTATGACGATGAACGGGCCGCAAAAAAAGACGCGTGCAAGACGAGACGGATGAGGCGGAAACAAACCTACAATACGCGATCCGCGAGTCGTCTGCCGCTGTCCTCTCGAGTCCGTCGCGACGCAATTCGGTCGTGCTATCAGAAGGCACCCTCGACGACATCGACGATCTCACCACGCCGCCCTCGTCCCCGCCACCACGATTAACGCCGCCGCCAGCCAACGCGCGCAAGCCTACGTTCGCGTTTCTCAAGCGCAAGCATAATAAAGATGTCCCCGCCGGATCGCCGCTGACCGAGGTCAACTCCAACAGTGTGCGCTCCTCCGTCGACGAGCCCAAGCATAATACCAAGGCGGCCGCGCAGCAGAAGCAGCCCGCCTTGCGCCAGATGCAGATTGACCTGGGAAATGAGGTGCGCAAGACCTGTGCGACGTGCGGGATGGAGTACATCCCATCCAACACGGAGGATGCGGCGCTGCACAAAAGTTCCACGAGATGAATTCGACCGGGGTGGACCTGGGCAAGGCCTTCATGCGTGCTAATGCGTCACGATGGGTCTACGAGGCCACCCGTTTCGACGAAGGGTATGTCGTGATCGTCGACCGCAAGTCCTCAGCCAGCGCCAAGAATCAGGCGAAAAAGGTGCTCGAGGTCGTGAATAAGGAGCTGTCATCGCCCGACATCGACGACGAAGTGCTCTGGTCGCAGGCAGAACCGCCGAAACATATCAAGGACGAGGAAGATAAAGTGGACCGGTATCGCGTGTTCCTCCACATGAAGGATAGCCGGTGCGTGGGGCTCGCTCTCACAGAGCGCATCTGGGAGGCGCGACCGGTCGTACAGGGCGAAACCAACGGCGCCCCCAGGGATTCGGCAGTATCGGTGCGTGACGAGGTACATCCGGCGATTGTGGGCGTCTCGCGCATCTGGACCTCAGGCGCGTCGCGCAGGAAAGGCATCGCACTGGACCTGCTGGACTGTGTGGTCAGCAATTATATTTATGGAATGGAAATCTCTAAGGATGAGATTGCCTTCAGCCAGCCAACCGAGAGTGGAAAGCGGTTGGCTCATAAGTTTTTCGAGGAGGAAGAGACATGGCATGTGTATAACGAGAGGTGATGAGATGAAACTAAATTGGGCGAGTACCTGAGGGTACCCTAGGGAGGCATTCGTGGATTTTTCGCAGCACCGCATTTTGACGTTGCTTGTTTTTTTACTTCGACCGTGATCCATTTGTTGATTGTTGATCGTTTATGGGAATATGGGGGGTTTTTCTGGGGGACTTGGGACTTTATTTTTTTTATCTGTGGAGGGCTGTTTGATTCTTCACATCCATTTGTACCATATATATGCCCTCGGGCCTTCTACGCTGGACAACACAGTCGTTTCCGAACCTGGACTCTTTCATCCGAACCAAATCTCGTAGTTTCAAATTCATTTTTATTTTACTTTTTCTTTCGTCCCATGTGGCATCGCAGGAAGAGCATTACTATAGAATCCGCTAGAACCACTTTCATGGGGCCTAATTGAAGTTGCGACTGTTGCAACTGCAGCCTGTCGGGGCCGCCGGACGCCATCGATCGGAGGGCGGCGCAGGGAAAGTTGGATAAGAAGCGCGGCGGGGTTCCCCTCAAAGTTGCTCCTCCGTCCTTTCCATCCTCCGGCTGAGCTCGCTATCCTCGCCGAGATGTCTGCTTTCAATCCCTTCCGTTCCCGGAACGTTGATGGTAAGCTCTTCCCTCTCCTCTTCCCCAGCTGTCTCTCGCCCGTGTGAACCCGCTGCTTCCGATAAGACGCGGTCCCAACATCCGGGCCATCGAGGCCTCTCCCCGCAACATTGTGCTGATGAGATCATACGAAACAGGTGGTTCTACACAGGGAAATGCTGCCATGACCCAGCCTCCCATAAATCTACCGCCAGATCTCTTTACAAAGCCCGTTCACCCGCTACCCTCACAGCTACCCTCGCAACTGCCCAACGACTACCCCAGAAAATCCGCTCTATCGCTCGAGATCGAGGACAACGAGTCGAGCTCCGACGACCAGGCTGCCGACCCGTTCAATCCTGATTCCTCGGTCAGCGACAATGATGAAGATAATGATGAGAGTGAGAGCGATCGGGGACATCCTAGGAGCTTCGCTTCTCGAGACGATCATCCGCGAGGCAACTTCGGGTCCGCTCCACACCCAGCTCCATCCGACGATGGATCGACTACAACGGCCACTTCCTTCTCCAAGACGTCTGCTACAAATGTGCCAGTGACAGAAAAGGGTAGCCCGGATACAGCTAGAGAATTCCCATCCTCGTCGGGTCGATCGACAGGACACAAGTCCTCGGAAAATGACGACAGCAGGAATCCGGCGAATCGTGCCAACAGAGAAAAGAAGCCACCACCTCCACCACGGAGCCACCATGGCAAGCGGATTAAACCACCAGCTTCATCTTCTCAAAGCCAATCGTCACGATCAACCAAACGTTCTTCTTTTCACGCGTCTTCGCCGGAGAGCGTGACCTCCGTACAACCATCTGGCACGCGCAATGCCAATGTCACCGCATCTCACGCTCCAGCGTCTGACTACGTCCTGTCACTGGCGGAGAGTCAGCAAGCAATGAGCTCTACCGATTCTCTTCAGCGCAGCTCGTCGCAGAACAAGCAACCTCCAACGCCGCCCCTCAGTCGACGCCACAGCCAAATGCGGCGGTCCAAGTCTACCCAGTCCAAGTCGAGCGGTAGTCGATTGACCATGTCGTCGCACGATTCCGAAAGCAACGATAGTTCGCAACCGCCCAGTCCAGGCTCTTTGACTCGGTTCCCTGCAGCGGCGAACAAGCGCGTCAGCATGCCACCACCATCCTCTGGGGAGATTCGAGCCCCTGTCCCTGCGACGGGGACATCAACCGATGCACCTATGCCACCCAGCAGTTCCCGGCCAACACCCCCACCACCGGGACGACGTGCATCATCTCACGGCAGTCCAGCAACTGGGTCTTCATCTGGGGCTCCGCCGCCACCACCCCCTCGTCGAGCACGGGACTCGACCATACGTAGCAGTGACAGCGGGGAATCCCAGATGAACCGAGTAGAGGCTCCGTTGCCTAAGCCCTCCAACGCGCACGACATCTTAGCGGATCTTTCACGGTTACAGAAAGAGGTGGATGACCTGCGTGGGCATTATGAGAACCGGAAAGTGAGCCAGTAGCGAGTGGTTGCAGTTTACCTACCATGCATGTTATAGGGATCCAGCAGGCTGTATCCTCTTTGTAGCGAAATGACTTGTACGAATGAATGTATGTTGCCAATATCGTCTTTGTTTAAGGTACCTTAGCGGCGGTAATAAGATTACTAGTATAGTAGTTGATACATCGTGATTATGCTTATATTATACCGTCAGTTAGAGGTGTCTTCCTAGTCAAGACTAGCAATCGGGGTCGTCCCGTGGTCCTCAAGGTACTTTGTGGTGTCTCGGCTGCGATTGGCCGATCCCCGTGGACAGCATGACGTCGCGAGACAATGAAATTATTTAATCGCCAGCGATGCGCGGGTCGACTTCCCCCGCATTCCACCTCTCTCTCCAGAATTCACGGCCAAGAAAAGACATACTCTCTGAATCAAACAGTTGATCCAACAGCACCGACCATCGCGGTCCCCTTGAAACTGACCTTCCAATTCTCTCCCACCCCCCACCCCCCACCATCCGCCATGACTACCCCGACGCTGATCAACCTACCACCTCCGCCCTCAGACCCGGTGACTCCATCAGATATGGGCCCGTAAGCTCTCCCTCCCGTCTCCCCCTCCCTGAATTTCATTTTGTGAAGAACATGAGGTTGGGCTGACACTGGTGGTGGGTGGTTTGGCAGGGGTACTCCCAATTCCGGACTATCAGCCCTTTCGACCACAGCTATCAAAGATGGACACCAAGGCCATCCATTTCCTCACGACCGACATGCCCACCAGTCTTCGTCCGCTTCAACCTCCTCAACAACGACACTAGAAGCCGAGCGCGCCGACCGCATCTCTCGCCTCGCGGGCTTGGAACGGGTCGCAACCGCTCGCGCCGGCGGCCATTCCACCGCAAATGCAGCCGTTCCTCCCTCGCACACTCCGGGCTACTTCGATAGCCCGGCTACGCTGAAAGAGCGCAGTACGGTCGGCAGCGCCAGTGCCACGGGCAGTATTGGCGGACACACCACTTGGGCGAGCGGTAGCGATGCCTTTGACGCTGATAAGATGAGCGAAGACCCGGATCACGACGATGCAATCTCAAACGTAAGCACGAGTAACATCAGCGATGAGGGAAATGCCAGTCTCGTGGGCTTCGGTGAGGGCGCCAATAGTACTATCAGTGGACCGACCTCTCGGCCTCCGGGCTTGAACCGCTTGTCTTCGGGTGGCCCCAACCGGCCTACTTCCATGAGCTCGAACGTCAGTCGCACGAACCCGCTGGCTTCGTACCTGCAGCAACAACAGCAGCACATCGGCGATAGTCCAATGATGTCGCCTTCTCCGGCTGGATCGAATACTCCCGAACCTATGCCTGAGGATGCGCGTATGGTTGATGGGATGACCTTTGATTCGAATGTGGTTGATACTACGGTCCGTACGCCTCGTCTGGCCTCTCCTTCAAATCACAGTGGCAGTGGCTCTGAAACTCCGAGTCGTGAATAGAATTCACATCGGTTGAGGGCAATGCTGGTAGAATAAGAGGGATTGAATGGCGTTTATTCTTGTACGGTACTTGTGGGATTCTCGTGCTTCTCTGCCCTCATCTGGGTCTTGCTTGGTCTTGCGTTGGTGGATGATTGATTTGTATGTATTTCTAGTCGAACTTGAGGATATGAGTGAGAGCAGAAGCAGGGAGACTGACGAGATCCGAGGCCTAGCACCAACTGTTGGGAACGCTGGAGGATATGGCTGATGTTTATGGGATATGGCCTTCTCATTTTCTGATTTGCAGCGCAATTTTGCAAACAATGTGGATTAATAGTCTGACATATGTATTAAAAATTTACATATGTAAAATGTATGTTGGCGATACGTGACCCTTGTAGAAAACATGTCTCGTGCCATTTGTCTCGTGCCATTCTGGCTGGCCAGAATATCAGGCTACAATCCATTTAAATTTGCACACAATATGCCTACTCCGGCAGGCAGTCACAATAATCATCACACAGTTTATTTGCATACCTATGCAGCAATAGTAGTCTAGTTGTAGATCAAGCTGATCGTGGCTAGGCCTTCGGCCCATGCCGCAGATCCAGATGACGGCATGCCGCCTCCGAACTGAAGCGCTGCGCAACACCCGAATTTTCTCTTTCACTTCTTCATCCTCCCCACCCTCCCACCTCAAAACACCCTCCACACCGCACCCTCTTCAACACCGCCCTCTTCTGCTGGCATTGACTTGTCTAGCACAGAAGATCGAAAACTCCAAGCACTCCTGTTTCTAGCAACATCGTGCTTCAATTGAGTTTCGTTCGCCCGCTCTCAAGAGACTCCTACCGGCAAAAGACCGATTCGTCTGCCACGTCGCTGAACACTTTCGAATTTCCCCAAGCCACCATTCAATTTCTCCGAGGCTTCTCGTCGTTGTCTCGTCTTCCTTCTCGCATACGTGCGACTCTCGACCTCCCAAGTCCGTTATCCCACTTCGCTGAATTGCGATCAACGACTTCGTTTCGGTCGCATTGTGTATTTCGCTACTCTGGTACATCGTTTGAACCAGTGTTTTGGAATCCGGGATACCTGCTCACGTTTCGCACGTATTTATCGACATTCTTTTCGTGGCTTTAGCTCCCGCAATTTGAATTTTGTTCAATATGGCAGCTCCGACACAGCTTGCATGTGGGTTCCACCTCCCCTCTCCCCCTCCACACGTGTCCACCCAGCGCGGTGTTGTTCACGAGAGCACCGATGCCTTTGTTGAACATTGACTGACATGATTTGCAGACCGCACCCTCAAAGGGATTGGCATCATGGATGCCGCCCCTGTTTACGAGCCTCTGCCGGGCTTTGAGAGACCCGAGGGTAACCTCCGCTGCAGCGCCTACTCTCCGTGTGGCCGTTACTATGCATGGGCATCTCCCGAAAGGTATGACTGCCCTCTCTTCATCTCACATAGAAAAATGCTGACTTGAATGCTCTTAATAGGGTCACCATCATCGACGCCTCCAAGGGTCAAACTATCTCGACCATCCCCGCCGAGAACGTGTTCGAGCTGGGCTTCTCCCCGCTCGGTACCTACGTGATTACCTGGCAACGGCCGAGCAAGGATGAGAATGGCGATGCTACGAAGAACCTCAAGGTGTGGCGCGCAATTGAGAGTGGAGATAAGCATTCGGTTGTGGGCAACTTCGTCCAGAAGTCGCAGACGGGGTGGAACTTGCAGTACACCGCCGATGAGAAGCTGTGTGCCCGCGTCGTGACCAACGAGGTTCAATTCTACCAGAGCGATAACCTCTCGAACCCGTGGAACAAACTGCGTGTGGAGGGGGTAGCGGATTTCGCGCTCTCGCCAGGACAGACCCATTCGATTGCGGTGTTTATTCCCGAGCGTAAGGGCCAACCTGCCCAGGTCAAGGTGTTTATTGTGCCGCAGTTCAACGCCCCGGTCTCGCAGAAGAGCTTCTTCAAGGGTGATAAAGTCCAGCTGAAGTGGAACTCTTCCGGAACTACTCTTATTGTGCTTGCGCAGACCGAAGTGGACCGCACCGGCAAGAGTTATTACGGCGAGACGACTCTGTACCTGCTCTCTGCCAGCGGTGGATTCGACTCGCGCATTGACCTTGACAAGGAAGGCCCCATTCACGATGTTAGCTGGAACCCCAACTCGAAAGAGTTCGGTGTTGTCTACGGCTACATGCCCGCGAAGACCACCATCTTCAACATGCGCGGTGTTCCCACTCACAACTTCCCTCTGGCCCCGCGCAACACCATTCAATTTTCGCCCCATGGCCGCTTCGTCCTGGTTGCCGGTTTCGGTAACCTGGCTGGCCAGATGGATCTCTACGACATGGATAAGAACTTCCACAAGATCTCCACTGTCGAGGCCTCCAACGCCAGTGTTTGCGCCTGGTCTCCCGACGGACAGTACATCCTGACCGCCACTACTAGCCCTCGTCTGCGTGTCGATAACGGCGTGCGCATCTGGCACGTCAGTGGTAGTCTGATGTACAATGAAGACATGACCGAGCTGTACGATGTAACCTGGCGCCCCCAGAGCATTGCTCAGCACCCTCTCGGCGACCCTTTCACCAAGCTCCCCGTCGCCCATCCCTCTGCTACCGCCTACCTCAGCACCCGCAAAGCCCCCGTCAAGCCCGCCGGAGCCTACCGTCCCCCCGGTGCCCGCGGCCAATTGACTCCTCTCGCCTTCAAGCGTGAGGACCAAGGCGGAGCCGCCTACGTCCGTGACGGTGCACCCGGTGCTGGCATCACCAACGGCTTCGGCAAGTCCCGTCGTCGTGAGATCCCCGGCGCCGAGCCCGCGGAGGAATACCTTCCTCCCGGTGCCGCTCCCGGCGGCGGCGTCGCCCTTCCCCCTGGCGCTGACAACTCCGAGAAGCTCTCCAAGTCTGCTGCCAAGAACAAGAAGAAGCGCGAGGCAGCCAAGAAGGCCCGGGACGACGAGACTGCTGCTCCTGCTAACGCCCCCACCGGCCCTGCCCAGGACCGTAACCGCTCCCGCGGTAAGAACGGTGCTGTTAATGGAAACGGTGCTGCGAAGTCCTCTTCACCTACCCCTACCCCTACCCCTGCCCCTGCCCCTGCCCCTGCCGCGGCTGCGGCTGCGGACCCTTCAGCCCAGGATAAGAAGATTCGTGGACTTCTGAAGAAGATCCGCGCTATTGATGAGCTGAAGATGCGTCTTGCTGGTGGAGAGAAGTTGGAGGATACCCAGATGAAGAAGATTCAGACGGAGGATGCGGTTCGGAAGGAGTTGGAGGCCGTTGGCTATAACGGCTAAGCGTGGAGTAGCTTGTCATGTGTGAGGTGAACGTGGCCATGGATTAGTTGTCAATAAGATGAGAACATATGATATTGTGCACTGTCAATATTGTATTGCACCGTTCACATACCCTCGCCAATTCAACTTAATCCAACTGCCCAGTATTCTTTTATCATATCGTATTCCGGTCTGCATTGTATCAATATCCATGTGTAACCTGACCATCTCTAAATCATATTCACATCTATGGTAGCTGCAAAAGCATGGTTCAAACACGAACAGCAATCTTAAAATCCATTTGTAAAATCTCCCTCACGAACTACCCCCTCTTCCTCTCAAGATTAGCCTCCCACCACTAAACACTGGGAACATCCACATGCCAAGGCCTCTTCGCAAAGATATAATGCACAACCCTCGCCTCCTCATCCCGCCAAATCGCCCCATGCACATCGTCCCACCGAATCGTCTTCAACGCATTATACACGTATGGCAACGGCACCCACCGATCAACGAAGACGTCTGATAGGAGTTCTTGGTCTGGGAAGCCGTAAGCGGAGATTCGCTCGGCGTCCGCTAGTGCGCTGTTGATTTCGGTGTAGGTGCTTTTGGAGGGGTTGATTACTAGTATACCGCTGTTTAGCACGCCCACGCCTGCATTGCTGGGTGCGCCATGCCCGCGATCTACCATGGCTGCCTGGTATCTACAAATCATCAGCACCGCAGAAATATCCATTGTGGCATATAACATACTTTTAACGATACAAGATTATATCTATATTCTCAAGTGGAACGTTTTATTGTTAAAATCAAAATACATTTTGATGGAGGAGTAGGTATTAGACAAATAGATGACCACGATCAACATGCTCTTTTGGTATACATCCTTTTAGCTTATGAGACCACGTAGAATAGTAAACCTACGTAAGCAGAAGGTATCTAGAAATTCCCTATATGGTCTACAGCTCCATAATATATGATCTACAAAATGTCCCATCTAGCCAGTATCACGCACACATCCGACCCAAGCTGAATCCCTCGCTATCCACCACAGCAGCCGATGTAGGCTTCGTCCGGAGACAGATCAGTCACTGTAATGAACAAACAAGAGAACCAGAACTCCCAGATCAAATGCGGGCGACGCAGCACATCATTACTGAAATGCCGAGGATGGACTACGAGTAGTCCGTGGCGAGTGGTAAGCATATAGTGATGGTTATCAATATATCGCAACGTATACAGGGCTCATCTGCTTCCGAAGAAGAGATGTTCAGACATGGACTTTGTCTTGCGCCCCACCTTATTGTGCGAATGGGCGATGTACCCCGTTTTGCAAAGGATGCCTAAGTAGAAGAAAGACAGAAAATCCAAGGACAGGGAAATTGTTAGTAGTTGATAAGTAATACAAAAGACATCATTAAAAAGTATCATCCATATCAGATCAAGCAAAGATTCGAGCTCGCTTCACAGGACTACCCATGCGGAGAGATCCAGTGCCACTCGCCATACCGTTCAACAGTCGGCCCATTCCCTCCACGTCGAGCTCGCCCCGGCGCAGCATCATCTGGTCAGATTCCGCCACGGCTTCGGGCTTGATGGCTTGGGCGGCGGCGGTCTCGTCCGACTCGACTAGTCGAGGGGCAAGGATCATGATTTGGTGCTCGGCAGCAACGAGAACGTCAAAGGTTTGACGCTCGGCGGCGCGCGAAAGACGGGCTGGTGCGGGAAGGTGGCTGATGGCCTGGAAGTTCTCGCCCATCAGATTGACATCTTGGAATGGAGTCACCCGGCATCGGTTCGATGAGTCAAATGTGCCGCTTGCTCGGACAGCATTGCGCCAGAGAGAAATCAGACTGGGGATGGCAGCGCTGTGGCTGCCATGGCGCAGGAGAATTGACTCATCAGGCAGGCCTTCCTGCGAGGAGGTTATTTGGCAGACAGAGATTTGTCCACGGAGAGACGGGCTCGCCGCAGTCATCGCGCCCTTAAGTAGTGTGTCTTCCCGGACTCGCTTCGTGGACGGGGTCATAGGAGCGAAACGAGGTCGCTGCTCCGCTTCAGACTGAGTGTTGGATGGCGGTGCCACGATGCGCCCGCTGACAGCATAGGTGGTGATTGAGCCTCCAGTCACACCCTGTACACTGGACTGACGGTGCAAGGGACCCTTGGTGGTACCCGGGCCAGCGCCTTCAATATCCCATACGCCCCATTCGCCGTCGGCAAGAAGAACCATAATAGCCCGGCCACCCAGTACCCAGTTCGCATCAATGATGGTCTTTCGGCGAGGAATTCCGGTTGACCCTTGTTCGAAACCAGGGTAGAGACTGATGAGCCATCGGCCTTCGGTATCAATGCTTTCGTAGTCCTCCTGTGCGCTCGACGAGCGGCGACCCGATTTTGGAGGCTTTTGTTGCGCCGAGAAGCAAGAGTAAATCTTGACAAAGCCACTGTGGAACGCGACCAAAAGATTGGAGTGACGAACGGAGGGGTATGTGGATGGATTGAAAGCAATGTTCTGGGCTGGGGACGGCAAGGCACGTCGCTGCGAAACAAGATCTTCCTCCAGCAAACGATATGAGAGCTCCTTGTGAGACGAGTCTTCCCGAATTGGAATGCGGTGCAGAAGCAGCACACCAGATCCCTCTGCAGAGTGTGTGGCCACCAAAAGATCCCATTTTCCTGAGGCTGTTGTCCGGCTCCGCAACTTGTGTCGGTCGTGCTCCTCCTCAATACCTTGGCAAGTAAACGTCAGAGATACTCCCCTCGGGATATCCTGGTGGGCGACTCCTCCATTGACTGTGAATGACTGGATCTTCCAGCTTTGAGGGTCGGTTTGTTTCGGGTGAGGTGGAGTCAGTGGTAGCGTCACAACCCGTGTCGAGAGGTCGGAGCAGACAGCTGCGACAACAATAGTGTTCTTCACAATGGGCGGAAATGGATCTAGGGGCGAGCGTGCCTCCTCGGGTTGGACCTTGGGAACTGCCACGTCCAGCACACGGCTGCCCAAGGGGATATCAATTTGACGCAAGACGGCTTCAAAAGGGAAGGCAGGGTCGACTTCGGACTCTTCGGGGCTGAATCCATAGGTAGCTTCAGTCTGCGATGCAGTGGGTTCAGGCGCGGCCTCCTCGTCGGAGTCAATAATCATCACGGAGTCATCTCCGTTCTTGCTAGCGCCTTTATCTTGTGCTGAAGGCTGATATTGTTTCAAGTCCGTAAACTGCCTTCCACCTCTCCAGATAACCTTCAATCCAGTCTCATATCCGTAGACGATGATCGATGACCCATTGGGAGCTCGGATGGGGTAGGCTTGCGCGGCGTGGATGCGATGGGGAAGTCGATAGCTACACACAAAAGAAAAAGTGATCGCATTAGTCAAATTCTGTCGCTGGCACCATTCTCGTGATCACAAGTCAGTTCACACCTCAACTGTAGGCCATCTTCTCTGGCTCGGACCAGTGGTGTCGTTGGGAAGGACGGCATTGCGCCGGTGGCAATGCTGGGAGGTTGCTGGAGCTTAAGTGCACAGGTGCCCTGGCACCGCAGGGATGATGAACGAGTTCAATCTCAGTAGCTGAAGAAGTCGCGTGATTTCCAGGCTTAAAATCACGAGCTAGAGCTTCGAGAGATGCGCGGGCAGAAAGTGGGTGTGGTGGGGGAGAGATGTTTTGGTAGGCGGGAAGAGAAGTGAGAGAGGCTTGGGAAGTCGGGAAGGTCAATCCAGTCCCGCCGCGTTCCTGCGCGTCTCCAACTCCGACAAGTCAACAATCGACTTTCGACTCGGCCCTCGCCATGCAACCCTGAGAAAGCCCGCTCGATTGAATATCTGCGCTGGATTGACCATGGAAAAATCCCCGTCAGCTACTCGAGTCGTCAAGAGATTCTTTGTGGCGGCGCACTGCGATCACTGCCTGAACTGCTAATCAACCCAAACCGCCATGGCATCCACTCGCTCACTCGGCCTCCACGAGCCTTCGGGCGTCTCCTGGCTGGTCACCGAAGGCATCCTATCTCCGAACCCCTCTGAGAACGAATACAAATGGACGACATCTGTGGACGAGACCGCTTCGACTGGGCCGGTGGACGACGAACTCGTGTGGACGTCGCATTGCGTGGTCTGGTCTCGCGCAGGGATGGTCAAGAGGCTTTTTCGCCTGGACCCGGAAAAAGAAGACATTCGACATGCTTTGTTCACTCAATTCGTAGAGGGACATGTCAAGCCGAGCGGCTCGGCCCATGGAGGGCCGGGCAATACTTGGAGCCGGCTGGCTTCCAAAGACCCAAATATGCGGGGAAAGCAAGGCAAGCAAGACCAATTACAAGATATTGAATATGGAAGCTAACTGGGGGTCGACTTTAGACCTGAAGGGAGACCAACCAGTGGCCGTTGTGGATCGCCGCCCTGTTAATGAGAAAGTATCACGAGCTCTGGTGGTCGTGCTCAAGTCCCAGGCCCATATCTTCTTTGTTACAGGTACAAGTCACACAATCCCTCTGCCATTTGAGGTTCACTCTGTATTCGCTACCCCTCAAGGCCTATTGTTCCAGAGGAAGATGCCCGACGAAGATCCAGGCCGCCAACCTCCAACTGCTCCTCCAAACTCTTTCCTATCTTCCTCGCTATTCGATCCTCGGGCTTCGCAATCGCAAGATTTTACACCATTGTCCAGCAAGGGCAAACGCCGATCGTCAAGATTCTCTACTTTTCAACGCTCCTCGTGGATTCCCAAGTCCACTTCAAGTAACGATCTTCCTCGAGTGTTCTCCCTCATTGACCCTCACTCGGAAATGGGACTAGTCGTAACATCGCAAAAGAAACAGTGGAAGAAAAGCAGCGTTACCAGCACTAAACCAAAGCCTTCTGGCTTGGATTTGCTTGATACTGCCGATGAGATAATATACATCTCCCCGAAAGACGAGCTTGCGGGTTCTGGCCCAGTATCCATTGGACTGCCCTTGATACTGGTCGTTACTAAAAACACGACAACCGGGCTTCATACAATTTGGACAGCACGATATCGCGACGATGATCCCAATGGTTCGCTGAAAGAGAAAGCTCGTCGACATACAGAAGGCACTCAGTCCAAACGACGGAGTTCGTACTATGGCATGACCACCGGCACAACGACTCCAGCTGCACGTCCCTCGGCTCGGGAGAGCTTTGGGCCATGGACGGAGAACCGCAATGCATCTCAACCTATCGATGAGAAGAATGATCCCGAAGACGATCTTGTTTCAAGGGTCGCGCAAGATTTCGGAGACGTTGGCGTGCCGTTGAAAACATCAAGACGGGTTAGCTCATTGCTTGCTCGAACTGACTTGGCGACAGGCCAGGACCGTCTCACGTTCTCGGACCTGGCCACTGGCAGTCAGTCCAGTACTGCGCATCCTAGTGGGCTGAGACAGTCAATAGGAGCAGCCAGTGGTCGTGGTAGTTTTGGCTTCAATCCTCGTGCCTCCTTACCTCCCACCTCCGGGTCTGTCTATAGCACTGCAGGCAGCTTTGTGGATGCCCCGGTGGATAGGCTCCTTGAGGAACTCAACAACGACGTTCTGAGTGAAGGATTTGAGAACATTGCCCTCCGAGAGTCCACATCTGGTCTTCCAGAAGAGCTACTTCTCACCAGAGTGGAGAGTTTTTCGACGAAATTTTCCGGTAACTTCCGTGCATCTGGTTCGCAGTCACAATCCCACCACCTGAAGGTCTGCACATTGGCCTCTTCAGACTATAGCAGCACGCAAAAGAGCAATACAGTCTCAGTGGCAGTCTGCGTCTTGGACAACGATTCACAGAATTTAGCCATTGTCAACTTGAGAGCAGAGAGAGTGGCAGCAGCGAAAGGTGGAAAGGCTAAAAAAGCCAAGGGCCTGGAGAAGCGTCCATTGCTGGTTCATGCAACTGGCGTTCAGCATGCCCCAAATATTCTAGACGCTTGCAGAATCACTGACTGTGATATTTCACGTATTCTCACATTGTCTATGTCAGATAATGGAAAGCGCGAGTTGTCTCTGCAAACACCCTGGGGGAGCCCAACCAAGATCGAGATCCCGGTCCCTCTGCAGCTCTATGAGCCACATGGGATCTCCGCTAGCGAACTCGTCAGCCGCCCAAGAGAAAGCGGCCTCAATCGGGTCATGGCTGATCCAAATCTTGTTTTCGAGGCGTTTGACCATGTCTGCTCCAATGGTAAAGTCGATTTGGTGGATACGGAACAGCAACGACACAGACTTCAAATTCGCATGGAACCCCGCAACGACCTTGTGAGGAGAGCTCTCAGGGTCTGCAAATTTGTGCTTCGTGATTCAGAGAAAGCGGGTGATGGCCTGCTGGTAGCTTGGTGGGAGGTCATGAAATGGTTTCGAGGCAGAGAAGACATTGAAAATGATCGCGAATTTACTGCTCTAGTCATTGTCCTCTTCTCCTTAGCAGTCCCCTTCATCAAGAAGCCTGCGCCTCAGACTCCGGCCAAACGAACACGCCGAAAGAAAGGCCTTCTGAGGTCAAGTAGCGGCGGCTACGTGGATCTCGAGAGCTGGGAGAATATGCTGGATCTAGAGTCTGGTGCCTCTGGAGTTACAGCACCTTGGATGGCAGGCAGTGCCTGGGGCTGGATCGTTGAACAGGATGCAATTGAGGATCTTGCTACGCGAGACGCAGTGCGAACTCCGAAAAATGATCAACCTAACGCGGCTCGTTCCACTTACCGTCACAATACCTACCTGACGCGATGCATCACGCTGTGTCGTGAATACGTTCAGAGCCCTCAGGGTATCAGAGCCTGCGGGTCGGAAGGATACTTGCCCATCTCTGGAGCATTCTCCGAGAACACAAGATGCACGGCTTTGGGTTCCATACTCGTCGGTCTACACCTTTTCAGGGAGGAGCAGAAGTTGTCCACCGGCGACGCTGAAGAATCGCAGCATCCTCTGGGCCTTCTTGCCCCGGTTATCGCCCAGCTTGGTACCTGGCTCGGCTGGCAGTCATGGAGTTGGAACGAAGATGCTTACTATGGCACTGAGATGGCCAGCATGGAGCGTTGGCAGTTTGAAGAAAATCATATCTCGCTGCTGAATGTTCCTGCGGAGCCATTCCCTCCTCCATCAATCTTTTCGTTCGTCATGGGCGCTGTGCGCCAAGGATCTTCGCCTTTTATTACTCTCCTTGATATCGTCAGCGCCTCGGACCGAATCCCCAGGAAGGGACAAATGTGGCAAGAATGCTTCAACATTACCCCGAGGACTCTAGCTCTGAATGGCTTTTTAACCGAAGTCCATCATGTGTCGACTCACCTGGAGAAGCTCAAACTCTTGAACCGCTGGGGTTTGACGAAAAGTATTATCGATACTTTGCCTGAAGGTGTTGGTGCGCCATTGTACGAAGCAGTGATGCAGTGCCAAATTGAGGCCTCGACATCTTGGAGCTCAACGCTGCTTGAGCTTATCGATCGAGAAGATCTGTACATGTCCATGAATCCCGCGCAATTCCAATCGTTTGCATTTACATCACCGCACCTCGTGATCTCTCACGACGCCATGCGTGACTTCCATACTATGAGTAGCTTGGCTTTGGATATCGATACTATCAACTTCTTCGATCCGTCCGCTGAGATTGACCGAGTCGCCATAATTCGACAGGTTTTTCGAGATGACAGGCGCTTTATGGAAGCTCTCCGTCTTCTCAACCAGTCGAAACCACCCGTGGCACATTGTGTGCCTCAGCCGGGGTGGAAAGATTCGGATCTACTTGAGGCTCAGAAAGAGATTACCCAGATTGTCACGTTTCGGACATTGTCTACTCCTGCTGGACGCGCCATGCTCAGCTTCGGCGGTCGCCTGCCCTTGTTAACGGAAAAGTTGCCAATCCCGTCGTTCTCCTTGCAGTGCGTTATGAGTCCATCCAATGTCACTGTGAGTGCTGACAAGAGTTTCTTCACTGAAGAAAAGGTCTGCTGGGCTTTCTTCCACAATGGAGTATCCACGGGATTGGCGATCTCGAAAGACTCCAAGGGCATCGACACTTCGTGGATTCTATTCAATAAGCCACAAGAGCTCACCAACCGCCATGCTGGATTCCTTCTGGCCCTAGGTTTGAACGGTCATCTCAAGTCACTGGCTAAATGGGTGGCCTTCAAGTATCTCACGCCCAAACACACCATGACATCCATTGGCTTGTTGCTTGGTCTCTCTGCATCGTATCTGGGTACGATGGATACGCTCATCACTCGTTTGCTCTCGGTGCATGTTACCAGGATGCTGCCTCTCGGTGCCGCTGAGCTCAACCTGTCGTCTTTGACCCAAACGGCCGGCATTATGGGCATTGGTCTTCTCTATTGTAGATCACAGCACCGGCGTATGAGCGAGGTGATGTTGTCAGAGATTGAAAACACTGAGCAAGACGAGCAGTCTACTTCCAACGAAGACCTGCGAGATGAGGGATATCGTCTCGCTGCAGGCTTTGCTCTAGGTTTCATCAACTTGGCAAAGGGCAAAGACTTGCGAGGAATGAGAGACATGCACATTGTCGAGCGCTTGTTGTCAATCGCCGTTGGTACCAAGAACGTCGATTTTGCTCATGTTCTTGATCGCGGCACGGCGGGTGCCACAGTCGCAATCGCCATCATCTTCATGAAGACCAATGATGCGGTTCTGGCCCAGAAGATCGATATTCCTGACACTCCTGTGGGTTTCGACTATGTACGACCGGATTTATTCCTCCTACGAACACTTGCTAGGCATCTTATCATGTGGGATGGTATTTCCCACACTCAGAAGTGGATCGATGAGAGCCTTCCCCAGGTGTACCGCCATCGATCCAGCCTGGAGGGAGTTTCCAGCCTCCGAAGTGAAGACATGCCATTGTTCAACATCATCGCCGGTCTCTGCTTTGCTCTCGGTCTTCGCTTTGCTGGATCCGGGATCCCCTTTGCCAGAAATATTCTACTGGCCTACTTGGACCAGTTCATCCGCATCTCTCGATTGCCAGCACAGAAATACGACGCCAAACTCGCCCGCAACTCTGTACGAAACTGTCAGGACATCGTTGCTCTGTCTGCCGCTGCCGTCTGCGCCGGTAGGGGCGACATACCTCTCTTCCGTCGCCTTCGCTCACTTCACGGCCGAGTTGATCCGGACACCCCATATGGCAGCCACATGGCTGCTCATATGGCAATCGGCATGCTCTTCCTTGGTGGAGGTAGCCATTCTCTCGGCACATCCGACTTGGCTGTTGCGTCCCTCCTCTGCGCCTTCTATCCGATATTCCCGACTACCGTCCTCGACAATAAGTGCCATCTTCAAGCATTCCGACATCTCTGGGTTCTCGCAGTCGAACCACGCTGTCTTATCCCTCGGGACATCGACACGCGTCGACCCATCTCCGTCCCTATCAACGTAACCTTCAAAAGCAGCGGCAACCCATACACATACCCCCTCTTAGCCCCCTATCTCCTCCCGCCCCCAGAAATGGTCTCAAAGATCGAGATCTGCGGTCCAGACCACTGGCCTCTGGTCCTGGACTTTGATCAGAACAATTCCCTTCGCAATAAATTCATCAATGGCGATCCGTCCGTCTACCTCCGTCGAAAGGCAACATACACTCCCTCCGGCTCTCCGGCTTCAACATCCACCTTCTCTTCAACCTTCACGGGTCTAAGCGAAGCACAAGATGTCCTCCACACCACAAATGGAAACCAACTCAGAGGCCTCCCACTCCCTCCCCGACTTTCGAAAAAGGAACTGCTTTCCGGCTCTTTATCAGCGGCCGCCACGACCCCGTCTCAAACCCCTTGGGACTGGGTCTTCAATCTACCGTCCCTGCAGGGCCTGGATATCCGCGAGCGATCTCTCGTTCTACCTTCGTCGTTCCCGAATCCATCACCGAGCTTCTCTTCCCCGCTCGTTTCCTCGCCACCGTGGTTGCGTACTTCGGCCGTCGATACCCGGCTTTCTCTGGAACGTACCATTCAGAATGTCGTTCGCTCTGCCAAGGGACGGGGCGCCGATCCGGATCAGGTTCGCGATCGCATTTGGCAGTTACGCCTTTTGTTCGATTGGCTTGAGTCTGTTGAGGCGCGTGCTACTGCCGATGATGGTGATGAGATGTCTGCTGCGCAGCATCGATCTGATTTATGGCTGCGTAGGGACTTTATTGAAGAAGCTAAGTGGTTGGTTTGGGGCGTGCAGGTGGATGATGATCTGGTTGAGACATGAGGTTTATTCATTTGAAATACCGCTACATGAAACCGTTTTTCCTGTTATGTTTTATGTGATTGTGTTGACTGTACTTGAGCGAGGAATGGATTGTTTGTTTGATATGATATCCATCAATGTGATAATGCATGCAGTCAATTTTTCAAATATGGTATCAACGGATTTGGCTCTTCATTCACATGCACTGTTTTGTATTTGCTTAATGTTGAACAATTAAATTCGGGTTCGACGTAATGCGGTTGAAGTCACACCATGACTATATATATCTTTCCGACCTCGGAGATACTTAACCTCACAACGCCTTCATCGGTAAGTCTTGGTAGTCCATACAACACGAGATTTGATATATCATGCTCCGTAAATGCAAATCAAAACAGAACCTATCAAAAACATATACGCATCTAAAATAGAGCCGAGGTCTACAGAGGCCGATGCTGTCCCTCTTTCAACAAACCCCGATCACCACCTCCACCCTTCTGCCACAACCAAACACCTTCAACCGCCCACGCGCTCGCACTAGCATGTTTTCCAATACCAGAGGCTACGGGAAAAGAACCTCTCTCATCACCATTGGAAGACTGATTCTTCCCAGAACCAATTGTAGAGCCCGCCGCACCATCTGCTTCGGCCAACATACCCGCAACTACATTTTCCTTCTCAATGACGAACCACAATCCATCGCACAACTGACCGCCCCGCTCGCCGAACTCGCCCTTTCCAAGCCGGTACAAAATTCGGCCAAGAACCTGCCAGGCAATGCAGCGTTGTGCGGGGAATGTCGAGCGGGAGAGAATCGCCAGCTCGGGAACCGTGTAGCCCGCGGCATGCGGGTCGTCACCGTGGTGGTGCAGGCCCAGCGTTGTGGGGAGAGAAAGAGAAGTGCTCGGTGAGAGGATGGTTCCGCGGAGAGAGAAGCGGATGGCGGATGGCACGACACCCTCTGCGATGCTAGATGGGTGGTACGCAGATTCGGCTTCGGGATCTTCTTTATCTGTGGAGGGTGGTTGAAGCCAGGAGAGAGCGGTGGGGTCGTGCGTGATTTCGGGGAAGTAGTGGGTTTTCAGTTCATCAAGAAAGTTCGGCGAGGATGGGTCGAGGGTTGGCATTGGCTGTGTTGGTTGGGGGAAGTGGAAGCGCTCGATTGTCGACGGGTCCATCGTTGTTGGGTATTCTGAGGCTGGGTGGAGGTCGGCGGGGATTTGGGTTGGTGGGAGGTCGTCGTGGCCCGGTGGGAGGTTTGTTACGGGGTTTGACGCGGGTGGGTTAGGAGCTTCTTGCTTTTTGGATGTCTCCGGTTGGGGCGGGACATCCAAGGAGACCGATTTCTTTTTGGATGTAGGCTCTGGTTTTGATTCTAGACCCGCTGGCGGATTGGATGAAGGGGTCTTGTTCTCGAATTCTCCCTGTGTATCATCATCGACCCGTGCACGTCGCAAGAACCGTTGCAATAGGCCCGGATCCAATGAGGCCATCAACTCTTCGCGTTCCTTCTCGATCTGCGCATCTGACATGGACGCCAGATGGCGGCGGTTTTCCTCGCCAATGGCCTTCTTGTCATCCTGCAGAGACCCAGGGGTCGGTTGAGTCGGTGCTGGGTTTGGTGCGGCAGCTTGCTCTGCTCGGCGCTGTTTGAAAGACGAGGGTTTGTTGCGCCGACGGTGCGCGGGGAAACCGGTCGACGAAGCGGTGGGAGTTGGGGCTGGCGGCTCGGCGGCGGTGGGCTCTCGTTCGCGGATTTCACCGATCAAGTCGAAGGGGGAGGGAGCAGGGTTCTCAGGAATTCGCACATCATCCTCTAAGTCGAGGGCAAAGCGTTCGCCGGGGAAAGCCATGTCGATGTCGGGAAGAAAAAGCTGGGACGATGGAAAAAAGCGGTTATGTCAGCGCGGGGCGTGCGGCTCAAATGATGCAGCGCTTACCAGAAGGGGCTAGCGTGGAGTGCGGATGCACTAGTCCCAGAGGGGAAATCCTGCACTGCCAGATCAGGAAGCCTTGCAGATGTATAGAGAGACGGGATGAAAAGGCCGAGAGGGAGGACGAAATCGTATTTAGCGTAGAACCATTTGCGATCTTCTCTAACATCCAAATAGCAGGTAGATTCAGTAAAATCGAATAGTTTGAATGAGTATGATAGATGGATAGTATAGAGCACTGTGATCGCCCATCGTGCAGGAGGAACTGATCTCCGGCCACCAGACATGATTATCGGGTGGGAAGGCCGGGAAAGACAGGATGAATAGAGATTACGAGACGAACGTTCTATCCCGAGTGTGATACTCGCCCGAAACCAGGATGTTTGCCAGGGCGATGCTGAAACATGCGTCTAGACCGTGCGGAGCCGAAGTATACGCGGGAAAGATGGACCTCCACTGACGCCAGATCCGCGCGCATGGACGGCATCGAATTGCTTCAAGAGACCGTTTGTACTTTGGCTCTTGTGCTGGCTGGGGCTGCTCACCCGATGATCGCTCGCAACCTGCAAAGTCCTGCTCACTGGAAGATCATCTGATTTTGTCTTCTTGTTTGTTCGCCTTGCCCGGTTAGAGGGTTCCGTTGCGCTGGCATCAGTCGCATCGAGCACATCCAACTTGCTCCTTGTTCGCTTTTTCCCCTTTCCTGCCCTTTTTTTTCCTTTTCGCCCTGCCCGATCCCTTCCTCTCTTCCCATCCGGCCATCTCCTCTTTTTCTCTTTCCCTTTTCCCTTCCCATCCTGCCACCCGCAACCTTTCGGATTTGGTTTTCGTGTTCCCAGCCAAAACCCCCATCTATTTTCGCCCTCGGAACCTGCTCGTTTTTCTGCTGTCCAGTTCCCCATTTTCCGTGTTCCTTTCCCACAAGGCCACACCTCATTTTCACTCCCATCTCGTCCGCCCCGACCGTCCACGCCCTGGTTCAGCATCCCCCACAGCCACTTTTTTCATTAACCCATCCCCCATTTTCTCGCCAATTCGTCGCCACCATCATGTCCACCGAATCGTCGGGCCCAGTGCCAGCCGACGACGCCCATACTGAAGACACGCCCATCGACGACAAGGCCGATACTCCTGTCAACCGACGTACCTCGACGGCCCGACGGTCGCGTCGCAAGAAGGATGACGACACGAACACCCCCGACAGCAAGGTGAAGAAGGAAAAGGAAACGAAAGAAAAAGAAAAGCCCACACGAGCGACTCGTCGCCCGCGGGAGAAGTCGACAACGACGGCCGCGTCGCGCAAGAAGGCCAAGTTGGAGCAGGCGGAGGAAGCCACGGCTGCAGCTGCAGACCCCCGGACCGCCTTGGGCGACCAGCAACAACAGCAATCCCCGCCTGCGCAACCGGCGCAACCCACCACCACAATTCCTGCGCCTTCGACCTCGACCCCCGCCCCAGCTCCAGCTGCTCCAGCTGCCCCGGCCACAGCTCCCACTACAGCTCCGTCTACTTCAGCTTCCGTTCCTCTGGCAGCTGCGGCGCCGACCACTGCTCCTCCCCCGCTCCCACGTACTCGCCCAGTCCGCACCCTCACCAGACCCCGGGCTCGGCGTATTCTCTGCCTCAGTCCTATCCTCCTCGGCCCCAGTCACAGCCTCCGCCGCCCCAGCAATCAAAGCCACCTCGGACAAGTGGTCAAAACTTCGACCCCATCCGATCTGCCTTTGGTACTGCCTCCCCGGCGCCTGCCTACAGCCCGCCGTCGCATACGGTCTCGCCGCAGAATAACTATCGCGCCAGCGCGTCGCCGGCGATTTCGAGTATCATCGATCCGCCTGCTCAAAGCTCGCAGCCTTTGTACCCTCCACAACTTACGCGATCAACCTCAGGCCATGTATCGACCGCGTCGTCCCCGGCACCGCCGGCCATGGCTCCTACGCCCTCTCACCCATCCTTAGCCCCTTCGCCAATGCCTGTATCGTCACCTTCGCATGGTCCTGCTCCTGCGCAACCTGTGCCTTCCACCCACTATGCATCATATACAACTCCAGAGCAACGCCCGTTGCAATCTCAGCCCCCTCATCTGGAGCTTTCCTCTCCAGCTCTACAGCCGCACCAGGTAACCCAACTTCAACAACCCCAACAAACACAGGCGCAGGCGCAGGCGCACCCCCCAACCCAGGCGCAACCGCAACCGCAGTCACAGGCCTCGGCTCCGATTCCGACCCCGTCTCAATCATCTACTCCGCAACGACCAACTCAGCAGTCCGATGCAATGGATATCGACCCCAAGGAGCAATATGCGCCAAGCGCAAAGAAGGAAAAGGGAACCGGCACTGCTCCCTCGTCCAAAGCTCCATCCCCCAAACCCGCGCGCGGAGCTAAGGGATCTAAGCCGTTGCCTCAAGGATCCGGACTGATCAGCAACGCATTGTTTGGTGGAGCGGACGATCAGTCAGAAGATGAGGCCAATACGCCGGACATCATTGTTCACGTCCCGCTCCAGCAGCAGGGCAACACCATCGTGAACTTTGCCCAATTGGCGGAAGAGCGGTATGGATTTGCGGCACTGCATCCTCGTCTCGCAGCTCACAAGGCGCGCCTCGCACGCATTGCAGCTGCGGGTGCTGCGATCGAGCGTAACGAAAAGGGCAAGTCCGCCGGAGAGAGTGCCGAGGAGGATCTAGATATGGATCGGGATAGTGATATCGATATGGACGGTACTACTCTCAACGGAACCACCACTGGCGCGCCCTCCGAAGCAGGCGACAAGCCGAAACGACGGAAAAAGGTGGAGGAATACGACCGAGACGACCCGTTCGTGGATGACAGTGAGATGGCTTGGCAGGAACAGGCCGCAGCAAGTAAGGACGGTTATTTTGTATACAGTGGCCCGCTCGTGCCCGAGGGCGAGAAGGTCCAAGTCGAACGGTATGTATCACCCACCAGCGACGGCCCAGCCGAGGAAGAACCCAAAATACCAACGTACACAATCTACAGTGCCGACGGAACAATCAAGCGAGGCCGTGGACGCGGCCGAGGAACCGGCCGAGGACGAGCTCTAGCTTCACATCCCCACGTCCCCATTGCTGCCGCAGTACCTATCTCTCAAGATACAGGTCTTCCCCTTCGAGGCCCGGGTTCCAGAGGCGGTACTTCACGTCGTGGCAGAGGTGCAAAGAAAGCCGACCCAGCTGACAAACACTCTGATCGGAGTGGTACCACCGCCTCTGCAGCTCACGAAGGCCGTGGTCGTGGTGGTGGCCGCGGCGGAAGCACTCGTGGTGCCAAAGCGGCCGCCCCATCTACACCTACCCCATCCACCCCTTCCAATCCATCTGTCATGTCTATGATGGATTTGGCCCCCGGCCCTCCGGCGAACTTGACCCCCAGCCAAAATTCTAATATCGCCCCTGCCCCCGGGCCGAGCCCGCTTGCGGGTCCCGAGGTCCCGAAATAACATCGTCAAATGTACGTTTGTTGCTTATTGTTTATGCCAGACGGATCATTTCCCTATGGAGTTCTTGTTTCTGGCTTTCTGTAGTGATTTCCGGGGTTCACGAGGCGAGTCTGGCGTTGGGATCCGAATTGCAGAGGCGTCATTCCTGTCATCGTTATCTTCATGCCCATTTATACTTGTTATTTTTTTTGGCTATTCCCTCGGATATGTGTGATTGGAGATCTGGAAAGACTACTCCCGCCTCGACTCTTCTGTTCCTGTCACTTTGCTAATTGTGCGGACTTCGCTTTGTATTCTTATCCATACTTCTTTTTGGGCCGGTTATGCTTTCCGGGGTCGTGAATATCATTGCTTCCAGGACAGTGTCTCATTTGCTGTTTCAAGATAAAGTACTTCATTTGCTGGTTGGGCCGCCTGTCCATAACTGGGGTGAATATACATCAAAAAGCTAGGAGAGATTGGGGTATCCACATTCCGTTTCCGACTCCGCCCTCTCAACGACATGTGTCAGATGCTCAGTTAGAAATCTGGTCAAGTAAGGTACCTTACAAAGGGTACGAGCCCTCGAATTTTATGTATCATGTCCTTGCCATTGGTCAGTCTTTTCTACCTTGCACATCGTTGTTTGCCCGGTCGCCTACATCGGAGACTGATAGTCCAGGATCTAGGCATCGCGAGTGTAGACCGTTACGCCCAGAGAGGGTTGACATGATCATATTTCTATCTCTAAGTTGAGAAATAATGGCCACACGATGGCATAAGGGAAGAACATAGGTATGTGATACCAGCCCTACCATAATGCGTTGTCTGCCTTTGTCGAAAAAGAACTATCAGGGCTAGGCAAAACTGAAAAAGGATTCTCATACAATGTAGAAAAGTACATAACAAATTAGCAGTAAAGGAGCCATGCAGCAAAGAAGCTCGCAGAGTGGGTCGCCAACAGGTGTTTCGTGTGTTGGAACGGGCAGTTGATCCATAGACACGGGTACGCATAGTAAGCATCCCCAAATCCCGAGTTTCACCATGACATGTTGAGCGAACCGTTGAAGACCAAGAGGACGAACTGCAGCAAAATGATCAGAGCGGGAATCGTACCCGGGGTGGTGCGTGGCGAAAAAAAGGCGCCGCCTGTCGTCGTCCGGATGGAGGGCATCGCTGCCTGGCAAACATACTCACTTTCATTACAGCACTCCAACTTTAACAGCCTACTACAGCCTCAAAGTAAATTAAATACCTTCATACATTTAGCAGTTCATAGCAAAGAAGATGATCTACCACGTATCTAGCTTCCAGCGCCGAATTCCAACTAGAAGCGTCTCAAATCACCCTCCTCTTCCAAGGTCCAACAACGACCTCACTTATAGGATACAAGCATGAATACCCCTTCAGGAGATGGTACCGGTGGTCTAGTGGTATGTCGGGGTGACCCTGCTCGGAGAACGCATCCCTCTTGAGGATCAAGGGGGCTTGCCGATGAGCAACTGGACGTGTTCAGAGGCTCCTTACCATTACGATCACTGGTACCGGCGAGTAGTCCTCCCTGCTCACAGGGAGATTTACAGACGGACGTCTCGCCCCTTCTGCTACAGGGTGGATCGAAATCAGTTTCACCACTGTTACTCACAGAAAGGATTTCCCGAACCCTATTTCGAAACACACTGATGTACACTTGGCTTATCTCCATTTCGAGGGTGGAATCGTAATGAAAAATAAATCCACGAGGGATTAGTTCCTGTAAGTTACTGGAAATACTGTTTCCATGAATACTTTCACCACGTTCCCCCATATTTCGCTCAGATATCCACTTTCCGTCGCAACTGCACTCGCTCTTCTAACGGCAATGCTCGCCAGAATGATAAAGGTCAGCCCTCTCGCGTAAATCGCACAAAGTCGTTTTATGATCGAAAGGTTATCGTAGCAATTTCACTATGAAGCAAAACAATCTGTGAGGGTAAGGTTGTTTTATTCGAAAGTATATTGCTCGTCTATGTAGTGAAATCCAACTTCTCCGTTTCCCATTCCAGCAAGGTTTCAGAATTAGATAAGGGTCATCAGCGAGCGTAGCGGGAATCCTTGGGAATGAACTATAGTCCTTGGTTGTTGGCTGTGAAACTGGCATGGTCCACGCCTCCTTGGATGCAATGGCCTCGATTGCAGGATCTGGCTCGAGATCATCTGCACTTGGTAGAAGGAGGACTCCCTACTCGCTGGTAAGTCCCTACTCCCCAGTATGTCCCTACTCCTCAGTGTGTCCCTACTCTCCAGTAAGGCCCTACCTGTCGGTATGTCCCTGCTCCTCAGTATGTCCCTACTCCTCAGTATGTCCCTACTCCTCAGTATGTCCCTACTTTCGGAGTACGGTATTTTCTTTTGCACCTTATACCCGCAATACTTAAAACGGTGTCGCACTTACTGGGACGGCCCTATGTTCCTACTGTATAGATTTAAAAACAATGATACAAATAGTTAGATACAAAGAGTATTTTGGACGACTAAAAGAAATAAACTTGCTCCCGCATTCGCGCAGGGGTGGGGGAAAACCCAGTGGGAAAAAAACCCCACCCGAAGAGGCCCAGAAAAACAAAAGTATGACTAAGTGGATAATTCTCGTAGACTTGCCTCCAGCTTCTGTTTCAATTGCACCGTCTCAACACGTTGACGGCTAGTTTTTTGTGACTCGCCAGCGAGACGCATTAGGTCCTCGTCTGAAAACTTACTCACAACTGTTGGGTGAAATGCCCCTCCCAATTTGGACAGAATTTGCCTTTCAATCACCTGTCGGCACACATTGTCCACAAATGTTTTCATGGCAACCTAAAACACCACATTATAACCGGGCCGACCAGCGGGACATGCAGACTACTCACCTTGTAATATGCATTCAGATCGGTCAATGCCTCGGAGCAGGCTCTGTCAACCATATTAACCTCCACGCGTTTCTGTAGAGCTAAAATCATTCGATTCATTTCGTGAGGAGTGTTGCTGAAGTAAACATTGCCGCCCCAATCCGATTCAGCTGCTTTCTTGACTGATGTTCGAATGCTTTCCTTCGCTTCGTCATGTCTCGCTTTTTGAATGTTGTCAGTATAGTAGTGATTGTAGGTAATTGGGTGACCTCTTTCATCTTGTATGAGCTTGGAGAGTTCCCCATGAGCATTGCCGGTATTCTCATTGAACGTAGTCATAATGTGCTTCTGCAATTTATCGTAGACTCCGGCATCCTTTACCACGAACTTCAAGGCCTGGCGCACAAACTGAGTCACCAAGCTCACGACGGACTCAATGTGGGCTCGAGAGATCTCTTTCCAGCGACATGATTGGATGTGAAACAAACGTTGAAGGAGAGAATGGTTGTAATTTCCTGGGAGCTCGCGACCTCTGGTTTGGTGATACATCTGTTATCGTAAGCGATTACCTTTTCGCCTGAGACTTTGGCTCACCTCTTTAATCCAAGAAAACATCTCTTTCTCTGTAACCAAAAGCTCTTTATTCTTGTCTTCCTCGCTTTCCTCTTTGCTTTTCTCTTCGCTTTCCTCGTCGCTTTCCTCTCCCAGTTTATCGCAATCAGAAGCGACAACTTTTCTCCGTTGGCCATGGTTCCTCATATATTCGGCAAAGTGCTCATTTTCTCTATGGATCGCAGCACGCAGACGGCAAGTTTCCGGACCAGTTGCAAAAAAATCGCCGTCCCAGCTATCGTAGTTTCCCTCAAGGCCATTCTTGACAATTCCATAGAATTCAGTGCTGATCTGAGTGAGAAATACTCGAACTTGCGTTGCGTTTGATCTCTCAATCCCAAGGTTAATTATTTCATCATCCACCCGCTGCAATAGATGTCGAACCTCCTGCTGAACCTTCGGTAGCTCTCGCTCGATATGGCTATCCAGCAATTCCTCCAAGAATGAACGTAAATTGTTCATCCCAATTCTCGTAGAATCAATTCCCTGGGCCTTCCAACGTTGACTGGAGAAGAACTCCATTTCTACCCGATGGCGCTGCTGAAAACTGATTCCGTCCACTAATTCGTCCGGGGAGGGATTTTGACGAGAAAGAAGCCAAGATTCAACTTTGTGCGATCCAGGTTTTTCGCCAAGCGAGCCACTCTTTCTTCTGTGTTGCTGTTGATAAGGTCGGGCTTCGTGATGATCCCTACAGTCCTAACCTCCTCCTTGTCAAAATGACGCGCTCGTTGAATAATGCGTTGGGTCTCTGCATCGAGCTGCTGGCCGGAATAACAGCAAGTATTATTGTACGAGAGCTCTCCAGATATGAATCAACCAAACGTTGCACGATCTCAACGTCTTCCTCGTCCTCCGAGACCGATATCAATCCCGGCAGATCAACCAAAGTCAGATGAAGCCCCGTATTGCCGACCAATTCGAGTCTAAGAACATCCGCAGCGAAACCAGGTGCATCGACAAGTTCGCTGAATCCTCGAACCCCCATATAATAGGAAGCTTCGCGGATTATCATTGGTAATTCGTTGAAATCTTGAAATTCTCGTTGAAATCCCGCGAACTTTTTCTTCTCCTCAGGAGAACGAGATTGACTAGGCAGAAGGCTTGCAGTCATCGAACTGACTTGAGTGTCATGGCGCAGTACTATCTCGGTAGGAAACTGTGTACAGAGTCCGTCCTTGCGAGGAAAAGGGTATCCGGTGATACCTTCGAGAACAGAGCTTTTTCCAGCCGACTGATCACCAGACACTGCCAACTGAGGGAGCGCGATATGATCGCCAACCCCGTTGGCTCGAACACAGTCAATCTGATTAAGTCTTTTGGATGATTTTGCCGAACTGAGTCCAGGGTTGTCCTTCCCTCTGTCCACATCACTTGAATCTCCGTCCTCGTCAAGAGGCATGGTGGTTCGCATTTTGGATTCTTTATAGAATCGGTGATAAATTCAGAAATAAGGGGGTGATTGTTGATAACCGGTTGGTTCGTTCCGTCCTATTTATCGTTTTTCTGCCCGTAATTGCTGGACGCATTCTGAGCCAGCATCCAACAGACCCAATCAGATTGACTGTAACTGCAAGCAAGGGTTGGCGATATGCCACGGTCGAGGGAAGAATATGAACCAATGGTATTTCCAAAATGGTGGGATTTAGTGTAATTTGTACTGCTCCGACAAATATCACACTACCTTGGGGAAGTCTGGAATGGACGGAGGATACTTGTGGCTGAAGAATTATGGTCTTTGAGGCCGAGGTCAGGCATCCGAATGTTACCCTTCGCGGAAGGAATCTTGCATGCAATAGCGAGACCAATAACATCGTCAGTATATCATTCGATCGCTTTGTGAATGGTTCAGTGATAGGGATCACTACTATAAGAATGACGATCATGTCACCGTTCCTATTTCATATTGACAGATTGCTCGGCCTCGACATTCGGCCCAGTATGTACAACATGCTACATTTGGACATTCTAGACTTCATTCTCGCGAAGCAAGAAGAAAGAAAAACTTCCATATTATCAAATTTCTTTCATTCGATAAGATTCTAAGCACGAAGCGATGCTTTGCATATTTGGCGTTGGAATGGATCAACCCTTTCATCGTGACCGGGCAAAGACACCAGGGTCAACATGGTATTACCTCGCTCTAAAACTCCAGATCACTAAAGACAACTCGCATCATGGCACTCTCCAGCGGCAAGGGATCGAGAATCTTCTCAACATATTCTGGCCAGTCGTCAACCCACTGCAACAGGGGGAAGATATGAGAGTATTCCCAGTACGAAGGATACCATCCAGCCGCTTCCCAGTCCACAAGAGCAGCTACTTCATACTCTTCTTCATTTGTGACAGAATTCACGACTTTTCGGACAAGAACATTCTCCCTGGAGAGATCTCCGTGGGTGAATACAGGTGGATGATTGCGAAGTGCCAATGGGAGGTGGCGAGCAAGATAGTCGGAGAGAAAGCTATGACCATTAGATTCGCTCCACATAGTTTTGGAGCGAAGTGCGATGGCTTTTCCGAATTCTTCTTCCGTCTGAAACGGACCGGTAACAGCAGCGTCCTTTTCACGAGAAAAGAAATACCTATGGGGAACGGGGCCTCGGTTGACGCTGCCATAAAATCCGGGCGATGACAGCGCTCTCATCTGATCAAAGATGCATCGCAGTTGCCCAACAATCGAATTTTTATTTGCCTCAGTGAGCGAAGGCCACGCCATCCCTAGAGAAATGCTGGGGATGTATTCCATGACGATATACAGGATGTCCCGATCGCGGTACATGGCGTAAAGTCGTGGCGCTGCGATGTTGAGCCGTTTTTCAACAAATATTAGAGCATATCCCTCGTTTTCGGTCACGAGCGGGCCATATTTCACAACATATTTCTCTCTGATAACGACTATGCGCCCACCGTAATCTGATCTCTTGGGGAGGGTTTGTGTTGCCTGTTCAATCTCATTCTGATCAGGAAGAGGCCCTGGTAATTGACCAGCATCCCGATAATAAGGAAGGGAGAAATGCATAGTTGGATGGGCGACGTCTCACGGAACGGAACAGTTGATGCCAACTTGAGGATGCAGCCCAGTGCTGCAAAAGTTCCTATCAGAGATACCCTTTTTAGGCTAGTGCAAGATTATGTGATTTCCGAGTTGATACTTGTCGGATCTCGGTGGTGGGTACAAATGCAGTGGCCAATGGAATGGTGCGAAAGGTCTTGTTCCACTATCCCCCTGGATTCTGCCAATCTAAAGGGGGGTTTGAGAGATTACGTACACAATAGGAACGGAACAACAATAATCCAGCGGACTAGTACAAAAGAGGGAAAGTCCGGGAGTAGTCAGCGCCCAAAGGGGCATAACTAATATCAGGGTTCCAACAATACTTTCTAACTAGCACGTGACTTGGAGGGATGGGATGCCTTGTACACATATTTCTTTCCACAAACTAGATAGGAGATAGGACTTGGCTAGACAAGCAACGCAAGCATACACCTCATATATGTTGGTTTCCTAGATAGGTAGATAGGTAGTGTGGCCGTACCAGTACTTACAAGTATCTATATCTATGCACATTCCTACGAAGTACAGTCCAAGTCTACCTACTTTGCGCTTATCAGCTCCCAGGACTTGGTATCTTTAAAAAAAGTCGCAAACAGGGATTAGACATTCATTCATGGTTTACCACTACTCGAAACAAAGGTAGCAACAGCCAAGAACATTCAAAAACGAGCAGCACATGGTAGCAGAGGATAAACAGCAAGGGAAAGCACTGGTAGGCAGCCAGGTAGGCAGCCAACATGGACAATGAAACCCAGAAAGCAGAACATCGTATGGCCTCATGCTGTCATTGCTTTAAAGAAAAGGCGATGGATATACCAGCAGCCAGGGCCAAAACAAAACAAAGATCAATAAAAGAATCGTGTCCTTCAGCTTGTCACCAGCGGCCAATAATGGGCACCAAACCACAGTATGGTCTATTGTTGAATAATAAGCCCGTTTGCTCTAATAGCAGGTAGGGCTCGCTCCAAAGTCCATTCAGTGCACTTGACTTAAACCCTAAAACCCTAAAACCCACTGGCAGAGGAAAACTAGATAGCTTCGTAGCGTGGTACACAGTCACTCCCTTGGGGAAGGAGTAGGAGTATCGAACCGAAGCCCCTCGATGCCGCTGCGGGCCGGATCATCCCAGTGGTTCTGCTCCTGTGCAATTACCATTCCAACCCAAGGAGCGAGAACGAGCTGGGCGTCGGATCGAGCGGCATCTCCAGTAAAATGAAAGGGGCAGTGCGTCGGGCTGTAAGTCAAGGCGCAGTGGTCACTGGGGGCGAGAGGGAAAGAAAGGGGCGGCGATGAGTGTAAGATAGAGGAGTTCTAGGGAGGGCAAGAAGGAGAGGAGAGGTCGAAAGGGCGAGGTCTGGCCTTTTATGTCGAGGCGATGTTGGGAGTGGCATCTTTCTCGGAAAATAATCCGACATTCCTCCGGACTATAGTATTCTGTCCCAGTAAGTTGAGAAAGCCAAACATACTCACCGAGCTTCATCACCAGCTAGGAACCGGACTGCAGCTCCAATATCCCACCCATAGCCTTCTGTCTTTAGCTAAGACTGATTTTTTCGATGCTCTCGCATCCCGTCACTCATCCTGCCGCCCACGTATACAATAGGGGTATACACCATTCCAGGGCAGACGCAATTCACTCGAATACCTTGCGCCGCATGCTGTGCTGCCATCGCTCTCGTCATATTTATTATAGCTCCTTTCGATGTCGCGTACATCAGATCTGGCGAACCACCTCTCAGGCCAGCGATAGACGACAGGTTGACATTGGAACCCTTGTACTGCCCACCTCATTTCTTTCCTTGTGCGGAATCGCATACTTGGTCATAAGAACCATGGAGTTGACGTTGACCCGCATTCCTGCATCATAATCGCTCATATTGACAGTCGTTGCTGGGCCACCTGCCCCAATTATACCAACGTTGTTGACCAGGATATCAAGCGGATGATATTTCGATAGGTCTAATTATGCTATTTACGTAGTTCTAGTATTTTATTTACTTACCCTTCTTAGTAAAGATATCTAGATATCCTTCCCTAGCTAAGTATTATTTATTAATATTACGCAACCATGGGTCCCCTAGAATTATACTAACTTCCTATGGTCTAATAATATGTACAGATATATTATCCTGCTAATGGCAATTTATATTAGGATTAAAATATATAACGTCCAACGTGAGTCTGGGCTAGTTTCTGCATCCACTGGTATCTACGTATCAACTCCTTTAAAAGTGCTACACGCACTATTGCAGACTGCGCACTTCTTGGAACTATCTCGGCAATGCCTGCTAAACTGTCTGGGAAACAACTTACCTGATGTCAAAACAACTCAATGGCAAATACTGAAAATGGAAATGGAACCTCCAGTCTAGTTCCATGGTTGAAGTGCTGTGTATACTGTATCACCTTCCGATTAGTCAAAGTGCCGACAACTCATTCGTAAACAAGATACACGCTTGCGAGCCTGAACTGTCGTTGGTGGAAACTCTTAAGCCGAGGAAATATAACGCCGACTAATAGAGACGGATCCCACAACCTCGCGAAATGGCCCAAATAGGGAACTTTTATTACGTGGATAAGCTATATATATCTTCCTGTGCCCTTGCGAAGCGACGATCACTATTACGTAAAATGATTCCACCACAAAATTAACCTTATAGGGGCATATGGCCAATCTATTCCCCTTAGGGTAAGCTATTTTCCTCCTTGGGCTAAATTGCGAACCTCCTTCTTGGTCTTTTTCGGAGCTGAAGATTCTCTTAGCTTTTTGGTCGGTCGTGGCACGGATACCCCGCGAATAATGTAATGCTTTGTAAGCTCGACCTGGTTTACGTAGCTCTAGCTAGGCATTCTCCAATAACGTAATAAGTTAGTCTCGTGAGCTAGAGAGTTAAAGGCCCTACAGAAAACCTGTTGGTCTTGTCGGATCTGTGAGCTGCGGCCGGGGTCCGCGCTTCAGTGTAAGTGGACCTATACGAAGTGGGCCGGCTACTCGAATTTATACTCGAAAGTTTTGTACAAAGTGGGTAAGGTGACTCACGCTCATTTCTTTGGAACCCACAGTTTTTTTTTGTCGGGAGTTATATAAGATCATATTTTCAGAGCTCGAAATTCTTTATTTTGATATAAGTTTTCAAACCGGCCCTATCCCAACAGCTTTCTACACCGATTGAACATTCTTTTCCAGACATCTCTTGTCTTTCAAATCATGGCCTTCAACCGTATTGCTGTCTATGGTCACCGTGGATTCGTTGGCTCTCGAGTTGTTGCTGCTCTGATTGCCTCGGGAGCTCCAATTACTGTTTTGCATCGCCCTAGCTCGGATACTTCCAATCTCCCCGATCATGTGAGAAAGATTGAAGTCGACGTTCTTGATGAAGACGCTTTGGTTGGTGCCTTGCAAGATATAGACATTGTGATGTCAGTCAGGGCTACTGCGCATCTGTACCCTTTTGAATCTATGCTAATGGACTTCTCAGTTCTCTTGTTGGAGACGAGGGTACCGACAGACAGTATGGCTTTGTGAAAGCCATCCCTAGGACTAATGTCCAGCTTTTCTCCCCTTCGGATTTCTGTCTGCGATATTGTGAGCAGGGAATGCGCATGCCCTGTATGAAGGCAAAAGCGAAAGTCGAAGAGGCTTCTAAGGATGCTGGGATTCCTACCTCCGTCATCCACGTTGGAAATTTCGCTGAATTCACCTTAAGTACAACGTCAGTCATCAACCGGCCACTCGGGATGTTTATCCGTAACTGACTTTCACAAATTATAGGGCTGTGGGTATTGATTTGCAGAATAACATATTGGTCTACACCGGCAACTCTGCTAGCGAAAAAGTCACTATGTGGTGCGTAACATTTCACCCAGAGACTCCTCATCTAAATAATCCCTTTGGTCTGATTAAACTAATTCCTTGTAGCACCAAGGACTACGTAGCAGCTGCGTACGTCGACATATTTACCACCAGACCTATACGCACTATACAGAACCGGACCATCACCTTGTCAGAGCTTGCACCAACAGGCATGGAAATTGCTGCGATCATGAAAGAGAAGAACGGCAGAGACCCCTCTATTGCGACACGAAGCTTAGAGGAAGTCAATCGAACGATCGAGGATTGTATCAGCAGGGAGAGTAATCTCGCTGTCCCGGCCTATTGCCGCAAGATCTGGGGAACGGGAGAAATGATGAAGATGCTTCCCGATGATTTATGGGAAGTTAAGGACTACAGGAAAGCAAGTTTAGAGGACCTTGTCATAGGAGGAAGATTGGAAAGCTATAGAGCTCTACCCGATCATGTATTGGAGTACCTAAAAAAGATGCTCTGAGACATGTATTACCATATACTACTAGTCTTGCGCACGACCTCACAGCTCAGTATGCATGTGCGAACCACAGCGCAAACGCTGCTGCCTCTTGCTTACGGATAATTTGCCGATGCTCCCACAATTGATTATTTTTGCTCTTCCTCTTCCGACTGTCAGCATAAAAAGACGCGTATCTAAGACATTAGATAGATATTACATTGGACTATATCTCCCGGGGACGGAGCAGCGGGTATAGAATTGGCTGGCTGCAATTCTGCTTTAAGCACAGCCTGTTTCCCTCAGCGCAGACATTCTTTCCTACCCAGCGATCGGACTATGGAGAGGTGTGTATTCTAGCTGCCGAAATGCCGTTTGTTTCAGTAATACTGTTGGTTCTTCGAGCCAGGTAGGTCAGGCCTCTCAAGACGGCTGAGATGCGGAGGCGTCAAGTAGAGTTTGAGCTGCCTACATCAAAGAGTACGCGGCGTTCACCTTTCTCGTTAACTCTCGAGGTGGGGCTTGTCGTCATCAGTATCAATATCGGGTGGGGCAAGCACGTCAAACGGGGACGCTAGTCAGATGGGTGGGACAGACCCTCGCGATCTGTCCAGAAACGGAAAACATAGAGTGAAGAAGTTCCAGGGTTCCCATGGACAC